AGGTGACTGGTGGTCGCAACGGTTTCGGTGCCAAGCTTTGCAACGTATTCTCCACCGAGTTCTCTGTTGAAACCCAGGATTCTCGCCACAAGAAGAAGTACAAACAGACTTGGACGGAAAACATGACCAAGATGGGCAAGGCAAAGCTCACCGAGGCCAAGGGTGATGACTACACCAAAGTCACCTTTAAGCCTGATTTTGCCAGGTTCGGTATGGAGGGTATTGATGATGACTTTGAGGCCCTCGTGAAGCGCCGAGTCTACGATTTGGCAGGTACAGCTGGCGTTGCTGTCAAACTGAATGGTACTCGTGTTCCCGTTCGCAATTTCCGCAAGTACATGGAGATGTACACCAAGGCTATCCGCAAGGAGCGTGGCGACGAAGGCCCCGTCCCCAAGGATGAGATCATCACCTGCAACCCCGATCCTCGGTGGGAGATTGGTTTTGCTGTCTCGGATGGTGCTTTCCAGCAGGTCTCGTTCGTCAACTCCATCGCCACCACATCCGGCGGTACTCACGTCAACTACATTGCCGACCAGATTTGCAATCGCTTGGCCGAACAGGTGAAGAAAAAGAACAAGACTGGTGCTACTCTGAAGCCGGCTCAGATTCGAAACCACATCTTCATCTTTGTGAACGCTATGATTGTCAACCCGGCTTTCAACTCCCAGACGAAGGAACAGTTGACCACGAAGGCCAGTCAGTTTGGTAGCAAGTGTGTTCTGGAGGAAGACTTCTACAAAAAAGTCCTCAAGACTGATGTAATGTCTAATATCCTGCATTTTGCCGCCCAAAAGGCAGACCAGATCCTGAAGAAGGGTGATGTCGGTCGCCGCACGCGTATGAACAATCCTAAGCTGGTCGAAGCGAACAAGGCCGGTACCCGTGACGGCCATCACTGCACCCTGATTCTGACCGAGGGTGACTCCGCCAAGGGTTTGGCTATGGCCGGCCGTGCGGTTGTTGGTCCCGATCTTTTCGGTGTTTTCCCTCTTCGTGGAAAGCTGCTCAACGTCCGTGATGCTTCGTTCGATCAAATTTCCAAGAACCAGGAGATTCAGAATATCAAGAACTTCATCGGACTGCAACACAAAAAAGAGTACACCGAAACGAAGGGCCTCCGATATGGTCATCTCATGATCATGACTGATCAGGATCATGACGGTAGTCACATCAAGGGTCTGCTCATCAACTTCCTCCAGGCGCAGTTCCCTAGCTTGCTCAAGATCCCCGAGTTCCTGATCGAGTTCATTACTCCCATCATCAAGGTCTGGAAGGGTGACCCCAAGAACCCGACCAAATCGCGGTCCTTCTTCACTATGCCTGAATATGAGGCGTGGAAGGAAGAACATCAGCATGAGCGAGGATGGGACCACAAGTACTACAAGGGTCTGGGAACCAGTTCCACCGAAGATGCCCAGATTTACTTCCGTGATCTCGATCGCCACTTGAAGGAGTTCCATACCATGCAGGACCACGAGGCAGCCCTTATCGAGCTTGCTTTCTCTAAAAAGAAGGCTGACGAGCGAAAGGAGTGGCTGCGTCAATTCAAGCCCGGCACCTACCTTGACCACTCCATGGCGAAAATTTCCTACACGGACTTCATCAACAAGGAGTTGATCCTGTTCAGTATGGCTGACAACCAGCGATCTATCCCATCCGTAGTCGATGGTTTGAAGCCCGGTCAGCGCAAGGTCTTGTACACGTGCTTCCGCCGTAACCTGAAGAAGGATATGAAGGTTGTCGAGTTGGCAGGTCTTGTTTCCGGAATGACCGCCTACCAGCATGGTGATGTCTCTCTCCAGCAGACTATTGTCGGCCTGGCTCAGACCTTCGTCGGTTCAAACAACATCAACACTCTGGAACCCAGTGGTAACTTTGGTAGTCGACTCCAAGGTGGCGGCGATTGTGCCAGTGCTCGTTACATTTACACTCGGCTTTCACCCTTTGCGCGAAGAATTTTCCATCAAGCCGATGAGCCGCTGTTGACCTACAACGAGGATGATGGCAAGAAGATCGAGCCGGAAACCTACATGCCTGTCGTGCCTATGATTTTGATCAATGGTGCTGATGGTATTGGAACTGGTTGGAGTTCATCTATCCCTAATTACAACCCGGAGGACGTTGTGGCCAACTTGAAACGTTTGATGGCTGGCCAGGATACTGTTCCAATGCATCCCTGGTTCCGTGGATTCACTGGTGAGGTGGTAGACATGGGCGGTGATCGCTACAAGTTCAGCGGTATCATCAAGGAAACTGGAGACAAAGAGGTTGAGATCACCGAGTTGCCCATTCGTACCTGGACTCAGGACTTCAAGGACAAGTTGGAGGATATCATCAAGGCCGAGAAGGTGCCCTCCTTCATCAAGGACTACAAGGACTACAACACTCACAGCAAGGTCCACTTCGTTATCCAGCTTGATGAGAAGAACATGAAGGCTACTATCTCGGAGGGTTTGGAGGAGAAGTTCAAGCTTTCCAAGACAATCGCGACCAGTAACTTGGTTGCCTTTGATCCTGAGGGCCGCATCACAAAGTACGCTACTGTCGATGACATTCTGAAGGAGTTCTTTGCTGTGCGCCTCAAGTACTACGAGCGACGCAAGCAGCACCAGCTTTCCGAGCATCAGAAGGATCTCGAAAAGTTGAGCAACCAAGCTCGCTTCATCATGATGATTATTGAGGGTACCCTGGTCATTTCTAAGAAGAAGAAGTCCGTCCTGGTCCTTGAGCTGAAGGAGAAAGGCTTCAAGCCGATCGCCAAGATTGCCGACGCTTCCAAATTGGGCGAGGATGAACCTGCGATGGAAGACACCGAGGAGATCGGCGACCAGGACGTTGAAGTGCTGTCCAGCTCCTACGATTACCTTCTGGGCATGCCCATGTGGTCGCTCACCCAGGAGCGAGTAGAAAGACTTCGTCGCCAGATTGGTGACGTTGAATTAGAAATTGACGCTCTGATCAAGTTGTCCAAGGAGGATATCTGGAAGAAGGACCTCGACGATTTCATCAACGAGTGGCGCTTCCAGCTTGAGGACGAGGAGCGTCGTCTGCGCAAGATGCAGAACATGGGCCGCCGGACTTCATCTAAGCTCATGACCGGCGGAGGTCGTGGTGCCGCAGCCGCACGCAAGCGCAAGGCAGCTGCTGGAGACGATCCCGACGATGCAGACTTTGCAGCACCAAAGGCAAAGAAGACGGCTGCGGCCAAGAAGAAAGAACAGCCGGTCAACAGCCTGGCTAACTTCCTGAACAAGACAACGTCTAAGGAGCCTACACCAAGCGGTGACGCAGCTGTCGATTCTGATGAAGACTTTGATATGGAAATTTTACCTAAGAAGAGCCGTGCTGCGGCAAAGCCAAAGCCCAAGCCAAAGCCCAAGACAGAGGACGATGATGTCGATCTCGAGGAGGTTCCTGCAAGCGGGTCTGCTCGTGCGTCAGTCCAACCCGCCGCCGATGTCATGGATCTTGACGACGAGGAACCTGCTCCCAAGGCGAAGCCGGCAGCCAAGCGCGGACCCAAACCCAAGGCCAAGCCTGCTGACGATTCCGATGATGATTTCCTTGAGATTGCGCGGGCGACGGCATCTTCCAAGCAGGCAGCCCCGAATAGTCGCGCTCGCAAGCCTGTCAAGTACACCGCACTTAGTGACTCTGACAGCGACAATGGGGATGATATGCTGGGAGACGTGAGTCAGATGGTCAAGGGTATTGGCGGCGATGATTCGAACGCTCGACCTTTGATCTCGGAGCGTTCTCGTGCCGGCAGTAGTGCCAGCCTCATGGCTCCGAGCAAGTCCAAGGTTAGCAGTGAGTTTGATCCAGACGAGACTGACTACAGCAAGCTCGTGCCGCAGAACTCTCCGCGCCGCTCGATTCAGGTCAAGCCCAAGGACGTTTCGAGGATCGAGGACGATGATGAGGAGGAGGAAGAAGAGGACGAGCCACCTGCCAAGCCCGCGCCGAAGGCCAAGGCTGCAGCCAAAGCCAAGGCTGCCCCTAAGGCTGCCCCTAAAGCTGCCCCTAAAGCTGCCCCTAAAGCTGCCGTTGCTCGTGGTCGCCCAAAGAAAGATGCTGCACCTGCTCTTTCTCCAGCTGCAAAGGGATATGCCTCTAAGCTGGCCAAGACCAGCAAGGCCCCCAAGAAGACTGCCGCAGATGACGACTTCTCTGAGGACGACATCGACGCCATGGCCAACGATATTCTCGATTCCCCGGCCGGCAAGATAGACATTTCAGATGATGAGCCCGTTCCCCGACGTGCGGCCGCCAGTCGTCCCTCTCGCCGTACCGCTGCGGCGACCAAGAAGAGCTATGTGATTGAGGAAGATAGCGATGAGGAGGAATCTGCTGATGATTTCGAGGAGGATGAGAGTGACTAGATTGGCACCTCATCGGGCGTCGCGGTGCATTGCTTTCCCTTGCTTTCCCTTATGGAGATTTGATATTCGCCTTCCTTTCGTACTTTCTTGGATTCTGATTTATTTATCCTCTTGTGTTTTTAGTCTATATCGTTTGTGTGCTGGTCAGGCAGAGCCGACCAGCTTTTGCAAGGCGTGAATTTGAATCGCTTATTTCAACTGATACCTGTAGTTCGATTAGCTTAGCCTCCTTCTATCCACTTTCGTCTTCCTATACAATGGCAAAGTGATGATTTGGTAGTGACTCTTTTAGATGAACCGCGGTTTCCGTAGTAGTACTCCTCTTCGTGTTGGAAGGAGCTATTCACCCAACGAGCAACCCTCAATATCGCCACCAAATTTGAATCAAGTTCTTCCATTTTCTTGAAATGATCGACATGAGATTGAATCAATGGCTATTAGAACAAAGATCACCACAATTACATTCAAAAGATCCACATATCCATAGAGTCCAGCGCCGAACTCCAGAAACTCATTCCCTTAGCCCATCAACGCCGTCCAGTCTAACCAAACATCCATCTCGATGCAAAACACGTACAGCACAATCCTCATTTGGCTTGGGAAAATTAGTGCTTTTCACAGGGAAGCACGACGTTTTTTCTTGTCTGCCGCCCCGGTCCGTCCCAATAGAGGGCCAAGGGTGGACTCCTCCATGATCTCATCACCATCTTCATCCTTGGACGAAGCGCGTTGCATATGCATATGAAGCAAAGCATGAGCAGCCTTGACTTCCTTGGCAAAGCGGCCGGGACGAGCCGTTTCATCTCCTTTCTTGGTCTTCGCGGAGCGGGAAGGATTCTTCTTGAGTCCGGCCTTACGAGCAAGGCCACTGCTTGAAGGATGTCTTGGCTCGCGATATTCTTCGTCCCCTTCATCTTCAGACAGGGACTCATCATCGGAAGATGTCAGCTCTGATTTGTCGGGCTCCGAATCCCCATCGGCAGAGGCACGCTCGCTTCCCCAGCGAATCGGGACGATGGGCTTAGAGCGAATGTCCAAGCGTGACGTTGAAGAGAACTCCGTCTCCGAGTCACTTGCCTCGGCTGCAGTTCTCATGACTCTCTTCCGGCGCTCGGAAGCCTCATTGAGAAAGTCGTACGGGGTGCGAGATACCGGATGCGAGCTGGGAGGTCTGTTGATAGGGAGGAAGCCTCCGTACGTGGGACTCTGGGGTGAACCACAGTAGGGCTCGGAGGATGAGCCCCGGGCGCTACTGATACTATCCGCATAGCTGCGTCTGGCAAACTTGGACTGCTGCATCTGGGAAGCTCGCATATCTCGGGAAGGATAGTCTATCTGCTTCCCGGTTGGCTGGGAATGGAACGAGGTGGTAGACATCTCGTCGTAAGATCGGGGCTCGAGTAGCCGATAGCGCCGTGCGGTTTCGGCTGCTTCGTTGACAATGGTGGGATCGATGATCATCCGACGAAAGCTGATTCGGTTTGTGGGGGGAATGCACAGTTCCGGGAAGTCGAGGCCGAAGAGAGGCGTAAGAAGGAAGCGAATATCCCAGCAAAAGGTGGCGGCGATTGCTTTGGCGGCTTCGAAGGGCATCCAGTAGCCTGAGACAAGTAGACATTGTGGGTTAGTATTCGTTCAAGTTGAAGGAGTTGGGAGTCTCTGAGCCATACCTTGAGCCGCAAGCGCCCCACCAGTGATGCTGTGACTGATTTCGCGTAGACCGTTGTTGTTATTAAGTACCTTTCCGGGGGTTGTCTATGGTCACGACGTTAGCGTATGCCTCGTGTTTGGTCTATGTAATGTAGAGAACTGACCTTGGAGTAGCCGAGACACTTGAACAAATGAGTGGTGCGAACCAGTCCGATATTGTAGTCCCAAGTCACCGTCCACGGCTCCGGGTCAACGTCCTTTCTCTGGAAGGTGTACTGAAACACTGTAGGTAGGGATTTGTCAGTATCGAAGTTCATCCAAAAAGAACAGTTCCAAGATGAACTCACAATGAAAGCTATCCCGGCCAGTTCTTTCTCGGAAAGTTTTCTTGTCGCTCTGGTATGGGATATGGCGTGGGAAATCAGCAATGTTGCCGTAGGGTTTCAAATCCGCTTTTCTGTGTTCCTCTTCCAGGAACCTGGTCCGTTCCTCATGAGGAGGATATCGAACCTGCCCTCGAACGGGTCCGGGACGAAAGATGGCACCATCCTTGGCTACCTTTGTTCTCGGTGGGTGCTCGGTATAGGGAGGGCTCGTGGTTGCTGATCGGGAGGCCGGCATGATGAAGCCGATGTGGCCGTGAGTCACCTCAGGGAGTGGGTTGAGTAAGTCTCGAATGGAGCCCATGAATACGTGGGAACGAGTCCTGGGCGTTTGAGACGGGAGTCTTGGGAAGGGAAATATTCGAAGAACTTGGAGATGAACAGAAGGGTCACAAGGAAAAGAGATGTAGAAAGTAGTCGGGCGATGAAGAGTGTCGAGAAGGATGAGGAGGGGAAAGGAACAAGTAGAAGTAAAAAGAGTCGATTCGGTAGAAAAGAGTAAAAGCAATCCTCGTGTGGAACAAAAGGCGTTTTCCAGAAGCTTCAAAAGCGAGACCTAGATATCCACTCTCAATGGGGTTCTGAAGCATCAAGCAAGACAGTCGCCGGCTTTGTTGAACGGTTTGATCCACCTCGTGCTGATTCTGTGCATGTTCCTGCTTTTTTCCTCTATTCTACCAAGTCGAGGAGGGTGATTACAGTGGATGTTTGCCTGTTTGGGCTTGTATACAGCCCGCGACGCGATGTGTTTTGATATCTTAGAGTGATGATGATAGCCCTAGAGAGAAAACTCTTACCCTAGGAGCAGAAGAACATGATTAAAGAATATATTTGAGGAAATTAAGAAGAGCTTCTGGATAAGGAAGGAGCTCGTAGCGGTGTAAATTAGGAAACGGCGAGTCTCCAGGTATGACATCGCAGCTTCCTCGGGGATGGCTTCAACTTCTCCTTCCTCCAGTTCCTCATCATCACGAGGCCACTGGAGTCGGACGAGTCTCCTCGGGATTGGACCTGTTTGTGACTTCCCACGATAGGCCCATGCAAGATGCAAAACCCCTCAAGAATTTCGAGCGACTGAGGTCCATTCTCAACGTCGAATATCTTCAGTCTGGACTGACCGCCATGCTGTGTGCATGTTGTTCATCGATGACGGCCATTGATACTCCTGAGAAGAAAGCTACGAGAGCGAGTGACGGGCCAAAGAAGCCCTCCAGGTCACTCAAGATGAAACCCATGTTTCTGAGCTTCGAGGCCTTACCGGTTGCACCGCTGCCACCGCTGCAGCTGTGGGTACCCAAGACCTGCAACGGCCAAAGGAGTACAGAAGAGTCCAAGGAGCCGTCGGCTGCCTCCAAGGTCTCCGTTTGGGACCATGTGGAGATGCTGTGCGTTGCGGAGGTGAAACCATGAAGCTGGCCACCGCTTCCTCTGGGAGATTGATGCATGCAAACAGGCCGTTGCAGCAGTCGGCGTCATTGGCGGTATAGTAAAGAGATCCATCCTAGCAACACTCTCCGGTTGGCTCCCTTAACACAATGAACAGGAAGTTGATCTTCACGATGAAAGTTTCTGCTCTACTGGAATCATCCCCAGGACTGACTCTCGATGCCATACTGACTGGCTAACTGGATGACTAGACGAATTCCAAGTGGACCAGTGGAGCCATCAGACAATTGAGCTGGCTGTCACAGCACCAATCAAACCACAAATGTCTTCAAAAGCGTCGATCCGGGCGTCAAAGAGGGCCTGAGACCCACGGCCAGCTGCAGGATCAACTTCTTCCCTTGTATGACGGAAACCGACATGCGCCGGTGGGCGAGTCCTTCTCAGTCTAGAAGCGCTGTCACTGAGATAAACTTCTGACCAGATCAAAGTCCAACGTTTCTGGTCCGTGTAAGGAGATAATGAGGAATTCCATGCGATTCATCCTCTCACAAGCGTCCTCCTATAATTTGCCCGAGACTGCTACTGTGAAAAGCGTCTTTCTTCCAGGTGTGAGACATCGGTGTATACGAGAGACGTGCGTCTCGGCTACCACCAGCTTCCATGGATCAAAGGATGTACGGCCCTAAGACGTATCCGAGGAGACCACCCTTTGAGCCCTGTATGGAGTTTGACAGCACGGAAGAAATCTCAAACTGCTTTACCCGCCCCAACAGCTATCGCACTACTCGGGAGAAACGTACAGAGAACATTCCATGCATGCTTCTTTGCAGAGTTGCGACACGTTGGTGGCGGCAAGAACCTCCTGTCTTGTTCGACTCTTTTCCGAACCTCTTTCATTCACGCATATAAGGATAATTTTTGCTAATTCCAAAGTCAATTCGTCCCTAGTACACTGCATAAACGGTGTTTTTATTCTATATTTGCCATTGGCCTACTAGAGTCGAGGATCGATTCTAGAGCAGAACACTCATATTCATCATCTTAACTAGTCCAGCCCAGGCTATTCATGCTTATGGAATCGGTCAGGCAGCTCGATGTTCAGTTTACCGCCCAACGATACGAGTCTGAGACTAATAGCGACATAGCAAGGAGGATGGGTTCCCAATGTCTAAGACAGCCTAGCGATAAGGACTAAATCTATTGGATCCCAAGGAGCGGTCAAGATGATTCTGTGTGATGCTCCGGGATATACTACGTTTTGACTCTGATGACCTTCTGGAAAAGGGGTAAAGAGGAAGTCTCATTTGGGCTATTGCTACGAGGGCTCAGGCCCTTCGAGCTGTATACTCTTGAGTATGTCGAAGGCCATAGTAATTCATATATGGACAGAAGTGAGTTAAGTTCAACATAATTCAAATCGTTTTTTGAGTAATGAAAATGAAGCAAGAATTGTGTACTTCAAATGACCCACAAGCTGCTATAGTCCAAGCCCACGATAAAGCAGAGATATTGACACCATACCTCGGCCGAACGAGTCCATCAATCCTCTAGATTACACCTTCCATACAGATGTAGAAACAGACCACAGATGGACAGCGAGTCCAGACTCCAACCTCTTCCAAGCCCAATTGAAACACCCACAACATTCCATCGGATGCACAGAACCATCCCTTATATCTTCACGTCCAACCTACGATATCTACCTCCACTTCTACCACACAACCCACCGTGCAACATCTCACATCCGGGGTATCCAACACCAAAGAATGAGGGGAAAGGTTACAGCCACCCGCAAAAGACGAGTCCCATCCACCGCACCGCATAACGGCCGAGAAACGTATCCCGCGAGCGCGAGACGAGGACACCGGGTCCGACGCCGGCTCCAGCCCGAATTGCGATGCGGAGAAATTGGCGACCTGGCAGTCTAAGATGAAACTCAACGGTTACCTTGCCTCGCCTCGCACGACGCGGAGTTAAAAGGCCGTTACTCGTTGCTGGTTGCTCAGTACGGGAGCGCAAAGTACCCATCGGGGCTGACTGGGCCTGCGCGGCTGCAAATTCGACGATAATCGTTGCCCGAGTTGGTCGAGTCGAGGGCTTAAGCGTAGTACTGTACCTACCACGGGGCCTGCAATGTGCTCAGAGTATGGTTCATTCTTTGATAAAAAGGCGGCGCACCCTCGTACAGGACACACGACTAGCTTTGGGGGTGGGGATGGGTGGTTCAAAGGGCTCGAGGACCGGAATGTTGCGTTGGGAATTGGATCGAGAGCTACGGTAATTTTGAAATCGGAGATGGTGGGTAAACGTGAAAATCGTGGTATTAATCATAGGACGATTTCATTAGAACAATATGAACCAGAACCGAATTAAACAAGAACGATACGGGTGTGAATGTGAAGAAAGCGGGATGGACAGAATAAGAGTAGGAGGGTAAGAACAGGGAAGAAATGAAGTAGAAAAAAGAAGAAGACAAGAAAAGTACAGACATGAACGTCAATTCATCGTCTGGACATTTCCACGAAAGTTTTGGGGGGGGGAAATGGTCCGCCTATCATCGAGACGAGGGTGTGCTGGAGCCCAATATACATCCATCCCAGCATACACGTAGAGCAATTGAAAGAGCATCAACACCGAATCTGCATGTCGTCAAAAACAGATTGACCGAAAGGGAAGAGCAAGCGGTCCCAATGGGGCGTCCATTCTCATTGGAATGACCGTGATTGACAACCGATCAAGCCTAAGGAAGGGGCTTGCTCGTTTACACAGCCAGAAGGGGCGCCTTCTCCGCAGCCGTGGGGGCTGGCTCAGAGGTCTCAACCGGCTCAACAGTCTCGACCGGCTGCGCAATTGGCTCGACCTGGGGGGCTTCGGGGAAGTCTTCAGTCTTGATTGTGGGCTCAGTGACAGTCTCGGTCTTGACAGGGGTGGGGACCTTGGTCATCTCGGGGGAAGCAGAGCGGCGGCCAATGTACTCCTGAGCCTTGTGGCTGTACTCGCCCACGTACTGTTTCACGACACCGGTGGCATGGGAGGTACGCTCTTCCGCAAGGTCCTTGAGCTGGTTGGTCTGGGAGCTGATAATCTCCTGCAAGTTGTTAATCTGCTCATCGATGATCTCACGGTTGCTGATGTACACGAGAGGTCCGAGGTAGGCCACGGTCACGGAGATGACGGCCAGACCCCAGAGGGGAACGAAACGGACGAGCCAGTAGCCAGTGAAGGCAGCAGTGAAAGCCTAGATGATCAGTCAGTTGTTTTCTTCATATTAGTCCAGGACGCATCACGGGATTAACATACGGCAACGGTGTGAACGACATTCTCGGCGAACAAAATGCGCTGGAACTCGATCAAGAAGAAGTCCAACAGCTGGGAGAGGTCCTCCAGGATAGCCTCGTGGGTCTCCTTGGGAATGGTGTAGTAGCGGCGAGGGCGGAAGGAGCTGGCAATGCCTTGCTTGAGAATGACTTGACCAGCGATCTCAACGAGAGCGGTCACTGCAAACAAAAACGGATCAGTCGTCATTCCTCGGATACCGGCGGGTCACGCGACCAACTCACATCCCAGCGACATGTACAGGAACTTGAAGGCCCAGCGGAGAAGGGGCAGATAACGGGCAGCGAAAATGAAGCTGATTACGGTAGCATAGGAAACCGCGGTCGCACGAGGTTGTTCCCACTGTAAAGATAGAGAGGAGGATGTTAGCAAAACAAAAAATAAAAGGGGATCGTCACAAAAAATGGAGACTCGAGACGACTCACGCTCAACAGGCTATACAACAACGAGTGGTAGTCTACAGGAATATCAGCATCCTCTCCAACTCCATATGTCCGCATCATTCCCTGGCAGTTATCACGTACGAGTCAATGGCTGGCCATTGGTGGTGGTGGTCGAAGGGGTGACGCGGGAGTTCTTCAGGTCGCGGAACTCGTTGGAGGTCTTGGAAGCCTCTGCCTTGAGGTTATCGACAACGGGGCCTGGGAAAAAGCAAGTATTAGACGAATATGGTCAGGCCACAACAGAGCTCCCGGTCAACGCGTGCGGGGGTTCGCAACTATACCCTTGGTAACGACATCGCTGAGGCCTAGACTCGGGAGAATCCAGGGTCAGTTGGTATGATCTTTGGGTACCTTTCGGAGAGGAGAAAGAGCAACGAGAAGGGGAAATACTGCATGAAACATCCTAGTCAGCACCACTTTGCAGCAAAAATCGGGAGGAGTCGGTTGTGTAGAAAGTACCTTACTGCCCGTGTTAGGGTAGCTCACATCACCAGAGTCGGCCATGGTGAAATCGGTTCAAGTTGACAGAGGGGAATGCGATATGAGAATCGAGATGGGTTATGGGGTTCAAGTCTTCAAAGAGCAGTAGTTGGAGGGTGGGTGTGGAAGAGGAGAGGAAAAAGGAACGATAAGAGTAGGTTGGGTGGGAATTGTTTTGGTGTGATGCAACTGCCGATTGTCATGTGCGGTCGCCAAGCCTGAGTTTCCTGCCGACCCAGCGAACTGATGATGTCAATTGCCTCTGCTTGTTTTCCAAGATGCCAGAAAGATCTAGACTGATCAGTAGCTCATAGGCAGGTAATTTTTCCTTTCTTTTTCAAGTTCAAGGGTACAAGTATTGCTCCTTAAGGCTCCCCTGAACTACTCAAGAAGCCGATCCCTATCCTGGTCGTGCCTTATCTCGTCATAATTTGTCCAAGCACCAAACAATCTCCGTCATCTTCCGCCGACATGAGCGTATCTGCCTAGCCAGGATTGATCATAAGTACTCTGGACAGCTTGCATTAAGCCCCGCCCAATGAAAATCACACGAAGTTACCTACTCAATGACTCGATCACGGCCAGGATAATGGGCATATCCTGCAGCGAATGTATGATCACATCTGGAATATTATCATGCGTAGATGAACGGGGCAGGTTGAATGCTACCATGCTTGTGGTAAGACTCTCTGTCCCAGCTAAATTTATACTTGGAGCTTAGATCCTTCTAAATACTACCCACGCGACGAGGGTTTTAACCGTCATATCTACGCTGCAGCGTAGCATCCACTCGAGGCAGGTCTATATAGTCAGTGGTTGGAGCTACTAAGTTACCCTATCATCCCCACCCATCCTGATAGTATTTGAAACGTTCGTAACTTGTCTACCTCCCAGTGCAAGCTTGAAGAGCTGTTTTTCTCTTCGTCCTTTGCAGTAAACACGAATCACCCCTTATTCAATGGGCCTATTTCTGAAGCAAAATATTGTTCGGTATTTCCTGCGGTGTACCCTTCGCCCTCTTTGTCAATAATGATTCGGTCGAGGAAGCACGCAAGAAGACAATCGGCGCTACTTCAGAGAGAGCACGGGCCAAAATCATGTCACGTGACTCTTCAACACCACGCGTTTCCCCGTTGGGATGTCTGTTTTGATCTCGAAACCACCTTCATTCTCCACAAACTCGAAATATCCACCACCACCACCACCACCACCACCACAATTTCCGACCCTTGACCAACGATTCCAATGAGTTGTCTTCATCGCTAGAATTATCTCCTACTTGCGCTTCTTCTGAATTTACATTGCGCCATTCAACTCTTTTTGACCCCGCTGCCCGCAGCGCGTTGTTTACATCATGGCCGCGGCTGGCGCAAGGGCTCACAAGCCCGTCGGCTCCGCCGCATGGATTGCTTCAGAGAAGGAAAACATGGCGGATCTGGTTGAGCAGGAACTGGAGGAAGTGGAATATCCAGTCCGCCATGAATTGGACTGGTTAAATGAACATATGGCCGAGATATTCTCAAAGGGCCAAGCGTGAGTCGCGAACGCTCGATCTCGCGGGCATTAGCCGCATTGCTCACTATCTGCGCAGAAACTTTACAGATGTATTTAAGACGCCAGGAAAGATGAGAGGCAAGACTCCGCGGACGGCGCGGAAGCGGAATGTGGAAGAGAACCGAGTGGTTAGTTGCTCTGAATTTACTATGATGAAGACTATCGTGGTGAAGCTAACCTCCCTTCGCCAGCCATTGAGTGAGATCTTCTCGTCCGCCCACAAAACTGTGGAGAACAAGGCTGCTCCCAGCCCCAGTCCTTTCATTCATCGTATCGTCTCGAAAACCGTTGCGACAGCAACTGCATCCGCATCCATGTCCACATCCGCGGCTTCCCCCACCACATCTCGCTCCAAGACCCTGGAAAAGGGCTCGCAGCCACAATATCCGGACCTCACCCAGAATTTGAATTCTTTCTCCCAGTACAATACCGACTCGGGGTACCATGGAATGCAGGACGATGATGAAATGATCCTGCCGGATACGCAGCCGGGCACCCAAACGTCCACGCAACCGTTTGAGACAGACGAGCATGCCGTATTGAGCTCTCAGGTGGATGTCTCGATTGACCAGCAACCAACGGAGGATAGTTTCCACTCTGCGCAGGAGAATGTTCGTTTGCGTGGGGAAACTATTGAGCCGGTGAACGCTGATCCGACCCCAGCAAAAGAACGAACCATGCGCCTGGCAGTGCCGCCGACTTCTAAGGCTTCAGAACCAGAGATGGACTTGACGCCCAAGGCCCGGACGCAGTCTAAGTCTAAGATTGCCTCACCTGCTGGAAAGCGGCGAGAAAGCCCAGTGGCTCAACAAGAAACGCAAAGGACAGAGGATGACGAACCCTTGTCAAATGCTGGGGTTTCCCCAGAGATCTCGAGAGCCAAGGGGCATGAGTATGACAGTCCGGACGTGGAAATGGAAGATGCAGTCAAGGACGACACCATTCTTGACGAAAACTTTGATGATATTGGCTCTCCATCCGATGGTTCCACCCCAGAGCGATTTCCGATGCGGAAGAGCAGCCTGAACTTTGCATCCTTGCCAGCGCGAGAGCCTCTGAAAGCCCCGCGACGCTCCCGCACATCTCATATTGATCTTCAGAAGTTAAGCAGTACTGGCCGCCCTAGTTTGTTAGGCAAGCAATCGGGTGGGCATGGGATGACCCAAACCGCGGCGGAGGATGAAATCGCCGGCGCCGGTACAAAGGATCTAGATGACGCAAAGGAATTGGAAGACACTATGGACGTGGATCAGGCCAGCAGGATCCACAACCACAAGTCGACTCAGAGCCTTCATGAAAGAATTAGTATGCTGGGAAAGCTTCAGCCATCCCGACCCAAAAAGTCAATGGCATCGATGGCCGGCCTGTCTACGGGTCAGGTTCCATACCCAGAGCTTCCTGCGACCAAGTCCGAAACAAAGCCGGAACCTTCGAGTGAGAAGGGACGCGCAATTCCTGCCCCGGAGCCAGATGAATTGGATGTGGATGAGTGGATCAGACCTCTGAGTTCGCCCCAGCGTCTTGATCTCACGAAGAGCAAAACCACAGACGTTATGGAGAAGCTCTTTGATATTGATCAATCAATCAATGAAACGATTGGGATGAACAGCCGGGAGCAACAGCCTACGGAACCAGAACGTCCCAAGTCATCATACTCTATTTTCTCCTCGCCACGCCCACATGGTCACCACAAAACTGCTTCTGTGTCCAACATTGCATCCGAAGCTTCAACCACTCCTACTGGATCTCCTCGACGCTTTGATGGACCCCTCAGTGCGTCTAAGATGAGGTTGCAATCTATCATGAAGTCCGCCAAGGGCTTATTCACAAGCACTGGTGGCTCAACAAGACTCGAGACATCTTCTCCCGAACAGCCACGCCTTCGGCCCCAGGAACAAGCTAGTACTGTTGCGGAAACCAAGGAAGATCAGCGCGATTCTCAGCCTCGCAAGATCTCGAGCCCCCCACGGCAAGAAGGCCGTCGAACACGGAGCTCCACGGAGAGGGAGGAGAAGCGTCGGCAGAAGGAACGTGATGATCGGGAGCGAGAGGAAGAAGAAATTCGACAGGAGAAAGCACGCGAGAAGGAAAAGCAGCGAGCGATGCAACTCAAGGCAATGCAAGACAAGTCCTCTGTTGAGCCAGAGGAGAGACCGGGCAATGCGGCCCAACGGTCAATGCAGTCGTCGCGACAGCAATCTCGGGAGCCAGAGTCCGCACACGACGGGTCGCGATTTGGTCTTCCCCAGTCCAAGCAGACCGATCGACGCCCCAAGCCACTCACCCGCGAGCCAGCTCAAAAGCCCAACCCGCGACCAGTTTCTATTCGTGTCGGAAGCACACTCTCGCGTCCGATGCCCATAGCTTCCTCTTTGACTTCAAATAGCCAGGAGCCTGCCGCACCTGCTGCCGCTCCGGTTCCTGCCTCAAAAACGGCATCACTGAAAAAGAAGGGTAGCAACCAATCGCTGCACACTTCTTCCTCGGCAAGCAGCTTCAAGAGTTCTGTCTCGAGTCAAACGCAGGCACAGCGAAAGAAGAAAGAGCAAGAAGAGCGTGAAGCCCGTCGAAAGGAGGAGCAGAGAAAGGAGGAACAGAAACGGGAGGCAGACAGGAAACGAGCTTTACAGAAACAGCAGGAGGAGGAGGCTCGGCGACAAGCGGAGGCTGAGCGAGAACGAGCTGCACAAGATGATCCTAAGAAGAGTGCCCACATGCGTGCAATTGAGAGGCGACGACAGGAAAATAATGCTCGAAAACATGTGCGCCAGGGCAGTCAGCAGGTGGCCAGCGAGGTAAATATTTCTAACCAGCATTATGGCGGGCAGATTCTTACTGACAACTCGCAGGTTCCCCCACTCCAGCACGAGAGGCCTGCATCACAGGCCACTCAACGGAATGACTTGGGTGCGACAAGGCCAGCATCTCGCTTGGGTTACGGCCGAACCATCAATCCACCACCGCCGAACCCCGCCAAGCCACCCAAGAGAAATATGGATGAGGAAGCGGGCTATCGTGCTGCAGTCACTAATCCTAGCAATGCTCAGCCTTCTGGCGAAGCCAAGCGACGCAAGACTGAGGATGAGCATAATCCTATGCAGCCCGTGCGGCCTACCATGGCACCTCCTATCCGCCAGTCAAATATTCGCAAGGTAAGCTCACATGTCATAAATCAAAATTTTGTATGTGTTTTCTAATGAATTTGGGACGCAGCCTTCTATGTTTGGTGGACAGCCTGGCTCTTCTATCTTCAAAACTGGCCAGCCTCAGCGACCTGCTCATCCATCGGAGCTGGCCAAGTATACAAACAACAAGATACCCTTCGCGGAACCTAGTCATGCGCCACCTCCAGCTGTACAAAAGCCTTCCGCGCCGGGGTCCGCTCAACGACCTCCACCCATGGCTAAGCCATCCCCGAAGTACCCAAGTGGTGAAAGCATCCACCTTCCTGAAATCAACACAGACAGCGAAGATGACGATGACTCGGATTCCGAGATGTTCCCAGTGCCCAAATGGGCCCAACCCAAGGAACTGGAGGGTCTTTTGCGGCAGCAGGACGGGATGGAAGTTGACTCTATCTTCGGTCCAATTGCACCGTTTTCCCTAGAGGAGACCTTCAAGGCCGACAAGAAGATCAAGAAATACCGTGACCGCACGAGTAGCGCCAACTGGAACGGCCCAGACGGTCTCACTCAGGAGGAGATCCGCAAGGATCGTGTGGAGCGGCAAAAGCTGCGGCTCAACGGTGGCTGGTCTTTCCAGCAATAGGCGATCATTTAATTTATGGGCCGTCGAATCATTATTGTGTTATATCAAGCACTGGCGACTGGGAAGTAATTTTGCAATTGGGTCGGTGTTCTTGGTGTTTTCGGTCTTGGGATGGGTTAATCTATTGGCGTTATCTTGCATTCTTAGTCGATCGAGAGACATAGGAAGCATCCATCGGTTTGCATATTGTCATCAATTGGATACGTTGCGTTATTCCATCTTTAACGGCTCCCAGTCATCACTATCTAACCTAACCCCAAATGCCTAAAACCAGGCCGCGCTAGCTCAAGATATTTCCTGCTAGGGAGGCTGGATACAAATTGGGTTGATCTTTTGAAGATACTAAAATCATTTTCCATCATATGCCACTAGATATATCAATTTGATATGAACCAGCATCATTGGTCTAGTGGTAGAATTCGTCGTTGCCATCGACGAGGCCCGTGTTCGATTCACGGATGATGCACACCTCTTCTTTTTTGGCTTTTTGACTCTCCTCTCAGGATCAAGCGAAACCCTCTCTACTTTTTCTTTTTTGGATTTTTTGGATTTTTCGTTGAAGTAGCTATAAACATTACGCTGTGCTACTTTCAATTGGTTCCTGTATTCGATATTGCTATTTGGTGGATTTCCTGCGTGAGGACGTGATCTGGCTGACGACATATATTGCCAGTCCGGAACGTCAACCTCGACGATAACCGAATTCTGAATTGCCATGTTTCAATTGGAATACGAATAGCTGCTGATATTCGGCCATGTTTACTGTCTACATAGCGGTAATTTGGGTGCTGAATATGATGGGACGCGCAACGTTTATACGATAGAAAAAACTATTGACACCATTCTCCAAGGGTATACCTGGTGCTGCTACCAAAGACCAAAGCAAAGGCCTTGGAGCTACCAGGACCTAGCCCATGGATGAGATACTCGTAGTCACCTACGATACACCAGTAGTTACCACCTTCAAATCAAATCTAAGCCGACCAAACTAAACCCATTACAAACAAATAAGAGATTCAATGCGAACACGAAATATATTTTAGGCTCAAAGCCATGTAGCATAGCCACACATTTTATCCTGGATCACACCATATACAAAAGAAGACCTCAATTCCAACCCCAGGCACCATCACGAAAACAGTCCAGGCACACATACACCCACCCCGACCGGTCCACACGCCGTCAATATCAAATATAATACAAGACTTAGCCGCCCAGAAGACCATGTTGTCGCATCTACCAACCAAAAACAACTCAAGGGAGACATGATTTACTCCATGTCAGGTTCTACGTCGCTACCACCAGCCGCGCCGCCCTCATCCATGGCGTCAGGGTTCAGGTTTGCGGCGTCAGAGGCAGCACCGAGACCATCGGTCTTGTCGTGGGAGATGGTGCGCCAGCCGGCTTCGACGGAGGCGTCCTTGATGTATTCGGACATGGGGAACTGATAGGATTTGATTAGTGGGACAGGGTCGGTAAAACTAGAGAGAAAGGAATGACTTACGTAGTGGTCATTCTTCTTCATGGTAACCACCCACGGAACATTGTCGAAAGTGACGGCACGTAGACGGAAATAGGTGTTGTCGGGAATCTTGCGCACTTGCTCAACGAATGCGTCGAGGTCGGGGGTGGAGACGCCATTGACAGCAGTGATGAAGTTAGTAGGGGCAAGTCCGTAGTGGTAAGCGGGTGAACCGCGGCTCTGTGCAAATAGTTAGTGACGCGATGATGCTTCATTGGAATAAAGGATTCGCTCACTCTAGCGCTCACGTAAACCTCGCTATGAAGCTTGGAGATTTGTTGCCGAACGGCGTGGTGAGGCTTCTGCAGGACAGCGCCACAGAACACAACGGCGCGGTCAGTCTCAAGATCTTCAGTAGGGACAGTTGGAACGCGAATGCGCATCTCCTGGCCATTCCTAACGATCAAAGCCTCCAAGATCTCCTTCTCATACATGACATCCAACTCTGAAACACGAGTAACGAGCTGGCCGTCCAGTGTCAGAATTATATCAGCCTCCTGGAAGCTATCAACATCGGTGGTAAAAGTTGCCGGTGGGCAGTCCACCTTGCGAACCATGAAGAGCTGATGGCGGGAAGGATTAGCTTGAGCAACCTTCTGAATCCACTCCTCAGAGACACCCATGATGCGGGCCTGGCTCATCTGGACAACGTAGCTCTCCATGTTCAAGATACGTAGCTTAGGGGTGACACCCTGTTGGATCTTGGTAGTCACCGGAAGTAGCGACGGGGTAGCGAAACCGAGGTGGTATTCAACGTCTTTGTGAGAGCTCGGGGTACGTTCGCCAAGGTAGTTCAACCACAGGGCCTGCACGACACCGTCCTCGCCGATCAAAACTCCATTGGTGCACTGTCCACTCAATCCAGTATCCACAGTGATGGCATCCAAATTGATAGCACGGTACCGAGGAGCTGAGGCGTTGGCGGGGATTGATACGGTAGTGATATCAGTCACAGCGGTCTTGGCCACGACAATGCGGAAGTTCTGGTTGAATCCAACGAAAATGGTGTCTTGTCCCTGCTTGATGTACTCGGAGCTGAGACGAGCGCTCTGTACGGGCGCCTGCACGAGACTGGGGTCATATTGAATGATGCTGTAGTTCTGAAGCGGGTGCAGGAAGACAACCTTGGCACTGAGGATGACCGAGTCGGCGACTGTGACGTTGATATCACAAAGGTCATAGGGCACAATAGCTCTTGAGACAACGACCAGACCCTTCTCGGCATCAATGACCAAACCGAAACCGGTCTTCTTAGCCTGCGGATAACCATCCAGCTTCAAAGGCATAGTGCAAGACACCCGCACAAAGCTGCGGACAATCTCGGCGGCGGCGGGCTGGCTGACACCATCCAACTGAATAAAGTCTGCCTTGCGTGGGACAGGTTTCTCGGCCGGAATAGGATCAGCCAAATCCGAAAAGTCCCAAATACCAGTCTCGTCATTGCGAACGGCCAAACGCATCTTGGGATGCCAATGACGGTCAACATAGATGATACTGGTTCCCTTGGTATGCAAATCCCGGATGTGGCGATAAGAAATGACCACGCGGGAGCGATCAGGGATGGTCTTCATGACCTCTACGAATTCATCCAGGTTGCGAGTTGGCCGCTTGTCGACCGAATCGATGATCCACCCAGACAAGGTGTTCTCAAGCTTGAACGAGCCAGCAGCCTCGCAGACATACACACCGCGGGTAGCGATGGCATAGAGTCGGGACTGCTGATAGGACAGATTGTGGAAAGTACCTCCAGCAACCGTCACGAATCGGTCAGGGCTGATCGCATGAAGATCTCCAACTTCACACTCTACCTCAAGGTCCTCGCCTCCTCGCTGAACCAGCAGCCGGACAGTCTTACCCACACTAGAGTCCAAGATATCATCTAGGCGGATAAACTGCGTGAGAAGCTCACCGTTCACCTGTAGCAACACATCTCCTTCTTGCAATTTTCCATCCGCAGGTCCTTCCGGCAAGATGATCTCAGCGGCAAGCATGTTGGTCTCGGCGGGAGCAGCCTTGCGCACGGCGGCTTCCCACTCGGGCGTCAAGCCCAGGCGACGGCATTCATCGAAGGGCTTGAGAATCCACTGGGTTTGGATTGTGCCACGGGTGACAGCCTGACCCTGACGAATACACTCCAGAGCACGGAGCGGGCGATCCAAAGGCAAGAAATAATCAGTCGCAGCACCGTCGGCACGACCACCTGCTTGTAGAGCCACAGCATGACCATCGATGTTCACAACGGGACTGCCCGAACTGCCACCACTTGCGGCAGCGGCAGCCTGGATGTAGTTGGTGTTGAAATCACTATATCCCTCGCCATACTCCGGGGCATTGCGATCCAAACGACTAATAACACCGGAGAGAATGCTAAGCTTTTCACCCGCATCGTTACCAACAACGCGAATCTCAACACCCACTCGAGCTCCGTCGGGTTGGAGCTTGAGCTCGGTGAGGTTCATATAACGAATGGCCTTTGGGTCGAATTTGAGGATACCGAAATCGTGCACGGGGTCTCGGTAGACGGGGCGGACATCACACTAAGGATTACAAAAGACAGTCAGTATCTAGAACGACGATTTGAAGATTTCTGCCAACTGCTCTTCTTGTCTGGCTTACCTCTTCATGGTTGTCGAAAATACAGTAACCCCAGAACGGACCTGCGCCAACCACATGACGGTTCGTCAAAATGTATCCTCGCTCAGCATCAACGACAAAGCCCGTAGCCTGACTGCTCATAGACAGCTCCGTATCGAAGGAACAAGTCTGACAAAAGTGGATGGATACCACACTTTTCACAACCGTCTCAATAGTCGCCTGCCACTCGGGAGAGTCTGCCTGCGCAGGGACAAGAGGCAACAGGCGACCCGAATCATCGTCTTCCTCCTCCACATCGTAAACAGTTCCATTGGCCGGGGTAGAATCGCTGGGAGTCAAGACCGAGCCTTCGGGCTTCAGATGTTTAGCGGGCCGCTCCACAGCACCGGCGACAGCGCTGCGCTTGCGCTTAGAGCCAATGTCCCCGTGAGCGTCCATAATGCTCGTAGTGAGCGACGACGGGCGATGAAAAGGATATTGAGAAGCTGGCAAGTATCTTCGCAGAGGAACTTGGTGGAAAAGCGCGAAGGAGCGAACCGATGGGATCGAGGGCGGACGAAAGTGACGCGCAGGTGACGGATCGGGTGAAAATCGGGGCGCGATCAAGGGCCAATGCACGGCAGAGGCAGTAGAAATAGTAAGAGCAGTAGCGACCGAGCTTCTTTGAGGGCTTTGTACGCTTTGTCTCCAGCGCAGCAGCAGCAGAGACATTCGCGTTGCAAACGAGGCGGAGTGGAGGAAAAGGAGCTGATTGGGTGGGCGACGCACACGATACCATCCCATGGCCGAACCACGCGCCTACCGAGTGTCGATCCGTGCAGGAGAGCCAGGAGCTAGGGACAGCAGTATACACATGTACAAGTTGCTTTGGAGATTGTCACCTTTTACATATTGAAACTAGGTTGAAAAAAAATATCAGAGGTTGACCATCTGGATAGAAATCGTACTATTCGACAAGCTTTGACGAGACTTGAGACTAGCAACTGTTGCAGTCATGTCTATGCATGCACGCAAGTCTTGCATGATCAACCCATCGCTCTCATAATGAAAAAATAAAGCTATATATTCTTTCCCAAATTTAAAGTAAAATACATGGTATCATGGAGGACCAACGAAGCTCGTCCGAAGATACAGAAAAATCTGGCACACGCAGCTCAAGTGGTCATGATTTTTTGCGAAGACTTCTTCGGAATGAGAAAAAACGAGGACGCAAAGTACAATGGCCATAATCGAGGCGACTCTCCGGCTGATTTTCTATCTCGCTTGCCTGGTGAGGTTGAGGTCTTACGGCGGGCTAGAGTGCGTATGACGGAAGTACAGAATACCACCACGATTGGACCAAATAGTAAGACAGGGCCGCCTCTCGCCGGGGGTGGCGCAGACAGGACGGACCGCCGTCTGGACGGGTGGCGCCGCTTCTGGGGGTCTTTCCTCCATTGAGATATTCAGATATGGAGAGATGTCAATAGGGGGAGGGCATCGAGATCCCGATTTGCCCGTTGAAGAGAAGAGGGGGATTGAAACTAATATCAATGTAGCGGAGGGGAAGACGAGATGCTTGCTCACGAGGACCAAGCTGTCAGGCACAGACCTCACACCATCTCTTCAAACCACCGATTCGGAGACTGGTGATGGACTGGGCCCGCCGTTGCCCTGCATGCCACCGGGGCTCAGAGTTTGAGGGGTCGACGCCTTGCCTGTCCGGGGGAACAGCTCATTTAGTCTGGCATACAACTCATGGACAGCAGGGAGGTTTGGAGGCGGTGTCATGATTGCCGGAGCCTGAGGGGCAACACCCCCCGACTTTTTGGCGCGATCGGCTATCGTCGCAAGATAGGCCAGGTTGGCTTGTAACCGGCGCATGCATTCAATGTATTCCGGACTTGGTTTCGAACCCTGCTGCTTCAGAGCCTCCCCGCTCTGATCAGTCGGAGACGCGTTGGCATCACCAGGTGACGCGGGTCCTGCTTTACCCAATGCTTGCAAATTAACCACTTCCCGCAGCAAGGTCGAGTTGATGTCCAGCAACGTTGTGACGCGGGCCTTCTCACGCGCCGCCATTTGAGCCTGCACCTGGGCTTGGACTTGAAATTGTGCTGGTGACTGGGTCGGCGCGGGAGACCCCGTTTGGGCGATTTGAGGTGAGCTCATTTGAGAAGGCTTCGGCTGGTTCGCGAGGAGGTTACTTTGTTGGATGGAGGCCATGTTCTGTGAAAATGCCTGTTGGACGGCCGATGGTCCGTTGGGCATGGTGCCCGGCTGAGAGAATGGTGTCATATTGGCGGGGAGAGGGGGTTGAGTGAAGGGAGATGAAAACGATTCCATCGACACTGGTGTCACGTTAGCGGTCAGATCCACCTCAATTCAAGATAAGCTCGACACGCGAAGCAGGTCGTGCTGGCAGATCAAGCCAGATCGCACTATTTGTGGCGTCCACCCGTGCTAAGAAGCATTGACTGGCACTCGTCCTATCAATGAGATAGATCCATCACAGCTGCAGGCTTTCCAGGGGAAAGGGGAGGAGTGATTGGCGAAGTGCCGACCGAAGATGGGATGGAATTAAGGATCGGACGATAGGTCGACCCTGCTATGAACCCTCAAAGCGGATCCGGCATCGTGGGTGCCAGATGCTTCAAAGCGAGAGGTCGACCCCGCCAGTGGAAGGGTAACGGGTGCGTTGGGCTAATCATAATGAAGGGAACAAGATAAAGCGGGTGAGTGAGAATTGACCACGTACCATTTGTCTGTTGGGGAAAGCCTGTAGGCATCATAGCCCCCCCAGGGCCACCTGGCTGCATAGGCATGGCACCAAAGGAATGCTGCTGGGGCTGCTGGACAGGTTGAAGAGGCGTTTTCGATTGCGCGTATTGGGGAATCGAATTTGGATAGAATGACATTTGATTCGGGGGAGTCTGAGTAGGCACGGGATAGCCAGCGGGATAGCCAGTGTTGGGGTCCATCGTGTAAGAAGGAACCATATCACGGGGAACGGTGGAAAGCGCCTTTGGTTATTGCGCACGCCGCACGGACAGGAGATTGACGGAGAGGAAGGCGGACGGAAGGCCTTGCGGGAATCCAGGGATAGGGCGGACTCGGATAGTTGTATGAAGCGGCTGAGAGGGCCTGGGCACCACGGCAATCTCGAACAACAAAGGAAGGGGAGACGATGATTGGCCCCGAGATGGGTGACAGAGAGGGGGGTTGATGTTGATTGTTAAAACGAGATCGCTCGGCAGAGGCTGTGGCTCTCAGAGCAGGAGTAGTGGCAGAATTTCGGTGGGTTGGAGTCCGGATTGAGAGCGATCAGCCGTGGGCGGACGGACTAATGCAGCCTTTTCGGTCAGAGTGGGGACACGGGCCCCGAGAAAAGAGTGGTGGAGGAAGAGGAGGAGGGGAGAGAGAAAGTGTGAGAGGTGGTAAGCAGTAGTTCTCAATGAATCAGGCTATCGATAGAGATGATATGTTTGGGTAAATTGAGATCTCGGGTGACATATAAGTCTTGCTGACATGAGAATGGGAGGAAACCCGGCGATCAGAGTCGGAGTCACGAGACCGGGACGGGGGTGTGGTATTGGTGATACACAATACAACCGAGGGTGTCGGTACTGCGGAGCATTAACTACTGTACTGTACGATGCTAAACGTATTCAAGCCGTAACGGAATTACAACCCATGGCCTCGCATTTGATAATGACACTAGTCCCGATCAGGTAGTTTCTCTCTTTATAGCTATCTACGAACCTCAGGCACCAACCGAGTTGGCCCCCGGAAAGTCTGGAAAATTACCCCCCTGTAACTGTAAAACAAAGCAAACCAAAAACCAACTGCTTGATTGACGAGCACTGGAGTCCCTTACTGCCTCCCTGGTCGGTCGAGGAGTGTTTTACCCACACGAGCCACGGCCCCTCCTTGCCGTTTCCCATCTGCCCGGAGATAAGTGTGGCATCGCGGAGATGCGGAGTTTGCATTTCAGCTTCCTCAGCCGCACTAACATCTCTGCTGCGCCTCACTCGGTGGAGCTATGTGGCGTAAGCGAGCATTCCAAGACCCAGCATTACATCACCGGCTTGGCTACATACAGGAACAAGCTTCTTATTTTGATCAAGAATGGTTCGAATTGGGGATGGAAATACAATAAATCCCTGTAGACAAACCATGCGGTGAGCAAGGAGCAAATCTAATCAACCTTGCATGGATCCTTCAAACCCTTGAAAATGTTGAGAGAAACATATGCAGGGCCCAATTTGAGGTTGAAAGACACTGGAAGCAGCATGAGATCGAATACTAGTGTCAATATTGCCCCCTTATGGTATATCTTCAAGTTCACGCCTATAAGGGGCAGAGTCTACATAGCTACCTACAGTGCTGTGCGGGATTGCGTGATAGCTGCTGTTAAAGAAGGAGTCGTAATTCATGTATATTCTCCATAATATGCACCCAATTACGGGTACGAGTAGCTCCCTCGGAACCACGGTAGAGAGTCGATGTATCGATACATTCTCTACGCAACCGACGGAGACTCCGATCCTCGAGCGGAATCTAGATCAGATGAGACATTTCGACCGTTAAGCGCTCAATGCCCGTGATCGCGAGCGCCAAGAGGCGCAGGCTGATCGGCAGTGGGGATCAACGAGAGCTTTTTCAAACTTCTTGTACTTCGAAGACGGCCTAAACATGTGGCAGGTGACGTGGAGCAGGATTGACGATCCAGACGGCGACGGTGAATGGATTAAACGATGGCTCCAATTCCAATATATTATTTCCACTTTGCGAAGAGAAATGGACAAGAAAGAAAGGGACCCACTAGTCTTGGGTTGAGATTGTACGGTATCTGGAACGGGAAGCCTGCAGCTCGCTAAGAGATGGACGCAGGTGGAGCGGCAGCAATCACTCCGACGCCACAGGACCATTTGCGAGGGATCCATTTTTCCCAGTTTCCAGGAAATGCAAGTCGGAGATCCTTCCCTCGCGGGTAACTGACTAAAAAATCTCGTTGATGAACTATAATCACCCTGGGGCAGTCTAATTAGGAAAGGACTACTGTAGGAGCTCACTAGCAGATTAGGAGCGACTTTGTTTCAGCCAGCCACAGTGGGCTCTGAATGACAGCGATGAACCTCCGTATAGGCACGAACCGATACCTGTCACCTGGGGACCCGGAGAGTAGACAGCCAGCTCTTCTCCGTAAAGGAAGGTGACTACATAGTACTCTGCAGCAGACGAGCATGGCCAGAGAAATAATTGCATCTCGAGTGCATACGCTATACTACATGGAATTGCATCCACCTACGGTAAGACTATCCCGGTTCTCGGTTTCAATGACGCATGTCAAAGGGATTGTCTATGCGGTGAACGACAATTGAAAAAAAAAGGATGTCATGAATTTTATCAGTACAGTAATTCAAAACCAAATCTCCCACACTACCTAATATCTACATCCGTCTACTGTCTCGCTCTCTGACGACAAGTTAAGTCTGGGCATACTTCCATCCCCCCATTAAAGGCGTGAACTATCGAAGTATATCTTAAAAGGCCACATTAAGCAACGTGTCAGCCGGCAGTAGTTAGTGGATAGATCTAAGTTGTCTTTGATCCCCGTACAGGGTAAGTATTCCATGATTTGTTATTCGTCCCACAATGTACAAGGATTTAGCAAGGCCCCCCCGATGAGCGAAACCCCGCTCTGCACAAGAATTTGTCAACCCTAACTGGGAGGGGGAATATGAATGGCCCACATCGGGTGCATGACTTGCAGCCGGAGAACTCTGATCTGTGTTCTCCGTTGGCGTTACGGTATGGCTGTGATACAACCTGAGTCATTCGACCATACACATCGGAGACACCGAGGGGCTGTTCTCGGCAGTGACATTCCCACCGTCCCAGCACACTGGGTCGTCCCAAACCCATTGCACAAACAGATAGATAGTGTAATGGGGGGCAGAACTGCCCTCCTCGGAGGCTGGAAATCAAACCCATTGGGGAACAATCTGACCGGCGAATCTGAGGGTATTCACGACGGTAAGTATGGGACGAACCATATATCGAGCCCTTGGGGGCTTAAGGTTTCTCCGAAGGTGTTCCGTACAGTACGGAGCATATCACGATCGACGGACCGACGGGGCTGTCATTAATCTGTCAGTGGGGGGGGGCCACGTCCGGGATCTGAGCCTTGACCTTGTCAGTATGGAGTCGCGAGTTGGTTGATTACCCTTGAGACAGGTGCATTCACCATTGATGTTCTTGATAATAGTAGATATCATCGAGCTTGCAGATCATGTCAGAATTGCCTTTACCACGACTCTTTCCTCTCAATAGTGTCCACGCTGGGGTGCTCCCCCTTTCGTAGCCGGGGCCGAGTTCAGCCCGTCCGGCCGAATCAGAGAAATCAGATGGAACCCCGTCGTCCTGGGTGGCAAAAACGATAGCTTAATGGGAGCCCCACCAAACGAGTCAAGAACGGTGGCGGCCTTGCTGTAATACCCATGGATCATGACGGCGTTGCATTGGATCATGAATTTCATCTTCCCGACCCGGGGGGGGGGGGGGGGGGAACCCCTTCGCGGTGTAGTTCCGGTAAGGATCATCTCCGTGTCGGCGAAGAGCGTTGTTGATCTGCAATACAAAAGCCCACTCAGCCACAAAGTGGCGTACGAATGGCCTGGTCATCATAGTTGATTTTGCTGCCAAAAAAAAAGTAATTTTAAGAGAATTGGAATCCCACTAGCAAGGGTATCCATGGTTAGCACGATCGTGTATCTCGCTTTGTGTCGCGGGTATCGCTCACCCGTATTCACATCCGCCACATTGCATAACCGTGCAGCCATTGAGTCCGGGGCAATTGAACTGGATTGAGAAAGACCTGATGACGACGAAACCGTGTTTGTTGACAATTCCATTGGATGACATGACCATTGACGTCCAGTTTTGCTTTTTGCTTCTGGTAGAGACCTAGTACAACCAATAGATGCTATGCTGTCTGCTCGCAGCCGGAATAAGCGGAGCATGCTTGAGTCTAACCCTGAGGACCAATAATCAACAATTTGTCCAGCCCTTATACAGCGGTTTCATAGGATTCGGTAAGACACGGAGCCATGGCGCTGTGTAGTCATTCAGACCCACTTCCTGTTTGAGCAAGAAGGGGTTTATCGTGCGGGTCTACGCGAAACAGCATGTAGCTATCCAGAGGCCGTTAAAAACAGTCGAATTGATGCAGGAGCTAAAGTCTACCAGCGGTGAATATCTGTGGAGGACGAATGGTAATCGAAATCCATTACACATTACATTCTTGGAGCGCCAATGCGCGTGCCAAATCCAGATCCAGCCACAATCCCCCCGGCTTAATTGGGTTCCCGTCAGTGTCCCATGGCAGTGGTTCCGGTCACCGAACCGTAAGGACTCAAGAACGATAGGGCAACGAATACTGTGTAAATGGCTTTTTCATAGCTGAGCGGGACGAGACAATAGCGGAGAAAATCCGATTAAAAATTGAATCACTACCCACGCTGGGAGGAAACGAACCCTCGGCCATGTGGACAGGATCGTACATGGCACAGAGAGATCGGATCTTCTTGCATGGCGAGACGCGGGCCGGTGCCATTCAGGGTTACAGTGGACCGTAATGGTCTCTTAACGTTCGCCCGCCGATCTGCATTCTCTGTCCTGGACAATTCGTACGCTGGACGTCGAACTAGGTGAGACCTACGAACCAACTACCTAAGGAGACCGAACAGAAAGCTACACCGGCAATTAAAGCGCCCCAAATGCGGGATTGCCTGGAATGACAGCAGTGACGAAGCCGTGCTTGAAGGGTTTTCACCGTTTCTACACTCTAGACACGAGCTTGTAGGCACGGGAAGCCTGCTATTCTTGCAACGTATCTTGGGGTGCCTGATTTCCATCCGGATGCATGAAGCTCAAAAGAGTAATCTAGGAAATCCTAGCAAACTAGATAGAGCACAGGAGACGCGGACATGATTCGTACTTTTGGCATTAACGGGCAGGCTTTGATCTGCATTCCCAAAGGTCGGCACAACTGGGGCCCATCGTAATAGACTTGGACTAGCCTTGCTTCACGGTTTGGAACCGCCCTGTATTGGTGTGACTATCCCCGAGCTACCATCTAGCCTGACCGATAGCTGGGGCGCTGACTGCCAATGAGGATCGTAGAGGGCCACTCTCACGTCAATACTCATCAATACTCATCCTGTTCTGGTATTGCTAATAGACGACCTTCCCACTGTGTTAGTCCGGGCAAGTCACCACCACCAAAAGTACCCGAGTCGGTCAACTGAGCATCTTTGTAGCAACGATAGAGACAAGCAATGCTCAGAGCGCCATTCCTCAGAATCCATCCATCGTGTCCAGTTGGTGCCAGCAATAATGAAGTAATCTCAAGGCACGAAGCAAAGCACCGAGCCGCAGGGTGCCTCGCAGTAGTATACAGACGATGGGGCTAGACAACTTTACAGCTATGCGACGGACTAAACGGTAAGGAAAATACCTCCGTTGAAATGATTTGGCCAAAAGTGCGTGCGCCCTAGCGGCCCAACCTCGGGGCCTCCGCGGTTCATCGTATCTCTTGTCCGTGCTTTTTCCTTCTCTTGCCCATTGTGCCCATCTTTCTCCTTCCCTGGAGCTGGTATTTTTTCTCCACACTTTTCTATTTTATCGGCCCCTGTGTTGCGCCACAAAATGGCCTGCCGGTGGCTGAGGTTTCTATAAATCTCCGGATCCCAAGGCATGTCTCCCTCTGATTTCGGTGGGACCCTCTCTTCACTAGCCTCTTAAGCTCCTCGTCCCCTCCTCAATGCTGCCGTATGTTTCTCGCACAATCCGAAATGATTACTGGCTGTAAGCCCTCTCTCTCTTCTGTTCCTGTTTGTGGCTGGAGTGCCTTCAGTCTCGACACCCACCCGACCAAGTGGCAGTTTGAGCCACAGTCGATGAACCTGTGTTCTATGGTATTACTTGCCTTTGTGCCTTGAGCATTTCTATTCATCCCACTGCACACGAGAACGAGGACACTGACGAGACAAAAATAGGTCTCGCCAACGATGTCGAGGCAAAACCAGTCAGACGAGCTGGCATACCCGCACTTTGCCCTCATTTACATCGACCGGGACGGGAACCTCCGCCACGAGGCTTCCCCGTCTATTCGCAACAGCCGCGAAGCTATTCTTTCTCCTGGAGTCACCAATGCATTTCTACAGGCCGTGGCACGGTCTAGTGAAACTGTCCCGTCACATTCTCTGCGTAAGTGTCACATACCCGTCGAAAACCAGAACGGGGAGAATCTGATTGCAGAACAGTGGAGGCTGGAGCAACCACGCCCTCACCACCACCAAGGGTAATCGGGGGTCAGCTTCCTATCCGACCTTTGCTCAATCGTGCTCCTGAAAGCCCAGAGACCCTAGGCCCCGATGGACACCATCGTGGTGCCATGGGCTCGGGGCCCACGATACAGCCAGCCATGTGGCCGCGACAGCAACAACAGCTACTACAACAACAGCAACAGCAGCCACAAAGCAGACCAAGGCCTTGGAATGAAGAGGTTAGCATGAGAAGCAACCAGAAAGCATTGATCTCAATTCGAGACAAAGACTTCCTGCACCGGTACTACGAGAAAGTCTTCCAGAATCTACAGCAGACCAACTGCCGAGTTCTGGCAAAGGCCTACGTGAAGCTCGTTGAGCCTCGCAAACAGGTCAATTACCCCTATAATGGACGGAAGATTGTTGCTGGCAGGACTCAGCAACTGGAGCCGGACGAGACTAAGCCGCCATGGTGGCCCTCAGGAGTGAGCCATCGTGAGCCAGATCATCTTCCCAAGGCCGGTAAGAGAGAGAGGACATCACCAGTTGAAGTTTGACGCACTGCTAATATCCTAAAAAGAACGTATTAGACTTCTAGTTCATATACTGTGCGAGCTACGCACCAGCCATGGAGTCACCGCTCGTCGACTCAAAGAAGCCGACCAACCCATTCGTCGACAGATTTCCCCTACCGAGCGACTACAGATACTGGACGAGGTTTACCGAGTCAGAGAAGAAGAAGAAAAGTTCCAAGAGGGAGTGACTGGTATGTCAACCCATGACTTAGTTGTGGCTATTTCCCTCGTAGAGAAACTGACCAGCTCCAGACGGCAAAGCTCTGGTGTCGATTTCCCGAGCGAATCTGCCCGATACGGTGGGAGCTACCTTGGGCCAAGGATCGCGGAGCAGAAGAAGCTCTCCAACCGACGATGCTTCGACGCACGGAACGGAAGCGGGCGAAGAAACGATGGGCGTCCACGGCGGCACAGTCCAGGGCACCATCGTATCTCAATCTGTCTTCGCACCAGCTGACGTACCTTCCGATCTATCGCCAACGAATCTCCGTCCTCCCTCCCACAGCCCAAGCCAATTCATCCACCAAGACCTACCTATCCATTCCAACTACGAACCAAGGCCCTCTCCCTCATCACTGTCTCAACAGGATCTAAAGAGGAAACGCCTCCGCGTGGAATCCGATCCATCTACCACTACAACCCCTCAGACATTATCATACTATCCGCCCACGTTTGTCGGCTCTCAACCCTTCCTCCCCGAGTCTTATGACGAACTTCATTCCTACCCAGGGCATATCGTTCCAACAACAGCCCCCCCAGGAGCTGAAAATTACGGGGAGCACATGGACAGCTTTGCGTTTCCGTACTACTTTGAAAACTGAGACAAAACGAGGTTGATATTTCGGGTCTTTGTCTGATGATAACGAGTCTCCTTTGTTACGGTATTGTTGCATGGGAGCAGGTTGCTTAGGGTATCTACTACATCTTTTGTGATGGTTTTTTTTTTCTTTTGGGAAGCGAAAGTTGTTTTGCAACAGCAAAGGGGCGTGGAGTTGGCTGGTTTAGCCGTATTACTGAAAATCCAAATAAACATTTCAGGTATTTTCGAAACAGAGTGTCGTATCAGAAACCTTGCAATAATTTGTCTTAGACGCGATGTGGGGGAGTACTTCCGAAGTATCGAAGTGTCCAAGGGGGCCTGAAGACGGTGAATAGGCCGGCAGCCAGGGCCCAGCAAAATAGCCATTTGGGGTACCCCGAGATGATAAATAATAAAACAGGTCCAATTATGACAGATCCACTCATGAAATTTTCTGAATCTTGGATGACGGATGATGAATGGCAGGCTTACGTTCTAAATGGAGATGATCCGCCGTAGGATCGAGGCAAAAGACAAGATAATGATCATATAGCGCTCGCCAACCAGGTGTTTGTAGTTTGAATTGACTGCATTACTTCAGTCATCTGTATTACGACAAGTCTATAAGTGAGTAGCCTATAAAGGCCGTGAGTGATCCTTGACCAATGGCCTTGGCAACAATGCAGAAGGCCATAATAATTCGAAACTAATCCTTCAATTGAAACAGACTCGTGATACTTTCGACCAGTAGCTAAAGTGAAACAAGTGACTCTGATTGAAAATAGACAAAGTAGAATGAAAAGAAAAGATCGACTTTGCTAAATACTCAACCCGAACACTTCCCACTACCTAGTCACCTAGACAACCCTAGAGACACTGAGAGTACCAGGCGTTAGAGTAGGTGCAGGTATATCCACTCGCACACACCGTGGGACCAGTCCACCCAGAGCCACCACACTGACCCCAGTGCGCAGCAACGGCCGTAGACGTGCTGGTGCTAGAAGTAGTCGTGGTGGTAGTGCTTTTACTAGTCGTGGAAGTAGTTGTCGACGTGGCGGTGGCCGTTCCCCCCAGGGCAGTCAGAATCCCGGTGTACGCAGGTTTCTTTGCGTAGTTCTCATCCCAAGGGCAGGCAGCGCCTTGTCCCGAGAAAGTGCTCGGAACCCAGGAGTACTTGTCAGTCCAGTCCCAGATGGTGACGCCCACACAGCCGCTGGTGTCCACACAGGCGCCAACAGTGTTGCTGTAGTCCGTCGACTGCTGGGCGAGCAGAGCATCGGTGGCGGGGAGTGTCATTCGGATATCGAGCTCGGTAATGGCAACTTCCACGCCCAGAGCGGTGTATGAGGCCATTGTGCTGGCCTGGTTGCTCCTGCTTGGGGTGCTACCGACAATGAAGTGAGCTTGCAGGCCGACTCCGTCGATCTTGACTCCGTAGGACTTGATAAGCTTGACAATTTTGAGTGCACCGGTGGCCTTGGAGCCGGAGTATTCGATGTTGTAGTCGTTGTAGTAGAGTTTGACACTTGGATCGGCGGCCGCGGCGGTTGCGAATGCGATTGGGATATAGGCTTCTCCAATGGTCTGGTACCACAGACTCGTGCGGTACGTTCCATCCTCATTGAGAGCTGTATAATATTAGATCAAACTTTTCTGCAGGAGTTAGAGTTTATCCAAATACCTTCATTCACAACGTCCCAGGCGTAGCACTGCCCTTTGTAATGGGTAACGACGTTGGTAATATGATTCTTCAAAGCTGCAACCAGTGTCGCATTGGTCCAGGTGCCACTGGTAACTGTTACATTGTAAGAGATGAGAGCTTGCACGTAGCTATTTGAAGTACTAACCCCAGCTAGGGAGCTGGCTGTGCCACACCAAGTTGTGGCATCGCAGCTTCTGACCATTGGCCTCCGCCAGTTTAGCAACGGTATCTCCGTTGGTGAATGTGAAGGTGTTTTGCGATGGCTCCGTTGCATCCCACTACCAATCAGATGTTAGTGATTTGAAGCATTCGATTTCTGGAAATCAAACAGTCAATTCACCTTTTGTGAATTTCCGGGGGTGATTTGGCCAAAGTCGTTGGTATTGTTGAGCTGCGTGACATAGGCAGTGTCCGTCAATTCGGGATTATCAGTGGCAGTTCCAAAATAGAGCTTGCCAATAGCCACCGCGGCAGTGTCCAAGCCAGCTCCGAATGCGCTGGATACTGTAGTTAGCACCGATCATTGTAGCTTTCTCAGATCGAAGCATTGTTTTACGTACAGCTTTGACAGGACACCAGCCGCCAATAGCAGAGAGCTAGCGGACAGATGCACCATCTTGATAGTCGAGTTCACTGCGAGCAGCAGTATTTTTCTTGCTCGGAAATGCTGTGTCTCTACGAAAGGTTCAAATAATCTGCCGTTGACGGGCCTTTATAGTAAGAAGGGGTCAAGCTACTAGGTTCCTTGCGTAATTCTTCCGGGCGCTAGGAACCCACCACTATCCACATATATTCGGACTAATAGCCCGTGGCGTAGTAGTCGCGGCTATTCCAAAGACAACAAGGCATCATAATTTCAAGCCTTTCATTACGTGTGGGCGAAATGTCTTAGGGAGCTTTCACTTCAAGGATCGCCTTTTCAACGAGCTACACCGTTGATGAAGATCACATATCCCTAACTTATCGATCAGACCAAACTGTTATTCATCTAGAGGGAGTGGAGAAACTTGAAAGAGGAAATCAGAAGTTTGCGCTTTGGCCAAAATGGGTTCTTCGTCCGGGATGGGGGTCATTGGGGACTAGGAGACTTGGCCCAAAGCCCCGAACGTTTCAAGTTGGATTAAGGCTGGTGAACGTGTTTCAAGCAAGTTGAACCACAGCTATTATTACCTACTTTCAATAGTTACAAAGAAGTTATAAATCCTGCAATGAGAGCCGAGTAAGAACCATTATACTTTAGCTAAGATTGGCCTCAATAAAGGTTGACAATCCTCATGGCGGAGGAACCTCCGTCTCGGGCCCTTTGACTCGCCGGCAAAAATGCCCCCGAAAGGCCTGTGCAGATGCTTATCCCCGCATTTACCATGACCTGAAGAAAGGCTAAATGAATCGCCTTACCTGGACACCCGGATAAATGCGCTGAAGCCTGAATGATGAATGAATACCAGTTGTTGACGTCTGGGGAAATTATGGATACCTTGATGTTTATTAGCTTCTAGGTTCTTCCCGTCGCGACGATAATCTGGGACCACTTCATCCAGGGGTCCGCTAGGCATACGGCCATTCAGCCTATAGGAATGATGACCCCTCATCTAATACCTTGGATCTCCTCGGCTGAATACGATTATGTCTACTGGAGGGAAATGCTTCAGCCAGACCGGACAAAACCGAGTCTGGAGTCTGGCTTGAATGCAAGTAATGGAAATTCCTCTAGTTTAAATTTGCAGCAGTGAGGATTTGAACTCGCAAATTGAATTAAGATGAACTAGACTAGAAACATCGATGTCAGACCGTGCGAATATCTGGATTTTGATTGAGTCTGAGGATTCAATGATGTATTCTATATCGAAATTCACTGTATTTCTATTTATGTTATGTTATCATTAAGCAATGGGTATCAGGTATGCCCTTGTAGCATGCTTTTGGAGAGAGAGGTGCCACGATGAAGGTTAAATCACTGATCTGCCGGGAGCGAAGATCAATGATCTGGACTGGCGCCGAAGCTGTAGGGGCACGAGTCCCTGTGGTAGCCGAGGGGATCGGGCATTGCGACGAAGGAAGTGTAGAATATTTTGAGGCTGGGGTCACCGCGCTCGAATCCATGAGATCAACCCTCCTTGCGGGCCTTCATCTCAGCGATGAAAGCACCAGTCTTGGAAAGTGGTACAACAAAGATCTTAACCAGCTCATCCACAACCTCAACCTTGCCACCTGAGAGAATCTGCAACAAAGGCAGCTTCTTTCCAGCCTTGATGAGACCACCGGAGACGGTCTGCATAAAGCACTCGACGTTGTTAATCGTGTACTCCTTCTTAGTATCCCAAGGGAGTGGGAAAATGTACTCCAGGTGATCCACAATCGAGTGCAGCTCAGAGAAACCCTTGATGAAATCGGACTGCGCATCCATCGGATAGAGGAAAACGGCGGGGAATTCGACCGAGCTTTCTGGTGAAAGTGGGTCGGGAACCAGACGGATCCTAGTGTCTTCCATGTCTGGAGGCTGATCGGTCTTGCGGGTGCGGATCTGGCGGGCACGCAGAGCGGTGCTTAGAACTAGGTTCTGCTTGCGCGCGAGTTCCTCCTCGGCCTTGCGCTTGGCAGCGATACGCTCCACTTGAGCCTTGCGATCAGCAATCTTGGAAGCAGCAGTCTGAAGTGCCTTATTGGAGGAATCAATGGCCAGACCTCGCGAAGCAGCGTCTTCAGCCTCCGCAATTTTTTCCAACTTGAGCAGAGCCATTGCCGAACGGTAGTAGGCCTTGACGTTCTTCGGGTTGAGCTTGATAACAGCGGCACAGTCGAGGGTGCAGGAGCGCAGGTTACCTTTGATAAGATTCATGTAAGCGACAATTCCGAGATGATCAAGTAGAGAACATACCAAGCTCAAGGTTGCACAATGCCCGGTTAATGTGAGATAATTCCTCCATCTGGCGCAAGAGTTTCTTTTCCGCCTCGAGGTCTTCAGGCTTCTCCCACTTATCCTCCTTGGCGTAGATCACGGCAATACTCTTAGTATACATCTCCTTGGCATCGATCCAGCGCTTTTCCTGGACAGCCTCATTGCCTTGTTCCTTGAAGCTCTGAGCGACCTCGGCCCGGGTTCCTTCGTTTTGCAGAGCTTGTAGCGCGTCCAGAAGAGGATTTTCACCATCTAAATAAGAGACAGACGTATTAAAACTCCATTCGGAGGTGACAAGAGTCGGAGAAAAGTAGGAAATTCCACATACTCTCATCACCAGCATTCTCAATATCCGTCATGAACAATGGAGTCTTGTTCATCATATCCAACAATTCCTCCTTCGAATGAGACTTAACCGACGCCATGGCCGGAGGCATGCCAGGTGCATTGGGGTCAGTCATTAGTTCCTTCAGTCTCTCTTCATTGATCGGGAAGGGCGCCTCGTTGGTTGCGGCGAAGGCGTCGAAGCCGGGTTGCGGCAGGTCCTGGGTGACCTGAGAAGGCGCCTCATTGAGATTGAGCGACTCGTCAAAATCATCTGGAAGTTCCTCAATTCTCGACATGATGTTAATGTGGTATGGCTTTACAGAGAATTGTGAATGTTCATGGACTTTTTTGCGGGGAATTAGAAATCGGCGATGTGCAAACAGTGCAAATACGAGGGGACCGGGTATGATGTAAGCCTGGGCATGTTCTAGAAGGTTTCATAGTTGAAAGGTCTGCTTTGGTTCATACGGAGATGACAACTTTTTTGTTCGTTCTGTGGTACAAATCTGGGTCTATGACATAAATACTGCAATGTCTGCTACCAAATGACTCCCAAATCCCTCAATATTCACCCTGGTGGTAGTATTGCTCGTTGATCACGTGTCAACATACAACCCTACAAAGCTCTATCTAGATATTCGACACCTTATTGCCTCAGGACACAACAGAACTCTACGGCCGCCAGAATAAAAAACTATGCTTCAATATACAAGGCCAATCTCAGAAGCATCAAAGAGGGGTTGTTGTTCATTCATATCTCCCATCTATTTCTGACTTTTACGTGAAGCCGAATTCCTACATCGACACATTTGATCTCCGCATCTCGGATATCATCACGTCGGAGAACGCCCGAGACCCTTCAACCCCGCATTACTCGGCTGGAAGACCGACTCCGATCTAGGAGTACTTTTAAACCTAAAGCAAGAAGCTTGAAAGCTGAATAGCTCATCTCACTCTCCAATTCATGAGGGAGGAACAAGCCCATCAGGAAACAGTGCCACTCATCAACCATGGCCCAAACTCATAGTATCCTCGTCCTACCAGGCGACGGCATAGGCCCTGAAGTCATGGCCGAAGCAATCAAAGTCCTCAAAGCCTTCGAAAGCCCCTCACACAAATTTGAGCTCCGTCAAGAATTAATCGGCGGTTGCAGCATTGACGCAACCGGTAAATCCATCACAGAAGAAGTCAAGCAAGCGGCTCTTGCCTCGGACGCCGTGCTGTTCGCGGCGGTTGGTGGTCCCAAATGGGACAATGCTCGTCGGGGTCTAGATGGACCCGAGGGTGGGTTGCTACAGCTTCGCAAGGTAATGGATATCTATGCGAACTTGCGACCGTGCTCGTCTAGTTCTCCTAGTGCATCGATTGCAAAGGAGTTTAGCCCTTTCCGGCATGAGATTCTTTTCGGTCCCGAGAAAGACGGTGATGCGGAGGGGGTGGACTTTGTAGTTGTTAGGGAGAACTGTGGCGGTGCATACTTTGGAAGGAAAGTAGAGGACCCAACTTATGGTATGTTGGACTACCACCTCCTTGGCAATCTGCTCACCTTCCTATATCTTCGTTGACACAATCCTCTCATAGCAATGGATGAATGGGGCTACTCCGAAGCAGAGATCGTACGAGTCACCCGCCTTGCTGCAGAAATTGCTCTTCGCCACAATCCCCCATGGCCAGTGATCTCTCTCGATAAAGCAAATGTCCTGGCATCATCTCGCCTCTGGCGTCGTGTAGTCGAAAAGACCATGACCACCGAGTACCCACAGCTTAGGCTGGTCCACCAACTCGCCGACTCTGCATCTTTGATCCTGGCCACAAACCCAAGATCCTTGAACGGAGTGATTCTTGCTGATAACACTTTTGGTGATATGATCTCCGATCAGGCGGGCTCAATCGTCGGGACTTTGGGTGTGTTGCCTAGTGCTAGTCTCAATGGCTTGCCAGGTGATAAAACGCTCAAAACACGGCCGTATGGCTTGTATGAGCCAACTCATGGCTCGGCTCCAACGTAAGTTTTAATGCTGTTAATTTGAAATAATCTCTAGTATGTTAATATGTCGTATAGTATCGCCGGGAAGAACATTGCTAATCCGGTCGCCATGATCTTGTGCGTTGCACTTATGTTCCGGTACTCCCTGAACATGGAGACGGAGGCGACGCGCTTGGAAGATGCAGTACGAAAGGTGCTGGATAAGGGCTTGCGTACATCTGATCTGGGGGGTACGATGGGCACGAAGGAGTTAGGAGATGCCATTGTGGCCGAGCTGTAGTTCCGGAAAAAGCAATAGGCTAGTTTACATGGAACATAAGGTGTGGTCTACGACCATTGATGGAGATCTCCAGCACCACTCCCACTGGCTAATCAATGAGGCCCTCAGCAAAAGTTGCTGTTGCCATAGTGGGCCTCTCTCTCTTATTCTCCCCACCAGATCATGGCCAGAGTTTTCTCGCTCTTGCTTCCTGCTTCCTATGTGTAGACTTCCTTGACCTATTCTATGACCTGTAAGTTGATTGCTCCGAGTATAGCACTTTGTCTCTCTCATTACACATCTATCTGAATAAATCTCTGATAGAAATTCAAGGCTTTCGATATCACATATAAAAATATCTATCTCAAGTCTTATCTTGTCCATGAAAGACAACGTTTATTTTACAGAACCATACACTTATATTAGCAGTACTTCTCTCGCGATTGTCAAGGTCTCAATTACTCTATTATGAAAGATATGCTCGAAATGTGGGCCCCTTGACTCTAAACAACAAGATGGCAGTATCCTCGCAGTCAAAGAAGTTTAAGGAAACAGCAACCCGGTTTGCATGCCTGTTCTTTATGCACCTTCTATGTTTGACCCCTCACCTTCCAAAACTCCAGAACACTAAACGCAATACCAAGGCGCCTCCTGATTCTCAAAACGGAATCTAACGATCTAACCTCCCCTCAACTCCGATCCCCTTTACTTCTTGACCCGTCTGCTGGCATATTTTTTTGTTCTCCAACCTCCCCTCCGATCCAACATCTCTACTGTCAAAACGAGCCTAGATCAAGAAACCATGTCCAGAAACAGCGAGTCCGCCGAATTACCCAGCCCCCGAGCACTCCTAGAGCCAGGAACACCACCAAAGAAGCATACCATCTTCAACTTCAACGCGACCAACTCCAGCTTTGTACCCGGCTACTCCGTCCTCCGCGTGGAACAAGCTCAGCACATTTCCCACAATAACAAAACGCAATTAATGAACACCATCGTCGACGACATAGTCGCAACGGTCGGCCTGATAAACGAATACCACAACAACGGCATACTGAGCGACGACAACATTTTCCAAGTCTCCACGATGATGCAATGCATCGGACACAGCAATGTGAAGGTTCAGGGGCGGTGGGAGGAGGAGATCGATAGTCTCAGGAGAGACCGTCGCCAGCTACGACAGGATTACCGGGACCTGGCGCGGCAGATGGATGCCATGGGCCAGAAGTATGCGGGCAAGGTCAAGGCTTTGGAGGGTCAGGTGAAGTCGTTGAAGGAACGGCTTGCCTGGTTGGAGGCAGGTGGCCCACTGCGCCAGTCACAGAGCCGGCTGGATGGGCATGTTGATCGCGGTTGTGTCTCTGAGGAGGTGGTCATGGTTGAGACTTGTGATGAGCAGGAGCGGATAGGCGAGGATGGTGCCGATGGGGAGTGGAAGGACGAAGGTATCTAGAGAGTATCTAGAGAGGGAGACGGGTTGCTACTAGAGATTTTGTGATGGATTGGATCTCTTGTGTTTGCCTGAGTTTTACTTCACCTGTCCTTTCTATTTCGGGGGGAGTTTGTGGGAGTTGGAGTTCCAGGCGCTCGTTTGTAAGTCCTATTCCCTTTGGCCGATTGGCCGTGGATGTTTGATAGTGGGTTATTTCCGGTTGTTCATGCAGATTGGCGAGATCAAACGTTGCGCAAGGAAATATTTCAATTTTACGATCTGTCGTATTTCAGGAGAAAAATCCGTGATAAGCCCAAGGATACGATCGCGTGCACTCTACGTATAGTTCAAGGCGGCAGGCTAGTTGCACGGGTTGGCGATAAAGTCGGCTATCAAAGTTCCGAGGCAATCGAATCCATGGCCGACGGGATTTGATCGCCGCAAGAAACGCTATGACTTCACATACTTTATCGTAGGCAAGGTAGGACCCCCGTCCGAAACACATGGATTCGTGTGTAGAATCCCGATTACGAAACTAGCCGAGAATCGGAAGAATTCGCACGAGATGATGGCGGCCGAATTGCGCTATTCAGCAACAACATGCAAGACTCGCCGGCGAATGGAGACGGGGTATCGTCGACCGAGAAAGAGCCTCGGCATTTTGGCAGTTGGCGGCGCGCAAATTGATTCGTTCCGTGGATCCACCAGTCTTCATGTGGGAGAATCACTCCAGACTCGCGACCCTTTCTTTTCTTCTCGATCCCCTTTTGTTTCATTTTCCCCTTTCTTCTTCTGTGTTTTCATATCAGTGAACTCTTTTCGGTCTTTTCGTTGAAGACCAGGAAAGAAAAGTTGACTCGCAAGAAACATTCGCGTTCTTGACCCACATCTTATCTTTGAGCCCTTTCAACTCATTACCCCAGAATTATCGGCCGAGAATGAGTCGCCACGGTGACTTTGAGGCGGTCCGCAAGGATATCGCTGCTCAACTCCAGAAGCCCGGATACGACGATGGAAGCGCAGGCCCAGTGTTTGTGCGTTTGGCATGGTACGTTGTTGCGATTCCTCGTTTGGCTCGTTCCCCGGTCGGCAGGCGAATAGATCCCGACGGTCGGGATGCCGGAAGTCAAAAAGGAACAAGATTTGCTGACAGCCTCTTTTTTCCCCCGCAGGCACTCCGCGGGTACCTATGATGTCGAATCCGATACTGGTGGTTCTAACGGCGCCGGCATGCGATATGAAGCAGAGGGTGGCGATCCGGCCAACGCGGGTCTGCAACACGGTCGGGCTTTCCTGGAGCCCGTAAAGGAGAAGCACCCGTGGATCACATACTCGGACTTGTGGACTTTGGCAGGCGTAGTCGCAATCAAGGAGTTGGGCGGGCCGGATGTCCCCTGGCAAGGTGGACGAACCGACTTGGTCGATGACTCCAAGGTGCCACCTCGTGGCCGACTCCCCGATGGTGCCCTGGGCGCTGACCACTTGCGATTCATCTTTAACCGCATGGGCTTCAACGATCAAGAAATCGTTGCTCTGTCGGGAGGTCACAACCTCGGTCGCTGCCACGGCGACCGCAGTGGATTCGAGGGTCCCTGGGTAACGAACCCGACCCGGTTCTCCAACTCCTTCTTCAAGTTGCTGCTGCAGCTGGACTGGAAGCCCCGCAAGTTGACAACGGGCATGACCCAGTTCGTATATGAGGATCCCGATGCGGAGGAGGATGAGGAGCCGCTCATGATGCTGCCGACCGATATGGCGCTGAAGACCGACCCGGCCTTCCTGCCCTGGGTGCAGCGTTATGCTGAGGACAAGGAGCTGTTCTTTGACCACTTTGCCAAGGTCTTTGCCAAGTTGGTCGAGCTGGGTATCCAACGTGATGCCAAGGGCAACGTGATCAACACCGACAACCTGTTGGGTGGTTACGTGTCTGCCCCCAAGAAAAGCAACGTGGCCACGGGTCCTAGCAAGGCCAAGGGCGAGCCTCGTGCTCGTCTGTAAGCGGTGTTGTCTGCTTCATGTTTCCTTTTGTTGATCCTGTGCTTGGCTTTTCGATTTTCCTGTTGTGTGATTGCGTTGGATGAATTCCCCCTGAGTTAATAGATCTGGCCAGTCAGTATAGAGGCTAGGCATAGACATGTATATAGATCATAGATTATGAGTGAAAGATATCTGATAATCTTCATCACCCGTGATGGCCTGCCTCTATTAGAGAATAGTTAGTAAGAGGCGAATCCCTGAGCAGTTAGTGGCCAGGGAACATGGCAATGCATAGGTTTCTCTAGATCATCACAAGTTCAGTGGGATGTAGACTTCGATGAAGGTAACATGTGGAAAGATCTTTCGCTGAAATTTAGGGAAGGAACGGTAGAAGGATAGAAGTAGATGAAGAAGAAAAGAATGGGGAAGAAGAGGAAAGACGGAGAACAGCGAAAGGGCGAGAGTCCGGGCACAGTCCGAGCACAGTCCGGGGTAGGCGGGGGTGCCTCCACTCTCGCCGTTTTGGTGTGTTTTAGTTTCCTTACCAAATGGTACCCGATGGCTAATGTCCGCACTCTGATTGGCACAGTCCGCCCAAGGCTTGTACCGACGTTGTCACAGCACAACTCTGGCTGTAAGACTCACTACGACATGTTAACTGACTAGTACTAAATTCCCTAGTTAGTTACTCCGCCAATTCTCATTATTAACAGATTTAATAACAGGTTGTGCACAGACGATGAAGATCAAGAAAACACGAGAATAGCATGGATTTCATCAACACAACTCTAGAGGATCAAGAGCAAACCACGAAAGTCACATAACTACAAAACAAAATTGACCAAGCCAGAACATGCGCAAGAATAACACAACAGAGCCACTCCAAAGATTAAGACCAGACCAACAAAAGAAACAAGCCCCCCAAAACCCTCGTACTGTCCATATCTATTCATTTGAAACCATTCCGTTTCCCCCTCTTTGCAGCCCGAGGTTCCTCGTCCTGGATCTCCTTCAGTGGCGATTGCTTCTTTTTTCTCTTCTCCGCGCTCTGACTCTCGATCTGCTTCAGACTCAGCCGCCGCATCGCAGCCTTGATCGACTTGACGGGAACCTGGTACAGCCGGTACGGCGACGGGCCCACGCGACAATCATGACGGATTTTCACGACCGTCACCGTCTCCTCTCCATCGACATTTAGACCGTTAGCTCTGGAATCCTTACCGGAAGACAAGTTGAGCCAATTCCAGTACGGGCTGCCACCCGCACCACCGGGTCTGGTCGGGGTCTTGGGGAGATTGGGGAAGGTCGTTGCACCACCAGATTGAGGCATTCCACCCTCCGGCCACATTTCGGGATGATCCATGAGCGTGGTAGGGTCTGCGTTGTATGAGCTGAACAGAGTCTCGCCATTTGCGATTCGCTCGAGAACACCCGCGTCAATTCCGATCAAGTTAGGGTCCGGATCTTGCATGGGGTCGTCGTCCGGTGACGTTTGCATTTTCCATTCGGCGATCTGGTCGGCAATGATGTTGTTGGAGTCGAAGTTCACCTCTGGCAAGGGCTCGGGACCCGAAATAAGGTTCTTCTCGTAATACCGCTCGCCAGTATCTGGCAAGATACGCTCGAAGGGTAGGAAAGGCGACTTGTGCTCCATGATCTGTGGGAACCACGGATAGTGGTGAAGGAGGAAGGCCTTGTCTTGGGCAACGCAAGCAGACATATCGGAAATGGCCTCTGATGCGGCACGTAACATGTCCGGGGTCGGATTGATGATAAGCTCGTAAATGGCCAGAGGCAAGCCGTCCGAAACCCACTCGAGTGGAACTCGATCGTCCGGTGCGTACGGCGCAATTCCACCGATGATGACTCCCCCGGCATCTTGACCGTCGTATTTTCGGATATTGCCGATATCCAACTCGCCACGTTCCGCGTCAGTCCAGTAGACTCGAACATGATTATCCTTGTAATAAGCCCCGCCGAGCCAGCGATAGTGCGCGGTCTGTGGATTTCCGTCCAAATCCAAATACTGCAGTCTCTGATCTTGAGTGTGATTCAAAGTTCGGTTATTGCCATTGATGTTGACTACCAACCGACGAGGGAGTTCCTTGACATGCCTCGACCTTAGTGGTCCCTTTGTTTCATTGCAATTCAAACAGCTATAGTGAACAGGCGCCGTACTCCACGCCCGATCAATCAAGGTTGACATCTGAGCACCGCTGTGATCGTTCAAATCCCAGATTGGAATAATGCAATTCCCCACCTGGTGAACATTATGGGTCTCACAATATCCACATGACGGGCATGGACCTGCCGGTTTCTCGAGATAGAGGATTTGGAATTGTGCAAATCCTCTGGTCGACTCGGCCCAAGCCGCCCAAATCGGGACGGGCGAATTCCGTCTGATGTCCGGGACATTGTCACATAGCAGATTGTAGTATGCATGCCGAAGCTCAATCGACACCTTGTCGTCAAAGGCATCCCAGTTCATGTTGGTGACCTGGATAAAGGCCTTTTCGACTTCGGTGAAAGCCTCCTCAAAATCATGAGCTCGATCGATATTGGTACAACCGGCCATGGTCAGCATACCGAGCACGATGGTGGTGTCAATGGCACACGACCCATCGGCCCAGACGGGACCACGACCACGATATGGAAATGGAAATCCCGAGTTGTTAAATTGATGTGTGGCTGGGTCCAACCGCACCTCCGAAACGGTGGTGTGGGTGCCGACTTGCACAACACTCAGGTCATTGTGTGAACAAGCAACTCTGGTGGCTACCGGCTCCTTGCTGGGTGCATGGTGGTGCCTCTCTAGGTCGTTGTAGCAAAGCTTGATCACGGTCCTTTCAATTGCCTCTCGGACAGGAGTGGGGTTGAAACCATTCTGATAGTTGGGCGATGGCCGAGGTAGCGCTGATGGCTGTTGTGTTTGGCCCGGTAGGTTTGCAAGGGTTCCAGAGGTCATCACCGGCTGCGGATCAATGGTCACTCCATTCAAGAATCCAGTAGGCATCAAGTGAGACACAAATTGAGCTGAACCCGTGCGAGGCGGCAATAGAAATTGAAACATCATTCTGTCTGGCACGTCCGCTGGTGCATCTGCCGGGCGAACGTAATGTTCCGACCCAAGCTGTAGTATCTCATCATCCGTTAAAATTTTAGGATAATGGCGACTGACTGGCGAAGGTTTGGGTGTGATTGTATATTGTAGAAGCCGAGGGCCACCGTCTCGCTCGATGTTGGTCAAATCCGCATCGGTATAGAATTGGAATTCCGGTCTCATCCAATAATTAACCTTGGCAAGGGCTTTTAAGATGGGGATCCTTCTGTCCGCGCCATATTCGAAGCCCCAAAGCCAATATTTAGCAAACACTCTGAGCTCCGCGAGTGAGAGACTCCGGGTTCTGATAATCACTGCAAAAGGACGCCCAAGAAAGATATAATCATCGGGAGGATCAGGAAGCACGTCCAGGGGATATTTCGGGTAGGGCTCAAGAGGAATTGAGACCTGGTTAGCGTTTCGAGGAAAGTCCATGTTTTCTATCGGGGTTTGGGTGCGAGAGTGAATATTGCGATTGGGGTATCGATATTCCTGCGCAGGCAAAGAAGGTAGTTGGAGAATGTGGAAGCTTCTCAACTTGGAGCTGATGGGAGAGGACTCTCACGTTCAAAGCAGGCGAGTACCTGAATTGTTGCAAGTCGAGAGATTCTTGAGGGAGAGACTGCAAGGCATCTTATGGGCTCGAGCTGGGGAAGGGGAAGGGGAGAGGATTCGACCAAGGCAATCATGCTGTCTTGGAGGATAAAGGAACAGCCATCTGTCTCCTCGAGTCAAAGAAAGAGAATGGATTTGGACATCGACCATGGGTCTTTCCACCCCCTGGTCTTTACAAAATCCACATCCTGAATCGTAGGGCACTGCCTTTGAAGTTGGGTTCCGTTGCACGCCTGCTACTAAAATTGGCATCGGCTGATAGCTTTGAATGGACAGACAAGGTAATCAAGAGACAAAGACGACCAGAGATTCAAGTTGGTAGGTGGCGTAGATTCGAATGAATGGACGCCCCCCCCCCCCCCCCCCCCCCCAAGTCCGGGGTCATGTCAACAAACAAAGAGGAGGACATCGAGTGTGTCTGGGACAGAGTCGAGGAGCCCCATGTTGTCTCCCAGTATCATGCCCTCTCTAGTCAATTCTTCGAATAATTCAACCTTGTTTGTGCCAGATATGATCACATCATTTCAATCATACTACAAAATACAATGCTGTATACGCAGTGTAAACTTGGGCCAACCCACGGCCATGTCCGTAGTTAAAGCAGAGCATCAAAGAAAAGTACTGTACAAGCCGACTTGAAGTTGAAACATACGGGTAATTCCTGCCTTCCGCTTTAGTGGTCGATACCAATCTTACATACAGGTCAGGTGACACCACCGGCAAGCCAGAAAAAAATAGCACATGACCGGGACTTCCCCAAAGAAGGCTAGCGTCTCCTCAAGCGAGCCCTCACGACGCACTTGTCCAAATTAGGCTAGCGTCCCAATTACCCGATCCCACAACGGAAGCAAAAGTCACTCGAGACTTCCTCCTCTCCATTCCTCTTGTCGACATCACATCGCGATACGCGCGCCCATCGCCCATCATGTGTACGTTATTCTCTCTCACGCCAGTTTCGATCCTACAATACCAACAAGAGCATCGAACAAATCGCCTTGCCTAAAAATATGGCTCTCTCGATAAAGAACATCAAGCTAACCTGTTGCCCGATTTACAGCGCTCGTGTCAGGCGAGAAGACGAACTTCCAGTACATTCTGCGTCTCCTCAACACCAATGTTGAGGGTAAGCAGAAGATCATGTACGCCCTGACCCAGATCAAGGGTGTCGGTCGCCGCTACTCCAACTTGGTCTGCAAGAAGGCCGATGTCGACCTCAACAAGCGGTACGTTCAGTCGGAAAAAAATATTCGACTCTCTGCAAGGTTCTCGGGTGTCTTGGGGCGGTCGGGGTATACGACAAATAGACGAGGAAGTGGGAGTTGATATCCTGATGGCATACGATTCAGTCGACTTTGAATTTCGAATTTTGATATCTGTGTGTGTGTGCCGGAAGGGGGTTGGAAATGAGAGTGACAAGAGGAGGGATCAACCGCCAGGACACATCGAGTACTTTGCAGAGATTATCGACAACGCACACACTACCATCACCACACCGAGTTGCAAAATGCTGACAGAATTTCTTGATATTCACAGTGCTGGTGAGCTTACCACCGAAGAGCTTGAGCGCATCGTCACCATCCTCCAGACCCCGACCCAGTACAAGATCCCCTCGTGGTTCCTGAACAGACAGCGCGACATCACCGATGGCAAGGACTCCCAGGTCGTCTCCAACGGTCTCGACAGCAAGCTGCGTGAGGACCTCGAGCGCCTGAAGAAGATCCGCTCCCACCGCGGTCTCCGTCACTACTGGGGCCTGCGTGTCCGTGGCCAGCACACCAAGACCACTGGTCGCCGTGGCCGCACCGTCGGTGTCAGCAAGAAGAAGGGCTAAACGTATTGTCTTGTCTTATTTTCCGGGGGTTTATGGAGGGATTCCTTTATTGTCGGTGTGTTTCTATGGGCATCCGTGGGATCTTTTCCCCGCTGGACTGGGTGTGATGCCAGTCCTAAAAATTTGAAAATGAATCATACCAATATGAAATGAACCGATGGCTTTGCTTTGTTTTTTAAAATGGCCTGGACCGAGTCCGTGTGGCTCTGGCTGCAGTGGAGTTTTTGACTTGCTCCGAGTAGTCTTTGCCCCTTGTCCCTGGCCTCGTAGAAATGATCGTCAGGTCTGCCCTGCTATCAGGCTGGCCTTGCTGATCGATACCCGTAGTGTATGCCACCCTCATCAGTAATAGTTCATTGGACACGTGCTTGGCCCTACTACGGATGCGGGGTCTTGACTGTTCATACGTGGCCATGCCTGTCGTTAATATACAAGGGCTACCCATGCTGCGGAATCTCATTACCTTACCCCACCACAACGTGAGAGGTACAGCATCTACAGGACTACAAGTCTGTCTACATGACGAGATAGAATTATGTAAACAAAATTCCATTTAAATTGACATTGCGTGTATATACTACTGATCGACATGAGCCACTCTCAATCTAAAGGACAAGCAAAATGCCACTCGAGTTTAATCTTGCGCCAGCAGCGTTGCGAATGGAACCATGCAACTCAGAACCGAGCGATCAATCACAGAATTGGTTCGATCAGGGTGGAAGTGACGATGCAAAATATCATGGCGATAAAATGACAGACGTTCAGAACCACTCACCACCGAGCCAGCGGTTGAAGAACTCCAAGCTGGACTCGGGCTGGTCCATGGGGACCATGTGGCCACCGCCGTACAGGCGCATGAAGGTGAAGTTGCCGTGAGACTTGACCTGGCCAATCTTCTTGCCAACGTGCTCATTCTGCTCGATGACAAGGTCCTCCAGCTCCTTCTTGGCAAACTTCTGCTGGCCGGGCCACTCAAGAGCCTCGGACCAGGCCTTGTTGCCGAGCCAGTTGCAGATGAAGTCAGCATCACCGGCGTAGATGAGCACGGGGATCTGCTCAAGAAGACCGGGCACCAGGCGGTGGTAGGGCTTCATCCAGTCACCGTGGAAGAGGAAGTTGCGGTTAATGTCAAAGTTGCACGAGTCATAGCCGTCAACTTCGGCACCGAGAGCCTCACGCACGCTCTCCTGGTTGAGGTACTCGGACACGTAGCCCATGCCCTTGTAGCATAGGTTAGAGGAGTCCTCGCACTTGCCGCGGACATCATAGACGTTCTGGCCGGTGCGCTGGTAAGGGGCAAGCAGGGCGTTGTTGCAGTAGATAGAGGCTGGGACGCAGACCCAGGAGCTCTCGCTATCGTAGCAGGCCTGGATCATGGACAGACAGCGGGGAAGAGCGTTGTCCATAGACTGGCAGGAAGCCTCGTCGAGGACAGCCGGGTAACCACCTTCGCCGCAAGCCATGGGCCGGTAGTACTCGTACTGTGTCAGGCCATCGGTCAGACCGTTACCGATAAGCACAGACTTCAGGTTGATGTTGCGGTTCTTGTGAGAAAGGATCTCAGAAGCGAAGACGGGGATGTAGTGACCAGCGTAGGACTCGCCAGCGATGTGGAAGTCTTGCTTGGCGTACTCGGGGAACTGCTTGAAGAACAAGGATAGCAGAGCATAGACGTCCTTGCCAGCAGCGACGGTGTCACTGACACTGCTGCCGCTGTAGGAGTAGCCAACATTGACGGGCTGGTCCAGGAAGATCACGGAAGCATTGGAGTTCCAGGAGTAGTCGTTGTGGACAAGCTTAATCTTGCTGTTCACAGAGCTAGGGCCAAGCTCCAGGAAGAGACCGGTCAAAGATGAGCAGCCGGGACCACCGTTCAGCCAGAGGACGACGGGGTCGTTCTCGGGGTCATTACGGGATTCGAAGAACCCTTTTGAGAGATTAGCAACGATGAAGCACCGGGGTTAAGAAGTTGGGGGTGCAGCTTACAGTAGAACAGATGCTTATCGTTATCATTGTCGTCAAGGTAACCACTGTACTGCTTGACGTTGGGATCCACACCGAGAGCGCTGGGATCCACCTTCTTGACGCGGAGGTCGTAAGCCTCGAGCCTACCGCCAATCTCGCGCTCCTTGGTGCCGTCAGAACCGGAGACCCAGATGTTCTGCACATCCTTGCCACGGACGACATGATCCCAGTGGGAGTCAGGACGGCGGGTGTGCTTCTTCGGGAGAGAGAGCATGGGGGCGTGGTCCATGGTGTTGGGGAATTGGTGAGCGACCTCTTCCCACAGCCCACGTGCCTCGTCCGACAGAGTACTAAAGTCCTCCTTGAGCTTCTGGAATGGCTTCGAGATGGCATCAGAGCCCTTCTTGGCCCAATCCTCGATGGCGCTGGAGCCTTGCTGGGCCCAGTCCTCAACCTGCTGGCGGTGGGTGCCCATCACCTGTTGCAAGGGAGGGGCCGCTGCCGAAGCAGCTCCCACCAGCAGCGCGGCGGGCAGAACTCTCATGATGAATGGTGTTTACAGAGATGTCACCTCAAGATGGTGATAATGGGTTGTTAATGGAAAGCGGGTACCTGGGAGGCCTGGGCGGCAGCTCTTATCAGTAACCGATCAGGCAGCTCTTCAGGCGAAGGGATATGCAAGAAGAGACAAGGAAGGCAACATACAAGAATAAGCCACCCAAGTAACTAAGAGATCAAATGAAGAATCGATGCAAGACAGGGCCTGCAATCGGAGGATGGGATGAAGAGGAGAGGTTGGGGAAGAAGGGGAACCTTGGAAACGATGACGCCGGATGAGGAGTCTCCGCCCGATAAGCCGATCCGCCTCGTGACTCGCTGAGTCATGCGGGGGTGAAACCTGAGAATGAAAGGTGCTGACTCATCGCAGATCCTGAATTAGGAAAAGGCACGGAGGGACCGTTCGGGAAAGTTTGTAAATAACTTCGGACAGGCGCTCGCAGATTAACCATATCGTCATCGCTGGTTGAGTCGGCTCCTGAGAAAATTCCCTTGTGAACAATCCTACTGCGACTTGGGACCAGCCCTAAGTGGCTACTATTCACCATGCCGATCAACCAACCCTCCAACCAGATTAAATTCACTAATGTGTCGATAGTCCGGCTGAAGAAAGGTAAGACTGACGTCTGCGATAGGAAGACCTCAACAACGAGACAGGGCTAATTTTCATATCTCTTTTCCAGGCAAGAAGCGGTTTGAACTCGCCTGCTACAAAAACAAGTTGCTCGAATACCGATCCGGCGCCGAAAAAGATCTCGACAACGTCCTCCAAGTCCCTACAGTCTTCCTCTCCGTATCAAAAGCGCAGACCGCCCCCTCCGCAGAACTCACCAAGGCATTCGGTGCCGATACCCCCCGGGAAGAGATACTACAGGAGATTTTGCGCAAGGGCGAGGTGCAAGTCGGCGAACGCGAGCGCAAAGATGCTCTCGAACGAGTGGAGAAGGAAGTGTTGGATATCGTGTCCGGACGACTAGTTGACCCAAATACCAAGCGCGTATACACGTCAGGTATGATCTCCAAAGCACTGGACCAGTTGTTATCAGCCAGTGGTCAACACCAGACTGGAGAGGCAAATGGGGCCGGAGAGGAGCAGCCAAAGAAGCCTATGTGGACCGGAGTTTCTTCCAATCGATCTGCAAAGAGTCAAGCGCTCGACGCTATGAAGGCTCTCATCGCGTGGCAACCAATTCCCGTGATGCGAGCGCGCATGCGCCTCCGGGTTACCTGCCCGGTTTCGCTCCTGAAGCAATCCGTCAAGGCTGCCCCGAGCGCTGCGCCTGCCAAGGAAGAGAAGGCACCGGCAAAAGGCAACAAGAAGGGGGGCAAGGGGAACAAAAAGTCGAAGCGAGATGACTCGGACGATGAGGCTGGCGAGGACGGTGCCGAGGTGGCACCCAAGGCCGCTGGCACCGTCAAGGATGTGATTCTCAATTACATTGAAGCAGTTGAGTCGCAAGAAGTGAGCGGTGATGAGTGGGAAGTGGTAGGCTTTGCCGAGCCGGGGGCGTTCAAGGGACTCAACGATATCATCGCCAACGAGACTCGTGGGCGAGGACGAGTGGAGGTGTTGGACATGTCGGTGACCCACGAGGATTAGACAGTCGAGGAACCGAAGAGCCTGTCCTGGAATGACCTTCCTCAAATCTTGGATATCTTGGCCTAGAGCTGCCTATGACATTTCCAAGGATGATGTACATGACACCCGCCTGCAAATGACTTATGACAAAGTTAGATGAAAGAAGCAACCGAAGAAAAAGAAAAAATGTCCATGTTGAAATAAGTTTTAATAGAAACAGGTTGGACTGTATGCGTTCTTGCAGAAATGAGGGTAATTGGCTGCTGATCAGCCCCAAGTGTTGTACAATGCAATGTCTGTCGAAGTCAGGGAGGGGTGATATAGGATTAGATGAGTATCTAGAGGATACTGCAAGATGCACTTTATTCCAAGACTCGATTGCGAGTTCACTTCCAACACTTGAAACCAATTAAATCTAATTTTGAAAGGAAGCCAACACGAGTATTCAATCAACTATGATTTGTACAAATGAACACGATGATCCACAAATTTCAGCGCCATGACCCGCCAAAAGTTCCCAGGGTATTGAAATGGCACAGAGAAACGCAACGTAAACGCAAAGTAAAACGTCATGAACCAGGAAATAAAAAGAAGGGGAAAACAGATGGGGATAGTCTCATCAATCCAACCGTTCAGATGTCTTCTCTTCACCGCAACACTCTGACCAAAGACCAGTCATTGAACATCCAACCCACGCCTACCAATCGCATCACAACCCGTAACCAACAAGACAAGATTCTTACCTGGCCCTATCTCCCTCGCCAGATCAATGACCCTCCCCACCGCGTGACTCGAGTCCAGCCCGGCCAGAATCCCCTCGTGGCGCTGCAAAGTTTTGAATCCGTCCAGGGCATCCGCGTCCGTGGCCGTCGAGATTTCAACTCGACCAGATTCCTTCCAATGAGCCACCTCTGGTCCCACGGTAGATAGGTTCATGTCTGGCGAGATGGAGTACGAATCGAGAATTTGACCATCGTGGTTCTGGAGCATTAGGGTCCGCGCGCCCTGAAGAACGCCAACAGAACCCTCGGTCAGTGCTGCCGCCCCTGCACTCTCGACGCATACCAGTCGAATGGAGGGGTCGTGAAGAAATGGCCGGAATAAACCCACTGCGCCTGCCCCGCTGCCAACGGCGGTGACCAGAGCGTCTGGCTGACAGCCCATCGCGGTGTACATCTGGGCTGCGACCTCCTCGCCTAGGAGTGCCTGGAAGGTTCGTGTCAATGTCGGTAAAGGGCTAGGGCCCACGGGCCCGCCCATGAGGTAGTATGCAGTTTCATGGTTGCAGACTGAATAGCGGAGTGCTTCTGTGATTGCAGCGCGCAGCGTGCCCATGCCGGACGGGGTTCGTGCAGTGAGGACCTTGGCCCCGAGCATCTTCATCTCGAGGACGTCTTCTTCCTGTGCCTGTGCGTCGTCTGCGCCCATGACGACCACACACCGCAGGTTAAGCCGTGCACACATTGCCGCGGTGAAGTTGCCATGTTTGGCCGAGGCACAGTCCGTGACGACCTCTGCACGACCCATTTGTCGAGCTAGGAGGAGTTGACCGATGATGTTGCGAGTCTTGTGGCTGCCGTATTCGTTTTGGTCTTCACGTTTCAGCCAGATATTAGCACCACCGGCGAGGTCCGTGAGTTTGCTGGCCATCTGAAGAGGCGTGTGCCTCGCACGCTGAAAGGCAGCATACTCTGCCCAGAAAGAAGGATCCGAGATGGCAGACTCAAAGACAGAGGTCAGCCCGTACAGGAATCCCATGATCGATTCAGGAACGAACTGGCCCCCAAAGGAGCCATAGCCACTGAACGATATCGGTGGCGGTCTCAGCGTGCCATCCAGCTGCATGGTCGGGAAATACGATGTGCCATCGTACCGAGCTGGTAAAATCCCCAGCTTGGTAAGTTCACCGGATGTCAAGGAAGAGCCATCACTGGTCACTGATGTAGCGGTGACAATAGACTCTGCAAGCGAGCTGCTGCAAGTGGAGGGGCAAGTACTATGGGTACTTGCTAGCTCAGATGATGCTGCTGGAGACAATACCCTGATGGGAACGTGAGTAGTCTCTATGGCTGTCACTCGGATGCTGGGGAGACGGGCTATGGCAGCCGTCTCTGGGACTGGTTTCACGCGAATGACATTGTGCGAGGTTGTGAGTGTTGGGTCAGTCTTGGTGATGGTCTGCTGGTGGAAAAGGCAGACAAGGTCTCTGATAGACCGAAGCATGCTGGACAGACAGACAGAGTGATGTAGACTGCAAGGATATGGAAAGGGAAAATGAGAATTGAAGCGTCGAATACTCTGCAAGTCAAGTATACATGCAGAAGAATAGATGAAGGAAACGGGGATCGAAAGAAGTGATATATGGGTACCCTAGCGAGTGATATGTATACAATTGATACGTGACGAGTTTCCCACGTGGGAGGCGAGCGTCAGTCAAGAAGTGGAGACAAAGAATGGTCCACAATGAGATTGAAGGTGCTACTACTCATTAAATAACGGTGTGCATAGTCACGGTCTCCTTCGACAGATTCGACTTTCGGGGCCCCCATTCGTGTGAGGATTCATTGGTGATATTCGTGGGTATGACACCCTTCGGGCATTCTCGGGCGTCCCATATGATTATGATCATGTTCAGCGTATCTTTCTCTTGCTGCTGTTTCATTTTCCAACTGTCGTCTCAAGATTATGTCAAACACAGAATCCGTGTAGGTGATCTGTAGCATGTCGTATCTTTTCATGGCATATTTGCACGGATTGACTGGCTATACTTCCCATCATCTGCAAAGAGGTCGATCCTTGGGTAATTGAGAACAATATCAATCTGAATCAACAGCAGCAAGAAACATTATTGCTTATGGTACCTTGCATCTGACCAAGTGAAGCGAGCACAGCCTCGGTTTCCATGGCATGGATTTCTGCACAATAGTCCATCATGGTTCTTTCTCGTTATTCTAGTATATTTATTCCAGAGGTAAACTGGTTTCTATTATTGACCACTTATTCGGGAGTAAGCAATCCCAGACCAGAATGAGTAGAGTAGATGAACCACCTCCTCGGGACCAGTGTTACCTTGACTCATGGGAAAATCTGTCCATCACGGTTCCACAGATTTTCTGTAGGATCAATCTTTGTTACATAGATCGATGACTAGCAACCAATCACCCTGCATCAGAGACTAAAAAAGTCTGGTAGGGCGCGAATGGTCACGTGACTGGTCAGTATGATGTCTCGAGCAGATTAATCGTACTAATAGCAGAAATGGACTCATCGAAAAAATTCCCCTTGGCTCTCCCCAAATAAATATTTGAAACATGTATGTTTTCCGGCGATCTCGGTGTGTTCGGCCGACCGAAGAGGGAAACCCGAATTCGCCTTCCGATTGACACACCTCAAACGTGCCAATATGCATCCCAAAATTGGGCATTTGGCGGTGTCACAAACGAACTCGTAAGCGTTACATCATTGAATCCACTCATTCACCTCTTAAGTGGTGGGTTGAGGAATAATTTTAGATTGGACTGGACGTATATAATTAGTGGGCGGGATAAATGACTTTCCAAGCCAAAGGCCAAGCCAAAGGGCCTATGCGATAGAGGCATGGAAGGACGGAGCTGAGCCAAATAACAAATTGATCTGTTTTCTTACCATTAATCAGGTAGAGAAGAAATTTGCCAGATCTATCAACACGTAACCGGGATATCGACCACTACCCCGTTTCACCGTTCTATAGCCCTTACTCCGAGTACATAGTAAAGTACCACCACGCAGAGCAGGTGATTCAACTACCCCTGCCCAAAAACCCAACGCCCACACCAAAAGCGGAGAATTTACACCAGCTTCTTGGATGCATTGTCTCGCATTTGCAGGACGTCAAATGTTCTAGGGGTGGTGAGGGAAGTGGGGAAAGACGCCCACCACACAGCTGAAGGACTCCAGGCCCGACCTGAATGGAGTCGAGCATAAATACCAGCTGGACCTGCCCAGTGCACCCTCGGCAGGTCAATATTTCCTGGTTTCAATCTACCCTTTTCTTGGAAAAGCGGGACATCCTGATTTACTCCACGTGGCGGTCGCGGTTCACTTTACAATGCAAGATACGAGGGTTTGTAGTGGCGAGGGTGTGGATTGGAAATTCGCCCTGTGGTTATCGTATAAGATTACGATGAAGCTCACGCATGATGTGGTACCATCATGGCTTATGGGAGTGATGAGTGAGTTCCTTCCTTCCATTTGTTGGAAACATAGATGTCATTTTCGCGGACGGGTGGCTTGTTAACGGGATAAATTATAGGGTTTTGCGCGCTTAGCATTATTTATGCTGTCGAAGGTCACCACGGCAATATCACCTCCCACCTCTACGTCTACGATATATTTCCAGCAAACTCAACAACCCATTATCTGGAATACAGTTGAACACAGACAGACCTTAAATGCAAGCTGATACAATCCATCCGTCATCGTCGAACTCATCGCGCACTCAAAATATATATACCCACGCAACCATGACCACAAAGGCTATCAGATATGCATCCAACCTTACAACCAGTCAAACCGAGACATCCCCCTTTCAAACTCACAAATACAACCAATCCACCACTCTCACTATACACCAAAACTAAAATACAACACCCACCCACGTGAGCATCTCACCACCGCCAAGAAAACGACCTAGACATCCATCCAGCCCAGTCTACCCCCCCACATCCACCAAGACCTCACCACAAACTCCTCGACCCCCCACCCCTCCCGACCCAAAACAATCCAACAAACCCATTCACCAGGGGGATCCCACGCTGAGCGATCCCCCCCAACCTACCCATCTGGTTCGCGGAGAATGAATACCGAGAGTATGGGCATATGCAAGATAGCGTGTGGTATAAGCGGGGAACGAAGTCTTGGCTTGCGGGGCAGGGATGAGAATAGTCAGGATAACAGGATCCGATCGGCAGAAAGTATAACTTTGTTTTTTATGTGTTCCTGAATTTGAGTCTTATTTTGTGGACTCGTTTGGTTGGCTGGGTGGTTTCTTCTTTTGACCTCAGGACTGCAGTAATTCTACATCCAATTCCCGTCTTTTGATGATGCATGATCTTTGTTACGTGAGGAAAATTCGGATTAAATTGTTCAGCGACTTTCATTTTTTTCTCGACTAGATAAGATTCCTGAGTTTGCTCTTAACACAGCTCCAGATCGAGGATCGCTGAGGATCGCTGAAACACGTGAATCCTTCCGTGTGTAGATCCTAGCAAATATAGAAAAAAAAATAACGCCAGTAACGGGTATACGCTCAAATGCAAGATGCGGGACAGGATAAGGAAGAAAGAAAAAGGAATGGAGCGTTGAGACTTGCAAACCTTGCAAGCACCTCACGCCATCCTTTAACCGAATCAGGCATGATCTTGTGGCTCCAGCCAGCAAATTCTTTCAAGCCTAATGGATAATGACCATTTCGATCGTGGTTCATCAGAAATGGTGGTCGATGATCCGAGAATCACCCCACGGCAGCCAATCGTGTGGCAAAGAAAATAAGGTAGCAACGGCGACGTCGAGTCGCACAAAGCAAGAGATTAAGAGTAAAGGGACCAATCTCCGGGATATTGGGGGGTGAAGGTAGAGGTTGATGGGTGAACCCATCAAGATGAGGAGGAAAAAGGCCATTTAGCAGACCTGCACGGCATTCAAAGCGCGAGTCAGATCATCCGGCGAAAAGGGCAGCGCCTTTGCCTTCCGAGGCGACATGGGATAGGGCGAAGCGGGGGACATGGCGCGGACGATAGGGGAGGTATATCGCATCGACTCCTTGAGTAAAGCGATCGGATCGATAGGATCCTCTGGGAATTCGTAGGGACCGATCGGATGATCTTCGGGGAGCAGGGTCATCATGGAGCCGGAGGAGCTTTCTGAATTGGAGTTGACGACGGTGGAGGACTGGGAGCCGACGGTGGGGCGGGAGGAGTCGAGGAGGCCGGGCACGGAAGAGCCGGAGTCGGTCAAAGCTGGAAGAGGGGCGGCGTGTCAGGACGTGGAGTCACATTTCGGGTAAATCGGCGAAAGAAGATCAAAAAGGAAATATGATTCGAGTCGGGAAGGAGGGGGGAAATGACTCTTATCGTAGGGATGATAATGATAATGATGGTGATGGAGTGTGATTACTTCTTCTGTAGTACATACCTGGATCGATCGGCACGCCGTCATCGTCGGGGGAAAAGTGACCGGGATCATCGCTCTCAAGCGGATCAAGAGGGCCGAGAGGACCGTCCGGGAGATCGTAAGTGGCGCAGGGGGACAGAGACAAGTCCAACGCACGCGGCCGTTCGGCCATTGCACCGTCGAACGACCAGGCTGCTAGACGCTTTTGGTGTTCCTTGTCGAAGGGGCCGCGGAACTTGGACGGAGGAATCTCATGGCGACGATAGTATTCGATCTTGGGTTTGCCATTTTTGGCATCCTTGCTGGCAGAGGAACGGTGGAAGACCCGTTTGAATCGGTCGCGGAGCAGCATATTGATTCGAGGGGAGGATTGGAAGTGTCGTTGATACGCGTTTTGTTGAAATTGCGGGAGAGTCAACGAGACGGTCGAGGGAGCCTCACAGTTGCAGACCGATCCCACGGTGGGAAGGGACGCGGAGGATGTGCAAGCACGTAGAGCGGGTGGAACGGGTCGAACAGTGAATGACCATTCTATGGAGGGGAGAGTGGTTATTAAGAATTGAGATGTACGTTGGGAAGGGAGGGAGAGAGGGAGAAGAAAATTAGAAGAGAGAGGGGAGTAGCAAGTAGATAATCATGAATCGGGCAATGCGAAGTATGGGGAAATTGAGGGAATTCTGGAGACGCGGTACAGGATGGAGGGAATGGAACGAGTGGATGCAACGGCGATAAGCCCAGGAACCGTGGGAGTTGCTGCTTCCAGTCCCGTCTTACTCCATTACTTTTCTGGTTATGATCCGTTATCGATATTATCCATGATCCATTATCCAATTCGCATTATTCTTGTTGGGGTGGGGGGGAGCACACTCCAGCGAGGCAATTTTCCTGATGGCTGACTCCGGTGAAGGCGACGGGCAAGGCGAGTCCGACGAGACTATTCCTCTCTGGGGTCCGGTATGATCCACTTGGTTTGGTCTGTGCGAAAAGAATTGCCCCCACTTGCCCCCCCCCCTACGAAGGACGAAATAGATATGACACGACTAAATGACTTCGCTACACGCTGATTGCTCCAACCCGGATTGGGCCCATCCGTGAACTAATGCGGGCAAGATTTGGATTTGGGGCACCAAAGTGGGCTACGGGTAGACCGGAGGCAAGTTGGCCGGAGAAAGGACGGCATATTCTCCGGATATACACGAAGAGTGGGAGAAGTTGTAAAACGGTTGAATTGGTTAATCAAGGTCACCATCGCCTGGAAAGGCTATCTCAACCCTAACCAGAGAGTATCAACCAGTGAGTTCACCCATCGATTGGAAGGTCGACCATCCCGTGGGCGCTTGGATCCTGTTCGTTCGCGCCGGACCATCCACGGGTCGTCCATGCCGCGTGCCCTGCACGCCCACCACGAGAGGTTCTCCTATCAATGACTCGTACAGAGCATAATTAGAGTATTACCGGATTATGTCGGCGAGGGTCTCGGCGAGATTTACGCTGCGAGCAGCAGTAGTGGCGACTTGGCCTGCATCGAATGTTTCTGGAAAAATCACACACACAATACTACCCCAAGTCAGCCCGATCGATCGACCAAGCAAGAGCCTCACGGTTACATCGTTTGGCATTGCGCCATCAAGGACTGTCAAGGCAAGAGGTAAGCGATAACGAAACTCCGTATACAGGACTTTAAGCAGACGTAGAGGAGGGACCGCCCCCTAATCTGCCCTTGCCTCGACTTTCCTCAATGAGCGGGATGAGGGGGGGAGGGGAAGGGTGGAGAGGCAGAACGTCAGTGGAACACCACTAGAAAAAGCACGAGAGGCAAAGAGAGATAGCGACAAGGCAGGACGAGAAGAAACCGGAAACGGGAAGTTGGTACACATTTCAGAGTGGGGGTCTGATGTGTAGGTTCGGAGTCCGGCACGCCGCCCCGTTATGTAATGTAAATGGTGAGGTCGGGAGTTTGTGCGACGAAAAGACAGAATCAATGATGAAAGATGACGATGGGGCTGGGAGAAGAAGAACACGATTATGCTAAACAGTTTGATATAGGGTGTAGAAATGATATGATCAACACTTATGGTTCATCTTTGAAAATCTGACAAGGGAGTAAGCGATCACCACCCGGCCCGGGATGTCTTGCATAGCAATTTAATCACTTGCCGCGACAACCGGGACCAATGGACATGAACTATAGTTCTGGCTCATGTAGCATAAATCCGCACTTTCCTCCATCATCCAGCACAACTTGGCCTACTGGTCAACTAGCAGGATACGGCCGGCTGGCCCAATGGCAAGGCGCTTGACTACGAATCAAGAGATTGCAGGTTCGACCCCTGCGTCGGTCAATCTTTTTGTTTCATTTTTTTTTGTTTTGAATCTAACCAGTCGTCGGACTTTTTTTGACTTGTGCTTTTTTTTCGTTCTCAAGATATATAGATTTGATCTGTTGGCCCGGATCGGAAGGCCTTGAAAGGAAGACATGTACATCATAATACCCTCCAAGTAGAAACACCTTTGCCAGGGCCAAGCCACATGGTCATGGCCCCATGTACTCCGGAGTTCCACCTACATCACAGCCCTCATTATGTTTCGAATATTGAAAATGGCCATGATGATCGTAATTATTTTTATTTTTATCATCCTCAATCAAACGAACCATGTCCGAAGGACCCAAAGACCAGCCGGGAATGATGTAATCGCTCGATCGGGACCAGCCACGTTGAAGAATGCCGTCCATCGTCCCGTCTTCAGACGGGCCGACAAGAATGCCAGCTGTCCCGTTTTTCATCAGTATTCCTCGAGCTGCTCCCTCGGACTCCCTACATGCAGTAGGCACATAGTCTGCATAGTCTGGTCCCCAGTACTCAAGTACTCAAGTACTCAAGTACTTTCCCCCTACAGGCACGCAGGTACACAGGGACCAAGCCACTACATGTACGGAGTTCATCCTCCCCAAGACAAGACTTCAGAGCCGCTAGCTTCTTAACGGCAACGGTCGCGTAAATCACCGCCCCCAGATCGACCACCCCTGAAAAGGATCCTAGCGTCCTACAGGTATAGCCAGCCCTATTACCCGATGCGGGCTTTAGGGCTGTTTGTCTCATCCTGCCAAACAGTCTTGGCCCGCAGGCACACGACCCTTTCTGCAAGCGGAACTATGGAAAAAGGGGGGGAGAAGATCGGGCGTGTGCACAGAGCACTGCGAACCCTAAGGACTATTGATAGATATGGACATTCATAGATCGGACTGTACAAATAATCCTCTATTATTTGCAAGCTTCGAGAATGCCCAATTTCATTCCGTCTCAAGACTGATGCTGCGAGCGGCCAGAGAATGTGTCGCGAGTAACCGGCGCCAAGGCCTACAAACAAAGAGAGCAAAGAAAGAAATTATTCGGTCTCAGGGCCAATTGACCCAGCTACGTAGTCTTACGAATTATTCCCACCTCCTCAACTCCAGCTCCATCGTACGCGTTCCAGAACCACCGGGTTATCAGAGTAACCACGGATCCTTCAACTGGCGTATTCCCAGCATACCGGATCGCCATCCCTTACTCGTCCCTCTTAGAGAACGAGAGCGCCCACTCCCGTCGGGAACCTCCAATTCCATCCTCCTTCCATCTGTCCACTTCATCACCCTCAACTTCAACCCTCCCAATTCCCATCACTTCATGTAAGTCAGCTTCAATTCCTAGGGCGCTAGTAAAACACGTCTACTTCCTCGCGCGATTAAACTCTACCAATTTCAATCTACCCTCTTTCCCGCGCAACTCTTGTCGTCATTTCGACGTGACAATTCTAACCGCATCTCGGCGCAGACTCTCCCCACGAACCGTTACGATCATCATGCCTAAGAAGGGAGGAAAGAAGAAGAACAAGGGCGGCGCGAAGCCCGCTGCCGTCGCCGCCGTGGACAAGGTCGCCGATACCATCAAGGATGTTGTGTAAGTGTCATGAGAGAAAAAAAAAGTGGTCGCGTGCCCCATCAGCTGGTTGTTGGGCAATCCATTCGTGGCAGCGGCGCTAACGTATTCTTCTCTTTCTTTAGCAAGCCCGATAACGAGGTTGAGGATAGCGCCGCTTCCAATGATGTCCAGTCCGAGGTTGCCGCAGACACGGTGCCTGCTACCGAGGCGCAGACTGCCGAAACCACTGCTCCCGCCGTGACCGAGACCACGCAGGCTGAAAAGGCCGTCGAGGAGCCCGTCAAGCCTGTGGAGACGGCCGAAGAGAAGATCGCGGAACCTCTGGAACAAGACGCCAAGGTCGAGGCCCTCATGACGGAACAGAGCACCGGTCAGGGCATCGTGGACAAGACGCAAGCTTCCAAGGCCGGCCAGCTGCCTGAGCTGGAGACCGAGAGCAAGGGCAAGGGTAAGCACTGAATCTGTGACAGCAGGTCAATGCAACAACACAAGCTAAAACGTTTCCCACCTGCAGCCGTCCTCCCTGAGACTACCGCCACCACATCCACCGCCGCCGCAGACCTCTACCCCTCGACCACCGACACTGCTGCCGAAGAGGCAGCCGTCTCGACTGCCGCTCCCGTCTCGTCACAGCCCGAGCCCCCCGTGGCCACCGAATCGACTCCCGCTGCTGCTGCTGCAGCGCCCATCGTGGCCCCCGTCGAGACCGATGCCGCCCACACCAAGCGTCCCTATGAGAAGCCCATCTTCTCGAATGACGAGGTGAAGCCGCACAAGATTCCCAAGACCGAGGAGGAGCAGGCTGCTGCTAGCGCTGCGGCTGATAAGTCGGTGTTGACTGGTGCTGGCCCGGCTTCGACTGCTGCCTACACCATCCCCGAGCCCGTCCCCGTGTCCGAGCCTAAGAAGGTCGAGGAGAAGCCCGTGGCTGCCACCGAATCTCGCGAGACCGCTGCTCCCGCTGCTGCCCCTGTCGCTGCCCCGGTTGCTGCTCCCGTTTCGACTACCACCTCTCCCTCCGAGACCAAGGAGAGCAAGGCTTCGCCCGATGCCGTCGCTGCGGCGGCAGCTGCCATTAACTCCTCGAAGGCTGACAAGGCCGCCGCCACCACGGGTCCTATCGCCGTTGCCGGCACCGAGCCCAAGAAGCCCGAGCCCGCCGCGAAGCGCGGAGAGGCGCCCAAGGCCAAGGCTGACGTGCCCACGGAGACTCCTCAGGAGACCGCCGCTCCTCAAGCTCCCGAGCTTGAGGCTGCGAAGAAGAGCGAGGAGGCCAAGGCCGAGCCCTCAACAGAGCAGGAGCCCGAGAAGAAGAAGGGTGGCTTCTTTGCCAAGCTCAAGCGCTTCTTCAAGTAGAGAAGAGAAAAGAGAAATTCTTCCGACTTGGTCCTGGGAGTGTAGCTTAGTGCCGGATTTGGCCTGACAGAAGAGACTGGGGAAGAGAAGTGGGAGAAGGAGAAGAAGAAAAAGCGAAAGGGTGAAAAAAAAAGAAAGAAAGAAAGTGGATGTACGATATACAAGATCCACGACACCAAAGTGTTGGACTTGTTGGGCTGCGTGCTTGTGGGGGACGTGCTACCATCCCCAGTTTTTTATTGTTTCCCTCTTTTTTCCCTTTTTTTTTTTTTTTTTGCAAGTCCCGGTTTTTGAATGATACACCAGTGGAAATATAACACATACCTATTATCTTAGTGCTTATTGATTAAAATGAACTTTTTTTTTTCCTCTTGAGGAAAATCTTGGAAATCATCTTTGCGGAGTGCGGATGCTTGGTTGTGTATTGTCCCGAGCCGATCAGGAGGACTTGTTGTACACCGCTATTTTTAACGGTCCATGCGGTGGCTTCTAGCCAACCAGCTAACCAGGAGGCTGGAGGCTGGCGCGGAAAACATACCTAGAGGTGATTATTGATGCCCTCGTCATAGCTTAGTTTCAATCGGGCTTATGGAGCAGATGGTGGAGTCTTCTCGAGGAAGCTGGAATAACTTGGTCAACTAGTTATTTGACGGGTTATCGAGTCAGACAGCGAAGCTCGACGGGCATGGATCCACTATAGCTTGTAAGGGGTGGAGTTGAAGCTTACGATACTGAATAGCAGGTATGATGCATCCAGTAAAGTGTAGAATTACAAATATAGATATCGTAACTGACTAGAGTACAGCACGATCTTAAGATTGAAATGTCCATACGCAGCAGGGATCTCTCTCTGACCTTCTAATAGCCCAACTCCAATCCCAATTCTAACTCCTCTATACTATACCTCAAAAACTCCCATCGCATATCAAAACAAATCCTGCGTCTCCTCAACAAGCACTAAAAGCGTCGCCGCAAGACTCTGCGCAATCTTCCAATGACTGATCCGCTGCAACAAATCAATAATCCGAAACAAGCTGCCCATCGCCAACCGTCGTGGCTGCAATCCACCCATCTGCTCCAAAAAGCCACCAATCCCATTAACGCCCGGTAAACGGAGTTCGGCAAATTGAAGAATCTCAGCGGGACCGATGGTGATGTTCTCGTCCCGGCCTTCGGGAGATCCGCATTTATTCTGTTCGTCATGGCCATCTCCAACATCGGATTCGTGGTCATGACCACGCCCATTCGCAGCATCACCGAAACACATGAAACACGTCCAAACCAACCCACAATAATACAAACACATCGGCACGTATATGGCCGGTTCCGCGCCCGCGGACAGAGACTCAAAGTTCTTCTGGATGAGTAGTGCATGGAGTAAACAGCGTTTTGCATCCGCGGAGCGAACCCAGGACCGGGCGTAGGGGGTGTATTTTTGCACGCCGTCGTAGCCCTCGCGGCCGGCGGCGCATTCGAGGGCGTTGATGTCGGCGTGCAGGGTTATATGGGTTGAATGCCAGAGCATCATGAGGCAGGGCCAGGTTGCTTTGTTTTGGAGCGGGGCGTGGTAGGCTGTGTACCAATTTGTGAGGAGGATGTGGTATTTTGTGGGTTGGTGTGATGGTGGTATTGAAGGTGAGGTTGGGGCTGAGATTGCGAATGGGTGTAGTGTTGATGGTGATGTCGATTCCCAGGGAGCGTGGAGAGAATGTTCGTCGTGTATTTCGTAGGCCATTGCGCTTATAGACTCGAGCATTCCGCAGAGTGCAAAATCCCCCGGGAGGACTTGTGGAGGGTGATTTGATGGCGGCGGGGTATTGTGGGGAGGAGGATTATTTGCGAAAGTGCGGGCTCGTTCATCCAGCATGAGGGTTTTCCAGTGTTCTGCGCTGGATGCCGCGAAGAGATCATTTGATGAGATTTGAGGGAGACGCTCGAGGGAGTGGCGGAGGAGGGGCTCGTGATGGTGTAAACGAGCGAGTTCGGCGTCATGGATATAAAGACCGAGAACGATGCTATTAGGTCGTTAGTGAAATTACACTTGTGTCTTGCTTGATGGGATATGTACCGTTTATTCACCTCGATTTGGATCCAACCCATCCAGGCGTCATTCAGCGCCTCACCATCCAGCTCGGCAAGGTTGTATGGAGGATGTCGAAGATCAAAGATTCTTGCTCTACGTGCCCACTAAAGAAGATGTGAGTTGATTGTGATTTGTTGAAACAGGCAATGGTTGGACATACCGCAACTATACTACCATGCCACATTTCGATTCCCACCAAGTCCTTTGGCCTCTGTGAGGCAGTCTAGTGTCAGCAGTTGATTATACAATTTTCCGGGAGTATAAGGCTTCCATACACCCATCATTAGCCCAAAGTTCTGTCCAATCATCGAAGCTTGAAGGGCTACCAAAGAAGACCCCTTGGATTTGGAAACGTATGTATCCCACTGCTCTCATTAATAATGGCATAAAGCGAGAGAGGGTTCTATTCTCATACCGAGGAGAGAGTAGCCTTGTTCAGTCGCTCAAACATACTGATGCCATGTGAAATGGCCCGCGGGGAGCCAACGAACAGGCTCCCAGCAGAGCAGACGGATAACAGAAGGACCGAGTTTTGAGTGCCTGGCCGGAAAGTGGGCATGTGTACTATGGGGAAAAGAGGATGGAATTTGGAAAAGTATGCTTGAATACAGAGATCCTGTCAATCAATGGTGATTAGCATGAGCAAGGGCAGAATAACGAGAATGACACAGCGAAAAACATTCAGTGAAGACTTCAAGTCAATGGGAAGGACATCACGTACGAGGAAAGGAGTCGAAGGCAAAATGCCATGCTGCACCCGTTGTTGAAGACGTTCCGCCAATCGCTTGCGATACGACTCGTCAATCAAGCTGGCCTCTCGAGGCACGTCTGGCGTCATTTGTCCTGAAGGTAGCAATTCCGAGAAAGTGTGCCATTTCCTTTGTACCGCCTCGACATGCCGTTGAATATTATCACTGCTCGAAACAATGTCTACCGGAGGGGGCAGCCGTGTCACGTTCATGCCGGGAATAGCATCCACAGGCACATAATCAGACGTCGCATACAGGAGCGACATATTCACCGCATCCAGATCAAAGTCCTCGCCAGTGAGAAGTGTCTCCAATTCCCTATCGAACTGAAAATTCCATATGGGCGGCTGTGGACTGGCCTGGTTTCTCCACGCGTCGCCAGTCTCTAGAGAGAAGAGCGAATTTAAGGGGGTAATTTGCGTTGGATACGAGCTGGTCTCACCAATGGACATGTTAGGTGTGTGCTTGTCAATTGATGAGCTGTTTGGCGGTGATACTGGTGCCATCATGTTTCCTGCAATGGGGTTAAGATGGTCAAGATGGCTCATATGTTCGATGTTCACCGGAACTGCCGGCATGTCCGAGCTGATCGTATGCGAGATGAGCTCCCGGTCAAGATGGTGCTTCTCGTATTCGTCATTCATAGATTCATCGATAGACTCATCGATTGATCTATACATTCCGGCTGTGCTGCTATACGCATTACTTCCAGCAGGATGCGATCGCGAGTGGCGTAGTAATGTGTCTCTGTCCTTTCGATCAATCGACTGTATAGCAAGTGATAGCAAGGGAAATCACGTACTGTCGCGCAAACGCCTTGTTACAAACAGGACAGTTGAACGGCTTCTCTTTCGTATGCGACCTCATATGACGAGCTAGATGCTCGGCCTTTTTAAAGGCCTGCGTGCAGACTGGACAGATGCGCTCTTCTTTCGACGTCTTGCGTCGTCGCCGGGCTTTTAGCCCAGTGTGGGATGAATTTGAAGAACGAGGGTTGGAAAGCATGTCACCAATCTTGAAACACCTGAATTGAAGAAAAATACCATGCAGGAGATTTAAGGATAGAGAATGCACAAGCTAAACTACAAAAATCGAGAATGCGGGGGACGGAGGCGCAAAGACTAACTTGTCATCGCGGAGTTGGTGGCCTCCATTCTCCGACCAGAAGCTTTCCCCCGCTTGTGGCGATCACGGCGTATCGAATTACATCTCACGAAAGGAGGATCCATTTGATCTCGGTGAAGAGTCTAGATTCTAAAGCTAACCACTAATATGTTTTCTATTCAGTATTTCCAAATTCAATATTCCCTAGTGCAAGTTTAATTACCAGGATTTTCTGCAAATGTGGGATCTATCATTTTCCCCAGCTCGGATGTGGGATCTATCCTGTCTTTCTTGTCAACTCCCCCACTGAGTACTTTCCTCTTTTGTCTCAGTAATGATTCATGCGGTTTCTAGTCGCAGCCACCCCTTCAATCTCCACTTCAACCACGTCGCCATCCTTGAGGAACTCCTTCCGGAAGAATCCCACTCCAGACGGAGTGCCAGTCATAATCACCGTGCCCTTCCTCAGCGTTGTACCCCGCGAGAGGTGGCTAATGATCTGGCGAACACCCCAGATCATATCCCCCGTACTGGTCTCTTGCTTGACGATTCCGTTGACCTTGGTGCTCAATTTCAATGCCTGGGGGTCTGGAATCTCCTGTGCCGCTACGATAGTATGGCCGACCGGGGCAAAGTTATCGAATGACTTGGCATAGCAGAATTGACCACCAGATGCTTCGGGTAGCTGGAAGTTGCGAGCAGACACGTCGTTACCGGCGGTATAACCCAACACGTAGTCTAGTGCATCTTCTTCGGAGACGTTCTTTGCGTCCTTGCCCATGACCACGGTCAATTCACCCTCGTAATCGAGGAGCTCGCGCGCATCGGGATGAATGTCAACCGCATCGAAGGGTCCGGCAAGAGCGTCGGCGGGCTTTGTGAAGACGGGTGGGTATGTTGGTATAGGAAGCTATACAAGAGAAACCAAGTAAGTCTTAGAAAATTGGTTCGAGGGTATATTTCAGAGTACTCACACTGGCTTCCTGGGCGTGTTGTCTATAGTTCAGCCCGATGCATACTACAATAGGTGTGCTCTCAATTGGGCATTCGAGCTTCAGATATGATCGTTAGTTTGACAATTGCATATCAGCTATAGACTGCTTATCAACACACCTTTTCAACATTAACAATTTCTTCGGTAGCCCTCAGGCTGGTAAACGGACTGCCCTCCAATCTCCGAATGGTGTACTTGTTCTCAGCAGCTTTGATAAGGTCTCCATAGTGAGTTTGGGCACCAGCTGTGAACCGCACGAGTCTTGTAAAAGCCGCCATAATGCTGACCAGCTGGGAATAATTATTCAAAGGCAAATTAGTTGACTCGGCTGTACTTGGAACTGGATAGAATGACTTCTTATACATACCGATCGTAGGTCCCTCTATCGGATATAACCCCCCTGCCACGCGGGGCCTTTGCATGAACGCAACCGCCATTATGATGTTACACAACATTCATATCCGCTGAGTCAGACCGACTCGCAATTAATCAAGTCATCTCAGCAAGTACCAATCAGTGAGCCGGGGACATGCATACCGACTGCGGGCGGGGAACGAGGGGCTAGGGCTGTTGGAGATGTGGGAACAATATTGACCACCATTGGGTTGAAAGCTGAAAATACCGAAGCCTCGGTTCCGATCCAGTCTAGTTATTATAAAAGAAGCAGATCCAAGGAGGAGTCACCGTATCTTATCGACATATACAAGAAATATCTAGATCTTCTTATCTCCTTACGCTGTTTGACTCGTCCTCTTCTTACAACATGACAGCCGAACCCGTTCAGCCTAATCGCGGCGCCACGGTGCCAGACGTGGTCGCAGTTGGAAATGAACAAGTCTCACGAGCAGAATGGCTTACGAAACAGAGAATCAATCCAGATGATCGTATTCAATTGAAGAAGCTGTCCCACATGCGTTATCAGCATCCTGATCTCGATGAGATCCAGACTTTCATGATCGGTATGTTTCGCTCATTATCTCTCACGTCTTCCGAAAGCATTTTAACATGTGTAGATTTCGGAATGCAGATTGCGCAAAGAACGGATAATGAGATTTGGTTCAAAGGATACGGATCCGACCAATACGTCTACTATGCACGAAAGGGGCCCAAGCAATTCTTGGGTGGAACCTTTGAAGCTCAAAGCCAAGAGGATTTCGACAGGTGAGAGAACTGCTTCTCTACAATATCTCCATTACCCGATCACTCATTTTCATCATGATGATAGAGCATCCCGACTTTCGTCTGCAGGTCCTGTCCAGGATATGACCCACGCACCGGGCGGAGGCTCGCTGGTCACCATTACCGACCCCGAGGGATACCCATTCAATGTGATCTTTGGTCAGCAACCCACGAATATCGAGGTCTCTCATCCAGACAAGGTGAAAGTAAACTATGCTGGCGAGAAGTCCCGACGCCGCGAATTCAATCGATTCGAGCCTGGTCCTGCTGCAGTGCACAAGGTAAGCAGTAATCTGGTTCTTCCTACAATATGCCCTCCATCAAATATCATGATGCATACTAATCAGGTTCCTAGCTTGGCCATTTCGGGTATACTACCCAGAAATTCGATGCTCTCCTCCAATTCTACACCACTACCTTCAACTTCATCCCCACCGACCTCCTCTACATCGAAAAAGAAGGCCACAAGATCTTCGTCACGATGTTCGCCCACCTTGATCTCGGGGACACCCTCGTCGACCACCACTGCCTCTTCTTCAGTGCCAGTCTTACCAGCTCACATGTACACCACTGCTCCTTCGAGGTGCACGACTTCGACACCCAGCAGCTAGGTCACCAGTGGTTGACGAAGAAGGGGTACAAGCTAGCTTGGGGCGTTGGTCGGCACGTCTTGGGCTCGCAGATCTTTGATTACTGGTGGGATACCACCGGTAATATTGTGGAGCATTATGCGGATGGAGATTTGGTTAATCAGGATACGCCCATTGGGTATGTGAAGGCCGGCCCTGACTCGTTGGCTGTGTGGGGACCGGAGGTTCCTGCCGAGTTTCTGGCGTAGACCGGGCGGGGGATCGGCACCTGGTAGAGATACATAGCAGTAGTTTCATGGCAGTTTTTATCGGGGGTTGTCAATGTGGTTAGACTGTCTCTAGTGTTTATGGAGAATATTGATGTGTCTCTCTAGTGGGGTCTCCGCGGCTTTCGTTTCCGGTTTGCTTGTCGGAGTCGCACCCGATCTTTCTTTCACCCTCTCCTTGCGGCGGTTAGCTTGCTATTTTCAAAATATCTCGAGAGGGCCTCTGTTTAATACGGATAAGCCTTATATTTACAGGACACTTCAAGTGGAAATCGCCGACGAAGCCTGTTCATACCAATCAGCTTTACCCGACTGGGTGGCGGGGCTGTATCCAAGCAATGGAGGCGAGTTGAGTCATTCCATCGCCGATAATGAAACCTCTAACAAACAGTAATAGGAATTCTTTGACGCACACGCGTTTATTCCAGGTGTCGCAGAAGGGGATCTTCTTGGAAGCAATGTCGCCCTCAGCTTTTGGGGAGGCGTTGATCCCCAACGGGGTACAGTCATCGACACTCATCACCCGCTCGTGGGCGAATCGGTGGCGGGCAAAGTCTTAGCAATTCCAAGTGGAAGAGGCTCTTGCTCAGGCAGTGGAGTCGTACTTGAGCTCTTACTGAATGGCAGTCAGCCTTCTGCACTGATCTTCTCTCGGGAAGAAATGATTCTGACCATAGGCGTCCTTATCGCGGAAGAGATGTTCCAGAAGAGCATCCCAGTCCTACAGGTCTCAAGTTCATCTTTTCAGAAGTTATTACTGTCAGAGTATGTACGAATTTCGGGGACTCAAATATCGGGCGGAAAGAAGACTGTTGTCACTGCAGTCCCCAGCTATTCATTCGATTCATCTCTTTACCAGCCTGATTTCTCCGCAATTCAACTATCCCCTTTGGACCGCGAACTACTCGACGGATCTCACGGTAAAGCAGCCCAGGTGGCAATGCGAGTGATTCTCCGTACGGCAAATATGCAAGGTGTGACAGAGTTGATCGATGTCAAACAAGCCCACATCGACTGCTGTATCTACACCGGCCCCGCAACATTGGAGTTCGCCCAGACACTCTGTCGATGGGGAGCCAAAGTACGGATACCCACATCCCTCAACTCAATTTCCATTGATAGGAGGCTGTGGCGCTCACAGGGAGTTGATCCCTCATTGGGCGAGCCCTCTGAGAAGTTGGTCCAGGCTTATCTTGAGATGGGAGCTCAGCCAACGTTCACATGTGCGCCCTATCTCTTAGATACCGCGCCAAAGCCCGGTGACAATATCATGTGGGCCGAGTCTAATGCGGTGGTGTTTGCCAACAGCGTTCTCGGAGCGAGGACGATAAAGTGTCCAGACTACCTAGACGTCTGCGTTGCCTTGACAGGACGGTCGTTGAATACTGGGTGCCACTTGACGGAGAACCGCAAGGCTCGGATTGAGATTTCCTTGAATCTTGCCGTCGACGCTGATGATTCTTTATTTTCACTTCTGGGATACCTTGCGGGGGACATTGCTGCTGATTCCGTACCGATCATCACGGGCTTAGAAAAGAAGCTTGTTACCACAGAGGACCTCAAAGCGTTTGGCGCGGCATTTGCGACAACCTCCAGTGCTCCAATGTTCCATATTGCGGGGGTCACCATAGAAGCCCGAAGTGCAGGGGATATCGAGGCTCATCTGAAAGACACAACGAAACTCACATTATCGCGATCTGATCTGGCAAAGCAATGGGCGCGGTTCAACGTCTTTGCAGAGGGAGAGGATTACACTATGATTGACCTGGTCTCCCTCGGAAACCCACACTTCTCATATGAGGAGCTCGTGAAGTTGGAGCACCTTTGCTCACAAGGTGAGAAGAGCAAGAACGCGGTCCTGGTAGTCACCTGTAATCGCGACACCTACGGTCGAGCCGCAAAAGATGGATTGATCACTGCACTGGATGCATTTGGAGCGCAAATTGTGACCGATACCTGTTGGTGCATGATGCAGGAACCGATCATCCCATTGAGTTCTAAGACAATAATGACCAACTCTGCAAAGTATGCTCATTATGGGAAAGGACTGACGGGCCGGCAGATTCGGTTCGGGGGGCTGGCAGAGTGTGTGGAGGCTGCCTGCTCGGGACGGATCGTGAACACGATGCCTTCGTGGCTTGTAGACATAGATGATGTAAAGGAGTCTATAGAATAGAAACAAACGGTGGCGAGAATTCCTTTGTCAAACCATCATATCCGACATTTCCTCGGCTTTACGGAAGTCAGTAAAAGGCTGCAGCGATCAAGATGCCACATGCCTTGACCCCGCAAAAAAGGCATATCGTACTACGAGGTGGATAGTACTACATCCAGCTAAATAATTGAAGCGCATGCACTGCCCAATGAAGCATAGTTAGTTGCTGAGTGATAACGTAAGAGAGGGACCTAAAAACGCTAACCTCGGTGTACCCGCACCAAACTGAATATTGTCCCCACATTTTGGCGTGGACCGCGCAGACCACCAAGGAACAAGCCCTTGCAGCTGATCGTAAGATCTTTAGATTAGTGTCTAATTTATAAAGCTCTTTCGGGCAAAATTATTCTCGATAACCGAAGAACGGAGGACATCAATCATCATGGCAGATTCTCAAGAGTGGGAAACGACAGACGTATTGATCTGCGGATGCGGACCGACGGGTGCCATGTTATCGGGGTATTTGGGCAAACTCGGCGTTCGAAATATCATTCTTGAGAGGGAAGCCGATATCACGACCGATCCTCGGGGAATTGCTCTCGATGATGATGGGATTCGATATGTACAGGGTCTCGGACTGTACGAGCATGTTTTTACTAAGATTGGCTCTAGTACTGGCACTGAAACGTTCATCTCGATTTGCATGACTTTACTAACATTCTATTTGCATAGATATTTCCAACGTCCGTTTCGTTGCTGGGAATCACAATAGTCTGCATGCAGAGCCGTTTCTCTGTTTCGATACAGCTTCGGTAGGTCGAACGACCCTTTTCACAGACAAGATCTAACATCTGTTTCCCCATCCAGAGCGAAGGAAACACAGGACATGTCGGAATACTCGCTCACAAACAGCCGGTCCTCGAAAAATACCTTCGCACTGTTGTAGACAAAGTGCCCGAGTGCGAGCTTCGAAGCAGCTGCGAGTTGACGTCCATCTCCGAAGACAAAGACTGGGTTTATGCCACGTACAACGACGTCGCAGGTGTGCAACATAAGATACGTGCCAAGTTTCTAGCTGCAGCAGATGGGAAGACGGGGTATACCAGAAAAATGTACCTTGAGCCCAAGGGCATTGAACTGAATTGGGCTGAACAGTGAGTTTATGGGACTTTTCACGACGCAGAGCATTGAAATACTTACTAGCATTCCAACATTTCTAGAACGAAATACCAAGAAACGTGGGTCGCACTGAACTGGCATTTACATCTGCCCACACCAAAGACACATCCGACATTCCCATTGTGGAAGCTCGGATATACTCCGGAGCAGGTCTACGATCTGTTCTTCCCCGATGACTTCCGTTTCCTCTGCAATCCTGCTCGACCCGCGGTATGTGGACGGTTCGGTCGCCCGGAAGATCGACTGTGGCGGTTTGAATTCGTGGTTGCGCCGGGTGAGGATGAGATGAAGATGGCGGAGCGTGATAAAGTGCGCGAGGTGGTTTGTCCGTATTTGACACATCGGGGCAGTCGCTACGGGTGAGTTTGATAACCATTTTGAATCCTGATAATATTCTTAAGACTAATTATCATGTCCAGCTTGAGACAGGATGTCGAGTTTCCCGAGGACTGTATTGAAGTCCTGCGATCGAGACCTTTCCGTTTCTCTGCGCGAAGCTGCAATAAATGGGCCCTGGACAGGGTTATTCTCTGTGGCGATGCAGCTCACGTCTTTCCACCATGTACGTCATTCTACTTCCCTCAGATATGACTCCCTCAGCTCATCTCGCATCTAGTCGGAGGACAGGGCATCGCGTCCGGATTCCGAGATGCCATCGCCTTAGCCTGGCGTCTCTCCATCGCCTGTTCCTCCAGCCCACAGATCAACTACGAACGACTCTTCGAAGGATGGTACCTCGAACGAAAGCAACAACTCGACAAATCCCTCGCCGCGACCGTCCACAATGGCGATCTCGTAAACGGCAAAAGCTCTATGCACAGCTTCATTCGCAACTGGGGCCTGTGGTTCCTCCAACTCCTACCTAGTTGGAAACACTGGCTCGAGCAGGGGCCCCGTCGCGATGGACCGACTCGATACACCCATTCACCCGGGCTGCCATTCATGCCCGAATATAGCGGCGGTCTATGTTTCCCCCAGACGTATTGTATCTCCCTGCAACCCAATGCCGAGGTGCAGTTCACCGACGACGTAATCTTCGCCGAGAAACGAACCCCGTTTCAGATCGTGGTATTGCTCAATCATCCCGATGAGCGGAACATTGCGGTTCAAGAATTGGGAAATATCAAGGCCAGTGGTCTTCTTTCCCCGGGTGAAGCAACCATTTTCGTTCCCCGCAGTAGTTGCACCTCTGATTTCGGTGATCGGGCGGATACTTACAACTACCCGCTTTTCCGCAGCGCCACTGGGGACGAATTCGCCCGCTCGCCGCTGTGTGAGTCCCGCCCGGTGCCGCGCGGGTACAACGAAATGTTGATGTGGGAGAGTGTCCAGGGTAAACGGTATGTGGTACTGCGGTTGGATCGGTTTGTCTTTGCGGCCTGTAAGGACGGGGCCGAGCTTGCAAAGGCAGTGACTCACTTGAACGAGTTGTTTGAGCCGTAGTGTTCAAGAGAGAGACGTCCGTATTTAGATGTATTGTACTCGTTCAAGAAATTTCGAACTTTACTCTCCATATCAGTCAAACACTGGACCCTTAATCTGCTCGTAGCAGTATAGAGTGTCCCAAAAGGCGGTCCTGCCGTAGTCCTCGTAGGTCCCACTGGGTTGACGATCGGAGCGGGGTCTATCTCGACCAACCCCCACGGGGTCACGACGGAGCTTGGCGCGTCGGCCCTCGGTTGCTTTGAGCTGATCTGGTCATAAAACAGCTCGAACCTCACAGGAAATCCCACGTAAACACACCGTCTAGACTGCCTGCCGTTTCTGGTTCCTTGCAAGATCTCACAGTGTATACACAATGGCCACACCTCTCCCTCGGAAGCTCTGGGTGCACCCCGACCCGGAATCAACACAAATGGGCCAGTTCCGACGAGAATTGGAGCGATCTACTGGAAAGAAATTCGACGTGAGTGCCCTGTCCTCGCAGATGTTCATCCCCCTGTCCATTCACAGAATACCGGCTAATGCAGTCTCCGCCAGTCCTTCCATGATATGTTCCTCTACTCAGTCCAGAACCGCACCGCATTCTGGGACTTTTGCTGGAAATTCTTCCCAATCATCCATGAGGGCACGTACACCCGCGTCGTGGACGAATCCGCCCGCATGGACAGCGTCCCAGCCTGGTTCGCCGGCGTCAAATTGAATTTCGCCGAGAACCTGCTCTTCACCGGTCGCACGGGCGAGACGACCGGCAAGGAAGACGAGAAGATCGCAATCACCGAGATTCGCGAGGGTGACGCGGAGAATGCGGTTCATCTCACCTGGGCGCAATTGCGCCAACGTACCGGTGCCTTGGTTCAAGCTATGAAAGCCAATGGCGTGACGAAGGGGGATCGCGTTGCGGTTTGTTCGGCGAATAGCATCGATACATTGCTCGTGTTGCTGGCGACGACGGCGCTGGGTGCCATTTTCTCGTCGAGCTCGACGGATATGGGTGTCAATGGGATTTTGGATCGGTTATTGCAGATTCAGCCTAGATGGCTGTTTATGGATGATTTGGCTGTCTACAATGGGAAGAGGATTGATCTGCGGGGAAAGATGAACGACATCGCCAAGGGGATGGAGTCGCTGGTCCAGTTTCAGGGTATCGTCTCGTTGCCGCGATTCCCTTCGGAGCCGGCCGATGTCAGCGCCATCCCTCGAGGATTGACGTTGTCGACTTTCATGGCTAACGCAGGTGGTAAAGACCGCTTGGAGTTTGAGCGTGTTGATTTCCGCGACCCCTTCCTTGTGGTATACTCGTCTGGTACCACGGGCCAGCCAAAGTGCATTGTCCATTCCGTGGGAGGAGCGTTGTTGAACGGCTTTAAAGAAGGCGGTTTACATACTGAATACACCTCGGAGAGTGTTGCTTTGCAATATACCACGACGGGATGGATCATGTATCTATCTGCTATTCAGACCCTGAGCTTTGGCTCTCGAGTGGTGCTCTATGATGGCAGTCCCTTTATTCCCGACGTGACGGCACTTGTGAAAATCACCGCCCAAGAAAGGTATGTTTTCCACCCCGTTTATGCAGAGTCATTTGCAAGACGTTCTTCTCACTGATAAACAGGGTCACCCATCTGGGTATTTCTCCGCGATGGCTGCATGAACTGCAGCGCGCGAATATCCGACCTCGCGAGATTGTCGATCTTAGTGCTTTGAAGGTTGTCACTAGCACTGGAATGGTCCTACAAGATACTCTATTCGAATGGTTCTACGATGTGGGCTTCCCCTCTCACACTCGTCTGAACAACATCTCCGGCGGCACTGATATCGCTGGCTGCTTTGGTATCAGTAACCCTCTGACCCCCGTGTATGTGGGAGGATGTGCGGGATGCAGTCTGGGCGTGCCAGTTGAAGTATATGACTCCACAATCGAAGGAGGCGAGGGTATTCAGGGTGTAGCAATCGAAGAGGGAGTCCCCGGCGAGCTGGTGGCTACCTCGGCTTTCCCTAATATGCCCACGATGTTCTGGGGTGATACCGATGGCAAGAAGTATTTCAATGCGTACTTTGCCCGATTTGACAGTAAGTGGTCCCGTATTCCACCTATACCTTGAGCCAGTGCTCATTCTGGCAGATGTCTGGACTCACGGTGATTTCGTGGCCATCCATCCTATCACCAAGCAGCTCGTCTTCCACGGCCGCGCCGACGGTGTGCTCAACCCCTCGGGTGTGCGTTTCGGCTCTGCAGAAATCTACCGCGTTATTGAAGGAAATTTCACGCAGGAGATTGCAGATTCGATCTGCGTGGGTCAGCGTCGACCCTCCGACACGGATGAGCGCGTGATGCTCTTCCTGTTGATGAAGCCTGGTGTCGCCTTTACGGCCGACCTGGTAACCCGCGTGAAGAGTGCCATTCGCACCGAGCTCAGTGCCCGCCATGCGCCGGCCTTTATTTTTGAGACACCGGAGATCCCGGTAAGTGACAGTGGCCCAAACTTGGAGCCGACTCTCCCGAGCGTTGCAAAGGAGGTGGGACTAACATATGCATTATTTCCCTAGACGACAGTCAACCTCAAGAAAGTGGAGCTTCCGGTCAAGCAAATCGTATCCGGCAAGCGGATCCAGCCTTCAGGAACCCTGCTCAATCCGGACAGCTTGGAATTTTACTACCGATTTGCCGAGGTGGAGAAGCTCGTTCGCGAGAGCAAGCTCTGAGTAAAGACTGGAAGCACGCAACATATTGTAATTCGGAAGTTGGGCAGCGAGGATTTTCGGGGTCAGCGTATATTCATCGGGGGGTTTTTTCAGATATTGGATAGATAGAATCGGTCCAGACTCGGCGGCATAGACATTAACAATCTGTGACACAACATTATGAAAGCCAACGTGTAAGCAATTGTCATGAGAGACATTGACTGATCAATTGATGAAGTTTCATCAGAGGTGACTGTACCCACACCGCTAGTCCTGGTCGACACGGCGCCAGTGGCTGATCAGTAGTCGATAGTGAGGTCAAAAAAGGATCCTAGAGGGCCCGTGGCTGGTAATCGTGGAGTGGGGAGGGGTGAGAGGGGCAGATCGGATGTATCGGGACGAGGATCGTCACTCTGCCAAGCTTTAACCAAGCTTTGCCGTTGAGGGGGGAACACAGCGAGCTCGTCAATGGTTTGATTGGCAGATCACAAGAGACCTCAAGGGGGCAAGAAAAATCGTAAGCGAGAGGGCGACTAAGATGAGACAAGAGCAGTGGGTTGATCGAGGGTCTGCGTGTTGGTTGATGATTGGAAGATTGGTATTGGTTGTTGTTGGCCAACTGAAAGGGGACGGCTACTGCGTCATGATCCCCGCACGTGTTTTTACCTAGCTAAATCTCTCTGCTGTTTGGAAATCTCACTCTCGTTTCCTTCTTTCCTCTATCTCCCTTCTATTCTCCGTTCCTGATTTTCCTCTTTACCCCCCNCTCATTACAATCATGGTTCATCTCGCCTCCGTAAAGAACGACGACCAGGTCTTTGACCCCAAGTCCCGTTCCATCGATTCCCTCCCCGCCCCTGCGCCCGACGAGAATGACTTTTACACCAATGTTTACGGTAGCCACTTCGCTGCCGACCACCTCCCCCAACATGAGATGCCGGAGCGGGAGATGCCTCGTCAGATTGCTGCTCGCATGATCAAGGACGAGCTCAGCCTGGATGGCAACCCCAAGCTCAAGTAAGTCATGGTCAATGGTATGCGGGGTATAGTAACAATGGGCTGACTTTTGTCTGCAGCCTGGCTAGTTTCGTCACCACATACATGGTACGACTCCTTACAACCCTATCGATTATTTCAGACATCCCAATGGCTTCCAAGACTCAAAATAACTAACCCGAAGCTGAAATGCTTCATAGGAAGATGAGATTGAGGAAATCATGACAGATGCCTTCAGCAAGAACTTCATCGACTACGAAGAGTACCCACACTCTGCAGAGATTCAGAATCGCTGCGTGAACATGATTGCCCGCCTGTTTAACTGCCCGACCGATCCCCGGGATGAGAATGCCATGGGCACCTCCACCGTTGGCTCCTCCGAGGCTATCATGCTTGGTACCCTGGCCATGAAGAAGCGCTGGCAGAATAAGCGCAAGGCCGAGGGCAAGGACTACTCCCGGCCTAACATTGTTATGAACAGCGCCGTGCAGGTTTGCTGGGAAAAGGCCGCCCGCTACTTTGACGTGGAGGAGAGATATGTTTACTGTACCGACGAGCGCTACGTCATTGACCCCAAGGAGGCCGTCGACCTCATTGATGAGAACACCATCGGTATCTGTGCTATCCTTGGTACCACTTACACTGGTGAGTACGAGGATGTCAAGGCGATCAACGATCTTCTGGTGGAGCGCAATATCGACTGCCCGATTCACGTCGATGCTGCTAGCGGTGGCTTTGTCGCGCCCTTCATTGTCCCCGATTTGGAGTGGGATTTCCGTCTTGAAAAGGTGGTCTCCATCAACGTCTCCGGTCACAAGTACGGTCTCGTCTACCCCGGTGTTGGCTGGGTGATCTGGCGATCTCCCGAGTTCTTGCCCAAGGAGCTCGTATTTAATATCAACTACCTGGGTTCCGACCAGGCTAGTTTCACTCTGAACTTCTCCAAGGGTGCTTCGCACATTATTGGACAGTACTACCAGCTGATCCGGTTGGGCAAGCATGGTTACCGCTCCATTATGGCCAACCTCACTCGCATCGCGGACTACATGGCCGACCAGCTGAAGCAGATGGGCATGATCATCATGAGCCAGGGTCGTGGTAACGGTCTGCCTTTGGTGGCCTTCCGCCTGCCCCCGAACCCGGATCGCGTGTACGACGAGTTCGCGGTGGCGCACCAGCTGCGCGAGCGTGGTTGGATTGTCCCTGCCTACACCATGGCCCCGAACAGCAACAAGCTGCAGCTCATGCGTATCGTTGTCCGCGAGGATTTCAGCATGAACCGCTGTGACAGTCTCCTTATCGACGTGAAGCTGGCTCTGCAGACCCTCGAGGCTATGGATCACTCCATGGCGGCCAAGTACAAGGAGTACGTCTCTTACCTCGCGGGGTTCTAGTCCCCTTCCTTTAGTCAAGGATTTGCCCAACTGACTCTTTATATTAGACACATGCGCAGCCACCGTGCTCACCCACACCACAAGGGGCACTCCCACAATGCCTACCATGAGGAAAAGCACTCTCTGCAGGGCAAGACTGGCAAGTCGCACGTCGTATGCTAAGGGGGGCCGATGCGGTGCATCTCGACCTTGAGTTTTGATCATTCCTGATCCTGTGAATATTGGATTTCTTTTCTTCGCCGAGGAGTCTTACAGAGTGAGCCTCGAGATGATATGTGTTTGGGCCAGATGTGACATTGCCCCGGTTATGCAGGGCGGGTCGGTCTGCTCATTTTCTGTCCTTCACATGGCAGACGTCCGTTACGAATATTTGATTTGATTCATGAGCAAAGAATGAAATATGGTACTTCTATAGGATGTTATTTGTGACGTCATGCAGACGCGATGTCGAGTGTCATCTCGTGTCGAATCAGTAGATAGCCGCCCTCGAGAATAGTTCTACAACATCGTATGCACCAGACCAGGTCCAAAACAAGACTCAAACCATGCAGCGCATCTTTATCGACCCTACAAACGAACAACCTCCGACTCACGATCTCCCTCGGACGGTCGTTCTCCCCGATGTACTCCCACCATCCAAGGACACAAAACACCATCCCACTGATTCGGGTAACGAGAATGGCACTGTATTCTTCGTCGGGGCGGCGACGGTGATTATGTTTGTGCCTTGAATTTCTCTTAGAGAGGTGATTGCTAATGAAAGCAGAGAATGGGCAGGGATCCGAATCCTGACTGATGTAAGTGGCTATGCCCCCAGTATTCTCGAAGATTTCTCGAGTATACATTGGATACTCCTGCGCATCGACTAAGCTCCACAGCCAAATTTCCTTCATGCCGGTGACCGTGCCCAATTTGGCGCCGGTGTCTCCAGTGAGAGACGTACTAACCCCGCGGTTGAGCTGCATGATCTACCTCGGATTGATCTGATTCTTCTATCCCATTGCCACGGGTATGTATCTTCCAATCGCTCCCTTCCATTTATCCAATTGACCTGCCGATTCAACACTGAGGGCATAGATACCGCGATCAAAACGAAATTAATGCCGAATAGTGACCATTTCGACCAGAAAGTCGAAACCTCTCTACGCCGCGATATTCCCATCGTTACCAGCCCCCACGCACGAGTCCAACTCACCCACCAAGAGCACGAATCCTTTACGAACGTCTCTGCATTAGCGCCCTTCGAAACGGGTCTCGTCGAAATCGGGGGTACCGGTGGACCTAAACGACCACTGCTACGCATTACGGGCCTGCCGGGTAAACATGTACCGAGTACTGCCGTAGCTGGGCTGCTCAATAAAATGGCCAATGCAGTGAGTATTTCTCTGCTCCCAGAGCCCCGGAAGAAAGCAATTACAATATCAATTCTGTGGATGATAATGTCACCCCCCCCCTCGGCCTCTATAGATTCCCCCCACGACCGGCTGGATCCTGGAACTCGGCACCAGCGCCGACACCCACGATCCCACCGAGTTCACCCCGGGCTACCGCATCTACATCACGGGCGACACCCTCATGACGGAAGCCCTAGACACCATCCACGAACGCTACACGGCCCAAGATAAACCAATCGACCTAATGCTTGCTCACCTCGGTGGAACGATGATCCCCTCGCCGACTCTCTCCCCGCTCGGGTTCATGGTGAGCATGGATGCGGCGCAGGGCGTGCGATTGATGAGAATGATCGAACCGGACGTGACGATTCCGATTCATTACGACGATTATGAGATTTTTGCGAGTGGCTTGGAAGAATTTACGAAGGAGGTTGCGAAGAGTGGATTGGAGGGCAGAGTTGTTGTCTTGGAGAGGAGGGAGAGTTATCGATTCCGGGTTAGGGGGGAGGTGTGGAGGGCGAGGTCGGAGGAGACTTATTTTGGGGGTGGGAATAGTCCGTAGGGACGAGAAGGGGATTGAAGATGAGTTGGTGGAATAGAGTGAGGTTTATTTTGGGGAGAGTTGAAATATGAAGTATAGAGTTAACGGCGACCGAGGCAACGGATGATGGCATCCCATATCGAGACCACCTATACGACAACCTACAATGGGATTGTAGTAAACGGAAGCAGTATCATGAAAGATCATCCGTTTCGAGCGTGTTTCGGAGACAAGTCATCGTTGTGGTTCTATTCCTTGTCAGAAAAGAATGCGTTGTGGCAGTGCATGCTTGCATCTTGCATGTGCTCTATTCTGCATGCTGCAATCTGATAGAGACCCATCACAATATTAACGGTCGATCTTTCGTTTCAAGATTCAGGGTTCTCGTTTCAGGGACGGGGTCAATATCCATTTACGAGGCCTCTCTAGCGCTTAGTTTGGCCCCCACGAGGTGGCTCATGCCTGATCGAGTCCGAGTCCGCGCGGATACGAGGGCTGCTGCTGCTTTTGGCTTTTGGCTTTTTCTCTTTGTATTGGCCCACAGCCCCAAGAGCCCAAAGCCCAAAGCTCAACTTTGGACCATCTCAGCTCCATCAATTCCGAATATGATCTCAATGTGATTCTCATCCGATCTGCTCTCATTCTTCCCATCTATTGTCTAGCCCATCTTCCCTCTCTCTCTCTCTCTTCTTGGATCTCCTCACATTCCACCCGGACGCCACACCTCGTTCCTCCGAGGACAAGATGTTCTCGTGAACCTCTCGTGGACCACGATCCTGAAAGTATAAATTTAGAAACCATCTACCCAATCGCCATTCACTGCCGATCCTGCAAACCTCCACTCCATCAGCCTTCCCGCTGCGTTGTTCCTCTTCGTGTACACACACGTCTTCCCCCCCACTCCCCATCTCTCCCTCACCACATCCCATCCTTTGGCTCATGGACCTTGAGGCCCTTGGACCGTGACCCTGGAGACTTGATACAAGTCATGCCCCTCTTCAGGAATAGAAAGTCCAAGTCTCCGTCCAATCCGCCATCCACTCCTTCTCCCCCGTCTCGATATCATCCTGCCCGCTCCGTGGAACAACTGGGTCACCCCGCGTTCGTTGCTCCACCGCCCCCCATCAACGCCCTCAATAACAACAGCAATCAACGACTCGACCACTACCCGGATCATCGCCCTTCTGATTATCGTCCGAACTACGACGGTTCCAGCTCAACCTCCACCGACTTGGCTCCGCCACCACCCTCACATCAGCGGCCACCGCAGCTTCAGGAACGACCACAACCCGCCTCGGTGCATCGCTCCCAGAGCCAACGTCAGCCCCACCTGCAACAACGCGACCGACCGACGGCCGCAGTCGCCCCCGAGGACCCCCAACCTCGTCGTTCAAAAAAGAGCTTGTTCGTGCGACCGGCGTCCGGGTTTCTCGAGCGCAGTGTCTCCGTCAAGGGGAAAACCATCTCCCATCCCGTCTCCCAGCCCACGTCGCCGCAGCAATCCCCTCACAATCCCTTGAGCCTGACCGACCAGGATCAGTACGGTCGTCATCCACAGAGTTATTCGGCCAACTCGTCCCCCGTCTCTAATTCTAATATTCCCCCGTATGAACCGCGTTCCGCATCCTTAGCCTACCAACAGCAGAACCACCAGCAGCAATCCCAGCGAGCCTCGCGCGATAACCTCGACTGGCCCCCGCAGCAACTATCGCAACAACCACCACCACCTGCTCCTCCACCACACCAATCGCAGTCGCAGTTGTTGCAACAGCCTCTACCACCGCAACAACGCACTTTCCCCTCCCCGCTCGAGCGCTCCAGTACCGATCCAAGCTTCCTCGAGCAGCCTAGTAGCCGCCCATCGCCCACCGACGCGCCGCCCGAGTCGCCTCGTTATACTCCAGATCACCAGGGCCATCGGCCCCAACCGTCCCAGTCACGTATCCAGCAGGACCTGGTATTCCATTCCCGGCCCCCATCCCGGCAGACTCTCGAGCTCCTTGCCCCATTCGGTCCGCAAATCCATCCTGACGCCATGCAGCAGGCTTCTTCACAGGTGCCGCCATCCCAGAGCCAGTCGCAATCGCCGCAGCAGCAGCAGCAGCCACCGCCGACTCCCATTGCGAACGATCGGGCCCTGGCCGACTCGAGTCGACAGGGTAGTACCGCTCAAAACATGCCAGAACCGGGACGGGGCACTCCAACCGGGACGCGGACGATCGAAGACCCGAGCGAGATTGACGTGCGGGCATTGCTGCAGAAACATGAGGAATTACGTGAGTTGATCAATTGTTGATGGCGTGGGGGATCAACAAGAATTAATGCTAATCGAAGAATAGAAACCAAATACTCCAAGGTGAAACGGTATTACTTTGACAAGGAAGCGCAGGTGCAGCATCTTCAGAATACGGTGGCCCATCAGCGTATGGCCGTGTCTCGGACTGTATTAGACGATAACGAATACGCAAACCGATTTACCCGGTTGGATGGAGCGATCAAGGACCTGGCCTTTTCGGTGCGCAAAGATTGGCGGGGCATTCCCCCGTGGCTACATGGGTTGGTGACGGACGATGCGACTACCGTCGGTACGAAGGAGATGACGGCAGTCGGACGTGCCGTGATCAGTCGGTGGTTAGTGGAAGAGGTCTTTCAACGGCATTTCCACCCCGCCTTGGACCCAGCCCTAAGCATCCAGCTCAAGAGTATCGAGATGAACCTGCGACGACAGCAGATGCGACAGTCTACCGATGAAGAACGCGAGAACGCGACCGTGCGGCTCTCAAATTGGCGCCGGACAACCTTTGACGGACTCGGCGATACACTTTCCACCCCGGCTGCTCAAGAGCATCGCGCAGAGCTAGTCGAACATTCGATCGCAGAGCTTGCCTCGTTCCTGACTAGTCAATTACATGATGCAGCGTTGCCAGGTCTGGAAGCTGGTGTACGCATGATCATTGAGAATACCATCAACATCACGGAGAAAATCCCACTCGAGGCCCGCGATGTTTGCGTGGATTATTTCCCGCCGAACGTCCCCTTTGTCGACGGGTACATGAAAGTGGAAGCCGGGCTGCCACCACTTCCCCACCCCCCACCACCAGCAGACCAAGATGCCGACGATCCTGCGGCCATCGAGGACGACTCTTCGCCCGCTTCCGTCTCCACCGGGCCCGGGGACACCGGGTCGGCACCCGCACCCAAGCCGCAAAAGAAATCCGTCTTTGGCGCGTTAATGGGTCGTAAACCTACTGGCCCGGGTCCCAGTCGCGCCTCCCCCGGCACACACGAAGAAAAGCCCGCTCCGACTGAGGAACGAGAGACCGCACCACGAATCCGTTTTGCATCATTCCTCACGGTCGAAGTCCGTGGTAAAGGACCGCCAATGGTTCTCGTCAAAGCCCCCGTATGGATGATCGAGTAAATAATTCACGCGCAAAGGTTCGTAGTTGACCGTGGCAGCGAGAGAGATGGAGAGAGATTTAGAGGTGGTAGGGCAGAGTGCAGCTGTACATAAAAGCAGGAGTGGTACATCCCAGCATCGTGGTTACCCCATGATTCAAAGCAATGAAATCCCCCACCCCCACCCCCACCTCCTTTCGTTATGCTGGGGTTGTGTCGGGGCACTGATGATCTGGTTCTTTTTTTCCCTGGATACATACATTGTATAGGGATTGGAGTTCGAGGGTGAATCAAGGCCATGGAAACTTGACTACAATGGGCGATGGTTAATAGCCCTCGGTGCTATAGTCGGGTAGATTTCCAAATCGTTGAAAATCACAAGTATAGGCCATATATTTGTCTTTCTTTCTCCTCCGAGCGAATCAGGCGTTTCCGCAGCCTACGTGATCTAATGCTCCATATGAAAGTAAAAAAAATTGGATTGAGCCTCATTGCGAATGGCGGGAGCGCTCCCGAAGTACATCCAACCAACCAATCAACGGCTGAGTAGAGAACGTACATCCGTCCATCAATTTGCCCAAATGTCGAGATCTACCCAGAACGTATCCGCAATCAACCTTCTTTCATCACAGTGGGGAATTTGCCTCTTTCCTCGCTTCTGCTATAAAGTCTGACTCAATCAAGCATTCTCCTTACCAAATACTGCTAATACTACAACGCCCTTGGGAGTCTCCACACTTGGCACCTCGATCTGACTGAATAATGATGTAACCACAAAACCAGACCACGGCCAGACCCAGATCGAGCTTGAGATTTGAGATAATCTTGCTTTCTCAACTCGATGAGAAAGTAACTCCTGACATAGTTTACTTAAATATCACCTCTCAAGACTTTTTTTTTCATATTTCCCAGAGTCACTTTGCATTGCCATACATCTTTTTTACTCCAGGGATCTACACCATGAATTTCACCCGCCTGACTGCGTCTTCGCCCACTGTCCGTGTCCGTGGCTTCCGTCCGGTATTCTCAGGCCAGAAACGATTCGCTACCACCGACGTTGGGAATAAAGGGGGTCCTACTCGTCTGTACGTCTCGGGCTTTAGTCTTTCTGTCCACGATGAAACGTGTTGTTAACATTGACTGGCCATATAGATTGTTAGTTGCGATCGCACTAGGAGTTCCGGCATCGTTCTATCTTTCACAACGAGGGGCTATCAGTCAGTTCTATTCCTATTCCAGTACTAAAAGCTTCTAATCCATTCTAATGAGAATATACTGCAGAACCGACAAGTCCACAGGGAAACGTCGAAGCAAGCCAGCCAAATACCTCTAATAATGACAAGGTTCGTTTCTTTATACCGCACAAAGAGCACACCGTTCAATATCGCAATTTCACACGTTTACCTTACTGACACTTAATCCGATATAGCCTCGAGCAATGGGACCGCCCAGCGGACCAAATAGCATGTCTGCCAAACAACAGGGTCTTTCGAATGCGGATACGATGAATCCCTATGTCAATGAGCCGGGGAAGAGTGAGAAGGGGGAGGGGGAGACTGAGACGGCCAAGTTGAAGGGGACGGTGAGGGTTGATCGGCCGCAGGTGTGATATTTGAGGCATGTACTGCAGTAATTTTCGTTTTGTTGGATGTGTTGGTACTTTGTATAAACATTGGAAATGTATAATCAACGTTACGTTCAGAGATTATATCGCAACATAGATGGGACACAATGCCGCTCGACCAAAAATGTTCCATGGGCAGCATTCTTAGTTTATGCAGGCTTCTCTTGATTCGAGAGATTATCTTGGATAAATGGGCGAGGAATCCCTAGGGCGTCGACGCGCGGACTGACAGTTCTGAACGTATGATGCTTTTAATTCTATGTTTGACACAAAGTTTATCGGGAAGTCTTCACCATATAAGCAAGCGGACGCATGAGTAGAATTAGCAAGGATAGCAAGTTACTAAAGCAACGGTGAACAGGCTATTCATGCCCGGATGCTTCGTCAACCGATGAACACGCAAAATGGGATTCTCCCTTTGGCCCAGTATTGACCACAACAAGTTCGATCGAAATCGGACCAGTGTGCCTAACCGTCGGTCATGACGTTCACCTGGAGAACTGCTCATCTGGATATTCATTCACCTTGACACCGCTGATGTAGATGGTAGCGGTCACCCCGACCTCCAGTGGTAGTAGCTTAATATGGATTTAGAAAGTCGTGCTGATATTTTGCAGTATCTTTCAAATGTTCACCGAATGGCAAAGACGGGAAGTCTTGTTTTGTCTCTATTAATTTTGAAAAGAAATGAGTCGTACCGAGTGAATGGAGTAATTCTGAACGGGTCGTCTTAGCTCGGTGCGTTCTTTCCTTAGAAGAGGGTGGGCGTGCCTTCCGAAATCAGTGAGTGAACATAAAAGACCCCATCATGAAGCCAACAAAACTTCCCCTCCTTGCCATTCGGTGAACTTTTGAAAGATACTACAAAATGTCAGCACGAGTTTCCAAATCGATATTGAAGCTATTTACCGCTGACGGTCGGGGTGACCGCCACCCTCGCCAGCGGTGTCACGCTGAGTGTACAGATGGGGAGCTCTCAGTGTGAACGACCTGATCGCCCAACTGTTGGTTGCACCGGTCCGGTTTCGATCGGACTTCTTGTGGTCAATGCTGGACCGCTGGGAGAGTCCCCACCGGCTTGCTCATCGGGTGAGGAGGCATCCAAGCATGGATAGCCAGTTGACCGTTGCTTTGGGAACTTGCTATCCTTGCTAATATACTCATGCTTCCGCTTGCTAACAGGGTGAACGACCCCTGCTTGCTTTAGCTGTTGGCGGGTGCAGGAGCCATAGGGGCCTGCATTCCGGCAACTCACCCACCTGGTGAAGGGCGTGGTGGCCGTTACCATACCACCTCTTCGTCTGGATCCAGGTGTGACGGACTTTCTGCTGCTGTTGCTCAGGAGTGCTGCGGACTCACTTGACTGTATATATTGGCTGAAGCAGCTGCAGCCTGTTTCATCTGGTGGAAGAGTCAAGTCCAAGCTCCCCTGCTTGCTCAGTTGGAAGTGGACGGCGGTTGTCGGAGCCACAGGGACCGACCTCCGGCTGAAACTTTCAAGTCCTAATAGCTTCGTCGTTCAATATTCAGGTTGCTGACATTGCCACAAATGGCCGGGTGGGTGGGTGGGCAGCGCCAACAAACAAATTATATTTTGCAAGGTGCGCATGACAAACTGCGACCACGTCCTCATCGAAGCGTATGTATTGACTCGTCACTCCCTCAGCGCCCATGCAGTGGCTGTCACTTGATGACTGCCCTTGCTTATACATCGAGTTGTCTCTCCGAAACATGGCTGGCAAAGAAAGGAGTCTACCGATGGGCATCGTGGGCGAATATTACCATATCTTTGGTAGACCCTTCGGATCGGCAGCAGTTCATTCGGCAATGCTCTTGTGGAGCTTTCGCTTGACAAAAGCCAGTCCCGCCGCAAGATATCAGACCTTGCGATAAACCCGGAGACTCGACGAGTGATATGTCGAGCGTCATGACGGCTTTCTTCATCGGCCCCCCGAGACAACTATCTGCGTCGACAAGTCGAGCAGTATCTGTCAGAGGCTCTTCAATGGTGGAAAAAGGCAATGACGCCTTCAACCCTTGACATGCTCCTGTCTTCACATCAGACCTATTCACGGGAGACCTGAGTTGACGATCCAAGCCTCGCGTGCTTTGCATACCTTTCAGACCAGATATTACCATCACAGTCCAACAAAAGATGGCTTATTCGGAAGAAACTGTGCTGAGTGAAGGGCTGAAAGTCGGAAACATTTGACAGGCATGATCAACGCAAGATCTCCAGCGTCCAAGTCTGCCGAAGAGGCCCTCCTATCCGTGCAATTCATGGGGTTCCCCAGATGCGGCAGCACTCTTGGTCAATGCAATGTCCGAGGACTTCGGTCATGTCGCAGCAGACACACTTTTGGGACAGATTGTGTGGCCAATGCCAAGATTTCCATCATATGTCGGCAGAAGTACCGCAGGTCTTCGACATTCAATCCCGTGGGTCTCGCCAAATCGCCTTGGGGTTCTTAACTGACCTTTATCAGACTTTCACGCTGATGCTGGGAGACGCCCACGACTTGTCCGACATTTTTTATGAGTGGAGAAGGGCATGCACGATCTGGACCAGAAAGACGTATTGAAGCATTGGCCTTGCACCAGGCTGTTCATTGGGAGGTCATCGAGGCTTGAGAAATCTTGGCCGGTGTTTCGACAACGTGGAACAAGCTTCCCCGGAAGCAATATTCACAGACGAGTAGCAAAGGAGCGAATAAGGTATGGTTTCCTCGGGTGCATGTTTCGGTATGGTCTAACAAAGGTTTCGGCAGGGACATGCGGCCCGATCGAGTCTGCTGGGGCCAAAATGAACGGACAACCTCTTGGACTCGCAGTGTCACCACCCGATTTGAGGCACCTGTGGCATCAAAAAGGCATCAGAGTTGTGGGAAACAGCATGGCGGTCCAGCCACTGAGCTGGACCATTCCCAAGTGGAGCGGATTGAAACCGACGTGTAAAGATGATGGATGACGTAAGGGGATCCTGGAATGTGAGGTCGGCGCGAATAAGGAAGCCATTTGATTGAGATACAAGACACGAAAGACTGTGTTAATCATATTGAGATTCTTCGGTCAGTCAAATGTGATTCGAATTCACTTTGGATATGAGAGTCGTAGGCTTTATAAGGATGGGCCCATCAAGGCGTAAGAGATAAAGATTTGAGCTGTCGCGGAGAAAATGGATCAACTGGTGTACTTGTCTGAGCATATTTTAGAATGAAAGTTGACAGCAAAAAGCAAAGCAAAAGCAAGGAAAAATAAGTGATGAGAGGATGAAAAAGAGAAGAGTTCTTCAAGCACTTTGCTCTTCTTATATAGACATCCGTGGCTTGTTAACGTCTATATTAGTCGTTCAGGTAGAATTTCGATCAGACTTGAACTTATTTGACCTGCAGTTTGCCTAATCAGAGGTTGGAAGGGTCAAGAACGAGTCATTATGGTTCCTCTGCCAAAGCTGGCTTCGGGCATCCCGATTCCATACATATTCCAAATTGGGTTTAGTAGTATCTCCAACAAGCGAAATCCTCTCCTCTGGTGGTCTCTCTCATACAGGTGGAGGACTCAAATCCAGTCCCTCAACACTAAACTTGAACGCATCACTCCTCGAATAACTCCCCGCAACATCCAAATCCAACCTTCCCCTCTCACAATCATCCAAATCAATCTTGGCAATCGCTAATCCATCCCCAGCCGCAACGGCAGACATGCCCAGGGGCGCGGTACTAACACCGGCCTCCTCACTATCCGGCGTATCGTCCGTAGAAACTTCCCACAGTGGACCGGCCAGGACTTCTCCCAGGGGTGAGATGATGCAACTGCCCCCGCGGCAGACGTACTCACACTCTGAACTGGAGATTTCAAGTTTCGATACTGCAGTCGTGGTTTCAGCTACCGGCTGAGTATCCTGTGTCGAGCATTGCGGCCAGCATATTTCATGCGGACCTTCCGGTGTAATTGATAACTTTCGCCCGCTGCTTGCTGCTTGTACCTGCGACGGCGAGGCAACGGGTTTAGCGGATGCTGAGGAGTTGCTTTCTGTAGTTTGACCCGTGATCCAGTCTGGCAGCTCATTGCTGCGTACACACTGATTCGCGGATAACACGAAGCATCGGCCCTCTTGGCCGACTGTGCGCATCAGTGATAACCACGTATCCCGGGCGTCTGCCGTGGGAGCGAGATATATGTTGACATTCTGGGAGTATAAGCTCTGTCGGAGGAGGGGCATGTAGTTTTCCCAGCAAATCGCCGCGGCGAGGGTCAACGGGATACCGTTGATGGTAGTAGTGACGGCTCGCAGTGTCGACGGCGAACCCTGAGCCCAAATAAGACGCTCCGATCCAGTCTACCAGAAAACCCCAAGTTAACAATGTCCCCCGCTACCCACCAGTTCTCAAGCATCACCGTCCATAAGCATGAGACATACCGGCATGACCTTCCTCCTCTTCCCCAACACCCCGCGTCCAGGCTCGACATAAACAACGGAACAATACAAACTACCTCCAGCCCTCTCCACGACACCCACGACCAGAAAAACACCACTCTCCTTCGCGATCCTCTCCAATACCTCCCTGGTCCCATCGCCCCTCTGCGCCTTTCCAACCGCAACACTCAACCTCCGGTCTACCCAATCCTGCCCCGCACCCGCGGGCGTATCACCCAGATCAACCGCGTCCTTGAAGTAAGCCAGGAACTGGTCACGCCCGCGAGGGTGACGGCTACCCACCGCCGCACCGAAGGAACATGTACGCGGGTACCCGCCTAGATAGGCTTCTGGGAAAAGGAGAAGGTGGACGCCACGGCGAGCAGCGAGGTGGGTGGTTCGTTCGAGGGCGGCGAGGGTTTGATGGGTTGTGGAAAGAGTGCGGGATTGGGAGACTGCTACTGTTAGGGAGGGCATGTTGGAGAGTAGAGATGAATGAGGGGAATATGTATGGGAAGAGGAATGTTTAAAGGGGAGACACTTGAGGGGACTGTGAATATAGTGATGATGGGATGAAGTGGAGATGTCCAGTCGATCTAAGGCTTAAGCCGAGAGCCGAGTAGCCCCGCGTGTGGGGAATCTGATCAAAAAGTACCGACAGTAGTGTAGTGAACTCCGCACGAGACGCAAACGGGCAAAGTTCAGTACTAACCGCACTAGTAGTATAATATCGTATGGACTTGCTAACTTAGTATGAGTGAGCGAGTTATATCCTTTTCTCGCTTGTTGCAGGTGACGTCATACATTGTTCACTTATGGAATAATCGATCGCTAGCGCAAAGTATAATATACTTACTCCAACAGAGCATCGAAGCTTAGGATAATCAAGGTAAACAATTTTCATTCGTCTTGTACGATACTATATCCAATCTGTCAATCTGTCAAGTTATTAGGACTATTCGCAATTTCGATTTCGATTCCAATTTCCATGGCCCTTCCCCATACTTCACCAGGGCGAGCAGTCCAACCCGGGATGTAAAAAACAAGGAATGAAATATACAAAAGATATGAGATGTATGCCACGAATTTGCAAAGCCCGAAATTTTCAACCTGGAGATACAAAATTGCGTGGTCAATTGAACAAATATGAACATAAAAGAGGAAATCGTAATTCCCGGGTATAGCGCCTCGCTGATGAGATGATGTGAAGAGAAAAAGAAACGAGATATGCCCAGAAGCGATAACAAACAAAAAGAAGGAGGCCATGCGGAATGCTCGAAATGCAATGAATGGTCATGTCAAAATCAAGTCATCAATGCGAAAATAGAGAAACATTTTGGGAGGGGGGAGAATCTTTTCTTTTGTACAGTCTTTTTTTGAAGATCATATCAGATTAGATCAGATCAAACTGCGCACGGAGCCATCCGTCTACCGCGGGCACGGCCAGAATGCCCCGCTATTGGACTCAACCTCGGCTGCTCCATGCATCTTCCACTTTACGCAGAGATACCCTTCGCAGTTGCAGCCTGCTGCAACACGCGCGGCCAACGCGAGATCAACTCGACATCGTCGAGCACCCCCTTGCCCTGGTTACGCACGTACTGCTTGCTAGGATCCACGCGGGGCTCATGATCCCAGAAGGTGGGGGTACCCTGAATCAACGCAGAGTACACCAGACGTCGGCGGCGCTGCGACCGGATAACATCCTGTCGGATAGCCTCCAGATCCCAGCGACTGTGGGTTTCCTCGAGGAAATAGGCCAGCAGCTTGGTCGGCTCCGTGGTATCGGGTAGCGCGGGGAATTTGGCAGGGCTGGGAGTGCGAGGGGGTGTAGGCGATGGGAAGGGGTATTGTTGGACCGAGGCATCGGAGGCGCGTTGCGGGATGGGCGAGACGCGGGGAGTATCGTAGGGAGTGGGCAGACTGGCCGGCACGTCTAGAGGGTTGACGGAGGCGGGTTTGATGGGGACTGCATGTTTAATCGCTGATGGGATAGGCAGACCCGCGACCAGGTTGATCTTCTCCTCTGGATCATTGACCAGGTCGAACAGCATGGGCGAGTCGATAGTCGAATAGATGAACTTCCAGCGACCACGGCGGATCATAACCAAGGGGGCCTGGGTGCCTTCACCCATGTACTCGCCGTACACGGTGTCGGTGCGAGGACCGTCTTCACCGGTCAAGTACGGCACGAGGGAGACACCGTCGAGCGGGAGTCCCGGCACGAGGGGCGCACCGACCAGACCCGCGAATGTGGGCAACAAGTCCATAGTGGAGACATTCTCCGACACGCGCTTGGCAGCGAATCTCTTTGGGGCGTGGAAGAGCATCGGTACGCGAGCCGAGTTCTCAAACCAGGTCATCTTGTACCACAATCCACGCTCGCCGAGCATGTCACCGTGGTCACCCGTGAAGACAATGATGGTATCTTCGTCCAACCCGGTATCCTTGAGCACCTTGAGAAGCTTGCCGATGTTGGTGTCAACGTATGTGCAGGCCGCATAGTATGCGCGACGGGCGGCGCGAATGCGCTCATCGGGCATCTCCTTGCCGAACAGGTCGATACACTTGAGCACGCGCTGGGAATGAGCATCCTGCTGGTCGTGGGGGATGGCGCCATTCTTGGGCAGTGGAATTTCCACATTCTCGTACAGATCCCAGAACTCCTTGGTCATGGCATACGGGTCGTGGGGGTGCGTCATAGAGACGGTCAAGCAGAACGGTTGGTCGGTGCGGTGGCGCACGTGGTCGTACAGATACTGCTGGGATTTGTAGATGACCTCCTCGTCAAAGTCAAGCTGGTTGGTGCGCACGACGGGGCCGGCTTCCATGACGGATGACATGTTGTGATAGTAATCCTGGCGGATTTCCTAGAGGTTCAAGTTAGCCAGACTTGATTCAATTTAAGAGAATTGGAAGCTATTCTTGAGGGGAAAGGGGAAAGCACGCACCGGCTCGTCCCAGTTGACCGACCAGCCGTAGTCACCGGGATATATGTCGCTCGTCAAGCGCTGTTCATAGCCATGCAATTGATCCGGGCCGCAAAAGTGCATCTTACCCGCCAAAGCCGTGTGGTAACCCTCGCGACGAAGGTAATGGGCGTAAGTGGGCGTGTCGGCGGGCAGATCCGCAGCGTTATCGTACGCGCCGATCTTTGAAGGCAGCTGACCGCTCACCATGACGAAGCGCGAGGGCGCACATAGAGGGGAGTTACAGTAGGCCGAGTCGAAGACCACACCCTCACTCGCCAAGCGGTCCAAATTAGGAGTCTTGATGGGCGAGTTCTTGTCGTGCAGAGACAGCAATGGCGCGGCCATCTGGTCCGCCATGATGTAGAGGATGTTGGGCTTTTTGGTCGCCATGATGGAATTGCGACGGTGTTGTGCAATATGATTCAGAGGACGGCCCGAGGAGGGGAGAAGCTAGGGAGAAAAGGGAGGTCTAAGCCGGAGACACTATGAATGGAAAAAGGAAGAGAATAGAAAGTGTACCAGAGTTGGGAGGGGAGGGTAGATATATGAAGCCGATGGCGTATGTGGGGAATGCAAGAAAGGGCCCGAGACCCAAGAAAGGAGTTGCTTTAGACGGGAAACAATGCGAAAATACTATAGGCTGGAAGAACAATTGAATCAGATTATCAACTCCCTGCAGTACATTTTGGGAGGATGATCAAAGCCAGAGAAGAAGAAAAAAAAAAAAAAAAAAAAAAAAAAAAAAAGGGAAAAAAGATGGTGTATGGCGCTTGTACGGAACATTTGCCGGGGTAGACAAGCTCCCATGAATGCGGAGTCCGTCGAGTAGTCGAGAGCTTCTGTTCCTACCAGACCGATAGACTCCTTACGTTATTCTTCCATGCATTTTAGCCAACTTTCTCCGCATGACGACTACCCCGAATGCGATTAGTCTTCCTGCATGGAAGATCAGGGGCAGAAAGAACTGACGTACGACTCACAAAGGTGCAAGATGGGCTCATTCTGAAGTGCGATGGTGTGATTGTTACGATCACCGGTATCCATGGTATTGGAATCGGGTGGGTGGTATTTTATTCGTATTTTATCCGGGTACGGTCAGGCACGCTTACGCAAGATACGGAAGATACGGAAGTATATCGACTCGCCAGGAAACCCCATGAACAACGAAGCAAATGGTGGATGGGTATCACTAATTTGAAAACTCACAGGGTGATAGCACTTTAGACTCTGGACATTCCTCGGCCGATCAGCCCTCTGGAGGGGGTCATGTGGTCCTTGAACAAAGAGCTGGACTCGGTATCCAGCTCGAGGCACTCAGTCCGGACCATTCAGCATGAAGGGAACATGTCAAACGGAACGCGCCAGCAGTCGTGTCGAAGTTGCCACCTGCAGCGGAAAAGTGGGTTGGCGTAGCTGGGAGCTGGTCCGTCGTTTAGCAACTGCAACTGATGACCGTTGACCCGCGAAATATGAGTTTGGCAGCGTGGGATTGATCCTAGAGGGAAAATAAATTACGACTCGTGACGAGTGTAATACACACTCGTCCGCGTAAGTTTGACCCCCTCGATCAGCCCCCCGACCGCACCACGGGGAATAAAATCCCATAATACACACTCAACACTGACAAGGTACACTTTTCATGAGCAGTTTTTTTCTGAAATTCACTCGACCCCCGAGTGGCCTGCGACTATAAACCGCGTCAACGGGAGAATCGAGGTGCGGTTGACAGACCCTTGTAACGTGGCCGATCCCCCCGTCGCTCCGGGCCCAACTCTGTTCTCCACTGGATCGTGTCATCGCAAACCGGTCCAATCAGCAGCCACTCGGTTGACCCCTGGGGTGGCCATTTTCAGCACTAGTCGCCTGCTTAGTCGCGTCTTAGTCTGGGCCCAGAAGTATAGCCTGCGACCAGCGGTCCAACCACTGGTGACCCGCTTCCTAGTGAGGCTTAGCGGGGGCTCATGACTCCACTTGCTTATCTGTATAGCCAATGAGGTGGGATAAAGTATGTTCCAATGGAGGAATTGTGGGAGAAGAATAGAGAAAAAAAGGCCCGCGTGGTCAATTACTCTTATGGAGGAGGGACAGAACCTAACGATGGAGCATGGAGCATGAATCCGTGAGTGCCGAGCTAGCGGAGCCTGGATGACGAGGCCGCTCCGATAATTATTCCTTCAGGTGACATGTGGAAGAAGCGGTGTATGTGATAGACGATAACCGACCAAGGAGGTCCTCATTTTTGTGAGATAGTCGTGTCTATCTTCTGCCTATCCGATGCCAATACTATAGTTATACTATAGTAAACCACTTACCACACTCGGGATTCCAATATCATCCAATCGCAATTCTCTCTTCATCCCCATAGTCCCGTTTCGCAACACATGAGCAATCCCCCTGCGCAAGCACGCCATGGCAAAATGCACTCGGCCACCGGCCCCCGGCCCCGGATTTCCACAATCCACATTCCATACTCCAACATGACAATGACAAACAAAAAAATGATTTCGATAACTTAATATTAGTTCTCCATTTCTAATCCCGTTCCCCGGTTTCTAAACATCCCGCCAAGCAAGAGCGTCACCGCTGTTTTGAATTCCCCAACGCACTAGCGCCGGGTGGAAAAGTACCTTCACTGCCAGCTCCCATAGTCCCCACCTACATCCACGGAGATCTCCACTGGCGCTCCGTCCAAGACAAAATTATACTGACCCGGACACATGGCGTAGAGATACATCCCGCCCGGTGTAACGATCACCTGCCGCAGAGCTGCACCACCACTCGTGGCGGGACTATTTCACCAGATGCAGAATGGCGCTGATTAATGCAGCAGATCGGAGATCGACCTTTATCTTGTAGGAGATCACGGGTCACTACATGGAAGATACACTAGTGTATCGGAGAAGGAGAAGGAGAAGGAGGATGTTACCAAGTAGCACTGAGTACACGGAACTTGCCACCGCACCTCCACCTAGGTGGTTGGTTAATCTTGCAAAAAATGACCACTATCCATCTGCGCCAAGTAACTAGATTTACAATATGTTCTATATCCCTACCTACGTGCACATGCTACGTAAGCTACGCACGGTAGTTACCTCCGGTGATGAAACGAGCGACTAACAGCCCGTCCCCGAGAATATCCCGCCGGCCACGAGTTCATCATCGCCAGGTTGGGTATTTCCTTCCGGATGGTATTGCAAGGGTATCTGCATTATGGGACAGGGATTGGTGACTGGAGGTGAAAATCGAGAAAAGCTTACCAACAGAAAGCTTGAGCAATGGAAATGAAGGAACTCGAACAATAACATGCGACACGGTGTTTTCCGCTTGGATATTGGCGGTACTACACCATCTCACGGAAGGATACCTATATCTCTTGTGCCTTGGGAAGATGCATTTGCTTGCCCGCTAGTTATTAGACCAGGACACAAAAGCGTCGTTAGATAGGCGTCTAGAAAGCCATTTATGCCTGGTAGATAGTAGGCGCAAAAGCATGATCAGATGGAGATTGAAACATGAAATGGACCATTCACTACTTCAAAAATCCATAAGGAGAATAAAATGTAAAAAGAGGTTTGGTCTGAGATATGTTCTTTCTCAGAGACCTGGAGCTTGTATATATAGGTGAGGAGGCTATTTGATTACTCCCTGATACCCCACAATTTCTTATTCTCCGCCGTACTACTGTTGTCTCTCCGCCTGGACCTTGGTACTGGTGGGTAGGTTCTGCATATACCAAACTGCCAGGTCTCGGGTTGCTTGGGCATCCTCGAGACTGTCATGACCACCCCGACCTTTCTGAATCTCGCGGCCCAGGTGAGCCTTCGCGAGTTTCTGCAAGCTTGGCGATTTAGCCGGCGTTGTGAGGCGGCTCTCGCAATTCAGAGTGTCAATGACCTTGCGGTGGATCCACCGAAGAGAAAGGAAATCATTATGGCCCCCGTGCACAATAACTATCGTTTCCGCGCCGACAAATTTCCATAGTTGACGGCGAGCAGCGTCGCGACCTTTAATGACCTGCCCCACATCACGAGCTTTGTAGAGCATTGACCAGTCCACTCCAGAGTACTTTTTGTTTAGATGCCACATCTTGACCTGTGGGAATACGAGGGAGTCCAGTAATGTTTCACCGCTGAAAAAGTCGATGGCGGTGATACGGACGAGCTCAGGTTCGCCGGTGTTGGCTGCACCCATCTCGCAATCGAGGACAATGCATCGGCGAGGGTTTTTGCAGTGCTTTGGGGTTTGATGCAATTCAAAGTCTTTCCAGAGCTGCCAGGGCGTCTGGTTGTTGACGTGATGTGGTGACTCGGAACAGCCCCGGCTGAAGGCGCCCTGGTTGCAACAGATGAACTTCTATCTTTGAATCAGTAACCACCTCTTTCCAACACACTATAAGATGGTTCATCTATAATAATAATGGTAGACTCACTCCTTTGGAAAAGCAACCAGGGTGGCCATGGCAGGGTCCCTTCTTAGTGATATCCTCCGGACGGTACTTGTGATTCCGAAGATACTCTTGAAACTCGCCTTCCGTAACCTTGACCGAGTACCAGCTGGCATTACCGGTCTCGGTACTCATCTGGAGCCGGCTTTGATAATGAACAGCCTTGCCATCCGAACCCAATCGATACCAAATAGGCTCGTGAGCGGACGATGTGGTGAACTTGGAGTAATCAAAGATGCACTCCGGGTCAGCAAGCATTCCGAACGGGTGTAAATAGTAGCCAAACCCACTGTGGGGAGGTTCCCCGACATCTGTCTGCTTGTTTGTCTTTTTGGAGCCCTGTGTAGTACCGTGGTTATCATCTTCCAGAAAGACAAGGCGTTGGCGAACAAGCAAGGCCCATTCTAAGTCCTCTGCCAATTGAGTGTTGAGTGCAGCCTTTTGTGCGGTGATTACTTTGCCATTACGAGCAGACTGCACGTCGCCAGACTTTTCATGTTCAATCTCATTTCCATTGTCATCAAAAAGGATCTTCTTCCGCTTTTGGAAAATTCTTTCTGTAATGGGTCGTTAGCAAAATCAGTGTTAAATACTGTCAAAGCAAAATTAAATGGTGACATACGACGACATAAAAGGCAGCGTCGCAGTTGAGCTAGCTCATGTGTGTTGTAGTTTTCTACGCGCAACCCATTCTCTATCATCTGACCCCGAGAAAGGACCAAACCGTTCAGATCGGCCCACTGCTGCTCGGTAAACCGAACAGGCGTGAGTTGAGTAGCGCTTCTCACCATCTTAGGCTGGTAAGAAAGAGGTGGAACCATTATGGCTTTGTTGAAGAGCGAGAAATCCGAATTCGTTCAGCCGCGAGTGCTGAGACTAAAGGTTAACGATGGGATTGAGTCGCGATTGAGAATAGGATCAACCCGAGGAAAAATCGTAGCCTTAATTGAGGAAGACTTGAACGGTGGGTGAGCCGATAAAAGCCCGGGATCCTGGAGATGCGTAGAAAATGAGAGGTCTGAAGGGGATCTTTAGGTGAGAATGTTCGAGCTTGCAATTTCCGTGGATGGATAATACGATATGAATTGGTTGGGATGCGACTAGGATGGAAGGGACAGGAGGAAGAAGATGTTTAAATGCCCCTCGGAAAGGGATTCTAGAGGAGAATCCCGTGATCTGACTAGTCTAGCCAGCAGTCACAGGATGAAAGGCAGGACAATCAAGTCGAGTTAGGCTGATGCGATTGTGTCTGGTACGAGCTTACAGCAAGTTTTGAGATTCGATAAGTTCCAGCCATGGATGGATGCTAAGGGCAAGGAATCTAGCTTTTCCATTAGATCGGACAATTACAACGGGCAACGACCCAGAATGCCAAGCACCACCGAAAAAAAAAAGAGCAAAAAGGACGACGAAACTCAAGGCGGTTCTGGAAGATGGAGAGGTGTCGTTCCTAAAATGAGAGATTGTACAAACTAGAGACAGTTGTATAGACTCTACAGTAATGGCGCCTCGGGGCTTACACCTGAAGACCCAGTTGTAGCGACTAACATTTTGAATAATAAATTCAATAAATTAACGCTCAACTTGGCAGCCACAGCCTTGCGCCGAAACCCAAATCCAATGGGGTCGGCCAGCCAACCGTGAATGCAGCATCTTCTGGCTTTGTTGTATGATGACACAACTTAAATAGACACAAATAGACACAAAGGGACACAGATGAATGTGACAGATAGAAAGTAAATAAGATGGAAGTCGTGTATCTGGAAGGAAGGAAGGTGTGTCTGAACATAATGGGAGTCGAGACATGCAATTCAAGAAAGGACGCCGCGGTGGTAGGAAAACATCACCAATGCTTGAGGGTAGATTAATCATAAGAGATTTGGAGGAATGAGAGAATTGATAAGAAGAAGTGGCCAGTCGCCGAGTGGACTGGCTGGGGAAATTTGAGGATGAATGACTTGGTTAGTCCACCTTGATAGCACTGCAGTCAAAGGTTTATTAGTCTTTGACATGGCGAGGAGAGGGCCGGATATAATGACCTACCTGTAGACACGACGGACAAAGGTGTAGGCGGCCAAGAAGCCGACGGTACCAGTCAACAGACCATATACAGCGCAGGCGAGGAAGCTGTAGCTGAAGAACAGCAACGTAGAGACAAAACCAGTGATGTGTAGCTTGAACATGTAATACCAAATGCAGTAGGCGAAGATCCAAAAGGCGCTGCTTCCACCAGTGAGGAAGCTTTGCCACCACCAGTGATAGTTCTACAAACGTTAGTCGAGAGTTCTCACAAAACCAAGGGGAAAAAGTTCATACCTCAGAGCAGAGCTGACTGTAGGTGGCAATGACGGTCACTTCGACAACCGTCACAAGAAGTACGACAGAGACGACACTGAGGAAGCCAAACACATAGTAGTAGCCACTCTTGTCCTGCCATAGGTTCTTGAACACGAAGAGCAGCTCAATAAAGAGAACAGCGAAGGGTATCAGACCGGTCAGCAGGGGACCTGCGGGGCTACGCAGGTACCAGGGCAGGGGTGGGATTTGGCGAGGAATGGCATTGGTCTTCAAGGGATGCTCCCAGGGTTTCGCCCGCACATAGCCCACCCAGCTACCGATGTAAACGAGGGGTACTTGAATGAGCAGCCAGAGAGCAAGAAGGCCAATGAGAGTGCCGAATGGGATTGCCGTGCTGGATGCTTGAGCCCAAACAAAGAGGTTTAGAATCAGAACAAGGCAGAAGGTCAGACCAGGGAAGAGAAGAGCCGTCTAGAATTCAAGTTAGTATGGGTTGAGCCAAAGGTCCATTTTGAATTGATAAAACCTACGATCAGAGTGTTCTTCCGCCAGCCAGATCCACCAAAGGTCTTATACAGGCGTCCGGAAAAGTAACCAGAGAAGACTCCGGCAAACACAAACAGACCCATGCCGACGCTGACGAAGCCACCACGGAAGCTGGGGTTCAATATACCCAGGCAAGATAGCACCAGCAGGCCTGTAGCCATGAACAAGAGCTGCATGCCGGATCCCACCAGGGGAGCGAGAAGGCCACTGTAAGCTGGAACACGGAAAACATCACCATGGAGGAGTTTCCATCCGCTGGTGTCTTCAAACGGCTCGTCATCTGACGACATATCCGCATCGTGCTCAACATCTGCGTTGTCCAACAGCCCCTCGCTCTTCTTCTCACCAGAGCGCTTACGACGAGATTGCACCTTCAACTTGCGGTCCTCCATGGCACCGTCACCACGGCCCTTGATATCACCTTGGACGGTGCGACTCCAGATGACGAAGACAGTCACGCCCAATACTGTGGAGATAGTCAGAGAGTTGATGATCGCCAGCCAGTGAGTCATTGAGCCCTCTCCCTGGTTGGTGAAGTACAAGTCCCAGCGGTTGGTCCATTCGACCTTGGTCTCCTCTCGGAAATACACAGAGTAGGTGTAGGGGATTTCCAGCGTGGCACCATCGTCATCGTCGTCGTCCTCTGGAATATACGACAGTCCACCGTACTTCTCGCGTAGGCGCGACATGTTGGGCGCGATATACAGACCCAGACCTTCTTGGTCCTTGTGCACGGCCTTGGGACAGCCGTCCTCCTTGCGGTCATCCGCAGAGATGCTCTTGGGGTAGACCTCGAACCCGACGATAACCTTGCCTCCCTCCGGCGCACTCCGCCAGCGGATGACGATGGTGAAATGGTTGTTGATGAAGTAGCGCGACTGGCCGGTAGCCGGAGAAATATCACGGTAGCCCAACTTAAATCCGGACGCATAGTACTTGCGGCTGCGGTCGACGGTCACAAAGCTCGTGGCTCCGGGAAGGTTATCAACGATCCACTCAATCACGTAGTTTTCCTTGATCAATTGGCGTGCCCACTTGACATCTGAACGGCTCACTTGCGCAGTGCAAAGAGACCGGCATTCCACATCTTTACCCATGACGAGCTCGAAGTCAGATGTCATGATGCGATCTCCCCGCAGAACTTCGCCCAGGTTGAGCGAGATACTCTGGCCAGATCCAAATGGGGATCCGCCGTGGGTGCGGCCGCTCGGGGGGCAGACGAATGGGAGGTCGAAATACGCATATTGAAGCTGGGTGTGGTCGGAAAAAATCTTGTTCACGAGCAGGGGGATCGATTGGTCGTCGTTGTATCGGGTGACCGAGTATCCTAATAAGAAGGAAGGGTCCAGGTTAGTGTTGCACAAGCAGTCTTCCCAGTCTCAAAGAAGCTCACCAGGGATGTAAAACGCCCAGGCATTAGACACGAAGAGGATCAGGCACAAGGCCAAGTTGTGGGCCCGAAACGGCCTGGTAGTATTTGTATTCATTGTGAACGAATCTTGAGTTGCGCCGCTCTACTCGGAGAAAAAGGGCAGCTTCTAGATACCCATGCACGGGGCGTATGTGGGTAGAGAAGCGCAGATCCCCAGAGCTCCGCTAGCGTTTGCACCCTTGATCTTCGTCGGAAGAGATAGACTCGTGATGTGAGGAAGTTATATAGGTGATCGACAAGGGATAGGTGAGCGGCGGATACGGAGATGATGATGCTGAGCGCTCGGTAGATAGCCAATCGACTGTGGTCGGCCGTATGGGGCGCGATAGGGACCAGCGGGTTCAGATGTGTTGAGGATAACGAGTGTAATCGGCAACGAATGCCACAGTGTCAGCAATGGAGTATTAAATGCACGACCGAAGGGACGAGGGGGGCTTTCACAGGGTGTCGGCCTCCTCCAGCGTGTCAACACGGATTACCTAATGAATGGCATGCGGATGGCAAATTGCGAGGATCGCCAATCACAACCCGGAATTCTTGTTCTCTGTCTTTCGTTCATGCGATGCCACTGTAGGGCAATTTAACCATAGTTAATCGGGTTAAAAAGAAGAAAGATCAGGTTTCAGTAACAGAGGGATGGATTTCTTACCGGGAATTCTCCGCAATAACATATCCAACAATTAGACGGTCAAGCCAAGGCTTTCTAGTGGAATACATATTTCTGCCGCAATCTTCTTCACGTGTTGTGGAGACACTACGTACCCTGGGACGGAGGTGCTATTTATGTAGCGTCCAATTAGAGAGCCACTTATCACAGCCCTACGAATCAAATCATTTTAACAACGTCCACTGTCTGGGATGAAAGAGCTCGAGGGTGGGTGAAATAGGTGACTTGACTGCGTTGTTCTGCAACGGGAGTGGTATTATCCACTACTCTCTTCATTGCGGGCACGATACCGGGCTTCTCTATTTCCCTCTCCCTCCGTGTCTCTATTCGTTTATCTTCTTGTGTGTTTTTCTTGGAAGAAACAATGAAGCTGATGCAACTTTGCAAGACTGTTCTTGCTAATGTGATTGGACCACAATGAATTATTAAAAGTTCCAATGGAGACAGAGCCTCGAGTACTAAGGAGGTGCTAAATATGATAGTGGAGAGAGTATGCCACCGGGGACAGGGTGCTAGTGAAAGAAATTTGTCCAACGTGCATCCGCCAAGAAACAATTCTTATCAAGGAAGTGTATGCGGATATGGGGAATGTAAGAAGATCATTGGCATTCGGCAGGCCAGTCGTAACGACACATCATGAAAGCAAAGGGCCATGAAATACATATGGTAGGGAAAGGGACATGATAATAGAGGCTATTGGCCAAGAAAAACACAAGCAATAAGGCAAAAAACTCATGATCCATGGGTAAGGAGGTACTCAACGGCTCCTTGAACACTGCCACCCGAACGACGCAGAGCCTCGATATTTCGCTCGAATTCAAAGAAACCCATGTCATTCAATTGCCGAAGTTGGTCGGCATATCTCTCCTCCGGGGGCCTGTTATCGGCTGGCTGTGGAGAACCGAAGCCGCCGCCGCCCCCAAACAGAGCTGCCATTGGGTTAGCACCAGCAGCACCTCCCTCAGCCCCCGGACCTCCCATCCCCTGCATCAACTGGTTCATAAGAGCGGGGTCGCGCAAGAACGGGTTCTGCTGGGGATCAAATGGGTTGATGCCTCCTTGGCCAGCAGCATTACCGAACAGAGCCGGGTTGAGGAGAGAAGCAAAAGGGTTCTGAGCAGCCTCAGGAGTCTGGCCCTGACCCTCTCCAGCCGCAGAACGGGCTGCAGTATTCTGGGCGCCTTGAGCACCCTCCGTCTGGTTGGTTCCAGGAGTGCCAGTACTGGCGGGGGGCTGGCCGAATGGTTGACCGCCAAACAGAGCGGCAAACGGATTACCCCCCATCATTGGGTTCGGCATTTGGCCAAATGGGTTGGCTGGTGTGTTTTGCTGCTGCTGGGTATTCTGGGCATTCTCAGTCGTGTTGGTCACACCAGGGGCCGGGAAAGCACTATCACCACCACCCATGCCCCCACCGCCCATGCCCATTGCCCGTTGCATCTGCATCATCTGACGAAGGGCCGCAGGGTCGGTCAGCATACGACGGAATGCAGGTCGTTGCATCAGTTCGCGGGCCATGGGACCCATATCGCGAAGCATGGGGTTCTGTTGAATCATCATATCAATCATTGCGGGATTTTGTAGCGCCTCGTTGATCTGGGACTGGATTTGGGGGTTTTCCAGCATGTTCAACATGGCTTCGCTATCTGGAGGAGGGCCCATCTATATCAAAAGTATGCCAAAGTTAGCCAAGTCAATAGGATTATGAATAGGAGCTAATGCTAGACGAGGGACTCGAATATGTATTGGATTAGGTGTTCGACTTACCCCACCATCGGGGCCAAAGAGGCCAGCCCCGGGAAGTTGAGCGAAACCGGCATATCGAGCACCGGTCAGACCAGCAAGAGGGTTGTTGCCGGTACCAGCAGCGAGGTTGGTGGGGACACCGGCAGCAGGCTGGCTTGGGGTAGTAGAGCCGGCCCCTGATGCCGCGGAGGTAGATGGAGCGGATGCATTCGAGCGTTGTTGGTTGCTGGCAGCACTCTTTACCAAGTGAATTGTGTGGCCATCCTTGATCTTATAAGTCTCGAGTGTCTCGTTGTCTTTGAGTACTCTACCGGAGTAGATCAGGCGCTGACGTTCGGCGGGGGTGTCGGCATACTCAGAGCTAGAGAGCTTCTCCTTGAGCTCCGAGACAAGTGTAGAAAGAGGAAGAGTAAGGGTGAACTTGGCATCAGTGGATGACTTCACGGTGAAGGTGATAGGAGCCTCCTCCGTAGTTGCATTGTCATCCGCCATGGTCGATCGATATGTACTGTAGGCTGCCGCTGGCGAGTGGGGTAGTTGAAGAATGGGGAAAGCAGAGGAACAGAGAATCACGTAAATCGAAGCAGACAGCGGGCGAGAGATGAAAGAGTGCCAGCTACACCCAGGGAGAGAGCAATTCTGGAGGGCGACCAAGATAGCAGCAGGAGGTTGCCAGATATTGTGGAGGCGATGATGCTTCCCTGTGACCGACCTAGGCTAACGGCCATTACATAAGGGCGGTGATGGCGGCGGAAGGCGGTCGAATTCGATGGTGCGTTACACCACGTGATCATCCAAAACAGCTTCCCGCGCACTGGGAATTTTGCAAGTTTGCTTCCCGCTGCTCGAGCTTCTGCTGAAAACCTCTTCAGAACTCCCTCAGGAACTCCCCCCTAAAGCACACAGGAGTCTCCCAACCCCTCCACTCCTTTCAGCAGCTATGGGATTAGTGTGATTACCACACCCCCTGGACTGCAATTGCTCGTGACCTTTTTCAGTCATTTTGCTTCGCGTCGGGGGTGCAAAAAGACCTGTCGTCAAGCTTTGATTGCCCATCATGGCCACCACCTCGCATATGTTCATGTACTCGCTGACGATCCAGCCCCCTACTGCGATCACACAGGCCATCCTCGGTCAGTTTGCGGGTACTAAGGAGCAGCAGATCGTCACTGCCTCCGGGTCCAAGCTGACCATCCACCGTCCCGACCCATCGCAGGGAAAGGTCACCCCGATCTACTCCCAAGATGTCTTTGGCATCATTCGTTCTTTGGCAGCGTTCCGACTGGCTGGAAGTAACAAAGGTACGTCTCTGTTGTTGCCCTAGGTTGCATTTACGAGTTCAACTTAGTGATTCTTCAAGCTTCCCGGGTAGCACGGTCTTGGTTTTCCGATCCGGTCCCTTGATGGGCTCCGGAACCTGCCCGGGCCAGCAACATGAACGCTATATAAACCCGTTTCGCGCGAACTTTGCTGAGTCATTCTCTTTCAGATTACATTATCATCGGGTCTGATTCGGGTCGCATCACGATCATTGAATATGTTCCCTCCCAGAACCGCTTCAACCGGATCCACTTGGAAACATTTGGCAAGTCCGGGGTTCGCCGAGTTGTCCCGGGCCAGTATCTGGCCGTAGACCCCAAGGGTCGAGCATGTCTAATTGCCTCTTTGGAAAAGAATAAGCTGGTCTACGTTCTCAACCGCAATTCTCAGGCCGAGCTCACTATCTCGTCTCCGCTTGAGGCACACAAGCCGCAGACCTTGGTCTTCGCCATGACTGCACTGGACGTGGGCTATGAAAACCCCGTCTTTGCTGCTCTTGAGGTGGATTACTCGGAAGCCGATCAGGATCCGACTGGTCAGGCGTACGAGGAGATCGAGAAGGTGCTTGTCTACTATGAGCTTGACCTGGGCCTCAACCATGTTGTTCGGAAATGGTCTGACCCTGTCGATCGTACCGCCAATATGCTGTTCCAAGTGCCAGGAGGAGCAGATGGCCCCAGCGGTGTTCTCGTGTGCGCGGAGGACAACATCACCTACCGTCACTCGAACCAAGACGCCTTCCGTGTGCCCATTCCACGCCGGACTGGACCGACCGAGAATCCGGAAAGGAAACGCACCATCGTGTCAGGCGTGATGCATAAGATGAGAGGCGCCTTCTTCTTCCTCCTTCAGACGGAAGATGGCGACATGTTCAAGTTGACCCTTGACATGGCCGAAGATGAGAATGGTCAAATCACTGGCGAGGTCAGACGGCTGAAAATCAAATACTTTGACACTGTCCCCGTTGCCTCCAGCCTGTTGATCCTGAAGAGTGGTTTCCTCTACGTCGCCAGTGAATCGGGCAACCACAATTTTTACCAATTTGAAAAACTTGGTGATGACGACGAGGAGACCGAATTCAGCAGTGACAACTTTTCCGCCGACCCCTCCGTACCCTATGAGCCGATCTTTTTCCACCCTCGCACCGCGGAGAACTTGAACCTCATGGAGAGCCTGAATTCACTCAATCCATTGACGGATAGCAAGGTTGCCAACCTCACTGGCGATGATGCTCCACAAATCTACACCGTGGGTGGAACTGGCGCGCGGAGCTCCTTCCGAACACTCAAGCATGGGTTGGAAGTCTCAGAGATTGTCGAGTCAGAACTTCGAACAGTACCCTCAGCAGTCTGGACCACGAAACTCACTCGGGGTGATGAGTATGATGCTTACATCGTGCTCTCCTTTGCCAATGGTACTCTCGTCCTCAGTATCGGAGAGGTCGTGGAAGAGGTTTCAGACACTGGGTTCCTCTCTACCGCCCCGACACTCGCAGTGCAGCAGCTGGGCGAGGACTCTCTGATCCAAGTCCACCCTCGCGGTATCCGTCACCTGATGGCTGATCGCCGCGTTAACGAGTGGCCCGCACCGCAACACCGATCCATTGTGGCTGCGGCTACCAATGAACGGCAGGTGGCTGTCGCTCTCAGCTCTGGTGAGATCGTCTACTTCGAAATGGATGCCGATGGATCACTCGCAGAATATGACGAACGCCGTCAAATGTCTGGCACGGTTACTTGCTTGAGTTTGGGCGAGGTTCCAGAGGGCCGGATGCGCAGCTCTTTCCTGGCTGTTGGCTGCGATGACTCCACCGTCCGCATCCTGAGCTTGGATCCAGATTCCACCCTCGAAAACAAGTCCGTGCAAGCTTTGACGTCGGCACCCTCGGCTCTGAACATTATTGCCATGGCCGACTCGAGCTCAGGCGGCACCACACTTTATCTGCACATCGGTCTCTACTCCGGTGTTTACCTCCGCACCGTACTGGATGAGGTTACCGGCGAGCTTTCTGATACTCGGACACGCTTCCTGGGTGCAAAGCCTGTGAAGCTTTCGCAAGTCTCCGTGAAGGGCCAAACTGCCGTTCTGGCCCTCAGCTCGCGCCCATGGCTCGGATATTCTGATATTCAGACGAAGAGCTTCATGCTCACTCCCCTCGACTGTGCTAGTATTGAATGGGGCTGGAACTTCTCTAGCGAGCAGTGTGAGGAGGGCATGATTGGTATCCAGGGCAAGAATCTACGGTATGTACTAACTCCCATTCAACCCCCCTCTCCTCATCTTCTTGATCATATGATGAAAAAAAGGATCCGAATTACCATGTGGATCAAACTATTTTATATTTTTCCAATTGTTCCTACTGAGATCAAACACACTTCTATCTTTTGCTGCAAACTTGATTGGGTTTGAGCAATTCACTAACGACCATCAGAATTTTCTCCATCGATAAGCTTGACAACAACATGCTGCAGGAGTCAATCCCCTTGGCTCATACTCCACGTCGCTTTGTCAAGCACCCTGAGCAGCCCCTCTTCTATGTCATCGAATCCGACAACAACGTTTTGTCCTCTGCGACGCAACAAAGCCTCCTTGAGGACTCGAAAACTCGCAATGGTGAAGCCCAGATACTTCCTCCGGAAGACTTCGGTTACCCTCGTGGCACCGGACACTGGGCATCATGCATTCAAATTGTGGACCCTGTCTCGACCAAGCAAGTGGTCTTCACTCTTGAATTGGAAGACAATGAGGCCGCAGTCAGTATTGCCGCAGTACCATTCTCCAGTCAAGATGATGAGACATTTTTGGTTGTCGGAACGGCCAAGGATCTGACTGCCGATTCTCCTTCATCCGCTACTGGTTTCATTCACATCTATCGCTTCCAAGAGGACGGGCGGGAACTGGAGTTCATTCATAAGACCAAGGTTGATGAACCTCCCTTGGCTCTTCTTGCTTTCCAAGGCCGAGTGCTCGCCGGTATTGGTTCGCTTCTCCGGCTTTACGATCTGGGAATGAAGCAGCTGCTTCGTAAATGTCAGGCTCATGTTGTGCCGCATACCATCGTCGGTCTTCAAACACAAGGAAGCCGAATCATTGTCAGCGATACACGTGACAGTGTGACTTACGTCGTTTACAAGTACCAGGAGAACATACTGATTCCATTCGTGGATGACACTATTTCTCGCTGGACAACATCTACAACGATGGTAGATTATGAAACCACTGCTGGTGGCGACAAGTTTGGCAACATCTGGCTGCTTCGTTGCCCCAGCAAGTTCTCCGAGGAGGCTGACGAGGATGGATCTGGTGCTCACCTTGTGCACGAGAGAGGCTACCTTCAGGGAACGCCCAATCGTCTGGAGCTCATGGTCCACTACTATGTGCAAGACATTCCTACGGGCATACACAAGGCGCAGCTGGTGGCTGGTGGTCGTGACATCCTGGTTTGGACCGGCTTCCAGGGCACGGTTGGTATGTTTGTTCCTTTCGTCAGCCGTGAAGATGTCGATTTCTTCCAGAGTCTGGAGATGCAGCTGGCTTCTCAACACCCTCCCCTGGCTGGTCGGGACCACCTGATCTACCGCGGTTACTATGCCCCCTCCAAGGGTGTCATTGACGGCGACTTGTGCGAGATGTACTTCCTGTTGCCGAACGATACGAAGATGATGATTGCCGCCGAGCTCGATCGCTCTGTGCGCGAGATCGAGCGTAAGATCTCGGTAAGTTTACACCAACACCTTTCCCTTTCGTGTTGATTACCATCGCTAACGTGCCGGCAGGATATGCGAACGAGAGTGGCTTACTGATTTTATGAGGGTACTTTCGGCGTCTGGATGCGGCGTTGTTGCTCTGTGGGCTTCAGATACCTAGTTCTTTTACCAATTGACATAACGATGGGTGGGCTTTCCCACCGTCCTTCCTCTTCTCCCCCGTCTCTTTTTTTTTTTCCCTCCCAGTTATCTCAATCCCATGATATCCTATTAGGATGTCGTCTCTTGCCTCGCTCGGTCTGCCGTCTTCACTCGGCTAATCTTGAGCTGGATGCCGCCCATTCACTTTCGTGTCTGGCCAGTATGAGACAAGAAGGAGCGTGGATTTCCACGCGTCGACGTTTTTTGAGTACGGTTTCATCCGCATTGCACCACGGATCCACACCGTAATTTATCTGTCGGGACAGCTCTTGTAAGAATCGATAGTGTTATGAATAGGACAGAAGACAAACATTGAAATCAAAAGCCTACTTTCCCTGGTTAAATCCAAGACCACACCAAGAGATGTTGATTGAACGTCGGGTTGCATCCAAGTCATTCTCATTCTATGTATATTAGAATTAAAGTCACCTGATGAGGATCCCGGCGTCCCAGCCTGACGCCGATCACAGATTAGCCGACTCGACCAGCCGGCTTCAACCACCGAGATTGACGGCCTACTATGAGCCAGCACGAACGATTTCCCCCCCTTTCATCCCGTTGTCGACTCCGAAAACTGCACCCACTCGGCATGGCCAGATGCTCGGTTACGGTCGGAAAATTCTGGATCCTCCCGAGACTCCGGCTACCGTCGTCTCTGCTTGTGCTTCTCCTCGGGAAAGTCCTTGACGGAGCCCCCATAATATGGTGTCATAGCGACAAGAGAATCACGGACATTCAAGGTCGACATCATCTAAATCTCCAGAAGGTTGATATCGAACGCCAGGCTGACAAACCTAATACGAGCGCGCAAGGTTTTCCCATGCTTTGAAATCCCAGGTTGATGTCAGCAGTCAGTCGGTGCTCCAATCACTACCTGCGACTCCCCGCGATGGCTGGGGAGCATGATTGGCCTGTTGCGGCAATCAACGACCGAGCGTCTTCCATCCAGAGAATGTGAGTGGGTCACCTCGATTGTCGCAACAAGCCGCTAGTGGAGACCCGAAGGGCGTGCATGTCGGCGTAAGGCGCGGTCCACCAATGATTCCAGCTAGGCCAGACCCACCCCGTGTCTGTTCAGACTTTCAGACTCAGAGCTTGGGTCCTTTCTGCTTTTGAAGAGAGCTCGATAATCGGATTTGCGGACAGCTCGATGCTGGGCATAACTCTATTGCCAAAAGACGAGCAGAATGGCGACAGAAGTGTATGTTTCAAGGTCACACATTTCATGGTGGTGCTTCTGCTCATTCATGTCTGCGCGATGCAGCTCGGATCCCTGGCCGAGCTCTAGGGATTTTTTTATTATTTTTATTATTATTATTATTTTTTTCTCAAAATTATTGCCTTTTAACGACAAGCGGAATGTCAATCCAAGGGCGTGAGGAGGGCGGAAGTAGGGCGTGACTAGGCTGACCTCGTCCAATCATCGGGTCTACCCAATGACTCGTTGGCTCGACCACTCCAGCTTTCCCTTTAACTACACTCTCCACGATTGCTTTGGCTGGCCCTCCACACGTGTTTCCTCGTTCTCCCAAGGTCGCGGGACCCCATCCGCCATCTTTCAGATCCCGAACGGTACGATTAGGCGAAAGGTTCTGAATGATGCAGATGACTCACGAACAAGGCTGAAAAGCACACCATGGATTTGTAAAGCATCTCTGACGTGATGGAGGATCATCTTCTATGGGAATCATTATTTTGACATCTGTTCTATAAAACGGGGAGACCCCTCCGCAACTTTTTTTTTGCATCCACCACAGACCCATCCAGTTCCTGGTTCCCTGCTTAACCGCATTGTTCTTGGACGGAGTATACAACGAGCCCCAGTGCGGTTGTCGACGGCTCCACTTTCTACTCTCCCTTTTTTTTTTCTCCAGGTCCTGCTTCTCATTTAGCTTTTAAAGAAAACGAACCGCCGAGGTACATTTTCTCAATTTTTTTTGCTTGTCAACCCAAGAACCCAACAGTACACCGTGCAGGGTGTTCCAATCAAGTCGCGAGTGCACGTCCTCGCGGGCCCCGCATCCTTTAAACTCAACGGAGCACAAGAAGCACTCGCTCGCCCACATTCCATTCTACTCACATCTGATCGTCCGTGAAAGGCTTGAGAGCCTCCAAGATCTGAACGCAATGGCTGCCAGGTCTATCATGAGCCACGGCTCGGAAACGCTGGACGTCTTTACACGTCGATCCCAACCTAAGATCGAAATTGAGCTGGTCGGTCAGAAGCCAGGCCTGGTCAATTCCTATACAACGGGTGACCAGATCGAGGGCAACGTCAAGATCACTGTGGATGCCGATACACGCTTTGATGAGGTTGAAATTACCTTCCAAGGTATGTTACCATAAGAACATGAGGGTATTACCATGAGGCCATTGTTAACCTCCTAAGCAGGGACATCGCACACCACTGTCGAGCGGGCTGCATGCCCCGGACGCACAGGATCACAGCAGATGTTCCTCAAGCTCCGCCAACCAATTGAAGAGTCTGACTATCCCTGCCCCCGAATTATGGAGGCAGGACGCACATACTCCTTCCCATTTACCTTTGTGGTACCCGATCGTCTCCTGCCACAGGTCTGCACCCATGCACGAACCAATATCCACATTCACAACGCCCACACTATGCTCCCGCCTACCTTGGGAGACCCTATGCTCGCTGGCAATGGCAAGACTTTGCTGGATGATATGGCTCCCGACATGAGCCAGATCTCATATATCGTGCGCGCAGCGGTATTGAAGAGATCCTCGACCGACCACGGCAACCTCAAAGCCATGGCCAATCTTGCGAAGAAGGTTCGCATTATCCCGACTGTGGAAGAGGAGCCCCCAATCAACGTGGCCGATCACACCTATTATTGCACCCACAAGGAGAAGAGTGTTAAGCGCGGGTTCCTTCGAGGCAAGCTCGGCCGTTTGGTAGCTTCCGCGTCGCAGCCCAAGCCAATTCGCTTGCTGCCTCCCAGCTGCGAGACCAGTGATACGGTCAGCACTATGACATCAGTCCACCTCCGGTTCGACCCCGTGGGTGATGAACAACCACCAAAACTCGGCTCGATGACCAGCAAGATCAAGGCCAGCACCTTCTACAGCGCAGGACCTTGGGACGATTTCCCAATGCATTCTGGCTCAACCCCCATCTCCCAAGTTGGCCAAGGTCTTTTCACCGAATCCGTTCCCATCTCCAACATGTGCGTTGCCTCTGCAAAATGGGTCAAGCACGTTGCATCAACCGAGTGCGAACGCCGCGACTCCTTGCAATCCACGACCTCCGACGACTCAACCGGCCCATCAACCTCTTTATCCCGCGATACCTACTACACCGCATCAGTAGTAATTCCCATCAGTCTCCCCAAAACAAAAACCTTCGTTCCAACCTTCCATTCTTGTCTTATCTCGCGCACCTATTCGCTCGATCTATCATTGACATATCACACGCCGGGCGCCAACGTACTCACTCCGACCGTCTCCCTCCGTCTCCCTATCCAAGTCATCACACAACCAAAGTATGCAGAATCTCTCAAGTCTGATTTGGGCATGATTGTGACACAAGAAGAACTGGACGAATTCTTCCAGCCACGCTCAGTTGCCCCCGTCAACGAGTCGGTTGTCGATGTCAGTCTTGCGCCACCTGAGTATTCGGCAACGGTTATTAGCTCGGGCTTGCGAGGCTTGCGCACCGCCGTTTGATCATTCCTTTCTTTTGCGAAGACATGACCATCTATTTGTTTTCTGGATTCTGGCTTAATAATTCGCTAATACCCCGTGGCCTATACAAAAGTTCATTGTGCTTTTCACGTCTTTGTTGTTGATTTGGTGTTTGCATGGCATTTTCTTACATTACTGAGTCTGAGCCTGTCCGTTTTATGGTCTTTGATGGATATACCCCTTTCGTTTCCTTTCTTTGTGATCAGCGCGATATCATGTTTGTCATTACAGTTCCTGAGATTTTTACGTAATCAATAAATGGAGAACAGAATCTAAACCCAGAAACTTTTACAGTGTATGTGTTCCTTTGATACTCAAAATCCGCAGCTATGTTTAAGCCATGTTGGGACAAATGTTAAGAAGATGATCGATCTATATGGTCTGGACTTCCGGCAAAATGATATTCCGAAGTATATCCTATGGCTCCTCCGTGTCTCATCCTTGGATCTCTCGCACGAAACCGGCATAGAGCTGTCGGCGTTCTGGAGCAATCCTTGCAAATAGATCATACAGATTTCCCATGTTGGGGCAGTGTGGGATGTGGCAGAGGTGCTATATCGCTCCGAAAAACCAGGTCTTATCCACGAAGGCGCAGGCCATCAGGGTCTCGCGGGCCTCCATCCATTCCTGGGAACGCCTCCAGACCAGCCTGTGTCCTGTTTTGAGTATACAGTGGGGCAAAATAGCAGATTATGATACCCATGAGTTCCGGGAGGCCAAGGAGTCTTACCGTGCTTGCGGCAATTACAATGCCTTTGAGCGACATGACTAGCTAGACACGGTAGGCCTTGCAAATTTCGCTCAATCGGAATTCAAAAAGGGGCTCACTTCTCTCTTTTATTAGAAAGGAGCCTTCCAAGGTTCCATCCACCGTCTCTGTGAGCAAGCGTTCATTCCTGGATTCTTCCTACGAATAATATCCATGGGCCATATTCGTGTCTCGTTCTCGTTCTTATAAGCAATCTCACCGGATAAGATGGAGGAGGCGTTTGCCACAACTATATTTGCGTCCTGTACCACTTCTTGTTGACTTGGAGTCAGTATACTCGCCAAACACTATGTCAAATTAGCAGGGAAATTTCTATGACACTGGATTCTCTCAAATCTTCTAACGAAGTAAGAAACCAAGCTCACGATTGTCAATAGAAAGAGAAGTGATTGTTGCGGTAGCCTCATTCTTCAAAATCCAAAACAAAATCGAAGATCACACCCTCGTCCCGTATGGCTGCCTGTTAACACGGTGCTACCTAGATCTCGCTTCTTTCCAAACGAGCTTCTCTTCTGCCTTGAAATCTTCGAATAGTGTCTCGGTGTAGCCTAGAAATCTCATGACCTCCAAATTTCCCTCACACACCTTTTAAAAGCAATATCCCTTGAACAGCCACTGAGATTTCACTCTACCTACGCCCGAATGACCTACTCCCTCATCATCGCCCACAAGATGAATACAGGCGCACAGCGCGTACTCACAACCCCGGAATTATTCTGTCGCAATTTCGACTTTCTCGATGATGGAGGTTACGCCGGCCCGGTATCCTTGCGCTACGATCGCCATAACCTGGCCCGATGCGCCAGTATCAACAACCTATGGTGCCAAGAGATCATGCATCGATTCTAGGCTCGCCCCGTTGGAGAAATGAATGGCCTTCTTTGACACTTTCGCCGCGTAAAGCGATATCGTCGGCAGTTCTACGCCAACTTTGTGATGCGACTCAACATCATGAGCGTGCTGGACATGGATATTTCGCGGTGCAACATTGGCTTTCGGGGCTTGTCCTTTCCCCAACTCGAAGTCCTACACCTGACAGTCCGAGCCAGGCATGCCAATATTCCCAGAATTCGTGCCCCAGCGCTGGAGGTTCTGCACGTCACCCTGTGTATCGACCCATTCAAGAGTCTGGAAGGACCGGTTGCAATGAAGGACCTGTTCCGACTCATCAAGGTTTGAATCCACATTTCCTGGGAACAGGAACGACTTTTACTGACTTAACAATAAAGGGCGGACTCCCGAGTCTCAAGCTGATCAAATTCGACTTTCTCTCTGAGGTTAATGATCATCTACTGGCCGTTTTTCAGCGTCACTTTCCCCATGTTGAGATTGTCAAGGAGCTTGGCCTTGTACCTAAATTCTAGGGATATCTGCTAAACTTTGAAAAAAATCCGACTGGTTCATAACATCATTCAGGCGCTAGACAATAAAGTTGTACCAGAACTAAGGACTTCGCTGAGCAGTTAGCTCTATACTTCGCGAAGTTTGTTAACTGAAATTTATGGCAGGAAATTACCACATTAGACTATAAACTTGTTGTTAGCCCGAGCTTTTCCGATGCCATAGCTGTGGTATCTGCAATAGTATTTGCCTATGCTGACCCCCCGGCCGTCTTCTCCATATTCTCCGAGATGCGTGAGCCCCGCCACTGTACTAGATTATTAGTTTAATGTCAGACTGTGGTAACCTCAGTCTATCTTGCTATCGGATGTGTTGTATACTACTACTGTGGCTCCTACGTCGCATCGCCTACTCTTGGCTCAACAGGTCCTACTATGAAGAAGATCAGCTACGGGTTTGCACTCCCGAGGCTAATCGCTAGCACCATGCTAGTGATTGATGTTAGTCTTGACTATTTACTCCACTTGTTGCTCCGTTGCAAACTAATGAGATATAGCTCCCGGCGAAGTCAATCTTCTTTTGAATGCTACAAAGCTCCCGACATTTGGCTGCCAACACTGTTGTTCACTGGCTGGGTAAGTTGGCTGGGTTGCACCCTCGGGACAACCGTAGTGGCCTACATCATTGCCAGCGCCATACCCGGCTTCAACAATTTCGTGTCCCTGATCGGTGCCCTGCTTGGGACCATGATATCTTTCTAGCCCATGAGATGGACGTGGTTTTATGATCACTGGGCTCAAGGCGAGATCGATAAGTTCTTCAGGTGAATCTTGATGGTCTGCTGGAGCATTTTCGTGGTTATTTCGGGACACTGCTGACGGTAGCTGGTATTCATGGATCTGTTGTTAGTATCATCGATAGCTACAACGAGTCTGGAGGCTCGGCAGCGTGGTCATGCGCGGACAACTCCTACTCGACCTGAATCGGGGTTTGCCCGGTTAGATTAGTTCATTCTCTAGGCAATTTGGTATGGACGGCCTCCACGGGCTAGATGTACCAGCGGTGGCATGCATCACTTGATCAGGTCTTCCCAGATTAGGCTGCATATCATATTCCGAAATAGGTAGATACGTGATTTTGCATGACAAATGACTGGATAGTCTACCTCATCGAGGATGATCTCTGCAGTAAGCGAAATTAAGCTCAGGGCAAATGCGGGGACCGAGCGCTCTCGTGCAACAATCCGAGGGGTCCGGTTCCTGTTCCCAACCCACGCCAAGCGGCCCCGGTTTCACCTTCTTTATCTTCAGCCTTTGTCGGATGTGGTCTCAGATCGGATCTCAGACATTATGCCGCTATCCACTGGGAAGTATAGCCCTGTCACAAAAGGAGCGACGAGGCTCTCTGCAAACTATCTTGGGTATACAGGTCGCGTTGAGGAGAGCCCTTGTACTACCTTGGGACGTCATTCCCGAGCAAAGTCAACTTGAGGATGACCCCCCTGAATAATCATCTTGCATATAGTCCGTCCAGAATGTTTTCTGAACACCCGGCAGATCGACTTCGAGGAGCCACACCCCGTCTTGGGTGGTATGGCACATGCCCCGGTCGCATGGGTGTCCGGGGCATGAGTGTTACATTGGCTTATCGCGCGGGTGATGCGTTCCTGCAGCTTGCACCGAGGACCAAGACCCTTTCTCATCTGATTCGTCCGCTGCAACGCCAGGTGAGTAGCCTCTAGACTCTTTCTTGTCAGTGCTATCGACTCTCCCATCGCGATCTGAAATGACACTGTGATCCAAGTTACATTCGGCCTCCCACTAGACGCTCGACAGACCAACCCACTCCCGGGGAGAGATGGGGAGATCAAATGCTACACCCTCAACCCCGGGCTGTCTTGAAGACGGTATATCGACTTGAACTAGCAACCTAAAGATACGCCATGAGGTATCTAGGGCGGTTGAGGGGAAAGTTCAGAGCTGAGAATGTACCCCTTTCGGGCTTTTCGGGTCTTCCTGATTGGACAAAGACAAGAAACAATTCCCAACGGCGAGATCCGACACCAGTGACGGCAGGGCTACCAGGGGAGCACGTTGCTCCATCCTGAAGCCGTTACATATCTGCAAACCATCGTGATGGCTTCGGATATCGGCAAGAAATTGTTACTCGGTGCTCTCAAATGGCTTTCATGGATCCAACGGGAATGTGACGCTCTCTTGTGGATTGCTGCCGGAGCTGTCGTGCTGACCACGTTGACCATGTGCAGTTGCTAATCTCTCTGATCTTCCCCTCTCTTTCCGCTTTCGATTATATCGCATGGGGGTGTGAACGAGTAGGAATCGAATGTGGGAACTATGAGGTTTGTGTCGTAGAGTCACTCTGCAGCGAGCGTGCCGTTCGGTCTGGCGGACCATGAGGCTATTGTTCGCTCGATTGCATTCCTCTTGTCCGGGTGAGAGGACAATTTTGTTGTCGAACTGTATCTCCCGGCGAATACAAATAGCGGCGTTCGCCTTCCCAACTCTCGTTTGACATTCTCCAACCTCAGTGTCGCTGGCTCGACTAGACATTCCTTCGAGAACCTTTACCAACTTTCCTTCATCATGAAATTTATCCTTCCTTTCCTCCTAGGCCTAGGAAGGCTTGTGGGAGCCGCTGTCATTCCTTCCCATGACATTCATACAACCGAGCTTGAAGCTCGCGATACGACTGGATATCGCTCCGTTGCCTATTTTGTCAACTGGGTTCGTACTATGACCTTCCAGCCATCCCCTAAGCGGGTCTTGACTAAGAAATGTATATGGACAATGATAGGCGATCTACGGACGTAACTTTAACCCTCAGGATCTTCCTGCTGAGAGATTAACCCATGTTTTGTACGCGTTTGCCAACGTCCATCCGGATACTGGAGAAGTTTACCTGTCGGATTCTTGGGCCGACACTGACAAACACTACACCGGAGATTCGTGGAGCGACACCGGAAACAATGTTTACGGATGAGTTAAGCAGCTCTTCTTACTCAAGCAGAAGAACCGAAAGTTGAAGGTTCTTCTGTCTATCGGTGGCTGGACTTACTCTAGCAACTTTGCTAGTCCCCTGAGCACAGCGACCGGAAGAGCAACGTTCGCTTCATCTGCAACGAACTTAGTGAAGAACCTTGGCTTTGACGGTGTGGACATTGATTGGGAGGTAGGTAAAAATCCCCTTCCAGGTATTGAAATATACTGACTGGACTAGTACCCTGCCAACAGTGCCCAGGCTGACGACCTTGTCTCTACCCTCCAAACACTGCGCTCGGTAAGAGATCCTGTCTTTCACATATGAGTGACATTGTGAAGGCTTATAAAACTCTAGTCACTGGATACTTATAGCGCGGCAAATGCGAGCAACTATCATTTCCTGATCACCGTCGCCTGCCCCGCTGGTAAGTTGTGTTTCATTAACCTCGGTGTCCCAATCAGTTTTAACACAAGGACTAGGCCCGGCAAACTATCAACAGCTCCACATAGCCCAAATGGATAAGTACCTTGACTTCTGGAACCTCATGGCCTACGACTACTCCGGAAGCTGGGACACTATCGCCGGTCACGATGCGAATATCTACGCATCAACTAGCAATCCAGCCAGTACCCCCTACAACACGGACCAGGCTATCAACTACTATACTGCCAACGGTGTGGCAGCTAACAAGATCGTGATGGGAATGCCCCTATACGGTCGCTCCTTCATGAACACGGACGGGCCTGGAACCAACTTTTCTGGAGTCGGTAGTGGCACTTGGGAGAACGGTGTGTGGGACTACAAAGCCCTGCCCATGACCGGTGCCACGGTGAACTACCTCAGTCAGCCTGTTGCCAGTTACAGCTATGATTCTGCACAGCGCATGATGGTCAGCTATGACACTCCTCAGGTTGCGCAGTTGAAGGCGCAGTACATCCAGTCTAAGGGTCTGGGCGGTGGAATGTGGTGGGAGAGTAGCAGCGATAAGACTGGCTCGGACAGCTTGATTACTACGGTTCGTCCCCTGATTTCTGAAGTGACAACAGCAAACACCGGTGCAAGTGCTAACATATTTCTTCAAGGTTGTCAACCAGTTTGGGGGCACCGGTGCTTTGGACCAGAGCCAGAATGAGCTAAGCTACCCTGCGTCCTCCTACGATAACCTGAAGGCCGGCTTCCCATCTAGCTAGTCACTTGACTCTGTGATCGGAACATGGAGAATTTTGACGTGGAATTCTTGACTACTGACGTTCTTTACCGCTGTTTACCTGCCGCAAGGCATTGTGGAAGTTCGTCCGCTAGGCGGCGAACCGTCTTTCGTTTATCTAACATTGTCGATATTTGAACACAATTTGTTTTTACATCTTTTCACACATTTATATCCTTCTTTATTGATCACGTAGTATGGAAGCCAAAGATAGCAATCTTCAATTCCTGATCCAAGCAGACTCCAAATTAAATATTAGGAGGGCGAATGGGAAATCGCCTCTTGATCTGAGAGCTCGACATGGAATGCCCAAGCTTGCTAAACATCTTCGGCGATCTTTGGATACACCGACAACTTGAATTTTGGAAAAGGAATTTGGTAGATAGGAGCTCTGTATCTTGGTTGATTGCTTGTCTGCCCATAAATTGAAGCGAGAGAATGATGGGATGGCAACGATACGCTCCAGCTCTCAGAAATACAAATACAAAGAGCCCATATAAATACCCATATATTAGAACTAAATTGATCCGTCAAAGCATCCAATGGCAAAAAGGTCCACGTGTCTCTCAAAAAGGTTTCCCATTCCACTTCTCCTCCAATTCATGAAGTTATACGCCGTCAGCCTTGAGCATCAATTACTGATGGCCTTCGTCGGTTGATTCTGTAGACGACGAGGGAAACACTTCTGGACCATTTTTCGTTCCCTTTTCGGCAGTCTCAACACTGTGGTTCAGGTTTTCCTTTCCAGTCAGATTTCGATGGACCTGACGAATCTGCTGGATGCCACCGTCAAAAAGCGGGTAGAAGATAGCGACAAGCATAGTTCCCCAAAGCCATATGATAGCAATGACGACCCAGGCGATGAAGAACTGACAATGTCAAGATCAGTATATTTCACATACATACTGACAACTCAAAGTGGTAGTCAGACAACAAACAAGGGCGAGCACATACCTTCTTCTCGAAAACATAGTGAGATCCATACATGGGCAAGGGCCAAATCACCCAATGCCCCAAAAATGTCGCGATGGACCAGAAAGCCGCAATACGACCCCATCGCTTCAGCTCTTTCGACTCTGAAGTAGCACTCGGAAGCCCTCCATTCTCAATGCTACTTACTTTAATAGGACTATGAGATCCCGCGACGTGAGTGGTGGTCAAGTCGCTATTTAATTCCTCAAGCGCGAGCTTCTCTTTCCGGAAATCAGCCCAGTCGTAGCTTTGTGGTCGCAGCAGGGTAATTATAATTGAATATGGGATTGGCGAGAAACAAGACGCTATCGTGCCATACATGCAAGGCAGCACTTGACCGGTGCTGGCGATGGAGACCTCGCCCCCAAAATGGGATGCTGTTCCAAGCCACACACCAAGTCCAGTCGCAAGACCAAGGATGGGCGAGAGGATTGCCGCAGCCTTGCTTTGGCGGCGCCATAGAACCGTAAAAACCATTGGGAAAATTCCCGGGCAAGTAACCACTCCTGATCAAGCGGTCAGTTGTAAATTCTGGAAAAAAATTCTCAAACTTTGGACCAACCGAGCATGTATAGCGTCCAGCCGAGGTCAATGCCGACGTAGTGCAGCATCGTGCTGAACCCAGCGGAGAAAGCGGCAAAGAAGATGACGCCGAAGTGACTCGACCGAATCAAGTCGCGGTCGGTGGCTGATTTCTTGAAATACTCTCGATACACGTCGAAGCTCAAGATCGAGCTGACTGCAATCACCTGTGCAGAGAGTGTAGAAGTCACGGCCATAAATGTTATGAGAAGAACAGCGGCCGCCCCACCTTTGCCTGCGATGGTCATTGCTGCATAAGGAAGAACCAGTCCACCACTGACTTCAGACGTAGTCATTCGCTGGAAATTAGAGAATGTAAGCATTTGACAGCAGTAATGTGAAGTATAGATGAACCCACTCGAGGATACGTTGGGAAGTTTGGCTGATTTTCCAATCCAAGGGCAACAGAGCTCATCACTGTGCCTAGGGCCCAAGGAATCGCGAAATAGGCAATACCCCCAATTGTATATCCGGGTACAACTGCAGCAGGGGATGCAGAGAAAGCCTTGATGAAATAACTGGTATCCATCTTTCCTGGGCATTAATTTACTTATCTCTGGAATAACGGAGGATCCCACTTACAACGACAAGGCCAAAGTTGCCGCAAGTATGAAGAATACCGAAAAGGATGGCCTAATGCGAATTTTTAACAGAATTTAACAGAATTTAACAGAATTTAACAGAATTTAACAAAATTTAACAGAATATAAGCTTCAGAAGCTGGGGATATACTCACGCTCTTTGAGGTCATGGTCAAATAGGTCCCATTCTGATTACCAGAAACGGGGTGGCGCTCACCTGCCGCTTTGAGGAGCTCAAAGAGGTTGCCCACTGAGCCGATTTGGTTGTCCGAAAAGGCCTTAACAGAGAAATAGCAAGCAATGATGAGGATAACAGCTGTATGGAAGTAATCGGTCAAGAAGCTTCTGAGTGTTAGGTTGCTTCTTTGATAGATGCACAGAATTCACACTCACGTTGCTTTGATACCTCCCACGAAGGTATATACCGTCACGCCGACAGGTAGCAAGAAGGTTGCGGCAATAATATGCATGCCAGACCTTCGTTGGTCAGGTTATAGTATAGACGAGGATTGATGGGGACATACACGGCAGAGATAACAGCAGCCGCTCCAAGAAGCATGTTTGCGCAAGCGAAGATGTTATTGACCAAACACAAGATCATGAACACAACATGAGCGGCTCGACCTGTGTACTATTAGATCGACTCCTCGAACCCCTCTTTTATTCCATCCAGGTTGAAACGTACCGTATCGAATTCGAACAATCTCTAAGGACGTATGTGCTTCAGGGATCTTCCGTTTGCACGATATACCGAGTAGGGCGAAGAACACAATCATTGGGCTACATCCAGCAGCAAACCAGAATGGTCCTGCAATACCGTAGTCGTATCCAACAAATGAAGAGCCCAAAAGTGCTGTCGACCAAAGCCAAGACTGTTTATTGATGATTAACGATTATCTTGGTGATCCGAAGTCAACTTTTACTGACAGAGATAACAGCTGATGCAGTGAGACCAGTTCGCACGGTTCGATTTGCAGTCATGAACCTGAACTGGGGCTTAGTAAAATGCTCGAATTATGCACCGGAATCATGCTGAAGCGAGATTGTACATTTCGGTCTTCTTATTATCCTCACCAGTGGTCTTCTTCAAGATCTTAGTGACAAGCATCATCACTGTTCTCATTAGCTTGGCTTTGGAGAATATTGAATTTGAGAATAGCATACCGAGAGCGATGATAATGCCGATTAACACAACCACGATGTAGCCCACTGCCTGCGAGAGAGGCGGCTCGACCGTGGAGATACCATCACGAACGTACAAGCTGGACATCGTGACGATCCGGATGGGCAAAAACAACACAATTCGGATAGCTAGGTGCGCTTGAGCGGGGTCTTTTAATGTAGGTGGACACTCGCTCAGACTACTTTATATCCCCAAACCCTTGGAAAATTGCGGGAGTTTTACATCTTTAAATCCTATCTGCCTGAAGCGTAAGGTAGACCCGTCTTCAGGGACAGGGGTGTTCACGGTTTCTATGGGCAGGACTGATCGCTGGTATCTTCATAGCGAATAAGAACAATGTGACCCACAATGATCTGATACATGCTTGTGATGAGGTGCTTTTGAGGGTGAGAAGCATGGAGTTAAGGGTAAAATTTAAAGTTTACAGCGATCGCCTTCCATAGAGCCGAGCAGGAGGTACCACAACGACAGTGCCCAAATTTGCGACTTGCGGCGAGATAAAGCCTGAATTTCCCTGTTTTTGTACCATTCCCTTTTACCTTGAAGCTTGGTGACACAGGCACGAAATGGACTGTCTACGAAAGAGGACGGTTGAGGTAGCCGTCGGTGGACATATGGAGGCCGGCCAAGGCTCTGAGTGTTGAGGATTTTCGAGGTCAATGCAAGATTCTCGAAAAGGTTGAATTAATTTACTTTTTTCCAGCCATCCCAGTAAACAATACCGGGATCGATAGGTACCGAGCCATATACCCAGGGGTGCAAAATCAAAATTTGGAAAGTGGCAGAGTACATCTCTCGCCCGAGAGATTGAAAACGGGGATGAGGATAAGTATAAGAAAGTATTCTAATGCAGCGATTTAACTCGTGCGTTGAGCCAAGGCTAATCCAACGTCGACCAGTTAGGGATGGCATAGCTCTTCGGGGGGTGAACTCCGGATCTCCCGCATCGCGCCATTTCGGCCCACTTTGATGCTATGAGCATAACTTGCGAGACCAGCGAAAGCTAAGAAGGCGGGATTGTAAAAAAAAAAAAGTGACGCACATGAGGATGAGGTGCTCGTCGATCTTCACGATACAAATTGCATGCTACCCCTCTAATGATGTCGTGCTAGAAAGATTTCTCTTTTCCTCGAAGGCCTAGAGGCGGAACTTCAAATTGGGTGTTAAGCTCGGGCACATCGCGATAGCAATCAGTTCAATCAGCAAACAGCAATAATGGCCGAAAGCAGTAATGTATCGGGGTCTGAGAAACCTCGCAAGTCACTGATTCTCAATGCCTTCGTGGAGATGTGTGAGTCGGCGGTCTTCTTGCAACCTTAAAGCGAAATCTCAAAGGCATCTAATTGGAATGTAGGCAGTGGACACCAGTCACCGGGCCTCTGGCGCCACCCCGATGATGAGTCGCACCGTTTCAACGACATTGAGCATTGGGTGGAACTGGCACAGCTGTTGGAATCAGCAAAATTCCACGGCATCTTCATCGCAGATGTGCTAGGTACGTTGATCTGCCCCGATAGCAGAGCGATTGAATCACAGACTCATAAAACTCGGTATCAAGGCGGCTATGATGTCTATAAGGGACCTCGAAATCTTGACCCTGCAATCGTCTCGGGCGCACAATGGCCGGTCAATGAGCCCCTGGCTGTCGTCCCCGCGATGGCGGCAGCAACCAAGAATATCGGTTTCGGAGTCACGGTAACCACAACCTACGAGCCACCCTATCACCTAGCAAGGCGGCTCTCAACCGTGGACCACCTCACCAAAGGCCGGTATGTATAACAAGTATTAGCATAGCATATCATTGAAAGTTGGCTAACCATTCAATTATCAGCCTTGGATGGAATGTATGATCTTGTCGCACCCCGCAAGGAAGCATTGCAGATTAGGCAAAGAAGAAGAGCTGACCAAAACTTCAGGTTGTGACGGGATATCTTGACTCTGCGGCACGAAACCTCGGCAAAGCTGAACAGCCACATGTTAGTCATTCAAATCTCATAATAAGCTCACAAGGTACAAACTAACAATGGCACAGCATGATGACAGATACGCCCTGGCGGAGGAATATGTCAAAGTTACATACAAGCTTTGGGAGTCCTCGTGGCGTCAAGACGCCGTTGTTCTTGATCGCGAGCGTGGCATCTACACTGATCCAGCACGTGTGCGACAGATCAACCACGTTGGAAAGTATTATAATGTGCCGGGCCCTCATATCTGCCAGCCCAGCCCTCAACGTACTCCAGTCATCTTGCAGGCTGGCACATCCAAGGCCGGAAAGACATTTGCGGCTCAACATGCCGAAGCCATTTTTGTGGCCGGTCATAGTCCGTCCGTAGTTGCTAAGAACGTTGCTGAGATTCGCCAGCTTGCAAAGACGGAGTTTGGTCGAGACCCGCAGAGCATCAAGTTCTTGGCCCTGCTTTGCCCTATTCTTGGTCGCACGGAGGAGGAGGCCATCGAGAAATTCAAGTATTACCGCAGCCTGGGCTCGATCGATGGTGCTCTTGCTCTATTTGGAGGGTGGACTGGTATTGATTTAGACAAGTATGGTGATGATGAAGAGCTGCGTCATGTCGAAAGCAATGCTATCAGGTTTGTGACCCTTCCTGGACTCGTCGCTGCCCGGTTAACCACGTGAAAATAGGTCTGCCGTGGAGGGCTGGTCCAAGGCTACTCCTGAGGTCGCCAAATGGACGAAGACAACAGTCGGTCAGCACATCACCGTCGGAGGCCTCGGTGCTACTCCCGTAGGCACGGCAGCACAGGTTGCTGACAGCTTGGAACGCTGGGTACAAGAGGCGGATGTTGATGGGTTCAACCTGGTGAGATTATGATTAACCCAACAGCTTTCAACTCGTGGATCTTCTGACATCTCTCGAAACAGGCGTATGCCATTAAGCCCGGGTCTTTCAAGGATATCATTGAACTGCTGATCCCGGAACTGCGCCGGCGAGGACTCTTCTGGGACGATTACGCGGTGCCGAAGGGAACTTATCGTGAGAACTTATATTCAACGCCTGGCCAAGCAGGCCCGAGGGCTGACCATCCGGCTTCCAAATATCGGTGGAATGCTGGAGTTGCTGCTGAGGACCATCCAGTCCCAGAGAACTGAGCAACGAAGGAAGGAGATGAGCTACGAAGCGTCAATGCAGCTTAGATGAACTGTAAATGAATAAGATTCTTTTATGCAGACAAAAAGCCTTCCAGGGTGGTCTACGTTAAAACGCCAAACAAATGCGGATCTTTGTACAAGTGTCTCACACAAAAAACGACCTTAGGTCAACATATCATCAAGTCGCTCCCCGAGCACACCTTCAATCTGCTTCACCCATTTGCGGACTTCCCTCTCGACGGTCTCATCCTCATCCTCCATCAGCTCGCTGATGTATGGCAACATCTCAGGAAGCAGAGCGAGCCATTCCTCACCGAGCTGCTCAGTAAGGGCCTGCTCGGCCTTGAGGGCAGCAAGACGAGTGAAGGGGTTGTCACCACCCGCAGACTTGGCGTTGGGAGCCGTCGATGGACGGAGATACCTCATCAGGGCCATGTTGAGCTCCTTGTAGTTATCGGTGGAATCGGCAGCGACAGCCAGCTCGGTAATGGCGGGGACGACTTCTTCAGCAACGAGCGCAGCAGTCTTGGAAGTGGTTGCGTGGGCAAGCTGTGAAATAAGAGGTCCGGAGATACTGGCCAGGTGCGAGGGAGATTGCCAGAATTCTGTTAAACTTATTAGTTAAAGTCTAGCGACTGGGAGCTAAAAGTACTTACCATCTTGATCATGTTCGAACGAGTTGCGAAGTGTGCGCAGAGCTGCTAGCCAAAGAGCCTTGGTAGTCTTGGCGGGGCCAACCGTGCCCAGAATCTCAACGACATTCTCCAGGATATAGTTGGAATATCCAGTGACAATTGACTGGAGTGTGCCGAAGAACACCTGGAGGAAGGTGTAGAAAGTCGTGAGTCGAGAGGCCTGGCCCTGCTCGTCCTTCTTGGATAAACCGGTGGTTGCCCATTCGACGAACTTGATGAAGAGCGGGCGGAAGGTGCTGTCATTAAGCTTGTAGATCATCTTGATGGTGACATTGTTCAGAGCACTCTCAGCCTCGTCAAGGTCGGAGGAGTCGAAGTCGGTTGCGTCACCGAGACTGACCTGCTCCCGGCGCAGGTCGAAAGCGTTGAAGAGGATCTTCGACAGAACGTTGACATTCTTCACAACTGCTGACTTGGGGTTCTTCTCAACGGCAAGTGCGAGAACTTCCAGGATCTCGTTGACGGCGGTGGGACCAGTCTCAACAGCATAGTGCCAGTTACGGTCAATTGCGCCAAGGGTAGCGGCGAAATCCAGCTTGCGGGAGGCCATTAGACGAAGAGTCTCTAGACGGTTGTCGTCAGAGCTATCCGGAAGATCCGCCTCGGTAGACTTGAATGCAAGACGCAGAATCTTATCCAAGTGACCGGCTGAGATCATGAATGGCAAATTGACAAGCAGAGCCGAGAAAAGCGAGAAGACAGCATCGTGGAGGCGCGAGTTTTCCTGGTCGGGGGTCAAGCTCAGCTCCAGTAGCTCCAGAGAGCGGCTCATCGCGTCCGGGAGAGCAGGGATCATAGCTTGGCCCAGAACCTCAGCCATGGAGGCAAGGCAAAGGACACCCATGATTCGGATGCGTTCATCAACCTGGCCAAGGCAGGATGCACTGGCAACAACCTGGGCTGCAGGGATGACCTTTGACGGGTCCTTGCGACCATACTTCTCCGTGATACGATCAATGCATGCAACAGCGGCATGCTTGAGCAGCGAATCTGGAGAGGATTTGACGATAGTGACCAAGGTGGGCAGGAAGTCGAGCACGCGGATCTGGGACTCGCTATCCCGTTCAGGAGTTTGGCGGAGTCGATTCTCCAGCAACCGAAGCACCTTGCGTCGGAGATCATCGTTGGGTCCTTCGAGAAGCACCTCAATGGTATCCAGGAAGTCAACGAGAGACAGGGTTCCGAAAAGGGAGCCCAAAACCTCGCCACAAGCCTGGCTAACAGGCTTCATGCTCTGCACAGACTCGCCAATGCCCAGGACCTGCTCCAGTACTCGAGAGAAGCAAGCGCGGACTTGATCGGCAACCTCATTCTCGGTCTCGAATGCAGCTTCCAACTTGGCCTTCAGGGACGAATGCTTGAGCAAGTGAGCAAGATCACGTAGCAGATCGACGGCAACCTTCTGGGGGTCGCGTCCATCGTCGCTGCCAATGCCAAGGAGGACCTTGGAGATTCCTGGCTTAGGCCTTAACGCGTCGATGACAAGGTTCAGATACTTGCTGTAAGTTGTCAACTCCACAACTGGAGTAGTATCTGAGGCAACGCCAGTCATCAAGGTAAGGACGTCCTTGTCTGTGGCATATCGGTTGGCCAGCATGGCGAGGACAGCGAACAAGAAGTCCTGTGTGCCAAGCTTGGTGATCAAAGCATGGAAGAGACGGAGACGGCGGTGGGATGGAATATGCTCAAAGGCAGCAGTAAAGCTGAGCAGAAGCTCAGAGGTTCCTGATACGATATCGCGCTTCTGGTTACGAAGGGACTGGATGAGGGCAGGAACAACCTGGTCGATAGTCTGGTCGATGACAGCAACTGAGTAATCATCGTCCTTTCGAAGAACGCTGGAACCCATGAAGGTGAATATGGGCATCACACTATGGAGAACAAGCTCCGGGGCGATGACAGATAGACCAGCCACGAGCAAAAGAGCAGCATTCTGGACTTGAGGACTGTCGGTGGTCCGCACACAATCCACGACCAGGTCGGCACGAATAACCGAGGTATCAAACAAGGGCTTGGAAGATCCTTTGGACGTGTTAACAATAGCCAAAAGACTTCCCAAAGTCAAACTCAGGAGATAGCTCATGCCGGACTGGATCTGGGATTTGAAGTGATGGAGAGCGGCAAGGGTCTGGAAGAGACCATCTGCCAGCTCGGGGTGAGAGCCGGGATTCGAGCTGTCGATAACTTCAAGGATGAAGGTCATCTTGTCCATGAGTTTGCTCAACTCCGCCTCATCCTTAACAGTCATAGCAACCATGTTATTCTGGCTTGTCCGTCGGCGCTTGGGGGCGGGTCCCAAAGATTCAATGTCAGTGAGCGAGGTAGGAATCTTCTTCACGAAGTTTGCGAGGATAGCCCCAGAAAGGTCAACACTGCGCAGAACATCTCGACAATAGTCTGCCGTTGAGGTTTCACCGGTAGACAAGCCAAGAGAAATGTCCAGCAGCTTTTGAGCAGCGATCAATTGATCCGCTTCCGAAGCCTTAGGCCAGATGTCCTTGATTCGATCGAACACGGCCACCACGAACGAAGTTCTAAGGGACTTTGCACGAGGGGTGATATTAGACAAGAGAGTTTCAAACGCGCCCTCGTCCTTCGAAGCAACGATAGCGACAACTTGGCCTTCACTCTCGGCGGCGGACAGGCGCTCCTTAGCACAAAGATCATCAACCTCTGACTGGCTGAGGTCGCGCCAATACTCAAGCAAGGGAAGAAGCTCCTTTGTGCGGCTAGTACCCGGGACCTTCTTGACACTATTGAGAATGCGCAGCAAAGTGAACTTGGGCGAGAAGACCGGCATCTCGATAACATGCGAGCAAAGGAAGGTAAAGAGACTTGTCCGGAGAGACTTCTTCAACTCTTGGGCACCCGAACCCTCTGAGAGAACGGTTCCTCGGAGCGTGGCGTCGATAACCTTACCAATATGGTTGGGATCAAGGATATACTCCTCGAGAGCGGGGAGGATGGCGTGTTCCAGCACCTTGTTTACATCGGACGAAGGTAGCCACTGGATACCGGTAGATCCCTTGCCTTTGCCATAGATAACATCGGAAGCCCAGGGCTTGAACGCATCTAGCTTCTTGTTATTCTTATACAAAGAACCAAGGATGGCCAGAACTCCAGCAGCTTCACGACGAATGCGTTCTGATGAATCTGCAAGGCCAACGATCAAGAAAGGCAGCAGCGCCTGAGCATCGAATTCACCCGATGTCGATGCAAGAACAGAGGAGAGAATGTTCAATGCAGCAACCTTAATACCGATGGGGAAGGGACCGGAAATGACACGAAGGAAGAACGAGATGAACTGGGGACCCTTCGAAGCGCTGTTCTTGCCCAGGATCGAGAGGTTGGTAAACTGCTCGATTCTAGCCTGCGAATCTCCAGCCAGAGCGAAGACTTGTACAAGGTTCTCGAACTCCGGGATGTGCTGCTTGCTGAGGAACGATTTTGGGAACAGAGGCTCGTTGATCAGAGCCTCGAGGGCAGGTGAGAAGTTGTCCAGATTCTCATCGTCAACATCTTCCATATCCACATCTTCAATAGCTGGGGGTGGTACGGGTGCCTCGACCACAGTTTGCAGATTGTGCTCAAGTGCAGGAATATTCAGATATGCCTCGGCCAAAGTTTTCTGGAAAATTGGCTGCAGGGAGCTAGACCGACTGAAGCCTTGAACGAGTTCAGCTAGTTGAGTTTGAACATCCAGAGACATGCCACGGGCCTCCTCAGAGTCGCTTGCCGCCTTCAGGACGAGGCTCATAGCGGCTTGGATATCATCACCTTGCAACACGGTAGCCTCGAAGATCGACGAGAGAAGTGCGAGGCGAACATTGTCTTTTTGCTTGTCAAGATTACTAACACAGCCTGCAACAAGGCCAAGCAAAAGCTTGGAAGTCTGGCACTGAGCTTTGACCTCGGACAATTGCTGTATGGGGCGCTCAAGTCGTACGATGGCCTTGAAGACCTTCCTGGAAAGATTGGCGGATGATTTCTGCTGTGCCAAGACTGATAAGCAGATGAGACCGGAATTGAGGGTCTCTTCTGTCCACGAGGTGACCACACTCTCCATCAAGCCATCTAGGACATCATCGGTCAGTGAAGCTTTTTGAGCTAGCACGACAGAAATCATATAGCAACTGACGATCAGCTCAGAAACCTTCTTCAATGCGAAAGCCCGGCTTAGAAGCGGCAGAACCCGGATAAGGATATCCTCATGTTTTTGCTTCTCGGCTTCTCTGCGACCAGATCGAGCGCTATCCAACATGCCTGCAACAGCCTCCGTAATGATACCGGCCCAGAAGGAGAGCAAAGCATGGCTTTGAGCCTGATTCTGACAAGCGTTGAGGACGTATTCATTCAGGGCAGCAAAAAACGCTTTGTTCGTGGTAGCGCTGTGCACAATCGGATGCCGGGGTGGATTGATGAGACCGGTCTTATATGGGTAGAGGACTTTGAATGTGGGCGTCAGATCATTAGGCAAGATCGAGAGCAGGTTGAGGAAGAGAGGAGTTGTATGATAAGGAAGGAAGGTGAGTAGGATGCAAGCCGTGTTGTATTCATGAACCCTGGTATGGAGGTTAGCTGCATCTTCAATCGCGTGGTCATGAGTCTTAAGTATGTCGTACCTAAATCGTCTAACCAACCAGTCCACAGCCTTGACTGCGGGGCTTAACTGCAATCGTCCCCCAACAAGAGCGAGGAAGGATTCAATCACAGCATCGAGCTCCTTATTCTGGGAGCTACTCAATTGTGTTCGATCTTCGGCCTTGCTCTGCTCGCTGAAGATAGAGCGCCCAAACTCCTCGAATCGCGCATCGAGGGAACAGAGCTCCCTGAATCCATCATAGCATATGTCGTAGATAGTATCAAAGTCTTGCGTAGAGGCAACCTTGCGGTCAAAAATTAATGACTGTGAATGGGAGACCCGTTGCTTTTTAAGATCAAGTTCGTGGGTCGACTTGGCCGCAATTTGCGACAGCTGCGCGGCGAGGGAAGATGCCATGGTGGAAGGGAGGTTTATCTGCAGATTTTCACCAGGGACCACTGTAAGCCATCTCTATAGGGCCCAGACGTTTTGATTGCTTTCCCAGGTGGGCACGCGCAAGTTTCTTGTCGGGTGATTTACCAGCAACTTTTTTTTCTGTCGGGGCCGTTCCCACCGCCTTCCCTAATCGGAACTTCTTTTCTCCGAGAGTCCCCTCTGCTCTGCACCTCACCGCCTTGCCACCTTGCCCTGGTCCTCTCGGTATTTCTTTTCTCCGAGGCTTACACCGATCCCTTCACCGCCCTCGTTTGCCGGAACATCATTTATCCGAACTATCTACTTCCTCGACCCACGTGATAATCTATTGATAACCTCCACGACGATGGAGTCGTCGGGCTCACAGGTAAGATGAATTCTACACTGTATTTAAACCACAGATTCTGACGCTTGCTCAAGGACAAGAAATATGTCCCCAAATTCTCCAGTTTCAAGCCCCCACCGGCTCCTTCGGAATCTGAGCGCCCATCTCGAACGGAACGCCGTCATGAGCACCGAAGTCGCTCTCCTCGGCGATCCACAGACAGAGCTCGACACCGTTCGCCTGGTCATCGCCTCCAAGAACCCACGCGCCACAATCACGTTGATTACTCCTCTCGAGATCGTCGAACTTCCCGAGAACATGAGATAAATCGCGATCGCAGGTCACGCGGCGACACTGGTGTTGATGAGAATCAACGACACCCATCAACTGCCGGAGATTTGGCCTACGACCGTTCTCATTTGAAGAATGATGAACTTTTCGTTGTCGACAGAGAGGGCGACCGCTCCGTCTTCAAATACGGAACTGCGCATCGTTATGATATTCCCTTGTACAGGCGAATTGGCTCAGGACAGGTGCTGGGGCTGCCCTCTAATTTGGTCATCGATCGAGAAGAGCCGGAAAGGGACATCATCATCATACGCGACAAGCACACCATGTCTGGAAAGCGCAAGTTTTCTGGACCGCTCTCAGGGCCTGTAAAGAAGACCACACAGGTCTTCCGCCTTCAAAAGGATGCCAGAGCTCTCTCCGTTGAGGAATTGGATGATGATACTATTTCCCTCGATCTTCCTACTGAGAGGCAGTCTGGTGATTATGCTGATTCGGACGATTTTGATGATGACCGTCGTGCCTACCGCTCGATTCATGGCAAAGCAAAGATCGAAGATGTGCTTCCGCAGGGAATGGAACTAATCAGTGACAAAGAAAGCCAGTTTGATGATCGTCAAGTCAGAATTGATGAGGAACGCCGAGCACACAATGCAGATCTATGGCGCACCTTAGCTTCCAACCCGGAAGACGTCGCAGCGTGGCTTGAGCTCATTGACCATCAGAATGCTCTAATTCTTGGTCCTGAAGATGATCGCCCCTTGACATCCGCAGAACGTAAGAGCGTGGCCGATACCAAACTCTCCCTATACGAAAAGGCCCTGGCCAAATGTAACGGCACTGTTCAGAGAGACCTATTATTGCTCGGTCGTCTCCAAGAAGGTGGCCAGCTCTGGGACAGGGAAACGCTTTGGGACGAGTGGCGCAAGACCCTGGACACGAATCCCGAGTCCACAGGTCTTCAGTTGAAGTACATGGATCTTCAACAAACAGAATTTCAAGACTTTGCCCTTGACAAGTGCAAATCCCTGTTGATCGATTGCATGAAACGGATTGACGCCGGGCCGAATGCTTCGCGCCATGCTCAGGTTCAAAGCTACCTGCTTTTGCGCCTGACCCTTCTACTTCGCGAAGCGGGCTACACTGAACTTGCAGTTGGTTTCTGGCAGGCTGCACTTGAATTCGCTTGCTTCCGGCCTGACGCTCACCTCGGGGGGCAGCGAGATACGACTATTCTACAATTTGGCGAATTTTGGGATTCTGAAGTCGCGCGTTTGGGCGAGCTTGGCGGACAAGGCTGGCGAAGTGACAATAACCCCATGCTCAATCCCGTCACTCGTGAGCTTGGTGCCCATATCGATATTTCATCTCTTTTCCCATCTTGGGCAAGCTCTGAAAGACATCGCATCCAAAATCTTAAGATGCCTGCCCGAAGTTTGGATAACTACGGAGCCGACGTGGACACTGCGTACTCAGTTGTTCTCGCATCTGATGTTCGTGAAATTTTGCCTCCGTTTTGGCACACGGCTGTGTCCAGAGATCTGGTCAATGCCTTCTTGTACTTCTGCCACTTGCCACCTCTGACTAGGCCTTCGAATGCCGCGACCACTCGATCTTGGAGCGGCGACAACTTCTTGAGGAATGAAACCATGGGCACCGCACAAACCCAGCTCTCCGACTGGCTCCCGTCTGAGACTGACGGCTTACAAACTTCTATTTCGCCATCCTCATTCCCAGTCACCGACTTTTTACACACTACGAACACACTGTTTGCTCCCGAAAACTGGTTTTACTCTCTGCAATCATGGCGGAGCGCCGTACTTGGAAAGTCACACCCTCTCGATACCGAATGGGTGCGGCGGACCTTGCAATGTTTGGCGGGACATTTTCACCAAGATGATGAGTTCGCCGAGTATGCCCTGGCTGTGGAATTCGCTTGCGACCGCAAAGCAGCAGCGGAATTCGCAAAGCGCTTGCTGCAAACCCGTCGTTCCAGTATCAAGCTTTACAATACTTTTGCTTTGATGCGGTACCGGTCGGGCGCACACAAAGCAGCTTTTCAAGCATGGTCCGCGACTATCAACCATGCGAGCTTTTCGAAACTGGAATGTGGCCTTCTCTGGAGCACATGGGCCTGGGAAATGCTCGAGCAGGGCGACTTTGCAAAATGCTCATTTCTACTGTATTCCATCCCACAGGGAGAGGTTGACTTGACAGCATTCCATGCTGTGACCGATTCCAAGGAGTACTCCCCTCTTGAAGAGCTCAAACTCAAAAGAGTAAGTCCTCTTAACTATTGGGATCCATGTGAGGTTTCTAACGGATTTGTATAGTACTTGCAACAAGCTGCTCAGCAAGCACTTGCTAACGGGCAGCTACATCTCTACATGGCTTACACTGACTGCATTGCCCTTGCCCGGTATATCTCTGACAAGTCACTACTAGATGGGCCCCTTGATACTTACGTTTCCGCAATTTTGAACTTGGGAAACCTACCACCTGAGCAACACAAGTTCAAGGCCTTCGCCACCGAACTCCTTCATCAGGCTCGGGGCAGGGTCATTTACTTCCACGTCAGTCAGAAGAGGCAATTCAAGCCTCGTCAGCTGGAGATACTGTTGCGGGAGAGCGTATCACTGTTCCCCCACAACACCATGTTTTTAGCTCTCTTCATGTGGAATGACTCACGCTTTTCGATGCTTGACCGAATTCGCGATCCAATGACTCTTGTCAAAACCAAGCTCAGGAGCCCGTACGAGGTAAATGCCCAACCCAGTGTGTCGCCGATCATCCCGCAGAAGACACCGGTGACCATTCATTTGTTCTCCATTCACATGGCACTGCGTCGTCCCACTTGGGCGGGTGGGAATGTGCACTATGTGCGGGCAGCATTCGAAAAAGCCCTTGGTGAGCAATGGGACTCGTTACGTCATGGTCATGGAAAGAACGAGGTCCAAACAAGCTCTGGCGATGACAGTGCACGTTCAAACATCACTATCTGGAAGTTGTACGTCCTGTTTGAGCTCGATCGGGCTCAAGACATCAAAGCCGCAAAGGCCGTCTTCTACCGCGCGATTCGCGCCTGCCCCTGGTCCAAGGAGTTGGTGATGCTCGCCTTTGAGCGTCTCGGTAGTGAAGAGAATGGGATGAGCTTCGACGAGCTTCGCGGGATGTACAACATCCTTAATGAAAAGGAACTTCGGCTCCATGTGAGCATCGCCAATGAGCTGAAAGAAGTGACCGTCAAGAATGCGGAGGCCGAGGTTGAGGCTGAGGCCTGGCTGAAGGCATTGGGACGGGAGATGGAGGGCGTGGAGATGGAATGAGGGAGCTCTAGCAATGAACTAACTCTCGGGGTTCATCGGATGGCGTCTCACGTCAGTCCAGCTATGATAATAGTTCCACTTAATTGATCGTATTTATTTCAAAACTGTGCAGTAGTCATCAACTATAGTACAGGGGCATCAGGCCGGTCTCACGTATATGTACTCAATATAGACGTAGAGGCTCAACTGAACGAGAACAAAAATGGACAGCAACAGAGAGATTCGTCACTCATAATGCCATATGCGATGGGGCAGTGCAGCATCGCCAACGGGAAAATAATACTGTGTAAGAGCATGAAAAACTAGAAATGTTCCTTCCAGAACTTGAAACGAACTGCCTTGGTCGATGCGTACTTGGCTGCATCACTGATCTGTCGGGCTGCTGTGTTCGGTCCACAGAAATACACACCAACCTCGGTAGCGGAAACCGTTTGAAGACCTTGGATATAAGTCTGATTCAGCAAGCCGAGACGCATCGCAGTGAACAGGCGCTTGAAGTCCGGTCGGCCAAAGTTCGTCTGAGACTTCAACTCAGTGAGGGGGTCAAGAGCCTGACCAACGGAGTTGAGGTAGATATTCGCAGCCGTGTCATCGTCCAGTCGCTGTGTGAGATAGGTGTGGATGCGCAGGAATTCAGTGCTACCCTCATAGGCAGCCGCATTGGCGGATTGTGCTTCCAGCGAAGACAGGAGAGCTTGGAACCATTCAAAGGACGAAGTATCCTTGCAGATCCAGATAAACTCCACACGCCTGAGACGACGAGGAGGGTTTGGACTGGAACGGAGATGCCAGATATTCTTCAAGATCGAAGCCCACGGCGTGACACCAATACCAGTTCCGATGAGTACGGCGATTTCATTCTCGAAGACATCCTCCGCCGGGGCACCGTAGGGCCCGTCAATGCGTAGTTTTGGCATCATCTGTCCGTTCTGCAAGGCAACTTCGTACATGCCAAGGGGGTCCAGACCTTCGAGGTCCTTTGCCTGTGCGGGGCCGCAACCAAGGGCGTCTCCGAGGGCGCGAGTAAAATCGCCCACTTGACGGACATGAACACTGATGTACGGATCGAATGGACAGGATGTGATGGTGAAAGGGTGCCACTGATTGCTGGATACGTCGGGTACCTGGAGAAAAAGCCACTGGCCGGCTTTGTACTTCATGCTAGGCTTGCGGAATTGGATCTCCATGGCATCTAACCCACATTGTCAGCATGGCCTATCCTCAACATAGCTCGGAAATTTGGCAACGTACCATAGGGATGACGGATGACTTTGGTGATCTCGGTCTCTCGACGAGATCGAATCTCGCGATACAGCCGCTCGGAGAGATAGAAGGCGGCTGCAACAAGCTCCCATCGCCATCCTTCGTAGCCGAGACAGTGGCCCCAGAAAGGGCTTCCTGCGAAAGGGGAGATCGGGTCGGTTGTGTCTCGGACAAAGCATCCCGTAGCATGGGTATAAAGAGCCAACAAGAACGGCACGAACAGGTGGTGGGTGTACCAGAAGGTCTCATACGCCTGCTGTCGAATGCGGTGATGGGCCGTCGTATACATCAACATCATGCATAACAGCATCACGTGTCCCGTGACTCCGCCAGCCTGCGTATAGTGGATTTGTACAGCTAGTTCAGGGCGGATCTGGTTCTTCTCGACATTGTAGAAGCTGTGATACGATTAGCACGGTCGTTCGACTGGTTCGAGTAGACCGTCCTCGAGACTTACTTGACGTAATGTGCGCTCGTGTGCACGGCAGAAAATACCACGAGAGCATAAGCTATCTGGCGATGGAACCATGCAGATTCATCCAGTGGTAGCCACCTGATCTGAGGTCGAAGCCAGCGCAGAACATTTCGGCACATGGGAAGAAGGATCAAAGTTGCGTCCACAGACAGGACGAGACCAGCACCTCTGGATATCCAGACCGAATACTGAAGCACATTCAACCCGGCCAATTTGCTGTTCGTTGCTTGAATGTACCTATGTGACTGTTAGCAGCCGTCACAGGATTCATCCGAGGGGGTTCTCTCATACCATCCAAGCGCGAAAAGGCCGAGATGGGTCGCCCAAAACGAGGCATAAAATAGCAATTTGGTTGGAGTCAGATCGACCCGTTTGAGCCAGGATTCATTAGTTGCGACCATATTGTCGTCTTGAGAAGTTAATGAAGTCGACCAGCGACAATCTTTGCGGCGGGAGGGTTGGTTAAAGGAACGACGATCAGAGGTTGGCCAGCAACCCGAACTTTTGAGGAGGGGACCGAGATCCGTGAGGGATCACAGGTCTAGTCGTGAGAAAGGCTCCGGGACTCGAGTATCAGTTGAGTCGTTTGAGATGGGAGGAATGAATAGGTCGTCGGCGCCTTTTCCTCTCCATGAACTTGGATTCTCAACCACAGCCTACCCCGCCGACCGGGGGATTTAAAGCGGACCTAGGAGGTTGCAACCCCAGTGCGATGAACCGTCACAGACTTGATGCAGACTCTTAGTGGGCAATAGATACAATGCGATCGTTCAACAATCCCCACCGTCCGAGGTCTGACGGGGGTAAAGGACTGGTGTCGGTGTACCAACTCAAGATGTAGCTATTGTCAGGAAGCAAGATGAAGCTAAACGCTCACATGAAGAGCTGGAACACTAAGAATGCTTCGATCACGATCAGTATGCAGTGCGATGGCTAAAGACAAGACCGAAGGTTGGAGGGAGGTTCAAAGATTCCCAGCGTTGTGGTTTTAGCTGCAGGGGTGTGAAGGAGGGGGCCGATCTATAATTACATCGCTTCTCGCAGCCACAACACGGAACTCGACCAGGGTGGCCCAATCGACTCAACCCTCCGTCCGTGCTTGTCGGGTCCTCTGGTCCTCTGGTTCCCTCTACGAGCGCAATGATCGCTTCTCGGGTGTGATAGGTGATAGGTTTTCGTTGGTTGTGCTAGCAAAAACCCCATCTACACCGTCCGGGGACTCCTTCTTTTCCTACACCGTCTTCTATTATCCACAGGATCTCGAGCTCTCGAGCTCTCGTCAAGTATTACCTCACTTTCACTAGCCTCGCTTGGCTATATCCTTTTTTTAGACCTAGGGTTTGCCGCAAGGATCTTGGCAGGCCTCGTTGGGATACAAAACGATCATAAGATTGTCATAAGATTGAAAGGAATGGCTGTTCATGCTTGACTGGTGAATATGAATCAACTACCGCAGCCAACAGTTTCTGATTCTCCAAGGTTCATTTAATTCATTTGCCAGTTCCCAATCTCCGTTTTGAAAATCGAATCCACGTAGAATCAGACGAAGCATGTTCTTCTGAACTAATAATAATTCCCCCGGCCTTCCACATGGCAAGATAGTGGTGAACGGGGTGGAGCAAAGCGTCGAGGACCTTGACTTTTGCACACTCCATTCGGCAAAGCGTCCGACAATTGGATAGACGACAAGGCTGGTGAGTGGTTGCCGGTAACTGAAGCTAAGGCCGCATTTCACTGGCAAATCAGCCTATAAAACGCATTCTGCAAGCGCTTGCATTCGTCACACCAGTCCCGGTCCTGACGGCTCTTTTCAATTCGTGGGTGAATACGCCCATCACTCGGGCCGGATAATCCAGTCGAGTCTGAGTAGCCTCGTCTTGGTAGTTCCCTCCAAAACGGCCTTTTGGATATCCCAAATATAGCATGTACGGTAGCTAGCGGGGGAAGGGTGTGGTGCAACTGGTGCCGCTATCTTGACCTGCTTACGGAGTACACCTTCGTGTCTTGTCCGCTCGAAAGGGAATCTGGGCCCACTTGGCAAGTGCATGTCACATCGACCATCACAAACTCTCTCCTCTCTGCATCTCTGCTCGTCTTGAAAACTTTGTACGCCACAACCGGGCTGGACGTGCAGGATATTGGAGTCATTCGTGGGAGCCATCGGAGACGGTAGACGGCGAGTCAATGCCGGCGCGATCATCTGACGGCGGGTTGTCAACATCCCCTTGTCTCGAGCACAATAGAACCATCAGTGATTCCTCCCCAAGACATCGTCCCGGAAACCCACAGAAATCATCCCCAGCCACTCGCCACAACAATCCGGACCGTGCCTCAAACGGGTCAGGGCCCTCTTCCAAGAACGGGCAAAACCCTGGAAGCGCGTGCTACAAGCTGCATCTCTGCATCTCATCACGCCAAGGAGCTACGCTGCGAACGCTGATTAGCCGTCGACCATCAGGGCGATCCGCTCCGTCACATCACCGTTCAACCAATCATACCGCGGACGTGCAGTCTTCAGCACACGGGGGAAAGAGGGGAATGTCCAGCCTTTGCTCCCCGCCATGCACATCGAGGAATACTGATTGGCCATCGGCGCTTAAGTACATCCGTGCGGATCACAGTTGAGATAGCTAGGCTCGATGAATTGCACTCGCCTCGATATGCCGCCATACATTGGACTATTCCATAACACCCTTGTACCCAGTGACCCTTTTTGGGCGTTTTGGCGCCCAAGCGTCACCATCCTATCGTATGCATTGCTCGCTTCCACGGAGTCTTCAACGACTTGGGGTGTCTAAGTATAGAATTCTTATACTCGAACCCCCGCCTGCAGGTGCGGGCACCCACCTCAACACATTCCACGAACTTTTTCCTCCACGGCACCTCCATCATGTTTCTGCGATAAGACATTGTCCTGATTCCCCCTCGTCGTCGCTCTGCCAAACCCTATTCACACTCCTGAGATCGACTGAGAGAAATTCGGCTTGATGGACAGGTCGCAAGGTCCATCGCAAAGCCCTCTTTCCTCCCTCGCATCGCTCTAATCGCCGTCATCTCCGAGCGACTTGAACAGAAAGTCACCGGCGTCGCTGACCGCAAGCGACTGCCTTGCGAAATTTGGAATCTGTCGCGGGCCGAGAGATTCATCCCAGATATACAGGCCATTGCCTCGAAATCCAATAATCCACCAAGATGGGCAGGCTCATCAAAAACCACTGGGCACGCTTAATTATCCTAACAGCCTCGGCATGTACGTTCTGTTCCTATAACCTCGACCGCATTCCATAGCAGCACAGCTAACGCTCAGACTTACTCATAGATCAAATTGCAGCTGCAATCGAGGGTTTCATCTGGCCGAAAGTCTTTTGGGACTTTGTTTCGAAGAATCTTGACGCCGCCGTCTCACCGATTCCGGTGCTTCAGTCCCTCAATCTACTCATGGGCCTCATTGGTTTGGCCTGGGAGTGGCCCCTACGACCGTTAGCTGGGTCACTACCACATCGCAGCATTGAGATCCGACTCGTCGTATACCCTCTCAGTGCGCTGTTCGCGGCCTTGCTCTACCAAGGGACCGATCCCGCGTTGTATTATCTGATTGGCATCGGGGTATATTTTTGGGCTTATAGTGAAGGCGAGGTATGTTGAAAGTGTCAAACTAGACGCTCACGAGACGCTTATTGACCGTTCGTATAGATCGTTTGTCCAGAACCGTGGACATTGCCCAAACGGTCGGCCGTACTCAAAGCTTAGCCGGTCGAATCGGTCCAGTGTATTGATTACATTGGACGCAGATCATGTACATAGTGAATACAGCATAATACCATATACCCTCAAAAAGACCTCTAAAAAGACCTTTAAAAAGACCTTCTAACAGACTTTCTACGCATACTCTTCTCTGTTGTGAAGTTCTCCTACAGGCTGCTGTGGTGCTTATGCTTTCCAATGTAGATATACATCGAACGATGAACTCAGGGTCGTGACTTGCCCGCCACGCCCAAATATTCTGAAAATGGTTACTCCCTCCTGAATATAATGAGGTTATTAGCCTTTCCCTTCCACCTCTGGATGCTCACTTCCAAGCCTATGAATTATCAGTTGTGACCTGATCAATGGGCTCCTAGGCTGACAGCTCTAGGTCATCATGTCGCTTGGGCGCCTGATGAGTGAGGCTGTAAAACCACGTGATCTGCTTCGATCATGCTTCGACAAGATTCCAATGAAAGCTCCTAAGACTAGTCACCCCTACTTATACGAACATCCCAAATTACCTTTCTCTAGGCTTTGCTAATCGCTCGGGACAAACGGATGAAACAAATTCCATTACTCGACGGCAAAAATTCAGACTAACAGTCACAACTAAACCTAGCACATATACATATACACTGACTGGGCCAGCATGCCCTCAGTCAACATCCCATATGATGAGCCCCCACAACGGTGCGATGGCGCTCCAGACCCTCCAGTCGCAGAGGATATCTCGGTCGACAGAATCACCAGCTTTCATGGCAAATTGAATCGTTTCCTTCTCACAAACAGCTCGGCAGCCGGGACCACCAACAGGCCAGCCAGTCCACTAAAAAGGGACCTCGATGCTCTCGAACCCAAGCGCGAAGCTACCACAACCGACCTAGACCGCGTTCCACTCCATGGAAGACAAACACGCAGTACCACCGCGAGTCCGAAAAGGCCCAAAGTGGAGAGAACCGTCCCGACCACAGCCAGACCTACGACCATAACGCGCTCACGCTCCTCATCCTCCATCCCCCAATCTCCAACAGCCCTTCCTCAAAAGTCCCCTCGCCGACGAAAGCCCCCTCCAACCCACACACCAACCGCGGCAGACTCCCTCCTCCGAGACACCATCCCCGCGAACCTCACCCTGCTCTTCGTAGGCGTCAACCCAGGCATCCGAACCGGAACAACGGGTTTCGCCTACGCCCACCCGTCAAATCTATACTGGAAACTCCTCCATTCCTCCGGTATAACCTCCATCCGACACCCTCCCTCGGACACGTACAAGCTGCCGGCTCTCTACAACGTGGGTAACACCAACATCGTGGAGCGACCTTCCCGGGACGCCAGTATGCTCAGCAAAGCCGAGATGGACGCTGGTGTGCCGGTTCTCGAAGCCAAAGTTGCTGCGCAACGGCCCGAGGCCGTGTGTCTTGTGGGCAAGGGGATTTGGGAGGCTGTTTGGCGTGTGCGGCATGGGCGGGCGATTCGAAAGGAGGAGTTTCGGTATGGATGGCAGGATGAGGCGGAGAATATGGGATGTACGGATGGGAGTGATTGGGCTGGTGCACCCGTGTTTGTGGCGACTACGACGAGTGGACTTGCTGCGGGGATGAGTATCCCGGAGAAGGAGGCTGTCTGGGCCGAGCTGGGTGCTTGGGTTGTCAAGCGGCGGACCGAGACGGGGTTTGTTGCTTCCGAGATTTGATTTTGGTGTTTCTTAATTGAATATTTGCTTGTATGTTTGGCGCTTGAGAGAGAGAGAACTTTCATTGCTATATACCCTGGACAGTGGCCGTTACCCACGCCAAGACTCCGTTCAATTCATTCTTGATATGCTACCCCAGAGTATGAGTGCATTGCTAAGGTACACCTTTACATTAAAGAGTCATTGGAAACTTGTGGTATTTGTATGACGAGTTTAGATTGCTCGTCCTCTCGTTATTTCATGATATCAGGTATGGAAGCCTGCCACTGCTAACTAATGCAAATACAACCCGAATGGAAACACCTTTCCCAAAAAAATCAAAAGTATCTCCCTGTAGAGTCTTGTCTACAGTTGGTATGCCACGGACCCAGGAGATGGGTCTCCATAAACCGTGAACCATGAACTAGCAAGGCCGAGGTCATAGTAGAAGGCGAGATATGAAGGTAAGACATCTTCACGGATATCGAGGATAGAGGGTGTTAAGGGAAACGGCCATCATCGCATGCTTCATGAATTCAATCGGTTCTGACACGACGGGTTCATTTATCGGGTGACACCCATAGAGCCCATGGAAACGTTCTTGTTACCTTCACGCTCACGTGTCTATATCAATCAAAGTCAGTATACCAAGAACAATACGACCCAGTGGTAAGGGGTAAGAACGAACCGTGCTGGTCTGGTACTCGCCGCCCTCCAAGATTTTGACCAGGCAATCGTCTTCCTTGGAGGTACCGAACTCATTCTCCAAAGCATTGTTGCTGGCGCTGTCGAGAACGCCTTGGGCGCCGTGACTGATACATAAGAATGTTAGTGCACTGCAGATCGCGAGATAACAAAGGTCTAAGACTCACCCGTGAGTCACAAAGATCTTCCACCCATTCAGCACATCAGTCAATGGGACGCTACGGTCACTCTTCCACTTCTGCAGGGTATCGAGGTCATCGACGAAGACGATAAAGTCCTCGGAGCGACCCTTGTAAAAGATCTTGTGGGTGTTGTCGTTGGCGCGAGGCATCTTGAATAGTTTGAGACTTGAGAAAGTTGATTGAAAGATTTCAATTGGATATGAATTTGTGAGATGGTTGATGGAAAAAAAGAAAGGTCGTGGGAGCTTTAAAGTACTGATGATGATGGATGACGTCACCTTCAGCGGGCCGTTTGGCCAACTGCTCGTGTGTCATGGAAAGCTCCCCTCCGCCTGCTTGACGACGTCATCTCATCTGCTTGGCTGATTCTTTTGGGTGATTTTGGTGTTTTAGGTCGCTCATGGGTCCACTAGTGGAGCATCAGCCCATGTTATTATGCTTTCGCTGTCATTCCTCCTATTTCGATGCAGCCAGAGCTCGTAACCTTGTGCTGCATCGTGGCATTGTCTAGCACGCCCTGGTATGCACCCCACAGTGGCGTCAGAGTCAATGCCTCCCCAGATTACTTGCGATGCACACTGTCACGTCCTCTGTGGATTGTGTTTGCGCTTTTTGGATAGCTTCATTTGCTCGTATGCTTAGCGCTGGAGGTAGGCCATGCTCTCGTAGTAGCTTGTCCTCTTTTCCTGATCTAATCATTCCCCTCTCATGCTGCTGCTGGCCTATTCTACACCTCTAAAGAAAGCAATATTGAGGACTTTCTTTCTTCCTGAAATGCTTGTTGACTTAGTTCAGAGCACCTTCATAATATATACAAGTGTGCCAAGGTATCAGACCACCATTCAATTAAAACCAGTTCATTCGCAAGAATCTTTAAGTAAGTGTTTCATGTGGGGGGATAAGGTCGATGGTAATAATAGTATTCCACGCTAAACATACCAACCTGCCACCTATGTGACACCATCCCGAGCTACCAAATCCGACGACGATAGCTTCCCTCCTCCTCAATTCTCGTCCTCATGCCCCATGCTGGACCGTGGCTTGATCAAATTCTTCGGTGAAAGCGCACTTAGTAGGCCCATGGTCGACGACCATTTTTTCCGTGTTAGAGATAACCCAGAGCTGCTCTCCTGACTAGTGCATTTCTCACTCCGTGGCGAAGACGCCGATTCGGACGTTCTTTTGGATGTGCTTCGGAATCGAATCGTCCTTTGACGTCCAAGTGTAGAAGTAGGCGTTTTAGGCGACTCACACTCTGCCTCCGCTGAGCGACGCTGGTCGTTGGTCCTATCATGGGTGGTCACCACATCCTTTTCCTCCCCACTTTGATAATCGATCGACCGAGCATCGGCGACCGCCCTTCCGGATTGGCTCGCAATACTGACCGAGCTGGACCGTTTGGCAAATGTGGCATGAAGGCTGAGGCGTCTCATAATCGAGCCACGCCGAAATATATCCCCTCGGCCAAGCACCATTCCCGGCAAGGGAAGCACATCTCGAGTATAGGCATCCGAGATCAATCGCTCCAGTCGAACTCGTTCCGCACGTCTTGCAGTCACGGTTAGAGCACCGCGTGCAACCGTGGTCTTAGGCCTTTCAATCTCACCCTCCGGTGGTGGGTTGGTGACCTCGTCTGACGTGTGCGGGAAATGTGTCTTTTTGATGACCACGGGTTGGACACTAGCCTTACGTTGGATTCCCACAGAGTCCATCGATGAGCGTCTGGCGAGGGAAGCCACTGTGTATTGGATGTGATCCAACGGTACCAGAGGAAGGTTCAGGAGAGTATACTTTCTTGGATCCCAAGTCCCACCTGGCTGCCCCTTCTCTGCCAGGGCTGCAGAGCACTTTAGGGTCTCCGTCTTCCATAGTCTCTCCTCGATTGAGGATGATGCACTCAGCACGAATTCATAGTTCTCTTCTCGCACTTGAAACTGAAACTTCCACGAGAACGGACAACCATAGCAAAAAAGACCTAGGCAATCAGCATGTAAACTTGTGAAGAACGACAATGGTCGAAGATTACCCACCTTGCCCATTTTGGATGGTTTCTTCCTTCAAATCACCTAGGTAGATACAAGCTACCACCTCCAGTCGTCGGCCATCGTCTAATCCGCTAGCAAGAAGAAAATAGCAGTTGAAGAGCACAGAGACCATGAAGTCTCCCGTCGTTTGCCCTGGGATTTGATAGGTGACGTGCAAAACACCGCAAAGCGTCATTGGGCCCAAGTCTTTATATATGTCCTGCAGTTTGTACTAGATGTACTCAAATGTTAGGAGTCATATAGAGCTTTCCAGACTATGAAAAAATGTGCATACCGATTCAGAAAATTCAAATCGCCCTTGAAGGAGAATTGTCTTTTGAATCCGATCTTTTTTGACGGGATTTCCGGTTGCCGAGTTGATTCGGGCCACGAGAACGCGCAAATTCTCCAAAATTTGCCGCATTCCATTATGAGATGATGGACAATCGCTGACGTGGGTATTCCGGAGCAGGTCTTGCAGGAGAAGCGGATACTTGCACAATCGCTGGATGGGCTGGCGAATTGTTAATCTATCGCTTCATCCAACGTGAGAGACCGGAAAACCAACCTTGATCATCAAATCACTCATAGTCATGGACTTGCTTTCTTCGTGCTTTCGGCTTTCAATGGAGGCGACTGATTTTGACAGCGCTTCGATACCCTGATCGAACATTGCCCAATTCGGAACCGAGCGTCGTAATATGGCCAAGTCTTGGGTGAACAAATCGTAATTACTGCAAAACTCTTCATACACGGGAAAGGACATCGACTGAAGGCGAGCGCTAGATTAGCATACGTTGTGCTTGCCATCGGTAGAGATAACTGACCAAATTCTCCACGGCGCGTGCGACTTCGAGAGCCTCCAAAGGCTCAGCTCGCATCGCTTTCAGACGCCGATTCATACTCGCTTTCAAACTTCGACTTCTTAAAGACCGACTCTGCAGACCTCTCAGACCAGGCAAGTCGATTCCACCCAAGCGTTTTGAAACCCCCCGAGCGACTAGGTCGGAGGCGCCGTCGGCAGCCTGTGAAGAGGACATGGGGGAGATGGTTTGCAATTGAGTCAAGAATTTTTCGTGGATGCCGCGAATTATCTGAATGTTGTGATATATCTCAGGTCGAGTGTCAAAAATCGAGAGAACCTTGCAATCTCCGGTTAGCGAAGTGATCCCCAGCATATGATCTGCAGCCAGATGACCCACTCCTGTAAGAGCTTTGAGGCCCATGACATAGTCAGCCTCGGTGATGAGTATTTCCTGCAATACGTGGCGCCTCTTGTTCGCGCGGATCTCTGCCTGATCATCGACGTACTGGCTGGATGTCGGGCGAGAGCTGTCGGCTGAGAATCGAGCATCTGAGAGGCTGCTCTGGCCAGCAGTACTTTGTGTTTTTCCTCGAGATCTTCCAAAGCTGCGGCTCGTAATGCTCAGGGTGGTGGTCTTCACTGTTCCCAGCTGAGATGAATGCCATGACAACAACGAGTCTCGGCGACCAGCCGGGTTGGGCGCGGCAAATTCATTTGGCGATGATTCGAACCAGCCTGGTACGTGTCTTTCCGGAATTGTCGGAGGCACCCTTCTGCGAGTCCGGAAACTGTCCATCCATTTCTTGAATGGATGGGAGGCATTCGATCTCAATGGCACCGCATCTTCCCCCTTCTCTGCCAGAAGCTGCTCAGTTTCATCTTCCACGGGAAGCTCATCAGTCTCGATTTCAATCGTATCGATATTGGTGTTTTCCATCCTGCAATAAAGCGGCAAGTGTGCTCGATTGATGTCGTATACTCGCAGCTGGAGTCATAGAGATTAAGGGCCGCCCCGGGAAGTCAATGTAAACACAGTCTTACCAGAAGCTGCTGCACCCGAAGTTGAAGTACTCATTGTCCGGCAGTCGCGAGGGAGGCCGCAACTTTCGAGGAAAGTGGGTGCCGCAGACGAGAAAGGAAGGCTCTCTTTCTCTTTCGGTCTGGGCATCAGGACGATTGATTCTTTCTCCCAGCCTCGCGAAGGGAAGAGCGACGAAGGGAGCACCGTGACCACAAGTCGCGCCGGCTCCAGGCAGCTGTAGAGGCCGCTGAGGAACCGACGATTTGGATTTGATCCATGTACGTCATGACGTGAGGCAGCTTAATAGGTGGAATTTAAATTCTGCCTCCAGGCCCAAATGCGCAAGGATGCACGCTCATGGAGAGGCTTCTCGCTATGATTTCGGAATTCCGGTTAGGCAGACACAGCCAGCCAATTTCCGAGTACGGATACAATACCAGGATCGGGGTTTGCGAACGAGACTTGTAGAGCATAAAGTATCTAGATGTATAGTTTGGTGGAGGTATACCCGTCCAGTTGGGTTGGAGGCGCCAAGCCGCGCTTATAAAGAGAGACGGAAAGCGCTTGGAGACCCACCGCCCTTCACGCCGCGATTTAATGGAGGCTGTGATCTTCCCCACCTTCGGACTATGGGCATCCCCATGGACGACAACATTCACGCTCCAACAGTGGCCTCCGGACCGACGTCCGGGGCCACTCCCCGCGACTATTCCAAGTTGACTATGCCCGATCTCATGCAGGAGAAGGAGCGGATTGAGGCGGAGCTGTCGGCGCTCAGCAGTGTGCTCAGCTCGGTGAGTGGATGACAGCTCCGACTTTCACAGATTTAAGAGCTTGCTAACTTCTGTTGGTATCGCTAGCATGGAGTCAACATGAACTCATCCTTGACGACATTCGATGGGTTTCCACGCGACGATATCGACATTGCTCAAGGTGCGCTAGGATTCGGGCGCGGCCCCATGAACTACCCCGACCGAATAATATACTGAGAGACGATGGCAGTTCGAACGACGCGTGTGCGAATCATCCACCTACGAAACGATCACAAAGATGTCATGAAGTATCTTGAGAAGGGTCTCCACGCTCATTTTGCCCAACTACAGAATGCGCAAGCGACCGCCACCACGAATGGCACGACCGTTCCGCCAGTCGCACCAGTGGCAGACAACAGCATCGTGGATGCTAGTGCTCTCGGTGCACCATTCGCACGCGTCAACAGCGTGGAGCCCAGGAGCCCAGCAGAACAGGCAGGCTTGAAGGCCGGCGATACTATTCGAGGATTTGGAGGGGTGCATTGGCTGAACCATGAGCGCCTATCCAAAGTTGCTGAGACTGTGCAGCAGAACGAAGGGGTACGTGCTAATGTCCTTGAAGCTTTCTTCTGCTTCATTTGCCGACGGACCATATTGACCATATATACAGCGCCCGCTTACAGTCAAGGTAACCAGGAAGAATGAAGGCGCACAGGGAACGACCGAGCTGGATTTGCTGCTGACCCCTCGGCGCAACTGGGGCGGTCGAGGACTTTTGGGATGTCACCTTGTTCCTTTGTCGTGACCAAATCCGAGATGGGTCTCTTTGCTGTTGCCGTGGCTACGGAGAAGTCCTTGGGGCGGTTTCCTTATCTGTACGTTGCCGATGCGATTTTCTTGACGAATGACGAGGCATGACCTTACTCTGGATGTTCTTTGCGCGTTGTAATTTGTGTAGTTGGAAGGAATGCCAATTTTTTGTTGTTGGTCTTGAAAAGACGATATTTGTATATAGGTAGCTGGATTTTTTGGTGGCAGCGAACGTCCAGAATGGTTTATCGGGCATCATGGTTTGTCTAATCTATGATTCAAGGTCTGCTTACGGTCAGCCCTATGACTTGGAAGCTAGTCAGGATACAATGCCGACTCTGTATAGTCGAGTATGGTGTTAGTCCAAAGGTGCCAACTGATAGTACAGTCATCGAATTAAGACAAATCAGAACTATCCCTAGAAGTAACAATCATGGCTCTCATCAATTCAATGGTGCTAATCGCACTAAATAGTACCACGGAGTGATGCAAGCAAGGCGGTGTTGACACTACGTCAGGCCAACAGGCACACACATGGACCACGTGACCCGCCCGCGACCGGGGCAAAAATTCCATCGCGCATTATTCAGTCCTTCCCCTTCTTTCTCCCCATCCCTCATCCACCCCCAAAGGCAATCCAACCCTTCTGTGGTCTATACCTCATCCGCTGATTTACCAGCGATTTCCATTTCCCTCATACTTTCCCTTCGCGAAAAAGAGTCCATAATGGCGCAGGCCCCACCTACCTTCAAGCTCGTCCTGGTCGGTGACGGTGGTACTGGCAAGGTAAGCGGTTTCTACTCGAACTCACGGCTTTTCATTTCAGGCCAAGGAAAAGGATATAGGATTCGCTTGCCCTCATTGAGATCTTCTTGATTACCCATGATGATTCCGGTTTTGGCAACAACCCCTCTGTTCCTCCCTTGCCCCGCGATTGTGTCAACAATGATGAAAATATCTGCCCAACGCTCGCCTCACTTGACACAGCAGCCTTTGCTAACGCAGCCAACATGATAGACCACCTTCGTCAAGCGCCACCTGACTGGCGAGTTCGAGAAGAAGTACATTGCCACTCTCGGTGTCGAGGTTCACCCTCTGACCTTCACTACCGTATGCTATGCCCCGCCAAGCCCCGCTCCGACTCCGTTGCTATGACCCCCCCTCTTCGTTGATGACGACCGACTAACTCGAAATCGCTAGAACCTGGGTACCATTCAGTTCGATGTCTGGGATACCGCCGGCCAGGAGAAGTTCGGTGGTCTCCGTGATGGTTACTACATCAACGGCCAGGCCGGTATCATCATGTTCGATGTCACCTCCCGTATCACCTACAAGAACGTTCCCAACTGGCACCGTACGATTTTCCCCCGTTCTCACGCGACTCAAAACGGAGTTGGATTGGCTAATTGATTTTCCAGGTGACCTTGTCCGTGTCTGCGAGAACATTCCCATCGTTCTCTGCGGTAACAAGGTTGATGTGAAGGAGCGCAAGGTCAAGGCCAAGACCATCACCTTCCACCGCAAGAAGAACCTCCAGTACTACGATATCTCCGCCAAGTCCAACTACAACTTCGAGAAGCCCTTCCTGTGGCTCGCCCGGAAACTGGTCGGCAACCCCCAGCTGGTACGTATTCTTTTCTTCCGAATCTTTATCCTTCACCGCCACACGCAGCCTACTAACTATCACTACAGGAGTTTGTCGCTGCTCCTGCCCTCGCTCCCCCCGAGGTTACCGTCGACCACGAGCAGCTCGAGAAGTACCGCCAGGAGATGGCCGATGCTGCTGCTCAGCCCCTCCCCGACGAGGACGATGCCGACCTGTAAAGTGGTCAACCTCACCAGCAGGTCCCCGACAGTTCTTTTTCCGATCCGGACTTCGGGGATCATCAAAGCCACTTCCCCCCTTGTCACCGTCTTTGACAGTGACATGTAAAAAGAGGGGCGGCACATTCCACGACCGGAAGTTTTGGGCTCGACTACAGTACAGTCCTAGGATTCACGATACAATGAAAGCGGTTGGGGCAGTGGCGGTTTGAAGAAAGGGACGGCACGATTATGCATTTCTTTTTATGGTTTTCCCCCCAACCACACTTAGTAGCTTAGACTCATTTTTTACCTACCATCTCAATGTCCTTTTTTTTTTTCTTCCCCCCTCTGAAATGAGCTTACTGCATAAAATGCATGTCCTCTTTCAAAAAGGTCTCACAAAAAAAAAGTCATGAATAATTCTTTGATTCTACCCCTATATGCAATGGAAAATTAAAAAGCGCGATTCCGGCAAGCAAAAAAGGAGAGCATGATCTCGTTTCGATGGTACTTCAATTCTGGAAGCTCCGAGCTAAACATCAAACGCTAATCAAAGTAACCGAAACCACGGGTGAAAGTGTTCATGAGGTAATGACTTGGGGGTATAAAGGGGTTGTCGTGGATAGAACGTAATCGTCATTGCGCCTCGGAACGCCCATGAAACAAGGCATAAATCTACAGCAATGGTGCGCGGACGGAGAAGGTTGTAGATCAACGGAAAGTCTCAAATCGACCATAGCATGGTGACCATCAGGCTTGTTACTTAGGTACGAACTCCCTGTGTAGAAGAAGAAAGTCAATAAGGAGAGTCAGAGTAAAAAGTGCAACTCGATATATCAGGGAGAAAGCAAGGGCACTTACGAAAAGGTATGCAAGTTCCCGGACATCCAGTCGTGAGACATTCATCGAGCCACCCTCATCGAGGGCACCGCTGATGAGCTCGCGCTTCTCTTCCTGGAGATTGATGATGCGGTCCTCGACCGTGTTCTCGATAAGCAAACGGTGCACAAAGACATCCTTGGTCTGACCGATTCGATGGGCACGATCGATGGCCTGATCCTCGACATAGGGATTCCAGAAAGGGTCGAACAGGATGACATGGGAAGCAGCGACGAGGTTAAGACCTGCGTTGCCGGCCTTGAGAGAGACGAGCATGATCTTGACCTCGGGATCATCCGTGAAGGTGGCCACAGATTCATTACGCTCGGTAATGTTCATGCTACCATCAAAACGGACATACTTCCAGCCCTTACGGGCGATAGGGACTTCCAGAAGATCCAGGAGGGAGGTAAACTGACTGAAGATGATCGTCTTCTCATCCTTACCGCGGGTTTCATTCTCCTCCAGAATCTCGATGGCTTTGGTGATCTTTGCGCTAGGGATCCACGATCTCTCGAGACGGCGAAGATATCTGCGCTTCGCACGCTTATTCTTCTGACCTTCCTTGCGGAGCTCTGCGAGTGATTTCTTCTTCGGTCTATCAGAGGATCCCTCGCTTTCTGTACCTGAGTCCGAGTCATCCGAGTCAGAATCATCCGACTGGCCATCCTCTTTATCTGAAGTCGTTGTAGACTCGGATGCACTGGCCGGATCGTAAACTTTCTTGAATGATTCCCCGTCGGTAACCTTGATGGGATCGACCGGGCCACGACAGTTCTGACACTTAATCATACCGGTGTCGTCATTATGGGCTAGAAGTTGTGGATCCGAAATTCGAGCAAAGCATTCGTTGCAGACCGAATGACCGCAAGGAATGTAGATGATGGCGTTTTCAACAATGTCCATGCAAATAGGGCAGGTTCCGTCATCCTCGCCGCCCGTGTTGCTCTTGATTCGATCCACGACCGTTGAGCTCAGGAGTCTCGCATTGGCAACCATATCCCTACCCTCGACGGTAGGAGTTTTCGTGGTGATGCCTTGCATAAGATGCGGGTGACAGCAGGCTTGCCGCAGCCGCAGTAGAAGCACCAAGACATGACTGTACTTCTTTCCCAGGATACCAGCGTTCAGAAGTCTCTCGATTTGCGCTTGCGTTTTGGAGGCAAGTGCATCATAGATCTCTTGCTCTTTCTCATCGAATACAACATGAACTTTTTCGATAACCTTCGGAGGAAGCTGCAGGATCGGTTGACCGTCGATCTTCGAGGTCTTGGTGCGGCGGAAACACACTGATTTAACGAGGATGCGAAGCTGCTGCATCACGGGCTCTGGCACAAAGCCAGATTTCACCACCCGGAAGTCCTGCAGAGAATGGTTAATTATAGAACACGTCAACCCTTATGATGGCAAAGGACAACTTACCCTTTTGAACTTCTCCTTGTTGTTATAAGGCCGGATGCGGAGGAAAGTCAAAAGAGACTGGAAATCCTCAAGTCGATTCATCATCGGCGTTCCAGTAAGACACCAGCGATATGTTGCATTGAGTCTGCAACAAGCCTTGCTCGCCTTGGCGGATGGATTCTTGATATTCTGAGCCTCATCGACAATGACACGATGCCACTTGCTCACTGGCGTGAACAGCGTTGCCAGATTGCGGCATTCTCTGACAATGCTCACATCCTTTCCTTCCTCCTCAAGCTTTTCTGCTCTGAGAAGTAATTTGAAGCTGGCGGTCAGAGTGCCGAAGGTGGTTATGACGACGTTGTAAGACTTGAGTTTCCTCCAGTCGACACGGTTGGCACCATGATAGATGAACACTGAAAGCTGATGCTTCCCAGGCTCGACATGTCTTTGGATCTCACGCTTCCACTGGTCCATCAATGCCTTTGGCGCAACGATCAACGTAGGATACCGTTCAGGATCACTTGGGGGCCTTGCAACCATAAGAGCAATGGCCTGAACCGTCTTGCCGAGACCCATGTCATCGGCGAGAATACCACCTTTGTGATTACTCTCTTCTTTGGCCTTCATCCACGCCACACCAATCTTCTGATGCTTCATGAGTGTGACTCTCAGACCCTCCGGTGTCTCATCCTTCTCCGCCTTGGTGGCTTCACGAATATCCTTGATACCAGTAATCAGGTTCTGAATATCCTGAGGGAAGTTTTGCTCCTCATATCGTCTGCAAGCCATTTATCAGTATCCATAATCGGCAACGGTAGAAAGCGTACTCACTCAAGATCATCAGCATCCTCCAGACCCAGTGGATTGTCCCGAAGCAGGTCGATTGCCGCCATTTCGGTGGCAGGGGTGGGATCATGCATCCACGGGAGAGTCCGACCACGGTTGAGGGGATTGGGGCCACTGAACATAGGGGTATACCGTGGTGGACCAAGTGAAGGAGTGACTAGCCCCGAGGGACTGAATCCAGACGGTCCATACACGGATGGACCGAACCCAGATGGTCCTGCCCCACGCGCGTTAAAGTATTCCCTTGGAATTTCTTGGAGATCATCGTCCCCGTATGGGAATGAACCCGGCGGAGCAGGATTGTAATCAAACTGCGTGGGCACGGGATAACGACGACGTGGCTGTGGGTCTATGTATGACGGAGTTGCGTATGGACGTGTGGAAGGGAGCGGCAGCGTACGATCAGGAATCCTGTACACTGATAACGGACTCGAGCCCCGGTCGTCATCGCTTTCGCTGACTGCATCCTCTGCTTGCACCATGCGCGCCATTTGCTCGTCCATGTCCATCCGGAATTGAGCGCGAATCACATCTTCCTCTTCCTTCTGCTCCTTCTCCATTTCCTCCAAGACCTGCTCAGTGGAAATGCCTTCGTTTGCTGCACGTAGCTGGACAGACTCAGGGTCCTTTGTGTCTTCGTACAATTCGCGACTTGCTTTCAACTGCCTCTCCATTTCTGCCTCTATTGCCTCGTAGCGAGACTTGTGACGGTCCACAGCCGTTCTCTTCGACGATTGGTGTTGGATCGGTGAGCTCATAGAGTCCTGGCGCTGTCTTTTACGGGTTTCGTCGGCTCGTGATGGCACAGCAGGCCGTGCAGATTGACCAGGATGAGCAGCAGCAAAGGGCGAGGGGGCCGTTGACGGATGGTGCGGGGCAGACCCCGGATCCGCAGGAGAAGAATTCAAAGAAGAAGGATGTGTGGTTGAATTAGCCGGGGGAGGTGATCGAGAGATGACACCATTTTGTGTGCTGTTGGAAGAGGAGCCCGAAGTGCTGGGACCGGTGCCCAGCAGCTCTGCAATCTGGTCCTCAATCCTCTCGATAGTTGCCTGAAGCTCGGCGATCCCAGCAGTGTCTGCTGGATTCTGCTCGAGAAGGTCCTCCAGGAGAAATTTGTAGGTCTCCTGGTCTTCCACGAGACTGTTGATCTTGCGCTGCTTCAAGTCATCCATGTTTGTAGCGAAATAGGACGATGCGAATGGGTCTGGGATTGAGGTTTTCGAGGATCGCAGGTCGAACCAGCCGGATGTTTTGTTTCAGGATATGGCGAGTCGATAGGAGCTTCATCCACTGTAGCAGATGAATCAAGAGCGCAAACGATGGAGCGATATAGTTCGATAAGAGCAACAGGTGGTGGTTGTAGTTGATCGTTCCGAAGCAGGATTTGTTCACCGAGTGTTGTAGAGTTGTAGGCAAGAGTATCGGGGGAAGATTTGAAACGGACGCGGGGAGATGGTTCAGAAGAAATGTTAAGTGGTGAAGGTCAACATCGATCGAATATCAATCGAGAGTGATCGATCAATTCGCAGTAACCCGTCGAGCGAAGGAAAGGATGAGAATCTCCATTGACAGACTAGACAGCGGCTTGTAATCGAAATATCAAGTCAGGACGAGCGCCAGCGCGAGAGACGATGGGAGATAGGATGGCTGTATGTAGGAGATTACTATTAGCCTTTAAGTCCTGAGATGATAAAGTGCAAACGAAGCGGCGGTGGCACCTGTGCGAAGAGCACCCAGGATCCGAAGAAAAAAAAGCAAATATGACGCGCTGATGCGTTGCACCCGTTGATCCCAGAGAAGAAGAAGTGGTTCGCTGCGCTGCCGAGGGCTGCGATAGGAGAGGCAATGGGTGGACTCACCGTCCTTCGTACGCTGCGATGCGATGCGATCCTGGCGGAGACGGCCTGGCGGAGTTGCGCAGTCGCGGGGAAAGTGGAGATGACACGGAGAGAAGACGGGCGCGCGGAGAGAGGCACGGAGGAGTTGCAGGGTAGAGAAAGTGAGAGTAGTTGTCGAGAGGTGCTTGGAGCGGAGCCAGTCCTGCTATAACCTCACCGAGATACGTTGAGGTTGAACTTGTCGCCGGCGAAAAAATTGGCAGGCGATGTCATTTTGAGCGCTCGCCGAGTGCCAAGGTTTATCGCGGGCGTGCCTAGAGGTTCGTCCCATGCGGCTCTGCGGGGCTACCTTGACATTCGACTTTGCTCTTGACACAAGAAATACTCCTAATCTCTACTGAATATCGTTTCCACATAAGAATCCATCATATTCTCTTTATTCCACCATCAATCGATCCTTGAATCGTCTCCTAGGAAGTTGACAATGACTATCATCACGTGCTGATAGGACGCGTCCACGCGTTTTAGTCGCAAATGATGCAAAGTCTACAAACAGAAGCCTCTTCCGAGCAAGCCTACTTTCAAATTCAAGACACGCATCTCTATCTGAACTATACCAGGCGCTTAGTTGCTGCATTTTGTTTATGACCATCAACTTTCAAAGTTGGTGCACGGTCACCCATACTATGAAGTGGCTGGAAACGAAACTGTCAAATGAGGAAATGGAGGACAAGGAGATACTTCCGAGACGGAAGTAGGTCGATAGCTACGTCCGAGGCTACAGCTGAGGGTAGTGTGGAAAAGGATTGAATTGTCAAAGATTTCTGGTCGGATCAGGGAATGACATTATGCCACATAACAAAGGCCAGCTCTGTTGACAGAAAGAAGTTTGATTTATCAAGACTTTGTCCACGTATTCTACTCTTATGGGGTATTCTATGCCTATGGCTACTAAGCCTTACCGAGGAGCATGATGCTGCCCGAGTCCCTACTCACTCGACTCTGGAGAAGAGTGTTAGTACGGAGAATATTGAGGTGTCACTTTACAACAAGGGACCTCATAGCATGCCGCCTTGTGTGCCGAGACCTTGCGACTCAACTAGAGCCGGTCCTTTTCCAGGACATCACCATCCGATTCCGTTGCAGGTCCTTGAGCCGGCCATCGCGAGTCTCTGCGCTTGAACGCATCGGACAACATGTTCAGCAAGTGACATTCGCCATCGCACATACCACCGAAACATTCTTACCACCAATCATAGATGCGGATACGGGAAAAGAGCAGACGTTCGTGTACATGCCTCAGCACCGACAGGGCTCACCAAAGAGCCCCAAATATGGCACCTGGGAGATGACAGATCTGCTAGTCAAGCAATATCCTCCACTTTTCCATGCAGCCACCGACATCCCCTCGTTCGTGCGAGTGCTGTCTTCAATGAAAAACCTGCGCCATCTGCGGATCACCTGCGAGGGCCAGCCTCCTAGTCATCGGTACCGACGAAGCGTGGTCGACTATGCGCTGATTTCGTTGCGCATTGCAGTTGAGCAGGCATCGCTCAGGTTCCTAAACAGTCTTTCATTGATATCAGTCCATCCCGCAGCGGTGCTTTACCTGCAGCCAAATCTGGGATTCGGCGCATCGCCTGCCTCCCGTAAGCGGTGGTCCCAGATTCGATATCTTACCATTCACATGGAGAGTTTCCCTTACCGGGCGGGTTCGCCCACGGATCATTTCAAGCTTCTGGATGCGTATCTGCAAAGCTTTCCCGAGCTTCGGACTCTGGAATTCCATTGGAAAGGCGAGAGGGGCCTTTCACCAATTTCTCTGGCAAGCGAAGTCTATCTCCGGAATGCGACCAACGAAAGATCGAGACAATCGGATACCAGCAAAAGGAGCCATTTCTTACGCCCACTGAAATTGCCCTACCTCCAAGAGGTAGAGCTGGTCAATGTGGTGATGGATGCATCGCAGGTAGCATCTTTTCTCCTCGATCATCGACAATCCTTGCGTGAACTCAAGTTTCAAGATATTGTTCTGCGTACGGGCACATGGGATGAAGCATTGGCGCCCTTGACTCGAATGAAAGACGGCGTCTCATGTAAACAGTATCAGAGAGACGAGCGCAGTGCCAACGTGCCTATAATGTTGAAGCCCATGACGACCCAGGATTCAATGTGACGAGAACACTATCCAGTACAGAGATAGAATCAAGGATTCCGCAGCTTAGCGACACAAGGGGAAGAATTTTATTCCTGAGGGAGACCGATCATATGCAGCGGCGGGCACCGTCATCAGCCTCGTGTCGGCGGTGACGTCGCGGATCCTCGGAGGGTAAAGAACAAAAAGGAAAGGATTATCGGTTGTTAGTGCATCGCGATGAATAGTTAGTTACCGGATGCGTGGGACCTGGTTGACTAATAGACCGACGAGCAACGGGCTAAGTACACATCGGAAAAGGACTCGGAGGTTAAGGGGAGATCAGGCCCTTGTGAGATCGCGTGCCAGAAGCTATAACTATGAACTAGGAAATAGATAATCAGGACCAACGTGGTAATGTCTACTGCGTAGGTCCAGTCGCGTGGGGAATCACGGGGTTCACGGGGGGCCTCGGCACGGCAGCGCTAATTTTGGGGAACTTCACATGTTGCGGTGCCCCGGCGGATTTTGACCCAGCTTCCGTCATATATAGCTTATACTTCCGCTCTAATCTTCTTATCCACTCTGATCCATTCTCTCTCTTTAAACCATTCCATATTCATCTCCCATCCATCTCTCATCTTCCACCATGTCTCTCAAGAAGGGTACGTTCTCTCCCCCCCTCCATCATCCCTTCTGCAACTTCCTTCCCCCCCCGGTCGCATCCACGGGCACAAGCACAAACCCCAAAAAGCTCCTGCTAACCAGCATGTAATCCACAGATTCCTTCCCTGCCTCCGCCGCCTTCGACGTGATCAACCAGACGCTGCAGGCCGATGCTGCCGAGCGCAAGGACGCCGTCGACAAGGCCAAGGCCATCGTTGCCTTCAACCTCAAGAACGAGAAGGGCGAGGAGGCCAGCTGGTACCTTGACCTGAAGAACAAGGGCGAGGTTGGCCAGGGTGCCGCCCCCGCCGGTGGCAAGGCTGACGGTGAGTGATAAGATCCTACACCAACAAGCGTATTTCGATCGACACATCAATGCTGACCCTTGGCGATCGTTTAGTCACCCTTACTCTCTCCGACGCAGACTTCGCCTCCCTCGTGGCCGGCAAGGCCAACGCCCAGCGCCTGTTCATGGGCGGCAAGCTCAAGATCAAGGGCAACATTATGAAGGCTACCAAGATGGAGCCCATCCTCAAAAAGGCTCAGGGCAAAGCCAAGCTGTAAATATTTAGATACCCTTTATTTGACCATCTGTACAAGAAACCGTTCCTTGGGTAATGCCTTGACGTTACATGACCGTGCATTTCCTTCATAGTGTATAACCAGCGTGGTGAGATAGAATGAAGGGACTACGCGCCGCAGACACGATTCAATAGATGGGAATAAAATATGTTCGAGATCTAAATCTAATTCCCGATATCGGGTCAACCGCTTTCTACCCGTGCTGTACTTGAAGGGACGTCGTTCGTTGCTGTATCTTCTTTTCCTTGGCCTGCACTTCTTGTCATATCGCATCCACTTACTACATGTCTCGAACACTGCCATATCGCGAAACCCTCCCCTGGTCAAGCTCCACAAAGCAATCCGCGTCCTTCACAGCCTCGACCCGGTGCGCAATCGTGATGACAGTCGACAAGTGCAACTCCTCTCGAATGATCTGCTGGATCTCAAGAGAAGTCTCATGATCAATCGAGGCAGTGGCTTCATCGAGAATGACAACGGGACTGCGTCGAAGAACGGCACGCGTGAGAGCGATCAGTTGGCGTTGCCCTTGACTGAGATTTTTACCCCCTGCTTCAATATGAGTGTCCAAGTTCCATCCATGCCGGCCACAGAGTCGCTCCAAGACGTCCGCGCACTGTCGATTGGAGAACTCTTCCGTGGGATCGAGGTTCAGACGGACGCTACCTGGGAAGAGAACGGGGTCCTGGGCGACGAACGTGACTCGAGTGCGGAGGGCCTGAGTATTCACATCGGCAATGTTGATACCGTCGATCATGATGCGGCCGGTTTCCGGCCGAACGACACTAAGAAGGGAAACGGCTAGTGTAGACTTGCCACTACCCGTGCGGCCGAGGACAGCGGTAGTAGACCCGCCGGGAATGCGAAGAGAGACATCTTTCAGAGCCGGATCAAGGTGCAGCGCGTATCGAAGGGTTACGTTTTCAAAGGTGACGTCGCTTCCATACGTTGGCCATGCAGCTGGAGGATCGATCGTGCCCTTTGGTTCTTCTTCGATATGTAGAAGCTCGTCAATACGCTCAACTGACACGAAGTCCATCTGCAATTGACCGTATTGCTGGCACAGGGCATGTGTAGAGTCGACGAAATTGTTAGCAGCGATGAGCACAAAGGCCACCAGACCAGGTGTGGTGTTTGTAAACAGGGCTAGAACAGTCAGGCAAAAGGTTGACAGTGCGGAGAGACTTTCGAAGCGATACATAAGCCACGCCTGTAATGACCAATAGAAATGATCCATGCCCTGAAACTTGTCAACCACGGAGATGACACGGTTTTGAAAGCGTTCTTCTGCGCGGAATGCGCGCACCGTGGTCAGACCGTGGAGCAATTCTCCAAAATTGGACAACAGCGGCGTCAAGGAAACCATCTCAAGCCGCCGGAGGCTTTGCGACGTTGGTAGGAATCGCAAGAATATGAGCACGAAGGCCAACGTGAGGATCAAAGAGAAGACGAGGAAGGCTGGGGTCGCCGTAGCAATGACAAGGATCGAAGAAATCCATGTAATTGCATGGAATGCAATAGTTTGGAACTGTTCGCTGATGTTGCCATCCACCACGCCAATGTCTGAGGTCAGGCGATTCATCAACCGGCCCACGGGAGTCACATCGAAGAAACGGAATGAGGCATAGCTGACCCGCACCATTACTTCGCGAAAGAGCGACCGACCCGCGCAGGAAACAATTGTCAGCATCAATAGCTGAGCGACCAAAAGTGCGGTAGCCTGGAAGCAAATGATGCCGAAGAACACCCATAACCAAGGGCGAACATTCTCAGACGGAGGCGGGAGCTGGTCGATCGGGGATTGAGGAGTAAAATATGCATCCACGCCTAAGATTGAGACCAATGAGGTATCAACGGACCGAACCTGCCAGACTGACATGCCACTTTGCGGCAGAGATACCTGACTGTAGGCTTCACCCCACTCCTTGAGGAACCATGATTGTCCAACAGCCATGAGCCGGTAGATTGCGAGTACCAAGACCAGGATAGCCCACCATCGATACTTGCCCGCTCTGATGTAGTTCCAGTAGACACGGGCTTTGATGCCCCATTCTGCGCGGTGCTCTTCTTCAATGAATTTATCAGGAATTGCAGTTGCTTCCTCCTCCGCGTTGGTTTCCTCAGTCTCCGTTCCAGAGTCGGTAAAGCTTGACAAAGGACCAGGCCTGTCTCGTTTGGTAGATGCTGATATGACAGCCTTGCTATGGACAATGGCACGGCTTTGGTCAATTTCCACAATTTGATCAGCGATATCGCGCACCAGTGCAGTGCGATGTGTCACCAATACAATGGTGCGGTTCTGCATCAACGGCCCTAAGAGGCACTTGCGAACCACAAACTCGGCCGTATTGTGATCCAACGCTGACAGTGGGTCGTCCAAAAGCAGCACACGGGAAGCACTATATACCGCCCGGGCGAGAGCCACTCGTGCCTTCTGCCCTCCGGAGAGACCAACACCATTTTCTCCAATAAAGGTCAAGTCGCCATGCTTAAACTGGGACAGATCTGGGAGTAGAGCACAAGCGTCTAGAGTCCGCTTGTAACGCTGGTCCTCGTATGGTGCGGAAAAGAGAATATTGTCACGAATGCTCATGCTCTGAAGCCACGGCGTCTGTGCGCAGTATCCGATCGTTTCGTTGGGAAGGCTGGAAGAGCCACTTAGTCGATCAAGTTCCCCGAGAAGAGCTTGCAGGAAAGCTGTCTTTCCGGCTCCAACCTTTCCACTCACAACGGTGAGACCTCTCGGGATGGTAACACTGATGTCTCTCAGTACGGGGGATATCTTGCCGGGCCATGCAAACGAACATGAATCAAGTTGGAAAGGTACGTCGTCTGGACGGTGATTGGCGTCAATTTGCTGCTTATTCGGTTCGGCCATAAAGTCCTCAATACGCCCGAGCGCAATGTAGGCATTGATCAGTGCAGTGATCAGACCGGGAATTTCACGCAAACGTGTCTCTAGCATGGTGAAAAGTTGCAAAGCAGGGAAGATTATATCAATACGTAACTCATGCCCAGCCAGCATAGTGTAGGCGTATAGAGCAACCACTGGAAAGACACCGCTTGCAAAAGCATTTATGAAATTGATCGAGGTGGTGTATAATTTGGTGACGATTCGACGATTCAGCTCATGTTGACGAGCTTCCATAACTCGGTGAAGCCAGTGATCTTGCCAGCCATACCACCTGAGATGGCGAATCGCTTCCACAAATTGTGATGTGATCTGCAAGCGAGCATCCGTGGCAGCTCGTGTGAGTCTTTCTCGTCGAAGGAGGAATCGAGTGATGACGGCGTTTAAGCCTTGGGCAACCAGAACTGCCAGTATACCCAAGAAACAGGATGGTCCAAAGAGGGTCCATACGAAGACAACGGCGACGATCAAGCCCAGGGGCTTGTCGATAAGCACATCAATCTCCCAAAATCGCTGTGCCACTTCGTAGACGTCGCCCCGAAGAAGATTGAAAATTTTACCCAGTGTGGCAGCCTCTTTGGCTTCATTCGGCTGCGGTTTACCTTTCAAAGAGCACAATCGGCTCCATATACCTGGCTTGGTAGGGGGCAGAGTATCGATTTCGGGGATCGACGTGTTGCCATTGATGGGCTCTTCTCCGCTCGGCTGCTTCTGTCCGTTCTCGATGTGCGTACCCAGTATGTTTTTGCGTGAGAGTGCCTTTTCATAAACCATCATCACCATCTCACCTCGGGATCGCTCATAACAGCGTCTTCCATACCACAGTTTCAATACTTGGGACTGTGCGGCTACGAGACGGAGCGCCAGCGCAAGTAAAGCATAAGTCAGGGGCACACGTTTCGGTTTCATTGGGTCTTGCATGGCCCGCAAGAGCTGCTGTAGGAGTACAGGCGTAGAGAACGTGCAAATCATTTGCACCACAGCAATCACAGAGATAATAAGGACATCAAGTCCGTTTGCTTGCATTACTCGGCGGAGGACGGATCCACGGATTCGACGAAACTTCTCATGGAGGCGACTGTGTTGGAACTCGAAGCCCAGGAGCCAGACATCTGGCTCATTGAGCTGTCTCTGGCGTCCGAGGGAAATAAGGGGTGACATCCATGATACGGTCAGGAATTGCCAGAGTCGTAGATTATCCTCTGGACTACGAAAGTCGCTGCATGGTGTTTGACCAACGGCACTGATGTCAATCACTGGAAGTGATGGTTTCCGGAATGGCATCAGCAGAATTGTGAAACAGGCCATCAAAGCCGCAGAGGCGGCAGTGTACCGAGCAAACCCCTGGAGTCGCGGTTTTCCAAAGGATGCCGTGGCCAATATGATCTCAACCATGAAGCATGCAATGAAAAAGACCAGCATGGGGATTGAACACGACCTCGGTCGTTTGACCGTGATTACCACGGCTGCTGTAGCCTGGGACAGGGTCAACAACATGTTTTGTTCAGCATTGGAAGTCAATCACTCACCCATGATGCAACGAGAGTAATAGCAGAAAAGTTGATATTTGGAGGGAAGAAATGGACCAGCTCGGCAGAGAAGCCAATGCCTGTAAACGTGAGAAGCGCAAGAGTCCAGCTGAGGGATTGTTTAACATCATCCAGCGGAAACCGTTGATATTCATCTTTCTCTGAAATAAACGGCAGAGACCATTGCGGTTGCCACCGTCGTAAGATCGAGCCTAATAGATGGCGGCATGCAATGAAGAGAATCACGCTGGCGGGAGCGATGACCACGTAAGGCAGCGCACATGGTGACAACCATGCATTTTCCGAGTCCTGGATTGGTCAGAGCTTAGGAGCGGCAAGTAACGCAAGGAGGAGGCGGCCACAAACCCAAATTTGTTCGCAATTGTGCCTGCCAGCACTGGACGAGAGAGGAAATTGGTCAACCATTCCTCCCATTACGAACCAGATCAATCCCCAAGGTCCGTGGCTCTCGATCCAGTCATGTCGTGAGGCTCGCGTTGCATTTAGACTACGGAGGGGAAGGGCGGACTAACGTTCCACCGGACACAGTATATGCTTAGTAATCTGGACGACGTCCATGAAATGACTACCTCCAATGTAAGTAGACTGGCTAGCGAACCGACCGGAGGAATAGGGATTGGTAATTGACGATCAGTCGAGCTCGCTAGTGCACCTTCTGATCAGAGCTTTTGTAACTTGAGTTTTTCAAGTTGGTTTCAATTACCTACAGCTAATATAGACGCGATAGAATACAAGAGAAATCTGAATGCAATATTGCAAGTAGCGCCATTGAATGTTTCTATCTCCTATCCCGGTATATACAAGCAGGATCTCGCTTTCTAGTACCTGTGGTATTGTTTTTAAAAGACTGATCATGTATCAATTGATGGCTCTATCGAACGGTATCAGGAAGCTTATTGGGAACCTATGCAGAAGATATTCGGATTCCATTCGTTGTATGAGCTATAAGGTATTGTTATTAATGCAAGCCACGAGGGCCTATACTACACCTTGCTCGCTAAGCCGACCTTCACCTAACTAGAAAATAGCAAACGCATTTGGGGGGCTGGCAACTCCCCCAACGACCTGTCAGAACCATTTACGTCAGCATTATTGAAGAACAACATGTTCAAAGCTGAAAATGACGTACCTTGAGGGGCATACTTGACAGGAAGAAGCTATATCTCCCTGTAGCCTTGCAGTGCTGAGAGAGCTTCTCCAAATCAAACATCTCCCCAATTGGCGTCCCCCATCCTGCCAATACCCACTCGTGCAAATTGAAATTCGGATCTGCGTGAGTGCCACGGATAGGAGCACGTTCGAAGCTCGGTGCATCGCCAGCCACGGCGGCAAATTGGTGGTCCCATAGCCATCGGACCATTCCTTCAGTCGCTTCCACGCCGATAAAATCTGGTGCTGGGCGATTCGGAAGATCTCGCCGCTGTTGGTCATTCAATGCGTTGTATGCCGCAGTGAAACCGCTCCGGATGAACAAAATATCACCCTTCCGGAATTCGAGTTGGTGGTCCTTGACCACTTGCTTAAGATTATCGAGGGTGATGGCTTGCGATTCGAGAGCTGAAACAGAAACTGCGTTTGATTCGGCCCAATCGGCGAAATCAAGTAGAACGCCACGGCCTGTCATGCCGCCATGTTCGGCAACGACTATGATGGACTCATTAGCATGTATCAAGATATATCGTGAGCATGCTTGTTCATACTGTGCAGACCGATCACATCGGAATTCTCAATCTCGTCCGTCGTGTGTCCGTTATAGAAGCGGCGCATCTTCTGATTTGCTAAAGACCAATTCGCCATTAGCTTCCGCCGCCAATGAAAAGACGACTAAAGGGGAGACAGTAAAATACCATAATGTCTGAACCCATCCCACTGTGTTGACCCTTGACTATTAAAAGTCAGAATATCATCATAAACGCAATTCGGATGGCGCAGAACTAGCTCCTGCTTGAAAGGATTGCGATCGAAGCTGGGATAGCTTGGCATACTGAGCGGCCAGTCGAGTGATATGCGAATGCCCGTCTGAATCTCCTTTGCAGCCTCAACAATGAGCTCCGGCGTAAGGAGGTTCAATGTGCCAAGCTCATCGTTTGGTCCAAATCGACCCCAAGCATTTCCACGCGGGCCACTGGGATCTAGCGGGAGAGCCTCGAAAGGTATGAATTGACCGTTTTGAGACATGACTGGGGAGTGACGTAGTAGTATATACCAAAGTGAAAATGAGATCTGGCTGCGGATGATACACTCTAAATACGCGTCTAAAGGCCTGGAACAGTAAGCGTTCCTCGGGACATCTTTCCTCTCTTCACCTGAGTTGTGCCCCCTCATGAAACCAATTTCCCCCACGCCCCCACCCCACCCCGGATCTCCACCTTCGGATTTATATCCGGCCCTTGAACGGATTGCCGAAGGACCGTCGGATGAGAGCCAACTACTAGTGCAGTGCAATCACAGAGACCTGTGAGGCATTTCAATGTTCTCCTCTTGATTGGTAGGTCAAAATGAGGATTCCACGTTAAAAAAATTGTGGAAACAGACGAGTAAACAAAGTTGATTGAAACAGCAGGTTGAAGATTTGTATGTACTCAAAAACAAAAGGAAAAATCTAGGAAACACCCTAAAGGGTAAAGTACGCAATGGTAGCAGCAAAGGTTGCCAGGTTATCACTGACAACTGCAAGAGAGCTACCATCTTTAACGATCATGTTGGTCGTTCCCACGGTACTGAGCGAGTAAACCACCAACGAGCTTGTCGAACCCTCGATACTGAAGATCTCGCTCTGGCAATTCTCGGGAGTCGGGAACGTGGAGCATGCAGTGCTGTAGTTGTTGAAGAAGCTGTACAAGCCGGCTCCGTAAATAACAATGTTCTGGCTGTTGAGAACGCGTAAGCCCAAGGCGTCACAGTTTCCGCCGAGGCAGCTGCTGTAGCTAGGGTCGTTCAAGGCAGAGTTGGTCGGGTACGGGCTGTTGGCCGCGTTGGGGTTAGGTTGGTAGTACCTAGACATCCCATGTCAGTCTTTAAGACGGAGTGTCAATCGTTGACAAGTGCTGACTTACGGTGTCTCAGTCTGAATAAATCCTGCCATAACTGAGCTGGCGCCGGAAAATTGGTATTGGTACAAGGAGTGATGTTCAACGCCGGTCCCGATGCTAAGGTAAATTTGAGCCATGTCCTGCGATTCTGGGTTGCCAAAAGGGTGAAACTTACAGCCAAATATTCTTTCCCTCAATCAGCAGACCACGACCACTGTACACAGAGATCTGAGTATTGGAGGCACTATCAAGGTCGTGGTCGGCAGTCCATAGCCATACATTCTCCATGTATACGCCACTAGCGGTGCTACTGATATGCATGGACATATAAGCAACTTCACATGCGGCACTCACGGCCGCAGTGGTGGGACACTGGGCGACTTGCTGCTGAGAGCCAGTGAATCCTCCGATCCGGGTGTGGACGTCCCACATTCCGGAGCCAGATGCTGCGGCCAGATTCCACTCAATGAGAACAGCACCTGGTGTGGATCCTTGTGTGCTGACGATCATATCCGACCATTCAATAGATCCAGACTCGCCAGATTTGCCGACCTGGATGACAGGGACAGGGCTAGAGATGCTTGAAAATTTGCTTCCGCTAGCCATAATCACAGGGTATGCCTCACCAACGATCCGGGAGCCAGAAGGAATATAGATGGTACCCGTGACCTTATATGTTCCTTGATCAAAGAAGACGATCTTGCCAGAGGATGCGGCCGAGGCGATTGCAGACTGGATGGCTGAAGTGTCGTCGGTGGAGCCGTCTCCCTTAGCTCCAGCACTGCGAATGCTCACAAATGAGGATGTAGGTGAAGCCTCATACTGAGGCTTGGACTTAGTGTAGTATCTCGATGAGCCGCTTGCAAGAAGTGCACTCGGGCGCGTTGGCGCGGTGAAGCTGCCCTGGAAATTAGTGGGACCGCTAGGTGTGTACTTGTGGCCCTGACCCCAAGCACTGATAGTGGATGTCCCGCTTGTTCCCGCTAGAACAGTGCCGCTGGTTCCCCGCACCGCAACAGGGACATTGTTAAGAGCGATATTCTCCAGGATGAGGCTGCCGTTGGTCGAAGTCGAGCTTGCCCAGGCTGTTGTCACAAAGGTAGGGCAATTTTGGATGGTGCTATCAAGAACATTGACCGAGCCAACAAGCTGATTGCCAGCACCGCCATTGTTAATCGAGAGGCCAGTCGTGCAGTTGGTCAGAGTGAGTCCCTGATATGTCCAACCCCAGTCCCAGATTTGGGAGATTCCGGTCACAGCATTGGAGACGGCCAGGTTGCGCATAGTGAATTGCTGGTTGCCGATATTAGCTCCGTATAGTCCACCGGTGATTGTGATGTCATTCAAGAAGCCTCCAGAGCCTTTCGAAAGATGTTAGCAGATACCTACTATATCACGCGGGTAGACGTACCGTTCTCGATAAAGATACCCTGGTGCTGGGTACCCGACGCAGAGCTCATGGCAATCTGAACATTCTGAATACTAGTAGCCTGACCAGTCGGCCAGTGAATACCAGTAGCAGCAGAGCTCGCTGGGATAGAGGTCAAATCCAGCTTCAAATTCCGGATCTGTCTGAAGAACACGTTTGTGGACCCCCAGCCTTGATTGCCATCGCTTTGGTACTGGTCTCCATCGATCAGCCCCAGTCCCGTGAAGCCAGAGGTTGCCTTGATGACTGGGATTGAGTTGGGATTCCCGATCAGTTGGGTAAAGTAATAGTCAATGATCGAAGACGAGATCAGGTAGGTTCCGGCTGGGAAGTAGACAATGGCAGGAGTGGTTGTGGAAGACTCGCGGCTCGAAGGGCCAAACCGACCACCACTACTAATAGCAGAGTTGATGGCAGCAGTATCATCCGTCACTCCGTCACCTATGACGCGTGTTAGACGCGTCTCTTGGTCAAATGTTTGGTTCGTACAGCCTTACCTACGGCGCCGTAGTCCTTGACATTACGGAAGACCTTATATCCTGATGGGTTGGAGTTGAATGCGGCGAGGCCTTGATGAGTGATGCCTGCCAGCCAGTATGAAGGATCGACCACGGCTGCCGTCGCCGCTTCCACCATTGATTGGATTTTCGAGTTCGACGTGCTCACATTGGGGCCATGATAATGCGTATACGCAGTCAGAGGCTTCAACGCCTCCTGGACCAGCGCGTCAACTTGCGGGATGTCTAATAGCTGTGCATTCGCACATGCTATGACAGAAAGGTAGGAGAGCAACGGCGCGAAATGCATCTTAACACCCTAGTTTCGACCGAATGAAGGTGGGCCACCCCGACAGTGCACAGGACACATGGTTGATCTTATAGATCTCCACCCTCCTCACGCTCCGCAGCAGGCAACCTGCAGCTCGGGTCAATAACCTGCATGGAACGCGCATGACAATTCGAAAAAGGGGTGAAGTCTTCCCCCTCCTCCTCAAGATCCATTTCAAGGCATCACAACAGCTAGCGCGAATAAAATGCCACCCCCGGATACCACTCGAGACGGGAAAATAGATGGCGAATGACAGTGAGCCTCGGGGCTAGCTCACTAAAAGAGGTAGTCCAGGACATGGACTGAAGCAAGCCATGATGACCGACTTTGGCCTGTGAGGCTGTCACACTGGCTTTCTTGCCCTCATGATCGGGGGGAGTGCAGAATAAAGAACGGGAATCGACAATGCCGATCGGGCCCCACGGGGCTAGTCGAGTTCCCCCCCTGGTCGATATTAGCGGCCTCAGACCAATCAGGAGACCGAAGGGCTGCCTCTTCATGACCAGGAAGAAGAAACTAAAAAACTAGTAACACTAGCCCCGTGGAGAGCAGCGAAAAGCGGGAGTAGAATGTGACTTGCCGCAGGCTTTATTGCCGCCACCTTGAGGGCGAAATGTGACCCAGGGGTCAAGTTAGTCCAAATTGGTAAATAAGCAACGACGGGAGACGGGGAGTAAGTCCAAAACCTACGGTAGCAACGAAGTAGCAATTAATTAACGATACTTTAGAATGATTCTGCTTCAAGCCTATTATCGAGCAGATAGACCATGCTTGTGGCAAAGCATTATCTGAAACGATAATGATTCCGACGAAATGGCAAAGGTTGATGGCTTTGCTTTTCCAGAGAAGACACCGTGAAAACGTATACTTCGTAAATGGCGATCAAGGAGCGTAATAAGAAAGCACCGAGGTAAGATCCAACCCTCTCGGGCTCTGTCGCCTGTGCGTGAGAATTCTTCACGCAGGAAGATCTAGTAGCGCGTCAGGGCCCTATGTCCTTGTTAAGATCCATCTCGTCGCTTTCTCTGAAACTCGGGCTTACCGTATGGCCCTCGAGCTTTAGGGAATTGCAATGCCATGCTCTTGATGCGTTATTTATTGGTTATCTGGAAGCATAAGAAATCGGTCTAGGATGTCCATATCTCATTTGTTCCCCGAGAAGTGTTCCGCCTCGGAAGGTCCCCTGCCGTTGTAGAACCTCGTACGCGGGTTCGTATCCTAGGTTTTGTTACATTCGGGTTCATGTAGCGGTTCGAGTATGGTCGGCTCCACCCAACACGCGATCATGATCTTGCCTGATCTGATAGTCAGTCGGTCAGTGACTTTATGTAAGAAACCGCAGAAACTCGGGGTTACGAGTTGTTAGGTGCCTAAGTACCGCCCGTGTGTGCCAAGGAAGACATTGGATCATGCAACTGCAGGAGATATATATCTCGTTACTCTGGGACGGGAACCAACCCGTGGGGCGATATCTTAACACAATACCATTAAATAGGTGTAGTTAATCCTTATGACTGTCTAGTACATTGACGACTGATCAATCTTTGAATACTCGAACATAGTTGCAAATGCACCGTGCACGGATCCGAGTACCCTGCTGCGTTGTGTACACAGCTGGACGGGTTTAAGACGGACTTTGTTCGTTAGGTTGCGACGTCATTGTCAGGCAAGCCTCCAAGAGAGCTACAAAGCCAAAAGTTGCAACATTCATAAAATACAGCATGACTACCCGTTTCGTAATCTCCTCTCAATTTACCAAAATTAAATCCAGAACTTCTATCATGATTCGTAAACATGTACTGAAGTACAATTATCCAGTCCGAAGTTGATTAAGAGGAACCTCAGGTTACTATGGCGGCGATGCCAAGAAACCACGTGACTGGCTTTTTCTGCTGTTGGTGTTCTTGCCTCCGCGACGACCTCCGCGAACGTAAAAAAAAATAATCAGGGCCATCTCCATTCTCAACCCCCCCCACATCTAAACATCGCCAAGACTGTTTGCCATTCGAGGTAAACAGATCCCACTCTTCTTTTCTCTCATAGACCTTGACTCCGGTGAGCCCGCTCTCAAGCCCCTCGCGCGACAGATTCGCGAACGAGGTTCGTGTCACGGAACCACCCACCGCCAACGACCAACATCCAACTCAAGAAGGACAAGCTGAGATTCGGTATTTGGAAACCCAAGGAATCATACGCGGTGATCGCAACGCATCTTCACCGTGGCCTCTGCCTGCGCGAGATATTGGACACTCCGCCTTCGACCAGGTCTTTCACGCGGTTGGCACTCGAGCACATTCGGTCATCGATCGTGACCGTCTCGCCAGTATACAGATCCCTTCATCGAAGTTTGTTAAGCCCGCCGAGACCCGTGGAGTCGTATTGTGTATGAAAGAGCGCCAGGTTCGAGGATCGTCGTTGATCTGAGGGAAGGTGTTCACGCTTTCTCGGTGCCCGCAAATCTTCGAGCTTCAAGCCACACGTGAGCACGGGATTTAAGCCAGCCGTAGCATGTCCAAACGCGTGGCTGAAGGTCTCCAAGGGGGTTCAGATAGAATGCACGAATTCGGCATGATGGGCACACCTGAAGAGAAGCCCCAACGGGCGACGGCCGCTCAGCTGGCCAACAGAAAGTAAGTTTTCTATCCATTTTGGCCGATCGATCATATTACCATGGTTCTACGTGTGGACGCACTGTCGTGGAAGAGGGAGAGGTGGTGGTGAGAGTCGGTGTAACGAGTCTGCCTCAAAGTAGTCGAGGAGCTTTCCCCCGCCAACGGCGCGCGCCGTTGGGATGATTCGGAGACGCGTTTGGGACGAGGTGATTCTCACCTCATCTCTCTGTGCTTCTGACTTCCTCACTCTATCCCTCGTCTAGCACTCGCATCCTTTGCAAATGCGCAGCTTTTGGCTCTCTTCCTTCATCTCTCACTCTGCAACTCCATCCCACAGCCTTATTTATCATGTCTAAGCGAAGTCTGGAAAGCATGCTGACCCCTGCCCCTTCCGATGTTCCTAGGATCAAAGAGATTCGCAAGCGTCCTCGTGGAACAACCCCGACCGGCGGAGCTGGCGAACCATCCGGCGCATTCTCACAAATCTCGTCTGCTCCAGCTCCCTCATTTCCAGCGCCTACAAATCAGTCAAGTGGCTTTAGCTTCGGTCAAAGTCAAAGCTTCCCCGGAGCTACCGCAACACCCAGCCAGCCCACTCAAGGAGACTCTGCCCCGTTCTCCTTTGGCGGGAGTAGCTCAACGTCATTCAACTTCTCCGGTGGATTTGGAGCCCCTGCAAGCAACCCATTTGCGAACAACAGTTTTAATGCCGGGAATTCTGCCCCTGCTCAACCAAGCTCCACTACGGGGTCTGTAAGCTTCGGCGGATTTGGATCTCAACCCGCCAATCAATCCACCTCTCAGCCAGCCTTTTCGTTTGGCGCACCGCAAAATGCGAGCAGCTCAGTAACCACCGGCCTGTTTGGGCAATCAGCAACCCCCAAACCCACCGGAAATACTGTTGCAGATTCTATGCAGATGTCTCCTGATGCTAAACCTAAGAATCCCTTTGCTGCGTCTTCCTCCCTCCCGAGTAAGAACATCTTCGGTGACTCGGGTGCCTCGAACATCTTTTCGTCGAAGCCTGCTGCACCAGTCAGCAATCCATTCGGCGGTCTGAGCTTGCCTGCTGCTACTGAGAAGCCCTCAAGTGACAAGCCAGAAGCCTTCGCGGCCAAGCCTGCCTTTGCCAGTCAGGCACCCACCGCTGCCTTTGGGTCCCTATTTGGAGCCACGTCTGCCACTTCCACCCCGTCAGAGCCTGAGAAGCCTGCTACAAACAATCTCTTTGCTCCCAAAGCAGCCGCTCCAGCTGCTCCCTCCAGCAACCCGTTCATGTTCTCCAAGCCCGCAGCCCCAGAACCTGAAAAAGCGGTCGCCACTGAAGTTGCATCCAACAACATATTTTCGCCGAAACCTAGTGCTGGGCCATCTAGCGCAGGCAATATCTTCGCTCCCAAGCCTGCAGAGCAGACTTCAACACCCAATTTCTTTACCCCTAAAGCTCCTACGAACGACGCAATCTCTACCACTCCAGCTTCGCAGCCATTCGAGAACCTCTTCAAATCGACAGCCACATCGAAGCCTGCCACTGAACAGGCTCCAACGAGCAATATGTTCGCGGCAAAGCCGGCCACGGCGCAAACTTCCCAAGAGCCTGCGGCGCCTGGATCCTTTAATTCTCTGTTTGGAGGAACCTCTAAATCTGCCACGATCAAGCCTTTCGGAAACAATGTCGCCGGTTTGTCTACCATCGAGAACCCAGCTCAAGCGGTTGCAGCGACGCCGAGCCTATTTGCACCCAAACCCGCGACAGAGCAGGCTTCTGACAAGCCCATCGAAGCTCCGCAACCATTCAAGAACCTATTCGGTACCTCCTCGACAACTTCCAAGCCAGCTGAGCCTGCGACAGAGCAACCTGCGCCGAGCCCTACTAAACCATTTGCCAACCTACTCGGTGGTCAAACTACGGCTCCTCAAGCTACTCCGGCGAAGGCCGCGGTGACACCTTCTGGCATTGCTAGCGTCCAGAAACATGAACCAGCAATGCCGAAGCTAAATGTTCCTCCTGGCACAAGAAAGGATATCGCAGAGAATGCCGAGTTGTTGTGGAAGATTCGAGGATTGGATACACACTTCAAGCAAGAAGTCATGAAGTACCAACCTGGAACGGACAGTTTCGATAATCTGATCCTCTTTTACATCAGGGTTCGGAACGGCATGGGTGCGCCGATCAAGGGTGCCCCCGAGCTACAGCCGAAGAAGGCGGCTGAGACGTCTGTTCATGTCGACGGCCCCAACGGCTCGACTACATCTAGCGTGTTTGCCAAATCTTTCTCCTCGCCGAGCCCCAGCCCAGCTCAGCCGGTGGCTGTGTCAACTCCGACCCAGAGCGCTACGGGTAATTTGTTTGCTAAATCAATGTCAAATGGCAGTGCCGCCTCTCCAGCACCCGTTGCTTCTCCTGCACCCAAGCCGGCGGGTAACATGTTTGGGCAGCCAGCTTCCCCTGCGCCAGCCGCTTCACCTGCTCCCAAATTGGCAGGTAACATGTTCGCGCAGTCGGCCTCCGCAGCCCCCGCTGCTTCTCCTGCCCCGAAGTTGGCAAGCAATCCATTCGCGCAGTCCGCTTCTGCAAAGGCCCCGAACGGCTCTGCAGCTCCTGCTCCTCCTAAATTTGGGAATAGCGTTGGTACCGTGGATTTCATGGCACAGTTCAAGCAAAAGGCAGAGAAATCCATGGCTGAGGAGAAGGCCAAACGCAAGGCAGAAGACTTCGATTCAGATGAAGACGACGAAGAAGAGTGGGAACGCCGTGATGCTGAGCAACAGCGTGAAAAGCGCGCGAAGCTCGAAGCTAGCAGTAAGAAGAAGTCTGTTTTTAGGAACGGGAAGTTCGAGTGGGTTGATGTCGATGAGCCTGCTTCGACGGAGTCCGACCGCAATGCTGTCAAGCCCGCCGATAAACCGGCTGCTAGCTCTCTGTTTGTTCCCGGCGACACTGCCGTTTTCAGTGCTCCCTCTCCTGCATCCTCCACTGGTTCCATCTTTGAATCCTCTAGCCGGCCTTTGCCCGCATCTGAGAACATCTTTGGCCGTCTTACCCCGAAGCCGAGCGACGCTGACAAGGACAGCGATGAGTCTGGTGACGAGGGCAAGGCTTCTTTTTCCAAGCGCCCTGCCGAAGAAGACGCCAGCACGGATGACGATTTTGTATCTGCCCTCCGCAACTCCAAGCGGACCAAGCCCTCAGAACAAACTGATGCCGCCAAGTCTAGCCTAGACACGCCTCTTCCGGCGCCGACTGCCGCTGCTGGTCGCAGTCTGTTTGATCGGATCCAATCTCCTGCCCCTACCTCTACTCCCCAGAAGGAGACTTCTACATCTACATCGAGCCTCTTCTCGGCTAGCTTCGGTCAGTCGACTTCCTTTGGCAAGTCCATCTCCTTTGGTCAAAACAACGCCACACCAGCTGCGGATAAGACCTGGAAGCCTACCTCACCGATTAAGTTTTCCACTGATTCCGCTCTGTCCGCCACTTCGGCTCCTCCGTCGACTTTGGCCTCTACTCAGCCCTCCAGCGGGGTTAATTCTGGAGATGCCACCCCTGATGAGGAGCCTGCCCCCGGCGAGGTTTTTGACATGTCCCAGGCCAATGCGGGCGAGGAAGATGAAACCTTGGTCTTTGAATGCCGCGCTCGTGCCTTCAAGCTGACCACCGGCTGGACCTCCCAGGGTACGGGCATTGCCCGTCTGCTCAAGCACCCCGAGACCGGGCGTGCCCGTATCGTGCTCCGTGCCGATCCCGGTGGCAACGTCATCCTGAACACGTTCCTGAAGAAGGAGTTTGACTATGCTCGCCAGGCCAATAGCGTTCAATTCCTGGTGCCTCAGGCCGACAGCGAGCAGCCCGAACATTGGGCCGTTCGTGTCAATGCGAATTCCATTGAAGAGCTCTACAGCAAGATCCAAGAGATCAAGAACTAAGGACATTTTCGAGAAAGAGAAAGAGATGATGATGATATGCAAAAAGAAGAGGAATGAAATATTTTCTCTTACTGTGTTTTCTGTGTTACGGGTCGGGTTGCGGATTTGTTTCTCATTTATTGCATGTACGATATCAAAGTTGGCCGGAGTTGTTTTGAGTTCGTCTTTTCTACCTGCATTTCTTATCGACATATTACATCCGGCGAGGATTATGCATTTTAGGCCATCTTTGTGAATGAAGAGTTTCCGCACCCATTGTGATCTGTAATGTGAAGTTTGTAGGGTGAATCTTGTCCAGCGTAGTCGTCTGGCAACGAGGATCGAGCGCTTGAAGTCGAGAGGTTCGTGCTGCCATCGCCTAAAGAATGAAAAACTACACGTTACGGTGAAGCCGAAGAAGAGATAAGTTGAGCAAGAAGGTATTTTGATTTTAAAAAGCCCCGACCAGAACCCCAGTTGAATATGGAATCATAGAAGCGACAACACCGGTGGGATTACAGAACCCATTTACGCGTCATCGACGGTAGCGGTGTGCAGACCCTTGGGGTTCTTGACGTTGACAGCCTGGACGTGGGAGTACAGACGCTCCTTGGCACCCTCCTCGTCGTTACGCTTGCGGGAGATGCGGATGCGGAGACGGAAGGGAACGCCCTTGATACCAGCCTCCCAGACCTTCTTGTTCAGGGCGGGGTCGACACGGACATCCTTGGTGCCCTGTAGAAAGAGAGTGAGGTTAGCATGACCCCAAAGAGAACATGACGAGAATAAGACAGGGTGTTGAATTTGACTTACCATAGCCTGCTCGGCGAAAGCACGGATCTCCTTGATAGCACGGGGAGCACGCTTCTTGAAGCTGACACCGTGGCACTATAACCATTGAAAGAAGGTTGCAATTAGTCTTCCGTCCGAATGCCATCTGGTAGAGATCGAGTCCCTGCGAGAGAATTTCTGGTTCGGCCATAGAGGTGGACTTCATAAAACTAATTTCTTCTTCTTGTCGGCCATGCCATGACGACCGGGAGGGGCAAACGCTGCTCTTCCATTCCTCTGAAGGGTACTCATGACACCCTCCTTTGGAAAGAAAAGTCGAGTTTCCCTTCCCGGTTGTCAAGCCTGTCGAATCTTGAATTTTTTTCGAGAAAGATGCGGTGGTGTGGTTGGAAGGGTGGTTTCAAAAGGAAGGGTCGGAACATTTTTCAATGTCCAATTCCCTTTTTCGCACCCAAGTGCGCACACACACTAATTTTCCTCATAGAAGAAACTCCGTATTTCAAGAGAGTGTGTTCTCTGTCCATTTGTACCTCCACAGATTCTTCGCAGAATCCATTTATCTCGCGAGTAAGGGGGATAGTCTCGAGGGGGATTTTTCAGCTTCAACATACCCGCTTGTGGAGGTTGATGGTGTACTCGCGAGACACCACGTCGGAGATAGCCGAGCGGGTCTTCTTGCCGGTGTTTGCGGAGGACATTTCTGGACGTTGTCAATGGGGAATTCGGGAGATTGAATAGGTGGTGTGAGAGACTGACTGTTGGATGGGGTGGTCGGCGACTGTGGGCGAAAGTTGTCGATGGGGAGAGAAATTCAAAATTGTGGCCGGCGGGTGAAGTTCGTGTGGGCCGACGGGCTCGAAGTGGGCTCGCTTATTGCAATGTGGGACCTTGATTGGTGAGTGGACGAAGAGTCATGTGATATTAAAATGGATCTGTGTGGCAGCCTTAGGCAGGATTGGAGCTGTCGGGACAGGGACGAGTAAGGCATATCGCTGCACCAATAGAAATTACAATGAGTCTAAATTGCGATCTTTGGCCCTATCTGACAACCTGGATGGACTGAACCTTGCGACTCATCGAGGCGGTAATGTTAGTTCTGTGTTAAGAGTAACCATCTCCTTTCTCCGGGCTTCCACATATCCTGCTACTGCGACCGGAGTCTCATGCCTCAGGTGTCACTTCCGTCAGTATCATCCAAGGTCAGACAAAGCCTTATTAGCTCACATCGTTAGCCTGTGCATTCTAAGCCATGAATTCTCAGGTAAACTAGAGCTCGAAGATGTATCTGGTGACGTACTCGCAATCTAAATATACCGCCCATGCAATGCATTCTCTTAGCTACCTCTAATTGACGTCTATTTTGAGCCTCCGGCGCTCACATCCGGGTAAACATCAAACCGCCGCTGAGTGTAGATAGGAATACCCTTGCGAGTATTGACAATGGAATCATTATCCAGGTCAGCATAGATGATGGTCTCCTTTTCCTCCGCCTCGCCCAAGATATGAGCACTAGGATCGGCAATCAAGCTGTGCCCGTAGGCATGGTAGCCAGCCTCGAGATCCCGCGCCGGACTGCACAGCGCCACATATATCTGGTTATCCACGGCACGAGCCCGTCCCAAAAGCGACCAGTGAAGAGGCCCAGTGGTGGTATTGAACGCGCCAGGGTAGACCAGCAAGAACGCATCCTTGCGAGCCGCGATCATAGCCGACTCGGGGAATCGAATATCATAACAGATAGCCAGACCGATCTTGCCATACTCGGGGAGATCGATTACTGTCAATGAGTTGCCCGGTGACAACACGTCGCTTTCCTTGAACTTGATCTTCCCGGGGATGTCGATATCGAACAAATGCGTCTTGCGGTGGGTGCCAATCAAGGAACCCGTGGGCGAGAACACCAGCGAGGTATTGTAGTATTTCTGTGTTTCCGGCTCCAATTCGGGGATACTGCCACCGACGAGGTATGCATTGGCCTCGGCGGCGATTGTGGACAGGGCGTGGAACGAGGGCGACTGCTCCTTCGTTGGAGGGGAAGGGTGGAGGGTCTCGGCGTATTTGGGGAAATATTGTGTCCCATAGGGAGAGTTGAAGCACTCTGGGAGGACAATCAATCGTGCACCGGCTTTGGCAGCCTCGAGGACCTTGCTCCGGGCCTGGGAGAGGTTGACGGCTTTGTCTGCGCCTGCAGGTAAAGGATAGTTGGGTTAGTGTAAACGTACGAAACACGACGGGGGACGGTTCAATTACCTGATGCAAGCTGCACCAGGGCTAGCTTCAAAGGTTTCTTCAGAAAGGTCGCCATGTTAGTTGTGCTGGTGGGAAGAAGTGGAAGGAGAAGAGAATTTGGCGCATTCCCAATCCTTGGAGCGAGTGGGGGACTCCGACGCGGAAAGCTGAGGTGCGGGGAGATTGCGCTATTCAGGCGCCGAAAGTCTCGGATGTTCACCCGGCCCGGGGTTGGGGTCAAGTTGCTCCAATTTGATCAGCGATTGTCGGGGTAGATATAGTAGAATTAATGTTGGAGTGGAAACGAAACCTGAGCAGCTAATTATTATACATATTTACTCATGAAACAGAATTACAATGGATTGTTTTAGCTTTAGGTCTGTCTGCGGCAGAGATATATCCCGGACTCCTCTGGTTTCAATTTCAAATCCCTTCCGCACAGTTTGACGCAACGGAACTCTCCTAGGAATCCTTCATGCTTATGAGGCATCCTCTTCTCAGTCTGTAGCTTGTCCACCAGTCTTGTCTCTCTGCATATCGATTTTCAGTTCTACTGGCTTCGTCGATCTGTATAACCTTGTATATCCCGGACAGCCAGTAGTTTATTGACTCCAAATCCTGGTTGTCGCTCCAAGTTGCCTGCTATAGTACTTTACGGTAATTGTCAACCAAGGAGCGTCTCCCGAGCATAATTGGTCTCCCTTTCATATAATCACATTCTCATCAACTGTCCTCCTCGGACTTGCTGTGTCTCTAAACCTTTAGCAATTTAGGGCCCCCACGCTCTTACGAGAGATATAGGGCGCCGTCTTCATATCGTACGGTCTCCTTGCCTTGTCCTAGCCACTCTCTTATAAAGCGAATTTAACATAACTACCCTGGAAAAGACCCAAAGTCAAGAATTCTGAAGTGGACCGGGAGTTGTGTCAGCTATATCTAGCTGTAAGTGGAGCGAGGCGGGACGTCAATACTTTTCTCGGAAAGCAGACTGCTCGCAGGTATATGAGCAATAACCGGCCACAGCGTTTCCTGAGGATTGAGCATGATATGCGAAACTGCCGAGTCGGAACCCAGTGCAAAGACACTGTGTCATTTCAAAAATCCGGAAGTTTCTTCTTTACCGAGCGTCTCAACTAGTTTATGAACACTCCACGAAGCCCGCCCGTGGCGAATGTCCCCATGCAAGTGTGACGATGAGTAATATCGTGAAGATACGAGTTCATAGTTCATGTGTGAGAAGGCAAACGTGGAAACTATGGCGAGTGCATTGCGTATCGGTATATTTCAGTACCCCGAGGCTTATACCCTCTCCTTCCCCTCCTTAGTCTCCTTATTGTCTTTGAATTGTACAAGTTGATCGTTGATAGACTTCTTAACATATGGAAGGGAAGCCCGTGCTAGATTACGCGCCGTTGATCGATCGGGGAACTCATGTACCGTATCAAGCAGAGCTCGGAGCAGCACCGCAGACGTGATGGCTAGTAATGGCCCTACTCATCCATAAGCTATTCGTGTCGGGTGTACAATTAGATAGCTTGATCATGATAGCGAGAAAGGTGATGGAATGGCGAGTAGGTCTGACTCTTTCATTAATCTGAAAGGAGCTGGTACAAGAACTTGCCAAGATATCGAAGTTGAATGCTGATCGTACTCTAAATAACCGGTTCGTTAAGGTTAAAACCTTATTTCCGCACTTTGCCTGCAAGCCTATTGCGACTGTTTACTATCCTTCGCGCTGATCGATCTGACGCCACCATCAACAACTCTGAATGATGGCATCACTGCCGTTCCCTTCCGAACTGATAGAGATGTACCAGTGGGCGGAACCAGTGGGATTGGGGAAGTGACTGCTCGTGCCTTGGTACGAGACGCAGTAGCACCGCGAGTCTATCTTGTCGGCCGCAATGAGAAGCAGGCATCCAAAATCATCGAGGAACTTCGCCAAGTCAACCCCAAAGGTCAAATCAGCTTCGTGCATTGCGACGCGGCCCGTCTCAAGAGTGTGGACAAGGCTTGCAAGACTATCCAGGAGAAGGAGGACAGAGTGAATCTGCTGTTCATGACTGCTGGAAGAATTGCATTCAAGGGGCCAGATGGTACATTCTTTTCGATGTCCATGAATCATCTGCATTGATGGGATCCGCTGACAACATCATGATACAGAGACAGATGAAGGACTGGACAAGACCATCAGTCTGCACTACTACTCTCGCATGCGATTCTTGACGAATCTGTTGCCGCAATTGACCAAAGCCGGATCGGCAGCCGAGGCTTCCTCCACTCCAGCCCAACCCGGTCTCTGCCAAAATCTATCTCGAGTGGTCTCCGTACAAATGGCCGGTAGCGAAGCGCCCCTTATCCTCGACGATTTGTCTTTAAAGAAAGAATATTCGCTCCAAAACTGCGCCAGGCATGCCATTACTTATTATCTCTGTCCATGGAGCATTTGGCATCGATGTACCCGACGACAACTTTCGTGCACACCTGCCCTGGGGTGGTGAAGACAGGACTTATGCGTGACTTCGGGGTGATTACCCGCACTGTCGCAAGTGCCTTTTACTTTCTGGCCCGCCCCTGGATGGTACCATTGGACGAGAGCGGTGAACGGCATCTATATGCCGCCACTAGCCCACGGTTTCGCCACGAGCCTCCAAAGACGTTGAGGATGCGGCACCGGGCTCCGACGGGACCAAGGGCAGTGGTGCGTACTTGTTGCATTGGGATGGATCCGACAATGGAAATAAGAAGCCATTGCAAGAACTCCGGAAGAATGAGACGGGGAAGTTAGTGTGGGAGCATACTTTGGGGGTGTTTGAGTCGATTTGTGGCAAATCTACTCCTCCGTAATGGGTGGGATGTAGAGACGGCTTTTGCCCTTTCAGACGAGTTTCTTGCCGGGACAATATCTTCACTCCTTCTCATATGAAATCCTTTCTCAACCCCACCAGAAACAAAGCCGCAACAGGAAAGAACAGAATAAAGTTTGCATGGTGGAGTAGGGCGTTCTAAAATCGCCTCGAGAATTAACAACATGCAGGCCGGCAGATCACGTGGTCTTGCCTCCCTCCATCCACTGGTTCAACCATTCAAGATTTTTCCTTCTGGGGCAAATCGTAAACCGCCCGTCTAATTCCCCGAGCGCATTATATCTCCATGTGCCCTGCCTTGCAACGCCCTGGTAGACCTTGTCTCACCGCGGAATCGGGTGCCGACTGAGGAATCCTTCGAACGATCATTGCTGTACCTCCCCCGACCACCCCTCGAGGCTGCAACGTTCGAATCTCGACCACATACTTTGGCCGCTTTGATGTTCGAAGACTTCTCTTTCTCGTCGCCTTCCTCGCGACCTGGCCGCTTGGCCGTGGACGTAGACGACCGGCTTATGGTCGATTGCGACAGTAATATGATCTCGCCCCTATCGTCTCGATGCCCCTCGCCGCAGTCGCACCGCTTCCGCAACCTATCCCGGCCCCGATCCTCCTACTTTCGCTCGCAACAACCGCCTCCGACTTCCGTGCCATTTCCTTACGAGCAGAAGCGTCTCTCCATTTCGACTCTGACGCAGAAATTGCATGAACACACTCTCCAGGCCCCCGATATCCCGGACCAGGCGCGATTTTGGCATAATGAGGCCAGACTCTCTGGTCGGTACTCTGGCTACGTCCTTACGCCACCGGACACGGATCATGATGAGGATGGGAGATGTGACTCGTCGCCCTCGCTCTGCTCTAACCCCAGCCCCACGTCAATTCCACCCGATTTCCCATCCCTAGACAGAATGGAAACTCCGAATCAGATCCCAGATCACTTGGATGTTCGTACGCAACGGCAACAAATCTCACAATTGCAATGCAACGAAGGCGACATTGATGGAGTCCGCCGGACGGTCGTCTCGGAGGGCTCCTATAACCAAGACATGCTTCCAGACGACTGCCACCCCAGCTCATTGCCACCGCGGTCCTCACCCCGGCGACGAGCACTGACACTACACCGCAGCCGCTTCGGACCAGACTCCTATGCGGGTGAGGCCCGCGGACGACGCAGAAGCAGTTCTGGCGCTATGCAATCGCACCGAATAGAGAAAAGTCACTATATGTCTCATACGGGGCGAGATGCTTCTAAACGAGGCGATCACCATGGCCTTCGTAGGAAGAGCATGGTGAGTGCGGCTCTGGCGTCGGTAGTGGAACGGCCTTGATCTTGGATGATTGGGCTTTTATATTATCTTCATTTACATAGCTGGAATTGATACCCAATGTTTTATATAACGGTTTCTACGAGTGTACGAGTTTACTACGGGTTAACTACAAGTTGACTGCCTATCTTGTTTCAAAGTCAAATGATAAATATGCCAAAACAGCCCCCACTCCATTTAAGGGAGCCTCATCTAGATGCTGAGAAAGAAAATCCGTAAGCTGACAGCCGCGCGACAATGGTTTAGTCTTAGCCCGGGCGGCCTGATTGCGGGTTCTTCCGACGTCTACCGACGAGCGCCACGAGCAACGAGACTCTCCTTCTCCCCCAAAGCCAAGCCTTACAAACTTCGGAAGCAATATGTCACCGGAATCCAACATGCCAAGACGCAAACCACTCCTCTTGGCCCCATATATCTTCGGCATTCAGACAGTTCCCCTCCTAGCCAGCGGAATTTACACCCTGCTATTCCCAGCAGCCGCAGCAGCCCTCCCAGATTCACCCTTACAAGGTCTAAGCAATGGCACGATCCAGGCACTCAGGTACATATCAATCCCTGTCTATACTAGAGTTTTCTATTTACACCATTGACATAGTCTGACATCCCTATCCTTGGGCTCATTCTACGCTATCGCATCATACCAGAATAATATCCCCATGATGCTTGCTGCAGTCCCGGGTCGGCTTTTGGCCATGGTCGTTTTTCATCGTAGTGGTGGGGGCTGGAAGAATGTTGCTCCCTTTGAAGGGTTGATGGGGGCCTTTACTGCGCTGGGATTGTGGTGGGATTGGCGTAACGCCGACACTGTTGTTGAGAAGGAAGAGTGATTGTGAGATACCACCATGAGTTAGCCTCGAGGTGGATAGGTAAAAGACCTTAGACCAAGAGATCCTCGGCCTGTTTACTCAGGTCATTCGTCCTACTTTAGAGGGATAAAGCGACTCGCGGTATGATTTTTAAATCGCTATTCGTTAGGATCTATCGAGTAGGCTAATGATCCTCATGGACTAAAGGATTGTATGATACTAAGGTAGGCTGAATTTGACGAGGTTAACAGTATTCTCAGTTTGAGGCGGATCGAAATACTTTTTACACAATACGTATGCATCTTTGAAACGACTCATTTTCTAGACTGTCTTTAATAGCTGGTATGAGCCAAAGGAGGGGCTGAAGATCCCGGTTCTCGGTATTTTAACATGCCATCGCTTCTTGATCCGTTCAAACTTCAACCAGTAAAGATGGGGTTTCGCATCTCTTTTTTTCTCGAGCTGCTCCCTCAGCCTGGAAAGCTTGTCTAATTTCCCGCTGGCTGCCTCAAGGTATCTATTACACTCACCACACTAAGATAAAGCGGCAGATTCTCCGTTTCACCAAAGACGCCTGCACCCAGAATCATCAAGTGATCCGGATACTTCGCAAAGACATGTAAGCTTCGGCTATATGCCGCCGGTTGAGGTGTGGCGTGAATTTCCCACTGATCAGGCTGGCCACCGGCTCGATTAGTGAAAACGCTGCCGTGATCAGCGTCGCTGACAATGATGGTCCCATTGGCACCGCCGATTGAGGACCAGACCACATAAGGAGATGCGTTTGGCTGTACCCCATCGACCATGATGGGTATACCATAGGCAAACCGGAAATCAAATGGGCTCTCAGACATTCGATAGTAGACCGGATATCCCGCCCCAGACCAGCTATCTCCTCCTGGGAACTCGTGCACCAGAATCCACTTCTCCAGCGGAGGGATATAGGAAATAATAGTCATGCCAGGACGGCCAGTATAATTGAGATATGCCACATCGTCTACCACAGGACCCCAGGATTTCAAGTCTGTCGATTCCTGATGGGCAAGCTTCTGCCCATGCAGCGGGTCACGCTGATCGGAGTAGAACACGCCGACAGTATTGTTGAAAAACCTAGGGACCTGCTATTTAGTGTCGGAAACGAAGGCGAAATTTTGGCAAAGCGTCACTCACTCGATGAATGGCTCCCAAATACATGGATTGCCATTGGTAGTATCCGGTCCACTCCCTCTCGCCACATTGCTGACGAACTTCCATGTATGGCCCTTGTCTTTACTGGCATATATGTCAATCTTGGTGCTCTCGCTTCCCCAGCTGTTTCCACTGGCCAAAACTGTGCCGGCAGCGAAGTCACCAACAGCGAATGGCAGCTCTGCCAGGGCTGGCTGAGCTGACATTCCCAGCCCATTCACTTGGTCAGTCAGGTTGGAGATCCAGGACCATGTGGCACCACCATCTGCACTTCGGAATATAGGAAAATAGGGAGTTTTGTCACCTCCATACGAGGTTGTCGCGAGGAGGCTTCCATCCGATAGTTCGACTTGTCGGGGATAGAGAACAGTGTGTTGGGAGTCGGGCTGCAGGATGACATTCTCTGCAAAAGTAGACCACGGCCGTGCCGGTGGTGACGGCGGCGGCGGTTTCTGAGGTGGCTTAATTGATGCAACACAATTAAGGCTGGCCAGACCGACGAGCAGCAGTTTGGTGAGCATACTTCTGAATTAGATATATTTCAAGAAACTAACACACTGCAGCTATGTCACTGTGGCCCTCATTCCTTGGGGTTCAAACTTTTTCGTTCAAGTTCGCCTTACTATGTATGTTGCTTTTTGTTCTTTATGCATCAACAACAAGTTCTCTTGCCGTCTCAATCGGGAAAATTTCCGTGTTGACAGGTTGAACATAATTGAAGCTCTCGTAGTCCCTCAGCTGCTTCGATATTTTGCCGTGAATTTCGATAAGCAGTGTAACCTAGAAATTCAGGCTAAAGTGGATCGTTGATATGTTATGATCGTAATTCCTGATCTTTCTATCTAAGAATATCACTTTTAGCCTAATAGAATCGATTGTCTCTAGATTATTCAGTCATGTCTCTCATTTAGGCTGGAGTATATTGCTGGCACCGCTAAATACCGCTCCCTACATTACCGAGAGTCGCTTGCTGGCCTACCTTTTCTCAATTTATCGCTAGATGCAGACAAGTTTGCGACGATCTTCTTTGAGGTTGCGGAAAGTCCCATCGGCTTATATTATGTTGCAGTGCGTAAGAACGGTGAAGTAACTAGGGTAAATACCCCGCGAATGTGGCGGTTTTAAGGGTCCAGGGCAACTGCCGCCGGGATTCTCGGGACTTGCGGGGAAGATTTACCAATCTTTAGGGTCTACTTGGACGACTAGTCATGAAAGTCTTTGTCTCTTGTTCATGCTCCCTGGGACCTTTCTTTACTTGTGGATGCTTTGGTCGTTCACTCATTGATATTTCGGACTTTTCATTTTGAGCGAGATTTCTTACTAGAGATATCATCGACTTTGCCAGAACAAGATAACGTAGATGCCCTCAATAGCTTTGAAATTCAGGCTTTAGTATTCATGACTAGAATTCCCACAAGTATCTCATGTGCTGGTGTTAACGCTGTCCCGAAATATGGCCAGGGAGCTACCATCGGAATAAGTGGGGGGGGGGGCAGCAAAAGCCACATTATGAGTAAGATGTGACCCCTCGTTCCTGAGCGGAGATCTACAGTGTTTCCGCAAAGGAATTTCCCAGATTTCAAGATCGGAGTACCTCCTACTCGGTGTGGGATCAATTTAGCCTAGGTAGCGGTCAATGACGGAATTCTAGAAGCAGGTCTGCATTTACGCAGTAAAATCTATTTAAGTACCCAGAAATCACTTGAGTATTTTCAGCTTAGACCGAGTTGTCATCCAATAAGTTTGTCGTCCATAAAGCACACCACTTCTGTGCTTCTCGGCGCAGCAAAGAAAATCGTCATGACACAATCTCAGGTCCTTCGGGCCGCTACAAATTTACTACTGTCTCTCATAGTAGTAAACACTGGCGCCCAAGCATCATTTGCTGAGACAGCCTATAATGCATCAAAAAGCTACCTTGGATGTTACCTAGATCCTAAAGTGACTATTTTGACGGCCGCGAAACTTAGCACCATTGCTATGACGCCTCAGTACTGTGCCACTTGGTGCGGTCAACGGGGCTTTGAATATGGGGGTATCGAGTTCGGAACGTAAGTGGCCAGCATATTTACATGACATTATTTCTCAAGCTGATTTTCGAATAGGCAATGCTTCTGTGGGAGGTTGCCCGACTTCAGCACAGCGAGCAAAACAAATGACACAAGCTGCAACTCCAGATGCTCAACTGAACCATCTAGCTCATGCGGAGGGACCTATGTGTAAGTCGGATGCGAATTGCAAAAGAGAACATCATTCTAACCTTCTGGGATTGTTTTCAGCATGTCTTTGTACAAGATCTCGAATCCGCAAGGGAACCTCACGAACAACGGATTCGTCCCAGCCTGCCAAACACAGCCACTTAGCAGTCACCCTATCTGTGATACTTCATCGAGCATCGCTGAGAGGGTACACTCCCTTGTCAATTCCCTGACACTGGAGGAAAAGATCCTGAACGTTGTCGATGCTTCAGCCGGATCAGTCCGCCTCGGATTGCCACCCTACGAATGGTGGAATGAGGCAACACACGGTGTTGGCTCTGCGCCGGGGGTGCAATTCACCTCCAAACCGGCAAATTTTAGTTATGCCACAAGCTTTCCCGCACCGATACTGACAGCGGCTTCCTTTGATGACGCTTTGATTCGTGAAATAGCCAAAATTATTGGCCGCGAAGGACGAGCGTTTGCCAACAATGGGTTTTCGGGATTCGACTTCTGGGCTCCTAACATAAATGGATTCAGAGATCCCCGCTGGGGAAGAGGTCAAGAGACGCCTGGCGAGGATTCTTTTGTCGCGCAGAGTTATGTTCGAAATTTTATACCAGGACTTCAGGGTGACGACCCCAAGGACAAGCAAGTCATTGCAACATGCAAGCATTTCGCGGTCTATGACTTGGAGACGGGCAGATATGGCAATAATTACAATCCTACTCAACAGGATCTGAGTGACTACTTCCTGGCTCCATTCAAGACTTGCGTACGTGACACGGATGTGGGAAGCGTCATGTGTTCCTACAACGCAGTCTCCGGCATCCCAGCATGTGCGAATGAATACCTCCTTGACGATGTGCTCAGGAAGCACTGGAACTTCTCGGCAGACTATCACTACATTGTGTCTGACTGTGGTGCAGTCACAGACATCTGGCAATACCACAACTTCACTGAGACTGAAGAAGGGGCGGCATCCGTTGCTCTCAATGCCGGGGTGGATCTGGAGTGCGGTTCCTCATATCTGAAGCTCAACGAATCGCTTGCAGCAAATCAGACATCAGTCAAAATCTTAGACCAGTCATTGACCAGGCTATATTCGGCATTGTTTACGGTCGGCTTTTTTGATGGTGGAAAGTACAGCGACCTCGATTTCTCGGACGTTTCTACCCCTGCCGCACAGGCTCTCGCATATGAGGCTGCCGTCGAAGGTATGACGCTTCTGAAAAATGACAATCTCCTTCCTCTGGGCTCTTCGCACAAATACAAAAGCGTTGCTGTGATCGGACCATTCGGAAATGCTACGACTCAGATGCAAGGCGACTACTCCGGCAATGCGCCCTTTATAATTAGCCCATTGGAAGCATTTGAGAGCTACCACGGATGGAAAGTGAATTACGCTTTGGGTACAGAAATCAATAACCAGAATACGACTGGATTTGGATTGGCCCTTGAAGCCGCAAAAAAGTCCGATTTGATAATCTATCTTGGTGGTATCGACAATTCCATGGAGTCCGAAACACTTGATCGAACTTCGCTTACTTGGCCACAAAACCAACTTGATCTCATCACAAACTTGTCCAAGCTCTCGAAACCGATGATTGTTGTCCAATTTGGTGGCGGCCAGGTCGATGACAGCCTCCTCCTGAAGAACAAAGGTATCCAAGCCCTGGTTTGGACGGGATATCCTAGTCAAAGCGGTGGCTCTGCTCTTCTTGATGTCCTTCTTGGTAGAAGGTCAATTGCTGGTAGACTACCAGTTACTCAGTATTCCGCCAGCTATGCCGACCAAGTCAGTATCTTTGACATCAACCTTCGCCCTGATGGTTCGTATCCTGGGCGAACATACAAATGGTACACAGGAAAACCTGTGATCCCATTCGGCTACGGCCTTCATTACACCAAGTTTGAATTTCATTGGCGAGAGACTTTGGACCACGAGTACAATATTCAGCAACTTGTTGCCTCGTGCCAAAGAAGTTCTGGCGGTCCTATTAATGACAACACACCTTTTACCACCGTCAAGGTACGTGTCAAAAATGTCGGCCATGAAACATCCGATTATGTTAGCTTGCTGTTCCTTTCCAGTCAGAATGCAGGCCCGACTCCACGACCCAACAAGTCCTTGGTGTCTTACTCGCGCCTCCACAGTATAAGAAGCGGAAGTGAACAAGTATCAGACTTGCCTCTGACTCTCGGCTCACTGGCCAGAGCCGATGAAAATGGAAGTCTCGTTATTTTTCCGGGGCGTTATAAAATCGCGTTGGATATATTCGACAGCTTGACTTTTGAGTTTACGTTGAAGGGTAATCCCGCAGTAATTGACACACTCCCTATGCCTCACGCACAGTATAATTTTACTGTGCCGGTTCACATTCAGCCAGCATCCACTGAGGCACATGGATAGGTTCTACCAATTGTGTTGTGCTTGCGCCTGAAGTCAATGCCCAAAACATCAACATCCAGACCATAAAGATCTCATTCCTGTTCTGTTACAAATAGAGTCGGTGCCTTATGATCCCACGACAGAATGCGTGCTTTCCATATCTTCTTTCCCCTCCTAGTGCCAATTGTTGAACCGTGCCCCGGTGGGCTGTAACAGAGCCAAGGAAGTAACCTATACCAGTTTGATTTAGGGCCTAGTACCTCCTCAACGTATAGACCGGTCTACGGAGCAATGCTACGGGAGATGAGCACAAGAGTGAAAAGGCCCTTGCTTTTTATATTCTATAACTTTTCAGAGTAACATAGAGGTATGGAGGACATGAAATTGAATATCTTGGAGATTGAAGATAAGGCTTACTATTAAACGAGTGGCATGATGAACTTGTCATTTCACAGGAAGAAGTTCATCATTTACTCAACAGTTAGACTCTCATACTGGACTTGGACGCCATCCACCTGTCCAACAGCGTAGATGCCAATGATTGGGCCGGTGAAATCAGGATCGGTCATCTCCAGAGTATCAACCGTTCCCAGTAACGTCCAATTGTTATCGACGTGAGGTAAAACTGAATACAGAAGGGTATACTTCTTCTCCGTGTACTCTATCCGGAATTTTACCGAGCGCGGAACTTCTGTGAGGGTGTGTTTCTCCTTTCGAGCAATCTTCTGAGCAGCATTAACCACTTCGAGCACCACTTCCTGCTGAGCAGCACTGTAGTAGATCCTACAGTACCGGTGCTCCTCCTTGTAACAGGCGAGTCCAGCCTGGACCTTTGCAGAGCCCCAGGAATCTTCGATTCCTTTTAGAATCGCGGAACTGGTACCGACTAATTGCCGTTGTCGCTTGCCAATGAATGTCGGGCTGAGTTCCGAGTGTGACAGATCGACCGATGTTGCGGTCAACGTCGCGGATGAGTTATGATTCTCAAGACGGTAATTGCTCATGACAGCATCTCGAATATAGAGGTAGTCAATTCCGGCCTCTGCCGTGAGGTGTGAGCTCGAACGGGTCGCTGAAAGACCACGGGGGTTTAATTTCACTTGATCAAAAATGGGCCATTCACCATCCCAGTCCACTCGGGTCAAAAAAGTCTCGCGACCCATGGGGCATCTTCCTTGGCCCTCTAGACGGGCACCGAGACAGAATCCCCACCATTGACGACTCTCGTCTTGGAACAATTCACAGTGGCCGGTATATTGGATATACTCTTGAGTACCGCGCGCTGTGAGGACGGGGTTCTTGGGACACGATTCGTAGGGGCCAAAGACGTTTCGAGAGCGTGCCATTGTCACCATATGTCCGCCATGGGTGCCGCCTTCGGCGATGAGCAAGTAATACCAGCCGTTGTACTTATACAAGTGCGGACCCTCCGGATAAATGTCGCCAGTGCCACGCCAGATGACTTTCTCATCTGACAATTTTGCACCGGTCTTCAGGTTGAGTTCGAAGAGATTAATCGTAGTGCTTGGGCCTAGTCCACCAGACCCTTGCAAGTAGACTTTTCCATCATCATCAAACAGAAGACTAGGGTCAATTCCATCAAACTCAAAGTAGACCGGGTCACTCCATGTGCCAGACCAGATATCGTCAGTGGAGACTATGAAATTCTCCGTCCTATCCCTACCCTTCCCTGCCGAACGCAGGACATTGGTACAGACGACATAGAATGTGCCCTGGTGGTGACGGATCGTCGGCGCGTAGAGGCCTCCACTTCCGACCAAGAACTTGCCATCATCCACGGGGTAGAGGTTTGCCCACGACTTTGCGAGGCTGAGCTGGGACTGACGGTGAATTGCATTTCCTGCGTGGTCGCGTGTTAGTGGAAGCTTGGACCGTGAGAATATTCACTGAGTGACTGGTAGAATTTACCAATCTGCTGCCATGATACCAGATCTTGAGAGGCGTAGATAGGTAGACCGGGGAAAAGGTGGAAACTGGAGTTGATGAGATAGAACCAGTCGCCCACTTTTACCACAGATGGATCCGGCGCGAAGCCTGGTATAACCGGGTTGATCGTATCCGACATGGCTGGCTCACGTAATAAACAAGGAAAAAAGCCGGAGGAAGTCGAGTAGCGACTATTTGTCCTCCAAGCCTTTGATAGAACATTTAAATGTTCTCCATCGATGCAGGAGAGGGGTTAAGCGAAGTTTAGGCAAATTCCGGGAGATTAGGGTGAGTCCCGTGAGTGCTGGGCAATACACAATTGTACCTGATTGTTTCTAAATTGATTCTATCTGGCTTGAGCTGTGCTGTTAAATGACAACGTGGTGGGGAAGTAAATGCTGGTAGAACCCCGCTCAAAGTCACCCGACCATCTTATAGGCAGGAGCGGAATCTGGCCGCCAGCTGTGACTACGCACTACGATATTTGTGGCAAGATATTCGAGAGCTTCTATACTACTAGATTGGGTTATGCGATTCAACCTGAGATAGGGAGTGGACGGGGAGGGGCGAGCTATATCCATAGTATACTAGCTCGCTATAGAAGGAAGTTAGCGGAAATGTAGCCAACCAAGGTACGTAGGAAGAGGAAGACCTAAATAGATTCGTAGTATAGCGTATATTCACTCCCTTAAGAAGAATGATACGATACCAAACGGTACTATTTGGAACCCGAGTGTCCCAGTAGTTCTATTCCTATATGGTCACTATTCTAACTTAAGGATTGAGAATGAGCTAGCTATCAGATCCAGCGGTATCTTCGGAGAAATGAAAGGCTGATGTATCCCGCTAAAAGCGGAGGTGCACCGGTAAGTGGGGGGTAGAGTAAGAAAGAAAGGGCGGCGATAAGCGTAAGGTAGAGAGGATAAAGGGAGGCGGAGACGTGGTTTGGTTGGTCTTTAATATCGGTTTGATTTGAGGAGATGACAGAATGGTGTATTCGTGCCCAGCAAAATTGATCCCATCTAGTGATTCAAAGGTCCGTATATTACACGGTGAATCCTTGAATGAATAACACTATCTTCTGTTTACATGAACTACCACTATGATCAAGATATCCACACCCAGTGCGTTCCTCTGTTGGGCACGTACGGCTGAATGAGGGGGCAAATTAGGCTGTTGATGACTCGCTAATGATGGGTGTCAAGCAGGCAATACAGGCTAAATTGGAGGCAAATGCCCAGGAGGAGTCGCTCCCCCACAATTGCTCCGAGCGAGATAGTAATTGCAGCAGTCAATCATGACAGGGATAGCTCCGCTTGGCAGACTTGGCAGACTTTCGAGTCTGATCATCCCAGCCGAGGCTGCGAGGCTGCTTGTAAGAGGCGCACAATGATTCCCGGGTTCTAAAGATGCTCTCAAGATATGACTAGACATTTGCTGTACTAATTTATAGATTTACATGTCCGCGACTTCAAACACATGACGCTTCTTTGCCTTGCTTAGCAAAAGAAACAATCAAAGTGCTCGACTATGTTTGTGCTAAATATTGGATATTCTCCTAAGCGAAGGAATTCTGGCAAAGGAATGTGTTCAACTCCGGTATTTGAAGAATCCACCTGCCGGTCTCACCAGGGCTAGTTTCAACCTGCAAATGACTAATGTTGAGTTAATCATAATCTTACCAAATACGGCATAGTCGGCGTAATTAGCTTTCTCGGGCCTCCGCAAATGATGTCCACCACTGGCCCTAAGTCTCCACCCCCACAGTGAGTCGAGTATGGCCTCGATGGAGGATCATGAGCCAAGTGATCATGCTTCAAGGATACGAGCAGTCGAGAAAACGCCACTCTTCGGTAAAATGGCAGAACAGGCAAAAACAACACGTCTAGCTCATCGGGCTTCAACACTGAGTGGTTGACAGCATGTCGTAACAAGCCCGGTTGGGAACAATACAGCCGAGACTCGATCAAGCCAAGGCACTGGCCTTGACAAGTTCACGTCTCTCTTCTGATTCATAAAGAGGTCTTCCGCGGTCTGAACCTCTAATCATCCCCGATCGCAATCGAAGTTGATCCCTCAACTTGCTACGCCTATCTTACTTTCTGATCTACATCTGCGTTCTGCCGAAGCTTCGCAACGCAATCATGGCGTTGAGATTCCGGCCCCCAAAGTCGACCCAGAAGGTCATGCCAGTGAAACCCTCTAAGGGCCATTTCTTGTTCGCGCACCAGGAGTTTGCTCGCGTGCCCTGGTGGAAGAGAAAGAATATGCGTACCCTATACATCTACATCGTCATTCTCATCATGACCAACACAGCGAACGGTTTCGATGGCTCCATGATGAACGGTCTCCAAACCCTTTCCTACTGGCAAGAATACTTCAACCACCCTCACGGCTCGCTTCTCGGTCTCTTTAATGCCTCGATGAGTCTTGGGTCGCTGATCGGCCTGTTCATCGTGCCTTACATGATTGATGCCTGGGGACGTAGGCTGGGGTGTTTCGTTGGGTGCCTTATAATGCTGCTTGCAGTGGGCTTGCAGTCTGGTGCTACGGGCTTTGGGATGTTCATCGCTGCTCGTCTCCTTATTGGATTTGGTGATTGTCTCGTTCTCGGTAGTGCTCCGCTGTTGATTGCAGAAATCGCACATCCACAAGACCGTGCTGTTCTTGTCACGCTGAGTGGTGCTTCTTATCACTCTGGCGCGTTTATTGCTAGCTGGGTGACACTGGGTACACTGAAGATTCAGGTATGTACTCCCCTCAAAGGATGCCAAGCATTCGGACCGCCTATGAAAAACCTTTGCTCTCGACTGACATCTATTTTTTCATTAGAGCGACTGGTCATGGCGTCTCCCAAGCTTGCTCCAGGCCATTTGTACCATTGTCATTGTGTGTGGTATCTGGCTGATGCCGGAAAGTCCTCGTTGGCTGATGAGCAAGGGAAGACACGAAGAAGCCATGCGGATTCTCGTCAAATACCATGGTGAGGGTGATCAGGACGACGCATTTGTGCATCTGGAGTACGCAGAGATCAAGGCTGCCATTGATATTGACAAGGAGATTGACCAAACTCGCTGGGTCGATTTCTTGAAAACCAAGGGCAACCGGAGACGAATCGGCCTCATCACAGCCCTTGGTCTCTTCAGTCAATGGAGTGGTAATGGTCTGATCTCTTATTATTTGAAGCAGGTCATGGACAGTGTTGGTATCAAAAAGGCATCTACACAACTCGGAATCAACGCGGGTATCAAGACCGAAGCCTTGCTCACCAACTTTATCCTGGCGTTTTTCATTGACAAGTTGGGAAGAAGACCAGTATATATGGTTTCAACCGTTGGAACGTTCGTGGTCTTCAACGCATGGACTATCGTGTCAGCACGGTATGCAATTGCGGCGAATCAGGCACTTGGCTACATTTTCGTGGTTCTGACAGTTCTCTACGGACTGTTCTACGACATCAAGTAAGTATTGGGAGCTGGCTGGCCAAATTCACTAGTTCCTCTTTTTCTAACATGAATACATCACAGATCTGGCCTAATGGCAACATACACCACCGAGATTCTTCCTTACGGTCTTCGTGCCAAGGGCTTTACTTGGCTGAACTTTTGTGTTACGGCGGCGCTCTTCTTCAACCAATACATTAATGCAATTGCCCTTGATGCAATCGGTTGGAAGTATTACATAGTCTACTGCGTTTTCCTGGGGATGGAAGTGTTCGTTATCTACACTTTCTTGATCGAAACCCGTTACACCCCTATGGAGGAAATCGCCAAATACTTCGATGGCGACGACGCGGCTGATGTTGGTGAGATCGCCGTCGCGGACATTAAGGAGCAAGCTAGAGATACCGAGGGCAAGGCGGCTACCGTTCACGTTGAAGTGAAGGAGTGATCAATGCATGTTGAAGATTGGCCAAGTCCTTCTGCCTTACTGTGCTCGCACACAATTCACATGTTGCAATTAATATGACTTAATATGACGGACCCTTGTCAATAAATATCTTTATGAATGTGAGCTAACTCGAAAAACAATGCATAATCCTTCGACCAATGACGACATTGGTAGGTTCACGGTTAGTTAACTATGTTAGGTAATGTTGCCATTTTGCTGTGATAATCAGTAAGGTAACTGGCTCCACTGCCAATTACACGTGAACTAATGTTGGACGGGGGGGGTGGCGGTAAGTAAGCTGGACGATTATGCCAGATCGAGCTCCCCAAAGATCCTATGGGGTGTCATGAAACCTTACGGTATTGTTAAGATCACTCAGCTAACATGTATGGCCATTAACTAACTAGTTACTAACTTGCAGCTTTTCTGCCAAACTTATAGAGTGGTAAGTAAGCTGAAGAAGGTTAGCGTATTTCGTATTATTTTTCCGGGAATGAAGTCGCTATCATTTGTCTCCTACTAAATTGAGACTAGCCAGTGAGCGGGCAAGGCTCGTTATCCAGTAAGCGTCCCGGGAGCCTGCCTTTGTCTCCGCTGCTTCGTCGGTCAAAAGGCTTAGCCAGTGCCACGAGGGCTAGCAGTCTCGTCGCCTTTAGCGTGGCCACAAAACATTGAATTGGAAATATACAATTCCAGCGATTAACTGTAGGCGGGCTCGCTAAAGAATTTCTAGCTTAGCCCAAACCCAATTAAACGAATGGCAACGACAGCACCTCCACTTCATAACGGGCTTATAATACCGTCTCTGCTATTGATTCCAGATCAAAGTCCGATAATTCTTCCCCTTCAAAACAGCCATACTCGTGGAAATGTTTGATTTTCTCTCCAGCAAGCACGAGCCCAACGGCAGTCCTAGAGATAGTATTAACGCTACCTCGGGACTTGAGAAACTCCCATCAGCTTCCGACAAGATCAATACCGAGAAGAAGAGTCTGGAAGCTAAGATATTCTGCCTTTATCACTTGGCCTGGCTTGGCATCTATCAAGTTCATGACGAGAACGGCCGAGATCATGCTACTAGATTAGCTGAGCTCTTTGACGGCGCAGGAATGTCTTCCTATGTCGACAACTCCAAACAAGAGCTCAGCGATCACTACAGGAAAAATCGGGGAATGTATACCGGAGCGGAAAGCTGTGTCCTAAACCCTCTATGGACAGCTCTGGCCAAGAAAGGGCTAAGGAGCCTAAAGTTGTTCGAGGGACTGTCAATTACGTCGCTAGAGGCAGTGATTGAGCTGCTAGAAGCCTACGTGAAGGAGGTTACTAGTGTAAATACCTTGTACCAAGTACTTCGGGAGCTCCGGGTGGGGTTTCGAACTCCAACGGAAGATGACGAACAAGCTGTTCTAAAACAGTTCGTCCCCGTTGCGAATCAGTTTGCTAAACGGCTTCTGCATCTTGATGCAAGGTTAAAGGTTCTCGTTTCAGACATGGAGGATGAGTTTTGGAATGAGTATGGGGCAGCCAAGGGGAGGGACGGGTGGTTTGTGCATTACGCAGTTTTTCCACCGTCATCGGCACGAGCTGGTAAGAAAACGAGCCCTATGTCTTTCTCGAAAGCTTAATAAAATGGTACGCGGTGAGAAGATCAAGGGATTCCAAGATACTACGGTTCATCTTCCTTAAGTCTACCTATAAATCCAGTACACACAAGCACAGTTCGAATAATTTTCTTTTTGCCTTCGTCGTTCGCCCATTGAGGAACTACGAAGCGACGCGTCTCCATAGAGGACAATAGGGCGATCAACTTGGGTGGCCCATATTTTCTGATTGTAGTACTATATTTATCAATGTACCGAAGCATATAGCGATTCTATTGAAGATGAAAGGCTAGCAATTAGCGACAAATGATGCAGAAAGATGATAGGTGAAGTCGAAGGTAATGGACAACGGTGTCTGCTTGTTCGTGCTGTGTATTGAGTATATAACTATCACATAACCAATATTAAGCAAATCTACTTTAGGGCTCGAGGCTCCTAAATCGGTTCTAGGTATACGTAAAAGCAGTTAATTAGTAAATGATTAAACCAACGTGTATCCAATCATTCAATAAGCTAATATCATATACAATACGCCTCCTAAATCTATAGAAATATAGTAGCGTCCAATAATTGCCCGGTAGAGCCAGCCATAATTAAAGTAGCGAAAACATAGTTATTATAGCTATATCTATTCGGCACGGCTGGGAAATTATTTATTGGTTAGGTTAAGTCGCTCTTTTGATTTCATCGAAGTGGCCTATTCGTTTATATCACGTAGGAACCGACGGGCTGTTCCAATTTAATTTCCTCGTTAAATAAAGAAGCTAGCGTCTGGGTCCTGAAGGATTAGTTCGAGTTCGAGGTAATTAATGCCGGCTACAACGTAACCCACTCAAAACGCGAAGTTCCCTTCTTAATTTCCGGAGACCCTTCGTAGCATACAATTTTGCACACCCAACTTGCCTCCAACGACTTCACACACCCTCCACGCGCCATAATCACGGGCGGTGGGTATAGCGAGGAAGAGTTTCAGGAGCTGCATCGAGCTTGTGTCACGGTGTGCGGGTCGAAGGCGGACTTGCCGGTTCCGTTCTTAAGGGCTAGTAATGAGATTACGGATCGGTTGGCTGGTGAGGGCAGGGGTCCGGCGCATTCGTCGGTGGAGTATGCCGATGCTTTTACTGAGCGATTGAAGAGGAGGCTGAAAGAGGTTGGAGTTTGGGGTAGGACTCGGGGAGATGAAGCAGCGAATCGGGGAGGGATATTTTGGGTTTAGCCCGGAAAGCGAGATATTGGTGGGTTATGATAAGTTGAGCGTTGAATTAGGATTGTGGGATATCTAGATGAATGTTTGAAAGGGAGTACCGGAAGAATAGTAGAAATTGATAGACCTGATATCAAACTGGTGATATCGGTCCAAAGTCGAGTCACAGACTCGGTGAATAAAATGATGTACAAGGTATGAAAAGACAAGGTAGAAGAAGAAGAAAAGGGAGAAGGTGAGAAAGAAAAAAAGATCACCGAAAAGAAGGTTCAAAGGGTTGCATATTCCACCGGTCCCGACTCATCACATCATGAGAAGATTACCCCTTCAATTTCCAGATCTCCAACTGAAAAACTTCTTGAACTTCTTCCTCTGCGAAAAGGACGGTTTCCTTTCCCCGTGCACACCCGTCTCCCCGACCCCAACCCCAGACCCGGATCCGCCCAACGAAACCGAACTGCCAAATCTGCGCTGCAGATCATCCGCGCCCCGCGTCGGGTTTCCACGCAATCCCATGCCATACGCGTTCGCGGCGGCAAGAACGGATTGAACGTGCGGGTCAAAGTAGATAGGGTCATACGGGTCGTAATGCTGATTGTAAGACGGTGTTGAAGGGAGAGGCGTTGACATTGTGTTTGCATAGTAAACGTCATATGGAGATGGGGGCTCGGAGTATCCCGGTGATAGGGTTGGGGGTGGTTGGAGGTCGAGGAAGATACCTCGGTCGCGCTCGTCGACCTGCGCCCATTCGCCGTTGGCGTAGACTGGCGAGCCCGGCTCGCCAATGTCACTTTCTCCGGAGAAAAAGGTTGGTTGGGAGGATGGAGATTGGGGGTCTGACGGGAGCAGATCTGGTTCGGATTCGGGATCTTGTGGGCACTCGGTGGTCGACACCGTGAGTTGATTGGGTAGGTCATTGTTCATGTTCATCTGGTTGCTCTGCGAAGGGAAGGTGGTGTCCTCCTTGCGTGCGGGTGTCCAGTAGTCATGTTTGCGGAGGGAGTAATCGGAGAGCGAGCGGACTCGGTCGTGCACACCGGGTGACGACGATGGGATGTCTGCTATTTGCCGTTTAGGCGTGGAGTATCCAATGGAAGGCGAAGTAGTGTATAAAGAAGGAGAAGAGTAATGCGATGGTAATGAGACGTCGGTAAATTGCGACAGGGAAGCTCCATCAAAGCTGTCGTCTACCGAATACGGGTTGGAAGAGACTATTGAGTCATGGTGGGGGTCGTAAGACAGCATCGAGCAGTCATCGACATCCTCAATGAAGGAGACAATGCGAGCCACATCAAGGGATTTGCGTGGATTCAAGATCTCAAAGGAGGCACCACCGTGCGAGATGGTGGCAACGGCCTGCGTGTTGGCCAGCATCGGAGTGGATGCTTGAGGACGGGATTGAGGTAATGTGCGTCGAGCCTGACCCTGACCTTTTGCGTCCCTCAGAAGCTTCTCGCGGAAGGGGTTCTAGAAAAGAAAAAAAAAAACAATAAGAGAGTTGGTCGATGAAGGGAAATTCGGATGTTTATTAGTGTTTTGGGTTACTCACCAATCGCTTCCGGTTCGGTCTAGGGCGTGTAAAGCTTTCCGAGACAAGATGCACTCGTGGACTTTGGGGTGGTGGAATGGCAACTGCAGAGTGGTCAGTGCTTGTTTCTCATTCATTAAACTGCCCATTTGAAGTACAGATCGGGGGAATGGGGCTGCAACGTACCAGTTGATGCCTCTGAAACCTCGGGCTCTTGCTCACTCTGGTAAGAGATGATACTATGAGAATACGACGGCGACAGTGGTGGGGGGCTTGATGCGGCGGAGGACACCGAAATCGCACACGAAGAGAGCGACGTGAGCGGAGGTGGACGATTCAAATTGAAGGTTGCGGTCTTGCGTTTGAGAGTCTTTTCGGAGCGATCGATGGGATCGTCCACGCAGTCTGCGGACCGCGACAAATACTTGCGATAGTCATGGAGGGAGAGGGCGCCCGTGATCCCAGACTTGATGGAACGAGGGGGAAGTGACACCGCATCTGCAGGCAGGGGCTTGAGAGGCGTGCAGAGTGCATGAACGCCGTGGAGCTCCAGACACTTGGAGCAAAGCGAGCTGTCCGGCAACCCGCCGCTGTGCCAGGCCGCGAATGGATCGCGGTAGTCCAAATCTTCATACATCTGAAATTTGGCTTTCTTGTATTCTGTTCTTTTTTGTCTTTGGAGAGCTTGGGCCTGGGAGTTTCCTGCCCCAGCTTTTTTGAACAAAGAGGGCGTTCGTCTCGAATATCGCTTTTAGCGGGTTGACATGTCTATTGCCGGTGTAGATCGGGAGATCAATCCAGCGCCGCTATACATCTGATTCGTCAGAGCGGGGGATTAAACACTGCAAGGGACAATGAAACCGTCGGCTTACCAGGACACCGTCCACGCAAGGTCACAATCAAAGAAGATTAAAGATTCAAAAGCCACCAGGAACAGGAAATACTACGAAGCCGGAGGGGGGGGGGGGGTTCGCGATAATAATAATAATAAGTAAAAGACAGAAGGCGGCTCAAATCCAGTCTGTCCATCTGGATGGAGACCGGAGCCGAACGGAGACGCCTAGACTCGACTCTGTTCTTCTTCGCATGGATATCCACATCTCCACATTGAAAAAAAAGACAACGCGGTCTGGAACCAGACAAGATCCCCAGGAACACTGGGTCGCGGGCGCAGCGAACCGTTGGGTCGCCCGGAGGTGCTGGGCCTCATCACTGATATAATGGGATTATGGAGAAATGGACGACGTCACACCTCCCATTTCCGGCGAGGGGGGAGAAAAAAGGGCGAAAAGTCGGTCTGACAAGGTGTGTTTGTGTATGCAGACGTGCCCCTGGTCGGGTCACTCTCGTGTGTGCCTCTCGGTCGTCCGTGCCTGTGCCCCAGAAGGGCGTCCCATTCACCATTGACCATTGACCAGTCACTGTCCGTTGTTGACAAGATGACCAGAAAACCCGACACGGTGGATGCATCGCACCTCCAGAGAAATGACATGCAGATGAAGAGACCCCGCCCGGTATGGCTGTCGACTCACGATTCGTCCACCGACCGAGTCATCATCGTCCCGCCTGATCGTTGATCGTTGTTCGTTGATCGTTAAATCCTGATGCGTTGTTCCAATCATCGTAGCGTCTCGTTAGTCGCACACCCTCCCGTCCCACCCCCGGCCAATCACCCGCCCCAGGCGCGCTTTTGACATGAACCCCGATCCACCATTCCGAATCGCAAGGAACCACTCGGTGCGCAGAACGAGCCTGTGGGTATGAACAGAGTCGGGCCCAGGGCTGAAATGCAAACAGCGATGCTTTTTGGGCAGGAATCAGAAAAAATTAGTTAGAAACCGGAAACTAAAGACACACAAACACCGGGTCAGTGAGGGTTCGTTGGCTGCCAGTTGATCCGAGAAGGGCCGCCAGGTGGCAAAGCGCCCCCCGTCCAGACCCTGGAGAGAGAGAGAGAGAGAGAGAGAGGGAGAACTCGACGCGTGGTTGGGGATCGTAAGAGAATCGTCAGCCTCGGTGGAGTTGGAAAGACCCACGCTCCATCGTCCCTGAACTCGACCATCAGGGGGAAGCGAAACGAGTTTGTTCAACAGGAACAAGTCGGGATGGTTCCAAGTAACTTTCTCTGCACTTTCTGGATGGGGATTCCTCGTGCAATTCTTTACGAGTGCATCCATGGTTCACGTCGGTCTGCCCGGATGGTTTGACCTCGTACCTGGCGATGCATGATTCATGAGTGCATCAAAGGGGTTAGCCAGAGCGAGGGGAAACAAAGTAAACTCGGTTCCATCCAAGAATCCGATCGGAGATTTTCTTTGTCGTGCCTGGGCTTGTGATGGATGTCTGGTGGTTCGAAAGTCACTACGGAGTACAAGTCGGGCAAAGTGCTCTGCCGCACTGCCACCTCAGGCAACCCAGTCGCGTGCCTTTTTTTAGCCCAAGTTTTACTCTGAAACTTAGGGATTTACGTCTGACGCTAATGCCGATAGTGATACGACGATATGTTGGTGATGCGAGAATGACACTCCTACCCACCTTTACCACCCAACCCCTCGGTTATGGTTAAGTTTAGTTGCCCAAGTCTTACACGTTCTCTTGGCACCGGACCCTGAATTGCGATGCCGATTCGCTGATTCGAGGTTCAATCTACTCTGCGCACGGACGGTCATGAGGAAACACTCATAATAATCACAAGCATAATCACGGGAGAGACAGCGATTTCATGCGCCCGGGCCAGCCATCATCGAATGAAACGAAAATGCAGATCAGAATCAAATTAAAATTCGAGGAGACGAATCATCGGTCAAAGACGCCTGAATCATGCGTTTCATAGCAGCAATTTTTACATGCAGTCGTCGTCCGTCCTGTCCCGGCTGAGGGGTGGTATCATTGGTAGCAAAAGCAAGTCGCAGAACGCAGAGAATCAAGAAGCAGAAAGCATTGTAGTATCTACGGGCTCATGGAAAATCTGACAAAACAACTCTCCGAAAATGGGGACGAGAAAAACTTGTAAACAAAACCGAAGCGGATAGCCATGCGAGGGATTCGCGTTCGTCTCGGTGAACAACTCCGCCTCGCGGACCTAGTGACGTTTATATTTCTGAAACCAAAGTTAGCCCGCTGTACAAGTGCCTCCATACCATGTACAAAAGGAAAGTAGAGGCATCCACTTACATCTTCCATCTTGCGCCGGTTACTCGGATCCAGCGAATTTCCAGCGCCAAGGAGCGTCTGCCCAACGGCTTTAGAGACGCCAATGGCAGGTCGAAGAATAACTGTCGGGGCGCGTCGCAAGACTGCTTTCGCGGCATCCTTTGCACTCCCACTCTCCACAACTTCACCAGGGACCGCGACAATCGCATCGCGCGCCAGGAGGAGATCGCGTTCGAGACCACTAAAGCCACCCCGCAAGCCCTGCACAACTCCAATCGGCTGATCGGCATACAGAGAAATCTTTTTGGCCTCCTCCTCGTCACCGCGGTCTTCCTCGGAAGTGGCGGACGGGCCATTCGGAGAAGTCAGTAGGTCCTCTGCGCCTTGTAAGACGGTTTGCGTGCCGATGGCTAATTTCGCTCCCAGCTTGACAAGTTCGTTGGATGTCGTCTTGGCAAATGCAGCCGCGCCCTTTTGGATGCTGCGTACGATCCGGCCATCTTTCTTGTACTCGCGCATCGGGACGTCAAACAGTTGTCGTACACCGCCACCTACGTTAACTAATGATCGGATGGGCGCGAGACCGGCAAGAACCCCAGGAAGCTGGTTGGCCTTGACATCTGGCATCCAGATGTCGTTGAGAGTGTTGCCGAGTCGATCGAATCCAGACACTCCGTAGATGATGACATGTCGTAGTACCATATCGGAGCCATCCAGGACGAAGAAGTTCATGAACTCGGTCGTGCGACCGGACCGGAGCCCCGCGTAGTCCACTCGCTTGGGCTTGAAGTCTAACTTGACTTGGATAGCATTGACCTCGACACGCTGCAGGAATGGAGCATCTCCAGGGGTACCCTCGGCTTCCATTGATTCATCTCGGAACTCAAAGAAGCGACTCATGAAGTCCAGGGCATCTTGATCGACGTGTAGCCGAAGCGGTAGAACGGTAGCCTGAGAAACATTAGTTGAATATGCAAAAAGTAGAGATCCCTGTGCATGCCACTCACCTTGAGAACAATCTCGGAGGCCGCGAGTTCCGGAATAGGCTTCACGGTCAAAATCTCCAAGTGGACCATACTCGTCCCGCTCTCCCGCTCTCCGGCCTCATGCAGATATGTGGCAAACTTCTTCCATGTCGAAGTCGGCACATGGTCATAGATCTCTAGATCTTTCACCCGTACATCCAGAGAGCTTTGCGTCTCCTCCGATCCCGGCGGGAATACGACCAGGTCTGCACAAATACCGGAGAGCTCAAAGGTCATCTTGTGATGTTTGCTACGATGCAAGCGAAGTCTCTTCTTTTCTCGTCCCGGTGCTGATCGACCCTGGCGTGCAGTTGCACCAGTGACGGTAGTGGATGTGGCATAGCTACCAGTCTCGCTTGTAAGGTCGTTAATGTCGCGATTGATTTCCCGGTGGAGGTCTCGGGGGTCTTTGTTCGCAGGAATACCGATATAGATTGAGTTGAAGAGGAAGTCGCCAATCACGGATTCTTCTTCATCTTCAGCTGCGGGAGACATGCGGGAGGTTCGGGCACGTCGTTCAGTAGCCTTAATTTCAACATCTTCGACTGCTTTCGAGATGGCATCTCTAGTTCGCTGCCAGTCATAGCCATCGAACAAATTCCAAATCACGTGCACGTCTCGAACTCTAACGCGAAGAGGACTCTTCTGAAGCTTTGTGTCGTTTGACAAACCGTACGTGTTCTCTGTAGAATCCCAGCGATGCGCAGTGCCCCCAACCGCAGACTGTTTTGCAAAGTGGTCCTCCTGAAAGTCAAGCTCGGTGAGACTTGAGGAGACATGGTACTGAGAATGAAAGCTATCGATGAGTTCATTGGTACTACCCGTCGCTGTCGGCTCGATGTTCACGTCTCCGATAGATGCACCCTGCTGCTTGGGGTAGAAGTCGCTGACATATTCAAGTTCGTCGTTGGAGAGTTCGTCCTCTTCAGGGATGCCTCCAAGATCAAGTGCGGGATCAACCTTTTCACCCAAAGGGAGAGAGAGATCAGCATTGAAGGCATTTCCCGAGAAAGAGGCAAGCATGTCTTGGATCGGGGTGACCTCGGTACGATATTTGACAGTGACACTCGGTGGCGTAGGAGGTTGCAGGCCGTTCAGAATACTAATGAGCGTCTGTGTTGAGTCGGCACACGTCTCTAAAATCAAAAGACGATTCTTCAACTCAACGTCTAGCGACTTGGCCCCATCCTCTGCGAGACGCATTATCTTGACCACTACTGTCGCAGTAGAAATGGACGAGACCGGGACATATCCTTTCTCAATATATTCATGGACCTGGTCGCTCTGAGAAACGGCCGAAGTGCGCTGGCGGAGGTTGTCAGCACTGCCTGCATTTGCCTCATTGTCAATTATCATGATGGACGCCTTTCTGATGTCAAGGGACGCTTCCGACGATTCATCGCCATGTAAAGTACCGCTGAATTTCGAATTTGTAAGTACCACGAGTCCTTTAGCAGGAGAATTGCGCGGGTTCAGACCAAGCACGCAGTCCTGAAAAACGACAGCTAGCTTTGTCGGTTTGCTAGACGCACCCGAGGCCTCGGATCTTGATGGAGAAAATGCGATTCGATCAGAGTGTTCCGCAAGATTAGCGATAGAGTTCGCCATCTCACCGGCCAGCTCTCCGCCCGTTGTATCTTGACCACGCCCTAAGAATGCCATGACAGAGGGAATTGTATACTCGACACGCAGGTGGTGTAATTTGATCTTGAAGGTAGGATCCATCTCATCGGGGATAAAACGCGCCATGAGCACGGGTGGGCGCGGTGTAATCAGAGAATTTTCTTTGCTTAACAGCAGGGCTTCGCCGACGAGCTCTTCCTTGTGGTTCCTCATGATAGTTACTGTGCCAATCTGCGTAGCAGTCAGCGAGGGCATGCTGATCCACGCGACCTCCACATTCGTGAGGTGCGCATTAATATCGCCAACATCTCCGCCGACATGCACTTGCGTGTCGAACTCTTTGATCAGCGTCAAGGTAAGGATTCCAGGACGATCGTCTTCTGGGAGGTACTTCGTCACATTCGACAGGCGACCTAGCTCGGATCCGAGGGAGGCGAGGGGAGCCAAGCCAGCAGTGCTGGAAATGACGGTCTTCATGCCTGCGACTGTTACACGAAGAACGGATCCTTGCCTTCGTTGCCGAAGCAAAGTATCAAGCATGATATCGTCATCATCGTCGTATTTGTCCTTGGACGGCGTAATCAAGGTCAAGAGACGATCAAGGTCCACTTCCTTGGGTGCGAACAAGAATTCGACTCTAATGTTGTCCAGAGTGACCTTTGCGGGTGCATCAGACATGTCATCGAGTGGATGCGGTCCACTAATTCTTGCCTTGTCAACCTGGACACCAACACCTTCAAATCGACTGACAATTTTCACCGCAGTCGTGCTGAGAGTGAGATAATGCGTCTCGCCGGTGATATCTAGCACAACGCCCCCAAGTCGCGCGTTAACCTTCCAGGGAACCGAGGCCTGTAAATCTTTGTGGTCTTTGTGGGTGGACGGAGCTGGAGTCTCGAAATGCACACCACGTGGGCGCTTTTTCGGCGGCTTCTGGGCCCCTCTCATTGTGGATGTAGAGGACATGGAACTTCCCAGTTCCAGAATAGTACTCAAACCGCCCATCCATCCAAGAACCTCTTCTAGGTGCTGGACATTCAGATTGATATGAAGGGGCAGAGTTGAGACATCGACCTTGGCGGAGTCTGTCGACTTAGTTAAAGAAAGGGAGATATCACCCTGAGAAGGCGTTGTTATGTCCCGAGTAGATTCACGCATTTTCAAAGACTCGTTAAATGAGATGAGATCGTCAGAAGCAGTTCCAAACGCAAATTTCGAGACATCGAGATGAAGATTCGTTCGCTTCTCATTTGCGGAGAGATTCGCTATCAGACTAGACGCAGTGATCTGGAGGACAATCTCTTCCATAGATGTGAAGGGCTGTGGTGCCGGTGTACCCACGCTTTTCGGAGAGTAGGAATGACCCGCTACGTGCTCTATGAATTTGACCGCGAATTTGTGTACATCGAGCCGGACAGCAGTGTGCTGAGTGGATTGGTCCGGCGGAGTCTGACCTCGAGATGAGACTTTCTCTTTCTCGGGGCCATTAGCTATTTGCGACAATCTCTGGCCTGCCTTGACAAGAAGCCAACCAGTGGCTATATCAAAGTGAACGGAGAACGTGAATATTTCTATAGCAAGACCTTGGCTTGGGACGTGGCCGTGTTGGTGCTCTGCATGATTCTTGCCCGGTAAAAGTCGGGAATCGGCGGAGCTTCTCGTTGGCCGGGTAGCTGCATTAATCTTCGATGCAAACATGCTCTCCTCGACTGTTGTTTCGCGTGTACCAGAGAAGAGATCCTTGGTATCGCTATCTGTCCGCTCGACAGGACCCTTCAGCACAGCATAATCTGATTCTGCGTCATTCAGTGCTGATGGTAACCAGATGAGGATCTTATCAACGTTGAGGATAGGCTTCGTCATCTCGCTCGGCTTGTGCAAAGCAGGCGAAGAAGGCGTAGAAGCCCTGCCGGTGGCTGCGGTTTGAGATCGAGATTGACTCTCTTCTCGTTGCTGACCAAAGTACGAGTCCATTGGAGCGTTCAACTTTGGCGTAGATGCTGTAAGTTCATCTTGCTCATCGTTGCTTACATGTGCATCATGGATGGGTTCCGTCCCCATTTCACGAACTCCGATGGGGCTTGCTGATTTTTCACCGGGGTGAAATGAGTCCCATGCACCTGGCATGTTTGGAATAAAGCTCTCACCAGTGCCTTGGCCCATAGCACTCATATACAAGCTTTGTGCCTCATCATGGGAGAAGTACTTGGACTCCGTCAAATTGGCGACCGCAGCACCTCCTTCGGATGATGCACTGCCAAAATCAGATGGCGGAGCAGAATTTCGATAAGATTCTTGATGAGGAGAATGTGGGAAGCTTTGGCGAGAGGTGGAAAGGGCTTCTTCTTCATGATGAGGCCCCGAGGACTGCGGCTCAATTCCGGATTCAAATCCAAATTGGCCTTCCACATGTGGGCTGTAGACCTGCGGGCCGGGCAAACTGTCAACTAGTGAGGTTCTTCCAGAAGGTCCTAACTCAGTAGACTCTGCAAGTCGGGGGTTAGAACGAAATGCGAGACCAAGGTGATATGAACTGTCGCCGCTCTCTCGGAGTTGGGGCCTTTGAGTTGGGAAGCCTGCGGGCGGCTCGTCATCAAAGTCGTCGAATTGGGTATCAATGACCGAATCCAGATACCCAGGGTTATCGTGGAACGGGTCATCATCCCCAAGAATTTGGGAATCTTCGAAATATGTGTCGTGTCTATGCTCTGTTTCCGAGTCCGCATCTGAGAAGCGGCCATCGTGGGAAATTGTCTCATGGGAAATGCTCTCGTGAGAAGTTGTCAATGGATCCAGACCAGGATCCATGGCGCTTCCAAACCCATTCCCAAGTGATGGCTCGAATATAGTTGATCTGGTCATATCCAGCCCAGGGTCTGATTCTAATACGGATGACTCCAACGGCGGAGGCGAAAACGCTCGGCTTGAGGATTGACTCTCCTTGGACTGCATCGTTGTCGTCGGGGATGCAGGCACCGTAAATCTTGCATAGTTCGAAAATACGGCAGAGTCGGACACAAGACCAAGGTTGATATCAACGAGTGAAATCAGCCGCTTGCCTTCGCGCATCGGCAAAGGCTCGTCAGCGCCCGCGGTATATTCCGATGTACCATGAACCTCGATCTCGCCCACAGTCAACAATCCCGCAACGACATCTGGCTTGTCCTCGGGATGACGTTTCGACGGACCATCCTGCTTTAATTCCATATCCAGCCGCACAATGACATCTTTTATCTTCAACTGTAACCGATCCGCCACACCCTTGAGGAATCCCGCAACGAAACTTGGCAGAGACATTGTCTCATTTCCCAGCCCGAGCTCTTCATCTTCCTCGTCCGTGAAGGAAGAGCTCTTCTGCAGGATATGAGACTGCGATGATATCGCTGCCTGCAACTCTTCCTTTTCCTCCGTTGGTTCGGCATCAAGGAAGGATTCGGCAAGATTGGTAGCGGTCGGTAGGCTTTGTCCTTCCTCCGAGTCGTGTACCGACGATACTTGGGGTTTGGAGCCTCCATGCTTGCCCTTACTTGGCTCATCCGACAATACGATGTGCACATTGATACCGGAGGCTTCGCAGATGATGCCGCTGCTGTAAATGTCGGCCGGAACGGTGATCCGAAGGAGTTGGACACGGGCGTTGAGGAGCGTACATGTCGGCGGGAGGTTGAGAAGGGTCGCTAATTTCTATGTCGCAAGAGTCCAACAGTCAGTATTATCCTTTTCAGGCTCCCATGCAACAGGTTGACCGCCACGCCTCCCCCGCGGGGTACCCGAACTAACTAACCTCCAACTTTAGGCCGATATCTCTTAGTTCGACCGTGCTCCTCTGACCCCAGCGAATACCTAGATTATCCGGATCCAGAGCCTCCGTATCCACGATGCCCAGGCGCGACAAGGCATATTTCAGCAAGCGCTTCTGGAAGAACGAAGGCAGAAAGTACGCCATCTTCAGAGAGCCGCCACGAGGCTCGGTCAAGCAGAAACAAGATTCATCGAAGCAGGGCCATCATCCTAGATGCAATAACGAGGGAATATCGCGTAGACTCCGGTGGCGAGGAGTAAAGAGAGTAGGTGAAAGGGGAGGGTTGTGGGTTGACGATGACGTGCGGAGTACTCTTGGTGGGCACCTGATAAAGCCGATAAGTGATCGACCCAAGTCAGGCGGGCCCTCTTCCCTTGGGATCGAACGATGTTGAGTCTCCACTCTGTTGGCTGCACCCCGTTAACTCAGTTACGACTCACTTTTGAGAGAAAGGTATCTCTTTATTGGTTCTAGCTGACTAATTTCCTATGCAGATATTGTTGAAATTTCCACCGCTTATTTCCAAAGTCTTTACATCCCATATGTCTCACGACATTCCGCCCGTACAATAATCACGCTTCCACGCCGATCACCTCTAATCTTCCTCATCAAACTCCGCAAACTCCAACACAACCCATTCGCAGAACTTTTCAAATTCAGCATGCCATTCTTGCAAACGAGCCGCCTTCAATCCTTCACCCAAGATACCCTGCTCGACATCGTGCTTCCATTCGGGGGTTGACTGGTCCTCATAGCAGCTCCACCGAATCGAGTTCTGGACCATCATTGCCAAACCGGCCAAGTCAATATTCTGCAGACCCTGAAGCGCCTGCCAGAAGTCATGCGTGAGCCCGTTCTTCCCGTGGCCGAGGATGGCTGGATCATCGTTGCACAAAGAGACGGGGACACCGCGGGACAATAACGCTGGTAACGGGTGGCTCTTAATGGAGCTTGCGAGGCGTAGAATTTCGTTCGATATGGGACAGCATTCGATCATGATCTTCTTCTCTTTGACCAAGTCAATCAGAAGAGGGTGTTTGTAGAGGGAGAACCCGTGGCCGATTCTCCGGGTGCCTAGTAAGATGGCATCAAAGAGATTGTGATCGGTCTCGTCACCATCGCCAAGACATTCGCCTGCATGGAAGAAGAAAGGAATATCAACACCTTCCTCTGCACAGCGCTTCCGGAACCAGAACAGAACTGGTACCAAATCCTTGAGTGGTCTTCCCAGATCTTCCTGTCCGACCAGATCGAAGCCACAAATGAGATTGGGAAATGCGTGCTTGGTGTCAATGCACTGTTTCATTGTCTCCACGATCTCTTTATTGCCGAATCGCCGGATCGTAGTCCAGATAATGCGCGCTTCGTAAAATGACTTTCCTTCCTCCGTCTGCTTGAAGCGTTCGACCTCTTCTTCAACGGCTCGGCACCAGTCATCATAGCCGTCTTCCGGTTGATCTTTGCCCTCTTTCCTCCACGCGAAGACGAACGCAATACGGAATTCCACGTACCGAATACCATCGGCGGCTAGTTGGCCCAGCATTCGGCGGAAGCATACTCGGAAGATTGGCTCGTACATAAGAATGGAATTGATAACCGGGAAGGTCGTGGTGAAAATTGCCCAGATTGCATCGACGCCATGATGATGGTGGTATGAATGTTCGGGCATGAGCATACACCGACTGCGAAGCCACTCGCGGAATCCAGTTTCGCCGCCATTGGGGAACGATGAAGCGGCCGTCTGGATCGGGATTAACGATGAGGACTCGTACCCCTCCGCCCAGATACTAGTCTTCTTCTCACCCTCCGTAGTCGACTGCGACGAGAACTGGAAGAATACCGGCGCCTTTTCAAAGTCCTGAGGCGTAGTGAGGGCATTGGGTGCCAAGATATGAATACCAGGTGTAGAAAAGGCTTGATCGATTAGAAAGTCGATATCGAACATGGCATCCATATGAGCATGTAAGAGTGATCCTTTGGGCATTTTCTCGACGATCTTCCACAGATTGGTCTTTTCCATGCGGCCTTTTGCATGGTGGAACATCACACCGGGGTAAAGGATCTCATCGGCCTGGTGTGCTGTTTCGGCGTCCAAGCCGGTAGTCCACACCGCATTGTGTTCGCGGGCCCGGATCTGGGAGACGATTTTGCAGGCCCGGGCGGCGATCGGGGACATGGACTTGCGATAAGTGGCATCTACCAGGTTGTCAGAATCCAGATCAAGCTATAACCATATATCCACCTTATGGAATACCATTTCCACGGTGATCTTACCATGGCGCCTCTTTTGTTCCTCGGCGATTAACGCGTCACGACCCTTCAAGTACTGCTGGATGAACGGATCCTCAAACTGAGGAAGACCCTCCTCCAGCTCCCAGTCGGTATTTTCACTTCCCATTGCCCAATATTTGCTTTTTAGTGAGATAGATCTGTTAGATCGTGGTATCGTGGTTGAACCGTGAGTTGTTGGTCGAGCTTCTCCCAAGGGACTACCAAGTTTGGCCCAGCTCGTGAGGGGCAAACTCCCCGCATACCGCTTCCGGCCATCATCCAGGAAATCCCGATGCTAAACGCGCGCGGTTCTCCACGCATATAAAGGATAGCCAATAAAGTTCATCTTCGAGTTTTGCATCGTTTTTTCGACGTTTCACAAGAGATTGCTTTGTCGTGTATGGAATACGACAAGCTCTTTCTGCTTCAATAGCCCATTTCCAATCTCACATCAGAACGGCTAATCCTTCTGCCCGTATCTTCCAAGCGGTAAACTCGACCGCAGATAGATATGGAGTCATGCCGTTATCTGCCAACTGGACAAAGTACCAGTCCTTGTACTTTAGCCAAGGCCTACTCGTTACGTCTCTCACCCAGCATGTGCACCCTTTTCGGCCCCAGATAACATACGATCGTCCCGTGACATCCTTCCAGGGCACAAGTTATTCCCGAACCCATAAGCACTACTTGATACACCAATTGTAACGCCAACAACGCCAAGATCTGCGGGCCGGGGTGGCGGAGATCGCCTATTGCTGTTGGTGGACTGGGATTGCATATCAAGCCAGGGTAGTATAGAGACACAAGGCCAAGACCTGCGAGTTCAGAGTTGGCAAGATTATATTACGCTTGGCTAGGACGCCTATCTGAGAGTTTTTTCGACCTTGTTTGTTAGCACCGGCGCTGGGAATACCAAGTGGTGGAGTCCAATCATTAGGTTCGCCAATGGGAGGCGAGTCGAGCTGGAAAGAGTGATTTTCTAGAATCGGACATGGATGTGTATCCCGTGCAAATGGACTCCGCCTACAGCCCCCGGTTTCAGACAGGGTTGGTTACTTCTGTTGATCATGCAGACTAACCCACACGACTATTTCCCCGGAATTTTGGTGATGCTAGGTAGAAAGTGAAAAAAAAAGAGAGTAGTAGTCTTGTAGGGCACACGACCTCCTGAACCACCAAAAACCCACCAAACTCAAAAAACCCAAAACCACTGGCGTTCTTCCGTTCTCCACTTGCCGATGAGGTGTTTCCACCTTTCTTGGCTCATGGATCGTCCCTCCAACCAACCACAGCTCACAGCCAGTGGCAAAGATAGTAAAGTACCCAGCAGAACCAGGAAGGTGCTCTCGATCGCCGAAGATAGCAGCGGCCTGGTGTTGCGAGCCCATAGCGCTGGGCTAATCTAACCGTATAGCTGCTGCGATACGCGAAGGTTACATGCAGCCCCCCTCTTTTTAGACTTGCTGGCGGCCCGAGTGAGACGGGTGGTCCGTCGGCGAGTCCGCCTTGTTACTTCAATCAGAGACTTGTCAAAGGGAAAAAAAAATTTGTTCACGAATCACCGGTGGTAGACTCAAAAAAAGCCAGGAGAGATGGAAACCCGCTAGTCGCCAATCCTGGGATATGGCCCGAAGGGATACTCCACTCTCCTTTCCACTGCACGACTTATCTCGCCTTAGAGTGTTTCCCCGCACAGAAAGAAAAGAAAGAGAAAAAAAATGATTGTGTAAAAAAAAGGGTCATAATGCCAGCGACGTTGATAAATGAACACCCGTCCCCCCAATAGTACGCCTGGATTGCAAAAAGACCCAGGCCAGCCACCATGAGGATTCTCTCGCGTCTCTGATAACCTGACTCCTTAACTTGTCCTGCTTCGGTGGTGATAAATTGGCTCTCAGCCTGCAAGGTTACACAGCAGATCTACCCTCTGCGGTCCTCTGCCAGTCCCTTACAATTTCTGACTAGTCGTGGATCTAAGATTCTTTTCTACACGCAAAGAGAGGAATCGCTCGCTGTGGGTTGATTCCAGAGTATCCTCAACGAGACTCGATCACCACGTAAAATTGGAAAGGAGAGTTCAACCTCCATTCTAGAACATCATGGCCGACAAAGCGTCCGAGGCCAACAATGTCTCGGTAAGTACGACCCAGCATCTTCATCAAGATCCGGCGCTGCACCCTGAGCACCAGCATCACCATGAGCATCATCACCATACCGCCTTTGCAGAGCAAGGCCGTGAGGATGAAGTAGTCTATTCCAAAGACACGGCGTTCGAGAAGGGTATCGTGCCTGAACCATCGCCCCTCGATCATGGCAGCCAGGGCCATAGCCAGGCTTCGAAAGATGAAGAGACAGGCGAGACTAGTCCTGCTCCTCGTCCATGGCACCGACGCGCGGTGAAGCACTGGAGACATGCTTTCCATGCGGCGATCTGGATCCTGTTCACCGGGTGAGTAACATGATTTGAGACCTCCATGGATTCCGTTGCCCCCATGAATCTCCAGAGAACTTACACGGTCTTTCTCAGCTGGTGGATCACCGGCCTCGTCTTGCATCGACATGACCTAGGCTGGTTAATTCCATTCCTACTATACCTGGCCATCACCCTCCGCCTAATCTTCTTCTACATCCCCATCACCATCATCACCCGGCCGATGTACTTCATCTGGAACAAAACCGCGACGCCAATTGTCAACGCTATTCCGGAGAAATTCCGCACTCTCCTCGGCGCCGTAGTCTGCGTCGGCGTTATCCTAATCGGATCATTCGCCTCGCCCGAATCAGCCGACAACACGCGCGCGAATCGCGCCGTCAGTCTCTTCGGCTTGGTCGTCTTCATCTTCGTGTTGTGGTTGACATCCCGTAACCGCAAGAAGATCGTCTGGCACACGGTCATCGTGGGAATGCTAGTGCAATTTATTATTGCGCTGTTCGTCCTGCGGTCTACGGCCGGATACGACATTTTCAACTTTATCTCCCTGCTCGCTCGTAAACTGCTCGGTTTCGCCACGGATGGTACCGTTTTCCTGACGGCGCAGAACTTCTATGATCTAGCTAGCCCGATTCAGCCCGCGAATTGGTTCTTGATTAGCGTTATTCCGGCTATCATCTTCTTCGTTTCCATCGTGCAGTTGCTCTACTACACCAGTATCCTGCAGTGGTTCATCTCCAAATTCGCCGTCTTCTTCTTCTGGTGCATGCGAGTTTCCGGTGCCGAGGCCGTCGTCGCTGCTGCATCTCCCTTCATTGGGCAAGGCGAGTCGGCGATGTTGATCAGACCGTTCATCGCGCATCTGACAATGGCCGAACTGCATCAAGTCATGTGCTCGGGTTTCGCGACTATCGCCGGTAGTGTCTTGATCGCGTACATCACGATGGGCGTGAACCCGCAGGCATTGGTTTCCTCGTGTGTCATGAGTATCCCTGCCTCACTGGCGTGCTCGAAACTGCGTTGGCCCGAGGAAGAAGAGAGTCTTACTGCTGGTCGGGTCGTCATTCCTGATAACGAGGAACACCGCGCGGCTAATGCGCTGCACGCTTTCGCCAACGGAGCTTGGTTGGGTCTTAAGATTGCCGCGATGATTGGCTCGACTTTGCTATGCATCATCTCGTTGATCGGTCTTATCAATGGTCTCCTCACTTGGTGGGGTCATTACCTGAGTATCAATGATCCCGAGTTGACCCTGGAGCTCATTCTCGGATACCTCTGTTACCCGATTGCGTTCCTGCTGGGTGTTTCGCGAGATGGAGATTTGCTCAAGGTGGGCCAACTAATTGGTCTGAAGCTGGTCTCGGTAGGTGTTGCACATTCCCCTGGAAACCATACAGTTCATAGCTATTTTTGCATCTACATTTGCTTACTCACTCTCACAGAACGAATTTGTCGCCTACAACGCCCTTCAAAATGTCAAAACCTACGCCGACCTCTCGGATCGCTCGCGTCTGATCGCCACCTATGCCCTCTGTGGATTTGCCAACATAGGCTCGCTGGGTAACCAGATTGGTGTCTTGTCCCAGATCTCGCCCGGTCGTAGTGGTGATGTGTCCCGGGTGGCCGTCAGTGCTATGCTCACGGGTGCGATTAGTACTTTCACCAGTGCGACAATTGCGGGTCTGCTCATCACGGATGAGAAGCAGTATTTCACCTCGGCATCGTAGTTGAACGAGGCCGTGTATATGTCATACATCACATGATAGTTGACTTTTTGTGTTAATATCCTGAGTCTCCGTCCACGGCTTCGAAGTTGAAGCCCTGCTGCCTTGATCACAATATATCCAAGGTCCTTTGCGGATGGCACCATTTACCATATCAACACTCGGGAAACCCAGCGATTATGAGAGACCTACATGACCGATGAATTACCTCGTTACATAATTCCACAGAGATAATACAACGCAAGAGATTATATCCTCGAAAGAAAAACTCAAAGCAACACGCGCCTGTACTTTAATGCGTGTCATAAAGATAAACCAGAGACAGAATACGTGCGCCCATAAACAATGAGAACCGACAACTCCAAGCCCGTTTATAATGGGCCATTATGCATGTGCATCGCGCCGCATGTCTGCCGAGACGAAGGAGACATCCGAGAGACCGCCCGATGCCAAATATAGAATCCTAAACCGTGCAAGAGGGGGAGTATCTACTCATCGTCGAGATCCCGGTGGCGGGCCAGGACGTGCTTCTTGAACTCTGCTTTGTCAGAGTCCCAGAGCTCGGCGGCTTGGGCGTTCAGAGGGCTCGCACTATCGTCTATTGTTAGTGACTGAAACTTCGCGGAAGAATAACCCTGGCAATTGGGCCAAGACCGGCTTACTTGTTGGGTTCACCCAGGAGACTTTGCAAACTCAGAAGCACGCTCTGGACATTGTACACGGCGCTCCATTTATCCTTGAGGATATCCAAGCAGATCCGGCCGGAGAAGTCGACGTTGGGGTGGTAGATGGGGGTCTTGAAGAGGACGGTTGGCGGAGAGTAGGGGTAGTTGTTAGGGAAGGCAAAGGAGAGCTTTAGCGTCAACCCTTCATAGGGAGTCTCCGTAGGGCCGGTGATGGTTGCCGTCCATGAGAGGAGGTTGCCGTCAGCGTCTGGGAAGGCAGAAATACCGGGCGAGGGCGCCATCATGAGCTGCATCAGCTCGGCTTGTAGGCTATACGGTCAAAGAGAGATAGTGAGCACATGACCCTGTTAATCCGAGTTGTCCGTGACGGGCGGGATAACGAACCGCTTGGTAACGCTTTGAGTGTCACTGCGCTGTCCAGCGCCACTCAGCTTGGTAGCTTCCAGGGTCTCGGGCACCGAGTTCTGAGTATCCTCCATCGTGTAGTCCATAGTGAAAAGAGAGGGAGAGTCTCCGTGAGAGCCTAACGGTCCGATAAAGCAGTGGTCTGGAAGGCTGCAGGTTCGCGGGCCGTCCGTGGAATGCGAGTAACTTGTTGCTGTCTGGAATGACGACGGATCCGAAACAACAGTGGACCCACCACTACCAAAAGCGACGAGAAGAGATGGAGATGAAATGGAAGATGGAACAATAGAAGAGATGGATAGCACGAGAATTATGGGATGCCAGAGGGGAAATAAGGGTGACGATGGAGCAGACAAAGAAAAGAGGAAGCGAGAAAACGCTAAGTGCCGGCTGGTTTTTTGGTTGGTTTTGTTTACTCGCCGCCCCCCGGCAACGCGAAATGGCCCCCGCTTGTGCTGCGAACTGGTATCACTGAACACTACAGAGTTGGGAGCGTTGTAAGCTCTAAAGGAGCAATAGATTGCCAGGGTTACTACCAAATTATTTCTACTTAGCATGATTTATTTTATCACATGTAAAAAGTAGTAAAGAGAATATAAATAGGTCAAAGAGACACGAGCACAGACCGAAGCGCGGAGAATAATTTAGTGCGATCGAGGGGAGGGGAACATGCGGGTCAAGGTAGACCAGCATGAACTACTGTAGTTTCGTTGATCATCAGGCATAGATTGTCGCTAATACCGAGGACTTGGAGAGCGTCTCATAGCTAAATGTACAAAATGCTCTTTCTCAAGTTTATTTCTGCCATTGTATTGTTTGTTCTCCCATGCATCATATCCGTCTGTCAACACATTTCCCAAAGGGGATAAAGTGGCCCGCGTCTCGTCCCGCGTTTTACTGCGCACTTTGGCCCTTGCGGCCTCCGCGCATCTTACTCGCCCTCCACCTTGCATCCTCAGTCGCCCATACCCATTACACGTCACTCGTTTCGCATCGCGCCATGGAATTCATCCACTCATAGCGCTTGTCATCCTAAATTTGATCCTTGACGCGCCCACGAACACTTTCTTTCCTCCGACAATGCAGCACTCCCAGTTGGCTCCGCTGCCAACTAACGTGCCTTTTCGCATCGTCTCCAAAACAATCGGCCAGGGCGCGTATGCTTGGTGAGTCATTCGTCTCGTTTCCAATGCAAAGACTCTAACACGCCATGAACTATTCTGCAGTATTAAAAAGGCCGCCCCCCTCGACGCGGACAATCCCATCTTCGCCGTCAAGTACATCCACAAAGACTACGCTGCACGCCATGGTAAGATCAGTGCCAGGCAACTCTCGCTCGAGGTAACGGTACACCGGCACGTCACTGGTCACAATAACATCATCAGTTTTTACCAAACTGGTGAAGATGATGTTTGGCGTTGGATCGCGATGGAGTTGGCCGAGGGTGGGGATCTGTTCGACAAGATCGAGGCGGACGAGGGTGTAGGAGAGGATATCGCTCACGTCTATTTCTCGCAACTGATCAGTGCCGTGAGCTTCATGCATTCAAAGGGCGTGGGTCATCGTGACATCAAGCCCGAGAACATGCTCTTGACCAGTGATGGAAATCTGAAGATTGCCGATTTTGGTCTAGCAGCGCTGTTCGAATACAAGGGGACGAGGAAGCTCTCCACCACTTTCTGTGGCAGTCCACCTTATATCGCCCCCGAGGTGATTACCTGCAGCACCCGGGGTCAGAACAAGGGATCAGGCTACCATCCAGATTTGGTCGATATTTGGTCATGCGGCATTGTCCTCTTCGTCCTTCTCGCCGGTAATACCCCATGGGACAGCCCAACGGACGATAGTTACGAATTCCACGAATATCTCACTACAAATGCACGACCCACTGATGAACTGTGGCAGAAGCTGCCCTTTGCAACTTTATCCCTGCTCCGCGGCATGTTGACGGTCGATCCCAAGTGTCGCTTCTCGTTGGAAGATGTGAGAAGACACCCCTGGTATACTCGATCGAACAAATACCTATCACGAGACGGGACAAAATTAAAGGATCCTATCAATCTTGCCACGTCAATGTTCGAGTCACTGCACATCGACTTGAGCCAAGATCCTCTATCTCAGAAACGGCCGGGGGCCAGCCGAAGTGACCCAATGGATGTGGATATGCTAAACCAGGGGATCAATCTATCCGAAGGCATGTCTTCCACCCAGCCCGAGATGGCGGGTGGTAACATGGTGATGGATTGGCACACGCCACACCTAGCGGGAGAGTACTACTCTACACAGCCCGCAGACAAGCCATTTTCATCCCAAGAACTGGAGATGTCGGCCCATCTGGAAGACGAACCTTCCATGTCACAATTCTCTCAGAAGCCTTCTGTGCCCCTGAGCCGGACTCAGAATGCCAAGGTATTCCAAGATATCATTCCACCTCGCTCACTGACGCGCTTCTATTCTGCATGGGAGCTGAAATTATTGGTCCCATTGATCTGTGAAGCTCTTCACCGACTCGGGGTACCTGTTCCGTCAGTCCCTGCTGTGACCGCTGGAGATACTTCTGCTATGATTCGGGTGATTGCCAAAGACGGTAGAATGTGTTCACTCCAAGGCAAGGTCCACATCGAGTGTGTCTCCGAGGGCCTTTTCGAAGTCGAGTTTGTCAAAATCAAGGGTGATCCCTTGGAGTGGCGTCGTTTCTTCAAGAAAGTGGCTATTCTTTGTAAGGACGCCGTTTTCAAGCCGGACGAATGAAGGTGACCCTCAAGATATGTTAGACGGTCTTCTATCGTTTATTTTCTTTCTACTCCACCTTATGTTTACTTTGGATCTACGATTTACGATGGGGCGAGCTGGCGTTTGATGATGGACTATTAGAACAACAAGTTGCTACTCCAACGTCTATATATAGCATAATCAGACACGTTTTATGGCTCTTCGATTAATTGAAATCTTTTTTTAACTCGTTTGTCGGAACAAATGTCCGGTGGAGTTGCTTCATGTAAATTGGCCCCCGGATATTCGAGAGAACCGTCACTAGTGACGCTTGGCCCTTTTTCACTCTATAGGAGGTAGTTGAATTGGAACAAAAGAGGAAACTCATCAAGACTACCGCAAGTAAACAACGATTTACTATTCTGCCCTAAGCCACGTGACAAAGTCAGCGCAGATCGCCAGTGCGAGGAAGCCTCTGGAACTTTTTCCGAGTCGCAACATTGCAAAACTCGCCCTTGGAACCCTTGATCCTTAATGCCCTCCCCCCCTACCTGCCCCCGATGCAGCTGTCATTACTGCCTCCCTCATGGACAATCGCTCAATGAGGGCGCTCAGAGTTATAGCTGGGCCGTTGAAATCGTCATCATGAAGTACATTACTATCCCTCATGCCTTCCGCACGTAGCAACGTCATTAGTTTTATTCACTATCAATTTGCCCGTAAATCTACTCAAATTCCTCAAAAGACATTGCCGAAAGGAAAAAATTGACTCTCGCCTGCCTCTCTTAGTTTGTTGACCACTCGTCTTAATACGGTTTCTGATTCCTTTCCGAGACGTACCACTTGATCTTTTTGTCGTTCCTTCCTATTTCAATATGACCGAAACGCCGATACAACAAGACAACTACCACATCGGTCTTAGTGGTAGCTTCCTCAAGGAACTGCCCCCTTCGATCAAGCGATACACTTACCAAGGAGAGTCGCAATTCCTTAAAATTCTCAGAACCGAATCCGCTCGTGTTGAAGCCTCGCCCGACGCAAGCGAATTCATCCTCTTCCGTGCAAGCAAAGAGACGATCGAGACACTTCTCCAAGACGAAGACGCTTCTCCAATCACAGATTACCTTTCTGCATTTGACAAACAAGAACAGCTCTTCTTAGTCAAATTGACGTCGTTTGCGCACGGTGTTGTGCCCCAACTCATGACCGACATGATTAGGCAGGCCTTAGAACCGATGGGCTTGTCCACCTCCCTAAAGGTCTATTCGAATGTGAAGGTCGAAGGAGCGTCCCGGGGAAAAGCGGCGGACGTTAGTTGGGGACCAAAGAGGAACCCTCGTGGAAGGCCTGGCACACCCTCTGTTACCCTCGAAGTGGCATACTCTGAGAAGGACTCCGCTTTGAACTCCGATGTACGGTTCTGGCTGGATCCCGACAATGGAAAAGCAGAGATATGCTTGACACTCCGCATTGACCGTTCACTGCCCGAAATCCGGATTGAGAAGTGGGAGATTCAAAGCGACCGCATCCATCGCACCCAAGTCATCTGGATCACCAAACGAGGCAGTCAAACACACGTTAGTGGCTATCCTCTTGTCATCGCCTTTGAAAGTCTCTTCCTTCGCCCGTCATTCTGTCCACGAGAGAAAGACCTAGCTATCTCGCAGGAACAATTAAAGGATCTAGCGGAGGCGATTTGGGAAGAGCAAATCTGGTGATCTTCCTGCTTACAGGCCACTGCAACGCTTACCACGATTCTGACAATCTCGGATCATGCAACCGCTTTTACCATCAAGCCGTCGCGGGTTCCAGCTCAGCACTACCCAAAAAAAGTTCAGCACTAGCTAACGTAGTTCCTGGCCGTGCCGTACACCCTACCGTCCCGTACACCACAAACACCATAGTAAATACTATATTTTAGATTATGACATTTCAACCCACAAAGGTTTATGTTAGTTGATCTGATACTCTACTATTAAATAGCCCAGACGAGACCTATTTAAGGGCCAAAAATAATTATAAAGGAATTTAATCTATGTATGTAGATATGCATCACCCTGTCGGCGTGTATCTTTGGTAATGTGTGTAAATAAGTACGTACTTGATTTATTGATAAAATTAGACTAATCTGTACTTTATCAGGAACTGATATACCAAGATTCAAGTAATACTATGTTGGTTTTGTTGATTTATAGCCACCTGAAATATCGTGTTTACTATGGTGGTTAGGGGTGTACGGCACGGCTGGGTGTACGGCATGACCGGGAACTACGTTAGTTAGTGACCCAAAAAGTGCTGACTAATTTTGGGTAGTGCTGAGGTACCAGACTCAGGGCTCAAAATCACATTATATTGTTCAATACAACAACCTTTTCTAAGGATTTTGTATTTGAAATTTGGTGATATCCTATATAATCATGATAATTACAGACGAGAGTAGTTTTTATAACTTATTAAGACGTAGAAAATTTTGGGTATTGCTGAGATCTGGTACCTCAGCAATACCCAGAATTCGTCAGAAAACTTTTGGGTAGTGCTGTACTTTTTTTGGGTAGTGCTGAGCTGGGTGCCCCGTCCGTCGGATACTGTAGTGGAAGCCGCGACTTTCACAGAAACGCTAAAGCGCCCTTTTTCTCTTACACTTTGTCGTTGATAGTGACACGGCACCCAGCCCAGCTAGTCCCCACTCATGGACAAGTTGCCGGTAGAAATCCTCACCAAAATCATCGAATGTAAGAGCCGCCGCAAACCCCTCCTCACATCCCGGGTGTTCCCCGCACTCCTTTGTTCGAACTACCTCCACAAAGAATCATAAGAACGCCCAGCGCTGATACTTCCCTCGATACACCAGATCTCAGTCCGCGCGAGAAGGTCAAGCTACAATTGGTCTGCAAGAATCTCTTCGACCTCGCCCGTGACGATAATCTTTGGAAATTGCACTGCTATGAGCAGTCATGGGCTGCGCTGCAAGCCACTCGTCCGGCTGGCCGGACCTCGGAAAGTTTGCTGTCGAACCCGACTGCGTCCTTGAGCACACTAGGGCAGAACTCATTGCGTGATTTAATTCAACCTCCGGCTCTGCAGTCGAAGGAAGCGCCACTGGATGAAGGACGAAGATATTCGCCGAGCGACATAGCAAGGGCGGCCGCAGATTGGGACTCTTCGGCGGAGGGAGAACATGTGGATTGGTATTCGGAATACATTGCTCGTCATGGACCCATGTCACTTTCTTGGGTGCAGCAGCCTATGCGATCAAATGGCCCTGGTCGGAGGAAACAGCCGTACGAAATCAAGGGCATGGGGTTGCTGAAAGATTGGAGTTCTGCGAGGGAGAACAAGATCGTGGCTCCTCTCGACGATGGTACAGTCTGCATCTGGGACCTCAATCACTCCCACCATTCCGACTCACATTCAACAAAGGGCAAAATACTTGGGATGAGTGATCCGGGAGCTCTCATGGCCAACCTGTCTAGATGGAGGGAGGTTTCGCCTTCCAAGTCTGCACTGGAGTTTATCAATCTTGGGGAGGGTGTCTCTGTGGACTCGTTTCGACGGAGAGCATACCTCGCTGTTGGCAATGTTTTGAATGAAGTGGATCTGGAGACACTCAAAATTGTCTCGCAACAGCGATACCCTTGGTCAATCTTTGCGCTTTCGCAAGAGACCGATTATTCGGTTCCAATAACACTCGCGACAACGCTCAGTTTGCAGATTCATGATGCACGGCTATCTGCGACAGAAGAGGAAGAAGCCATCAGCCTACGCTGCGAGAAGAACATGGCGCCCCTCGTGCCGGAGCTGGGCATATTTGCCTATCCAGACTCGCCATTACTGCAATTGCAACCAAACGGGCAGCCTCCCACTCGCATCCGAAGCCCTGACCCCACGGCCAGAGAGAATTACGCACCTCTCTTCCAGCCTGGCCCACTCTCCATCTTACACCCTCCCGCTCCCCATGTGAACTCTATCCTTCTTGCAGGTCGATTCCCTAGCATTCTCTGCTATGACCGGCGCTTTTTCCCTCGCCTGCAAAGTACCGTACATTCCGGAGGCCGGTTATGCGGTCTTGCCTCGGCTCCTGCACCTCGGTTCCCCGTCTTTTCAGACTCAACTTACCCCCAGTCTCACGCCGTAGTCGCTTGTGGCGAGTACAACGGTCGGGGCTCGTTAGAATTTTACAGTCTGAAGTCATCATCACAAGGATTCAACGACAACCCGTCAAAGATGACATCACAGCTGACACCTGAATATAAGAATCGACAAAGCGCAGCAAGTTCCAAACTGCTCTCGGTCGCATCACATGGGAATCGTCTCGTTTACTCTGACTCTGAAGGCAACATCAAATGGGTCGAGCGCAATGGCCGGTCAGAAGTCCGCCGCTGGAATATCAACACCTCCCAACCTCAAATCCCATTCTCTAGATCCAGTCTCACACCAGTACAACCAAGAGCACAGCCAGATGAAGAGCCTACTGCCCGCGGACTATGGTCGCAGCTCAATGCGGAAAACAATAGCAGTGAAGTGGCACGCAAGATTCTTCCTACTGGGGGCAACTTGACCGGTGACGAGCTGCTAGTCTGGACTGGCGAGCGCATTGGTCGTATCAAGTTCTCTACGCCCGCAGACCTTGAGGGTTTAGTAGAGGAAGAGGAGGATGAATGGTTCATGCAGGCCGAGGTTGATGAAGAAACTCGCGCTGCAATGCGACAAAAGCATCGTGATGAATGGGAGAAGGAGCAGAGGTATGAAGATATGATGCGGCGGGCACTTGAGCGGCAAGCCGATGAAGTCCGATGGATGGGAACGGATAGCATGGGCTGATAAGGTGTTCACCATGGCCCAATGCTTCCGTGTTTTGAATTATGGCATCGAGCGGTCCATTTTTTGTTCTTTCTCTTCTTTCTATAATCTTAACATTCTGTCGCGTGACTCTCTCGTTTGAGCGGCTATCTAGACTGATGGTTTCCGTTCGGAATTGAATCGGAACGTAGATCGCAACCACACTGCTGTGCGTATTGAAATGGAACTATAGTTATATAAACATGATACAATCAGACGCCTCTGTCAATGTCCGCAAAAACTCCGACTCCAGGTCTCCGGGCCATACCCCAAAAGGGTAGTATACCTAAATCCGTAGCACCATCACCGACCAGCTGACCAGAACTCCACAGAAAACGCCGAACCAAGTTCATCCTCGGCACCGGCTGACTCACCGCCCGACTCCCCGCGCGGTTCCCGGCATCACAGGCATTTCTAATGCACCGTCAGCGATTACGGGAGGCAACTTTTTCTGGAACAATCCAAATCTCTTTCTCAATTTGCGAATTCGCACATACTCATCCTCACGCTTCGTGTTATTGGAGTCTCTCAATTGCCTTCAATCCCTTCAATTTTCCTCCTTCATTCCGAGTCCCGCAATTGCGCACTGAGGGGCAAAAATAACGGCAGCTGCTTAACCACCCCTCCTTTCACTCCAAGATGCCTTCCACAACAGAGATTGCACAGCAATTCGACTCGATTGAAGATACAATTGCTGCTTTCAGTGAGTAATATTCCTCTTTCCAGGCTATGTCTATCGCTTTTAGCCTGATCTTGCGATATGCAATACTCTCCAATGACCTCCGCAACTAACGATGACTCACTTTAGAGAATGGCGAATTCATCATTGTACTGGACTCACAAGACCGTGAGAATGAAGGAGATCTTATAATAGCAGCTGAGTCTATCACCGCTGCACAGATGGCATTCCTCGTGCGCTACACAAGGTGAGTTCTCCACCCCGCTCCCGGCGTCCGGTGGAGCACACCCTTTCCCTCGGCGAGCACGCAGGACCTAGTAAGGCTTCTCTTCAAGAAATAGTATATTAATCGGACTTTTCTCGACAGTGGATTGATTTGCGCACCTATTCCCCCTCCCCTCGCAACCCGCCTCGCGCTCCCACAAATGGTCGCCGAGAACACCGACCCTAAGGGCACCGCCTACACCATCACCATCGACTCCAGCGACGACTCAGTGACGACCGGAATCTCTGCCGAAGACCGTGCGCTAACCTGCCGCACGCTCGCTTCCCCCGATGCGCAGATCGACTCTTTCCGCCGGCCCGGCCACATCATCCCGCTGCAGGCGCGTGCCGGCGGCGTGCGCGAACGTAAGGGCCACACTGAGGCTGCGGTTGATTTCTGCAGACTGGCCGGCAAGGCGCCTGTGGGTGTGATTGCGGAGCTGGTGGAGGAGGGGGAGACCGTTGAGGGTGTAGCGGAGATCCGGGGTAATAATGGAATGATGAGGCGTGATGGGTGTTTGAAGTTTGGTAAGAAGTGGGGGATTAAGGTGTGTACTATTGAGGATTTGGTGGATTATTTGGACAGGACGGAGGGTGTTAAGAATGGGCATTGAGTGATTGATGGCTCTTGATTTTGGATTTCGATTATTCAAAGGCTTTCGCTTCTTGGTCTTTGTTCTTGTTTTGCATTACTTTGGTTCGTTCTGTGTCTCTGTACATCACTGCGGCTTTGAGTACATTTCTCCAGATAAATGGACAAGATACCTTAGATATCCGAATCTCGTCGCAAAGCGTCGAATTTGTGTTGGACAATATTTTGACCTCGACGCTCAGAGTATCAAAAGTCCCGATGGGCTTGGTAGCGAGCAACAATCAAAAGGCGATGGGAGACGTAGGTAGCGACTTATCGCACCAGTTGCATATACGATTGGGACTATTGTCGCAAGGAGAACTGAGAGACGAATCTTCTTTTTCTACTCCTTTCCTCAGACTCGATATAGGGCTGAAGCTGCAAATACGATTCTAATCTCTACCGGCCGTAACAGCAATGAGCAAACCCTTATAAAGGCAAGGCTTGTATTTGTCCATCTAAGGTCATCTTCACCCTTTATCATGATTCAGAATCCCCCATGGCTCCCCGATAGGCCACCCTTTCGATCTTACATGGAAACACTCCAAAGCCAGGCAGCCTCGTTCGAAAACATTATGAGGACCTACTGCTGTTCTGTAGCATTTAGCACGGACGCTTCGTGATGGGAAATACAAATAGCGAGCCTCGAATATTGCCTCAGGATGTCCGGCAATGTAGCCCTTCGTAGTCTCACTGCGTCGTGGCTTGTAATTACGTATAAGCAAAAAATCAGCCCTATAACCTGTCGATTCGGGTCTAGATCGTGGAGTCAGATCTTATCTTGATCGGATCGATCGCCCCGGCCGGTGCATCGACAAGCCATGCGATGCCAAATCATGCAGAACAACAATCAATAACGCCGGACTATATAGCGTCTATGTACTTTCTTTTAGAGTTTTGACCTCGATCGACGCCGACTTTGGGGGCTAGGGCTAGCTGAGTCAAGGGCCCATGCGTCAATAAGGAAGAAATTCAAGTCAAAATATAACATATAGCAGAAATCCAAAACCAAGCCATTTGGTACTTTTTGAAGGCTATGGAAGTCAAATCGGATGGGTGTCAATATAAACGGAGCCCGTGCAGCTCACCTGGTAAGCCTCTTGATAGCTCAATACAACAAGAGAGAAAGAAAGACGCCGTTTCTACACATTGTCGACCGTGTTCAGTTGGTGGGTAGTTGAAGTTGGCATTTTGATCATGGTGCCGGTGCGGACCGATCCTCCCGGATCTTATAGTTGCGCGGAAAAAAGCTTTAGCGCATGTGCCTCTCGAACGTGTTCATCGGCTACAGTATGATAGGCGGATTGTACTGCACAGCGTGCTATAGGTGTTTCGTTGGAATTCCCCCTGCCGATATCTTTAGTGTCAAAAGACCATGGTAGTTATACGTTCAAATACCGTGGATGGTGCACCACACAGCCTAGTACTGGCATCACTGAAAAATCATTACTACCGCGAGGTCGAGGCAAGGAATCCTGAGGTACATTACTGATCAAAATGGCATCAAGAGTCTCGTCCATCTTGCGAAAGGAACCCACCATTGAAAAGCTGCTATCTGACACGGATGAACTTGTCTGGGCTTGGGATCAGAGCAGCTTGTCACGAGGAAACATTCTTCCTACATTTACTCAATTCCTCACACGTTTGCAACAGGATTATCGCAGCATCCGCATCTTGGATGTGCAGGGCCGCACGGGAGCTCTGCCTGAGCATGTCCTTAGAATTCTCTCTGAGGTGACGCAGACTTTGTCGAGCAATGCGTTATTGGATCTGCGTCAGCCAAAGGCTTTGAGGCACTCAAGAGGCGCCTCACTGTTTGGGGAGATATCATGAAATACAAAGTTCTTGACTTGAGTGTCGATCCTCTCGAACAAGGATTCGATCCTGAATCCTTCGATCTCATCATCATCAACGATTCTGTTCTCGGGATACCCAACCTGGAAGAGACCCTTTCTCGAGTCAACTCTCTGGTAAAACCAGGAGTTCGGCTATGCATCCTCGAGGAGATGCGGCCGGAGACGCTCCATGCTAATGTTTCATTCGGTTTCCTGCATAGCTTCAGTCGGCTAATAGACGGATAGACGAGTGCCCGAAACTCGATATATTTGCGCATAATCCTGATTGGGACAAAGCGCTCAGAAGGACTGGATTCTCGAGAATCGACTTTAAGCTTCAAGTTCTACTTTTGCCGATTTCGCAGACTTCACCTTGATGGTGTCTAGCGCAAAACATACGACACACAAGGCTTGTGTGCCTTCTTCGGAAGCACTTGTCATTCTTCAGGCCTATTCGGAGATCTCTCGCTTGCTCACCGAACAGTTGATCGATACTGGCGTGAAGCGATCAATCTGCCAGCTTGACATGCTCCGTCCCGGAGGTCTAGAAACTTACATCTCCTTGCTAGAAGCCGAGGACCCGATTCCATCGCCAAGTTGGAAGCTCTCGGTTGCACTAGCCACTTCTTCCAGTGCGATACCTCGGATAACGCTCAACTCCGCAAAGTGTTTGCATCCATCAAAGAAGATTTGCCCCCAGTCAAGGGATGCATACAACGTTGACAAGGACACTGATTAAAAGCGAGTCGGCGTTTTTGTCTATTTGGGGGATGGATGGTACTCCTCAATCTGTCGCTTTTATTTATTGCTGCCTAAACAGTATGGCCATTAGAGGAGTTGTGACCTGGCACCAAATCGATTGCATTTTGGCGCATTGGTTTATATCTCATCTTTAACTCAGCCTTCATTTGAGTTAGTCAACTAATTAGTTAGCCAGCTACTCAATCACTTACTTCGTTATCCAGTCGTTTAGTTAGTTAGTTCGCTTGTTAGTTAAATGATTAGTTATTCATATGTGATTATTTCGCGTATGCCGGCCTGGCCCCAATTTCTCGCCCAATCGGTCCCTTGAATCTAAACCTACCAGAGGGCTATATTACGAGCCCTGTGGCTATCCCAGAATGTGGAGAGGCATTACAACTCCATATCAATGCACATTGTGGTAAGGGAGTTCAAGAATCGGAATTAGGAACTATTACGCAAGCAATTAGCGAGGTGGGCAAGTTTGCTGGCTGCATATATATCTCCCGACTGCCAGACAGCAACAGACCATGTTTGCGCGTTCCTCTACTCTCTGCAGGTGGCGGTCCCCATTTTCAATCCCCAGGTGCCTAATTACGAGGACTCTGCCACCATCCTCGACCTAGTCGTGACAGAGACTGTTGGACCTCTTCCGCTACTTTCAACTGCATGAATGGTTGATCCATTCAGCCCTCATCCAGGCCAAAGCCGATGCTTGAAGGTATTTAGCACAGATGGCAACCTTCGAGTGGGCCATGATTGGAGCCTCCATTTGGAAATCACAGGTCTGGCCTCGTACTCCTTTGAGAAATATGTGCTTTGATTTATCTGGGTATCTAATTCTTGGATTCAACATAATGAAAATTTTGGCAAAGCATCCATATCGCAACTTGCGCAGAAACGACATATAACAAGGGCAACCCAAGGTCACCACCGCCCAATGGAAAGCGAATCACCGCTTAAGGTGAGAGTAGTCCCTCAGAATACCCTGCATGTGGGTGTTTGTAGTCTTGCCACTGCGCCGGGGCTTCTTGGTCTTCTTCTGCTCAACCTTGATCCGAGGTTTGATGACCTTGTTCTTGTTCGTGGGAATGATGCCTGCTTTATCCAGTGCTTCCTTGACTGCCTGAGGGTCTGGGATCTTGATTTTCTCCCAGATCTGCTTGAATTCAGGATCAAAATGCTCGATCAGCGAAGGGTCATTCGCCCAGACCATTTTGGCGTGATCGTCCTTTTTGTTCCGAGTCACAAGCAATTTCCCTTCCTTCTCCAGTTGGTTGATTGCTTCTTCGGCATTCAACCAGCCCTCACGAAGTTCACGGACACTCATACCGGCGGCCGTCTTCTGTGACTGTAGCTTTTGTAGCAGTTGCTCGGCGTTCCGAACGTTGTGAGGAGGTCGAAAGCTGAACGTCCCTTCACCACCGGCACCAGCTGGATCGTAGTCCACTTTCTCGTGCCTCTGGAGGATGCTGCGCAGGGCCTGGACGTAGGCCGGATCGTGCGCCCGATGCTGGAGCGACAGGTAGGATACAATGTCTGCAAATTTCAGAGGTACTCCCTTGGTCTTCATATGCTCGATCGCAAAAAGGACCTGGGTCATGATATCCTTGCCCGTGCCCGTGTTCGCCGGCTGGGAATAGACAATATCCGCATCATGTCGCTTCTTTTTGAAATCGACAGTCGAGGACGGAGTTGGTGCAGATGAAGGTACCTGCGAGCTGCTGCCGGAAGCCGAGATATTGTTGGCCGCCACTCGCCGCTGCTGAGGAAGCCGGTTCGCCGACTCCACAACGCTGGCATTGAAGCTCTTGAGCTGCTGTTGAAGGTAAGACATGGCGGCGACGATGGATGGAAGTTGAACAGGATTCGAGGGCACGAGTCAGATGCGTGAAAGGGACCTGGTTTGGGGTAACGAGGATGCGCAGAGGATGAGCGGTTGAGCTAAAAAAAGCTCGAAGAGTTCGGCGAATCAGACCATATGAGAAGCGGCGGTTCAAGGGAATGCCAGGCAGTCCGTTGAACAATAGAAGAGAGAGGTGGAGGAGGGAAAATGGCCCTGTCTGAATAAATCAAACCGATCCAAAGAAATCAATGTCGTCGAGGCTCTTGGCCGCGACGGGGCTCAAAGGACAGTCACGTGACTATTGTGGTGCTAACCGCCTTAGACGGAAGCAACCCAAAGCGCGCCGCAACTCTCGTCCTTTGACTCTTAGCCTCATTTCACCTCTCGAATTGTCCTTCCCCACCCCTCACTCGCTTGTCGTCTTTTCAATCTCGACGAATTTCTACCTTTTTTCGGTATCGCCATGTCCTAAGGTTCCCCCGATTGCGCTGTGTGTACTTGGTTCTGAGCAGTGCACACCGCGCGTTGGGACAAGTGAGCTTCCGATACAGCTCCAGCTTTGCGCCGCGACTCTTTCCTTTCACCCCAACGTAGCGGCAACACCGCCTCACCACTGGTGAGCCTCTTCTCATCATGGCAGACACGGCAATCGAACTACCGTATCTGTCTTCGCAATATGCCATCCCCGAATCTACCCTCTCCACCTTGACCCAAGCCCCTACCACGGAATTAGTCAACCAGCTCCTGCAATCGATCACAAAGAAGGCACACGAATTCGATGAGCTCAAATCTGACAAGCTCCGCTTGGAGGTCGAGCTTGAAAATGCCGTGCGCAGCAACGAGTCGAAAGTGAAGGTGTTGAAGACATCCGTCGAGAAGGGCCATGCCGACGTCGAGGATTTAAGAAAGAAACTTCATGAATCCGGTAATTATATGTCCTGGCTTTGATTTGAGAGTGACGTTCATCTGACAATCGACAGAAAACACCCGCTCAGCCTTGGAGTCAGAGATCTCCACCCTCAAATCGTCAACCACCTCCAATGAGACCGAGTTCAACTCTCTCAAGTCCCGAATCTCAACCCTCGAGTCTGAAAAGCGCGAAAGCCTTGCCTTTCTCGAGTCCAAGTCTGCTGCTCATGACAAGCTAGCCGAGGAGCTCTCAGCTCAGCACAAGAAGACCATCGAGTTGCGTCGTGAGCTTTCTACTGTGGAACAGAACCTCCAGGCTGCGAACTCCGCCGCTGCGAGTGCCCGGTTCCGTGAGCAGAATCTCCAACAAGAGGTGGATCTGACCAAAAAAAACAATGAGTGGTTCGAGACCGAGCTGAAGACTAAGGGCGCGGAATACACGAAGTTCCGCAAAGAAAAGAGTGCAAGGATCGCGGAGCTTCAACGCACTAACGAGGAGGCTGCCAACATCATTGACACTCTACGACGCAGCGAGAACACTTTGAAGGCTCGACTCGACGAGACGGAGCAGCGCTACGAAGAGTCATTGGCTACTATCAGCCAGCTCAAGGACAGTGCTATCCAGACCGAGGAGACATTCCGTGTTGAGCTGGAGACTGCGAGTCGTCTCGCTAAGCTGCAAGAGTCCGCTGCACAATCTGCAAAGCAACGTGCGCAGGAGTGCCAGATTGCCCTCGAAAATGCCAAGAATGAAGCCGCGGAGGAAATTTCTCGCCTTCGCGTCGAGATGGAGACCGAACATGCTGATAAGGAGGCCGCAGAGACTCGTGTTTCTGAGCTCGAGGCAACGGTCGCTCAGCTTGAATCACAGGGTCCCCGGAACCGATCCGCAAGCCCGGCTCGTTCTCTGAACGGCGCAGGACCTACTACTCCCATGCGACCAGGCACCCCCGGCGGCACTTTCTCACCACGCATGTCGCGCACAAAGGGCAATTTAACCTTCACGCAGATGTACACGGAATATGACAAAATGCGCACTCAGCTCTCCGCCGAGCAAAAGACCAATCAGGAACTCAGGTCCACACTCGACGAGATGCTCCAGGAGCTGGAGTCTACAAAACCAGAGATTGACGACCTGCGGAGTGACCACAAACGCCTCGAGGACGCAGTCATGGATTTGTCTGGTCTCTTGGAAAGTTCTGCGAAGGAGCGCGATGATGCCATCAAGGCATCAAGAAAATGGCAAGGCAAGGTTGAGGGCCTCACCCGTGAAGGCGATATTTTGCGCCAACAACTTCGGGACCTTAGTGCCGAAGTCAAAGTCCTGGTCATGGAAGTGGCTATTGCCAAACACGGCGAAGACTACGATCGCGAGGAACTCGAGAAGATTGCGCGGAAGGAAATCGAAGACTCCTCAGCAGAGCTAAACCCAACCGGCCTCTTCATAAGTCGCAACCTGGTCACGTTCAAGGACCTCCACGAAATTCAAGAGCAAAACCTCACGCTTCGGCGTATGCTGCGTGAGCTCGGCGATAAGATGGAGGGCGAGGAGGCTCGCGCCAAGGATGCCATCCGCCAACAGGAAGTTGAGGAATTGAAGGAACTGAGGATTCGTGTCCAGACTTACCGCGATGAGATTGCCAACCTGGTTGCGCAATCAAAGAGCTACGTTAAGGAGCGAGATACATTCCGGAGCTTGCTTACTCACCGGCGTCAGACTGTCGGGGGAGATACAGCTTTCTCTCAATCTGTTCCTCCAGGTTCTGCACCCCCCGGTGCTTTCGATAGCCAGCTGAAGGACAATACGGATTATGGCGATCTTCTTCGCAAGTTGCAAGCTCATTACGATACATTCCGCGAGGAGACGCTTGCAGACCACTCTTCTCTCCGCCAACAAGTCAACGAGCTCTCGAGAAAGAACAGTGAATTGATGAGCGAGATCAGCCGGTCGAATAGCCAGCTGGCCGCCGCGACGCAACGTGCAGAACTTCTCCAAAGCAACTTCGATATGCTCAAGAACGAGAGTGGTGGCCTTCAGAACCGTTATTCGAGTCTGCTAGAGAATTCTAGCAAGCAGGAACTACGAACACAACAAGCTGCCGAGGATCTTGTCGAGGCTAAGGGTCTTGTTGAGAGTCTTCAGCGAGAGAACTCTAATCTCAAGGCCGAGAAAGACTTGTGGAAGAACATCGAGAAGCGTCTTATCGATGATATTGAGAGCCTGCGCAACGAGCGTGGGCGTCTTGACTCCCTCAACGCGAACCTCCAAACGATCCTCAACGAGCGAGAACATACCGAATCCGACAGCCGTCGTCGACTCCAATCTACGGTGGAAACACTCGAGTCTGAGCTACAATCTACAAAAAGGAAGCTCAATGACGAGACCGAAAGTGCCAAGCAAGCCGCATTACGTCGAAACTACGAACAGGAGCAGAGTCAAAAGCGAATTAATGACCTGGTCACCAGCCTGGGTGCCGTTCGTGAGGAATTGGTCGCGACCAAGACTACCCGTGATCACCTTCAATCACGGGTTGATGAGCTCACTGTTGAGTTGAAGAGTGCCGAAGAGCGCCTCCACGTCATTCAGTCGCGGCCAAATGTTTCGGCTATCCCGATTGATCGCTCCGCTGCCACTGAAGAAAGCGGAGATACCAACGGTCTGAGTCGCGAACAGGAGCTTCTCATTGAAATTTCAGAGCTCAAACGTGATCTTGATCTCGCAAAGGGTGAGCTTGCTCACGCCAAAGAGCAAGTAGAAGAATATCGGGCGATCAGCCAGTCAACCGAGGAGCGGATGGAAGCGGAAGCGGACACCCATGCCCAATACCGCGAGGAAACCGACCGGTTGATCGAGGAGAAGGACAAAAAGATCCAAGACCTCGAGAGCCGGATCGAAGAGATTTCTACCGAGCTTTCTACCACCACTAGCGAGATTACGAAGCTTCGTGATGAACAGGGCGAAGCAACGCGTCATTTGGAAGACCAGAAGGCTCATTTGGAGTCGGAACTAAGTCGTCTCAAGGACGACAATGACAGACATGTCGCCGCGGCTCAGTGCCATCAGGATGACCTTAAGGCGCAGGCCGAAATCTCGCAAAATCTCCAGAGGAATTACGAGGCCGAGCTGATCAAGCACGCTGAGGCTGCCAAGAATGTCCAAGCCGTTAGGGCTGAAGCCAACCAGTTGAAGCTCGACGTGGCTGAGCTGCGTACACAGACCGAGACCTACAGAAAGGATCTGGCTCAGAAAGAAGAGAGCTGGGCGGAACAGAGAGCGCGCTATGAAGGCGAACTCGCCGAGGTACAGAAGCGCCGGGAAGAGGTGAACCATCAGAATTCTGTTCTCCACTCCCAGCTAGAGAATATCACCGCGCAGATTGCTGCCCTCCAGCGCGATCGGGCAGGCGTGCCCGAAAGCGATGAGCAAGAAGGCAACCAGGCAGCCCCAGACCTGGAGGGACTGCAAGAGGTCATTAAATACCTTCGACGTGAGAAAGAGATCGTGGAGGTCCAATACCACCTTTCAACTCAAGAAGCTAAACGGCTGCGCCAACAATTCGACTACACTCAATCCCAGCTGGACGAAACTCGACTTAAGCTTGAGCAGCAACGTCGTGCTGCTGCAGACAATGAGCACCATGCTCTGAATCACAACAAACTCATGGAAACACTCAACGAGCTCAATCTGTTCCGTGAGAGCAGTGTTACCCTTCGGAACCAGGTCAAGGACACCGAAGCGGCTCTTGCCGAAAAGTCTGCTCGTGTCGATGAGTTGACACAGCAAATTCAGCCTCTGGAGACTAAGATCCGTGAGCTGGAGGGAATCGTCGAGGCCAAAGATGGCGAGTTACAGCTGTTGCAAGCCGACCGGGATCATTACCAGAAGCGCGTGCAAAACATTCTGCAGAAATACGATCGTGTCGATCCACAGGAAATGGAGGCGTTAAATGAGAAACTGGCGACCTTGCAGAAAGAACGCGATGAGGCCATCTCTGCGCGCGACACACTTCAAGCTGAGGCCGCAGAAAAGATCCAGGCTGCGGAGCAAGCCGCAGAAACTCGCATCACCGAGCTTCGTCAAAAACTCACTGAACAGTTCAAGGCCCGATCCAGGGAGCTGTCCATGAAAATCAATGCCCACAAACAAGAGAAGGATGTCCTGCAAGCTGAGCTGGATCGCACAAAGGCTGAGCTTGAAGCGGTCAAGGCCAAGGTCCCTGAAACGCCTCCTACAACAACGACGACATCAGCTGCCCCTGCTGCCGATGAGGCTGCTCCAGTGAACGCGACGCCTGCGTCCCAGTTCCCCACGGGTACGACCACCTTGGTATCATCCGGCGACGAGCAGAAGATCAAGGAGTTGGAAGCCAAGATTGAGCGCCTGGAGACTGCTCTTGCCGAGAAGGACGCTCTTATCGCTACCAAAGATGCGGAGATGGACGCAAGAGTCAAGGAGCGCGCCGACAAGCTCAAGGACTCCTTTAACAGCAAACTGGGTGAGATCAAGGCAAGCCACCGCCAGGAACTCGAAAAGCTTTCTTCCGGGGGGGCTCCTGTCCCTGCCACCCCCGTTGCAGGCGCCGAACAGACACCCGCCACACCGTCCAAGTCTCTTCCTGGTGTACCTGACCTTACTGAGCAACAAGCCCGTGATCTTGTTCAGAAGCACGAGACCATCCGTAACATTATAAGGAGCAATATCCGCACCAAGGTTACTCAGGCCGAGGAGAAGGCCAAGGAGGAAGCCCAACAGGCTTCAAAGGCACATGAAGAGGCCGTGGCCGCGTTGAAGAAAGCCCAAGAGGAGGAAACTACCGAAAAGGTCAAGGCTGCTGTGCAGCTGTCCGACAAGAAGACAGCCGCCCGGATTAGCATGCTGGATACTCGCCTCAAAACATCCCAGGCGAAAATTGACGTCGTTTCCAAGGCTGCCGAGGAAACCCCGCAAAGGCCGGTGGTTGAAGTTTGGGAGATCGCAAAGACGGCGAGACCCCCAGCTCCGACCCCTAAACCCCCGATGGGTGCATCTCCAGTGCCCGTTGCGTCTCCTGTGCAGGCGAGCCCTGTAACTCCTGCTGCGTCCGCTCCTGGCCCAGCCCCTGCTGCCCAGCAAGCTGCCGTACCCGTACCTGTGCCCGAGGCTTCTGCGCCACGACAGAATGAGCCCGGAGAAAAGAATGCTGAGGCTGCTTCGACAACTCCAAACCCATTCGGCCAAGTGCAGCCGAGTCCTCAACAGCAGCAGCAACAGCAGCCGCAGTCGCAGTCGCAGTCGCAGTCGCAGTCGCAACCTCCTTCACTACCCTCGAAACCTCCATCAGGCACTGCCCCCGGCATGCTGCGCGCCCTACAGTCTGGCCTCCCCGTTGCTCGTGGAGGTCGCGGTGGCCGCGGTGGCGGCCAACAGAATCCTTTCGGTCACCCTCAACCGCAACAGGCTGACCAACAAGCCCAAGGACAAACGCAGAGCCAACGCGGTACGGGTGTTTCTCGTGGCCGAGGTGGTCGTGGCGGCCAAGGTCGCGGAGGAAACCAAACCGCCGGCAGTGCTCAACCCCAAAACCAAAACCAAGGCCCGGCTAGCCCCGCGGCCAATCGTGGTGCGCTCAATGTCCAGGCACGCCAGTTCATTCCACAGGGAAACAAGCGGTCACGCGAGGATGGATCTGATACAACCAATGAAGGCGCAAGTGGTGGAAAGCGCATGAGGGGAGGCGGCGGACAAGCTCGCGGCGGCGGTTCCTCCTAGGGTGTTTCTCTTTTCTATATTTTTCTATTGATGTATTTCTTACTTTTGAGAAGAGGCATATCGGGTGCCTCGCATGCTTTGTTTTTGCCTTTCGGGGCCGTCATGTTCCAAGCTGCTGCGCATATCTTTCCTTTTCTTTCTGTATCTAGATGCTCAATCTATGGTGGAGTTCTGGAGGTTCAATCTTTCACATTGTACAAGATCTAGATTTCGTAGCTGGACGTCGTTTTAGGACCAATATGTGTCTTCAGAAAGATGCCACTAGGATACTCTATGCCATTGTCGACAAGGCGGGAGCTTTCAAAGAATATCACAGGACTTACTGAGTTTTGAAAAGGTTGAAATCTGAAAAGGTTCATCATCATCATCGACTAGACGAGGGTATACGCAAAACAAAATTCCTGGAACGAAAACAACACAACGCCACGAAGCTGGGGAACCCATCGCATCTATATTGACTGACCTCAACGCAGCCCTATTTCTTTTTCCCAGCTCCAGCAGGCACAATCATCCTCCCCAACACCTCTCTCTCCTTCTGAAGAACCATCAACCTTGCATCCTCAATGATCTTCCCTTCCGGAGCTGGCGGCGGGACGGGCAATTGCGCAACCTGAGCCGCAACCACAACCGCCGGCGCGGGCTCCCTCCCCAAACGCGCTCGTTTCCGTCGTTGTCCCACTCCAGAGCCCCATACGACCGTCCACTCAGGAACAGACCCGTTGACAGGGACCTGGCAACCGGAGCAAACCTTGGAGTGTGCGCCCACGTCTGCGTATCGGTTTATCGTGACGAGGGTCTCGATTGTAGCGGAGGAATGGATATTTGCACCAGGAAGCACCGTGGAGTGAGGGCCGATGGTTACAAAGTATGAGATGCGGGTAGCGTTATCTTGTCCCGGGCCTTGTCCTTGTATTTGCGGCGCAGAGAATGTGACGTCCGTAGATGAAGATGTGGGAGACGGGCCCGTCGAAGAAGACGGTGACGGCCTCGTCGATGCTGATGTACCCGGTGCGGCTCCAATGATTGCCTTCTCGCTGATTATACATCCATCGCCGACGGAGATTGGGCCCTCGAAGGCGTAGAACCGCGCGCGGGGGTGGATGACCGTCCCCGCGCCGATGGTTACGGGGTATGTTCCCTGGAAGATGGCGGTGTCTGCGATGGTGGCCGAGGGATCGGCTTTGAGGGGAGCCTTTGGTGGACCGGTTGGGGTGTGTGAGGATGAGGATGAGCGATGCTGCGCTGGAGGGGGCTTAAGGGTTGCCATTGGGGAGGTTTGTTTTGAGAAGAAAGATGTTTTGGTGTTCAAATGCGCTGGGAGGGGGGGGGATTTGGGTCGGCGATTGCGGAGTTTGGGCGGGTCCGTGCAGCTTCCGCGGGTCAGAGTCCAACTTGCTCTTTGAAAGACGAAGTGTATACAAGCAAAAAGAGTGAGTCATGTGAGTCGTGATTCGGATTATTCAAGAATCTTTATTGTTCAGCAACGCATGATTTCCCCCGGGTATCTAATGGTTACCATCTTATATACTGAACGCCTATAGTCCAAGCCCAAGCATCCCCTTCATAGCGACATATCGTGTAAAACTGTACAAAGCAAGACCGTAGCAAGCTCAAGCATCATCCACTACTGACCTCTGCTTGATCCCATTGCGCTTCCTCCACGCCCAAACACCTTTATCGACCTCATCCCGGGTCATACCATCCCGTACAAGATAGAATGTCACCCCCAATTCGGTCTCAACATTGCGATTCCGCGCCTCATCATCAAAGAACAGCATATCCTCGTATGCGACTCCACTAGATTGATGGATACGCGAGAAATGCTGCGTCTTGTTCTCTGGGAAAATTTGGATGAAGTCGAAATAATCCAAAGCGCGGATCGATTTGGCATTGTTGGCTGCGGGGTTGTCTGAGAAGGTAGGGATGATGTGGAGGGCTTTGAGCACATCGCGAGCCAAGTCGGGCGCATGCGTACGCGAGGCGAGAGCCAAAGGAATCGATCGGCTCTTGCAGGCGTATATGATAGATGAGACGGCCGGATAGAAGGCAAATGATTCACCCCATCTGCAAGAAAGCGTTAGATGTTAGAGAGAGAAGAAGACTGGACTTAGGCACGATAGTATAGGCATACCGGTCAACAACGCGTGAGTTATTATCGCGGGCCTTGACGGGCGCACTGACGTGTGTGTCAACCCAGAAGGGCCACAGGGTATAGTCCAGATCGAATGCGATCAATTTGGGAAGTGGAAGCCCGTCGGTGAAGGTTGCGGGGGCCACGGAGGCATCCTCGAGGGGTTGGGTGTTTTGGCGTTTGGCGCGTACCATACCGAGGAAAGAGAAAGTGAAAAGTGAAGATATATACAAAAGGAAGCGAGATATACAATGTGTAAGTAGCGATTGAATGGAAATGCGACTGAAGCTCAAGAATAAAGAGATCGTCAAGACGCTGGAAGTCACGGCGAGAACCCCAGAAATCAGGGCACGTGCCCGTGGATCCACTTTCCTCAACTTATACATGAGAAGTCTAGAATGCCAGAAATTACGCATCAGGTTTGACATTAAACAAGGCAAGCGGAATTAACAGAAGAGCTAATTGAGTGTCTAGTGGGCACCCAGATTAAGATTCATTTTCATCCATGTTGAAGATATTGCCAGACCCAAAGTGCAAAATAATCAGGGTCACGGCCACGATTCAAGGGAGTGCGTGGGTGAGCAATACTTGGTGCATTATATCCAGAAACCTCATAGATTATTGCAATAGCAAGGGCAAGTAAAAGACTCATAGCGACAGAATCTACAGCCGGGTTGTTTTCAAGTATTCCGGGCGGAAGGAGTAGACCAAAGAATAGCAAATAAATCACAGAGGTAACCAGCAGAGCCATTGTTCAAAGGTGACTCGACAGATGGAGCGATGCAAGTCCGGCTGCAATTCTAAACGTGCAGCTAAAGGTTGTGGGAGGAATACGATCGCAGGTTATGCTGATAGCTGTGAAATCTCTACGATATATAGTCTTGAGGGCGATCGAACTAGGTGATCAAGATTATGAAAGCAGGGGACTTGACTCTGGCGATGTCTTGGTAGCATTATCATTATCAAAGGGTTAGTATAAGGTTGTCGCCTACGATAAGGAAATTCAGATCTTGACTGGCGAAGCTTAAAGAGCTTCAAAACAGCCAATATTTCAATGTAGCTTTCCATGGGGACCTTTAGCTAAGTTGGAACCGTTGGAACCAAGGTATTGAAAGGAGTTCCTCGGGAAGGAACATGGATCAAGACAAACTTAAAGAGAATCTTGTCCACTCTGACAGAATACCTTGACCACAGAAAAGGGTAGTATGAGGCCCTCACAAGTTCCTTTGTGATTGAATGCTTGCATTGTTAAACTCGCTAGTCGATACCAACAACATTATTGCGTTGAACTGAACGTCAGACTATATACTCTGATGTTGTGGCATTCAACAGAGAGACCATAGCCTACAACAAAGGAACATAGTTTGACCGAGATAGGATGGAAGGCCTGCAATAGACTGGTACACTGAAACTGGGCCTAAAAGGTAATGGGAAAAATTTGTGGACTCAAAGGCTAGGCAAGACGTTTCGTACTTTTCATCTACCTTCAAGACGCGGATTGCATTTTCGACCTGGTCATGAATTTCCTTGAGATCTTAACTTGTCGCATTATACAGAAGGCAGCTTCATTGAAATAGCCTCAGAAGTCAACCCGTTCCAAGTGTAGTAGTTTGAGTATTGGATGAGATGTATTTCTCCAGTTCGTGAGGCAGTGGAGGCGAGGCATTCTTGTAGATTCCCCGCAGCACGAGGGCTAGGTTTGCCGGTGGCGGAACACGTACCACACCTCTGTAAAACTTAAAAGCCACCATCTTACAATCGTACCTTACCATTCCAGGAAAGTCTTTGGGAATCTTTCCCTTGAGAATCTCCCTTGGTAATATGTGCAAAGATATGAGGATGCAGTTTCTATCAGCCCGCTAGATTAAGCAAGATCATACTGTCTGCTCCTAGCTACCTCGAATCGGCCCGATGACGGGTGTAATTTGTATGTTCTCTAGTTTTCATCGGCATTTAAAACCCCAAATAGCTAGCTGAACTCACGTGGGTTCAAAAGCTGTCAAAGCCACCTTTTTCAGCCTGGCCAGCTCGGGGCGCCTAGTCTGAGGTTACACGAGCACTGATATTCCCATCTGAGCAGTCCATCAATTCAATCGAAACCAGCGTAGGAAGGCATTGCTTTTAACAAAGATCTAAATATTAGTGCCATGGTGTACACTATAGGGGAAGGAAAAAATCCATTCCTAGATGGTGAATCTGGTGAACTCGCGGCTGGGTATTGTCGAAATCATGGTCAAAAAAGCATCTCAGATGATGGATCAAATACGAGTTCAGCCCACATGTCTGCACTTCAGCAGTGGCATTGGCTGCTTACCGCATCTAGGTAGGCGTGGGCTAGCCCATCATTTCATCGCAGTGACAACAAACCTATATATTCTCCCCCAGAATCGACATATAGATTCCGTCTGCTTCAGCGATATCATCCTAAACTACCTAAAGGTAACCAAGCCAGTCTGTACTCGAACATAATGTCTCCTCAACCATCTTTGAAAACAGTTAAAGATCTCCCGACCCTGCCTTGCGGGAATGTGGATGATTCGCCTTCTCCCTCGAACGGAGACTATACTTTCAAGGCGGACCCCCGGGAAGATGCCAATAAACCTCTAGTTTCGGGCGAATCCGACGCTATTGAGAATCGAATTTGGTTTAAGACCAACGTGAGTGCTAATAGCAAACACCAAAGGCTCTATGTTCCTTGCTGAGAGTGAATAGGCACTTAATGCCGCAACTATCAAAAGTTTCCAGAGAATCCAGTTATTTGCAGAAACGCATGACCAGGGGCGCGTGGATGATACCTCCTTGGGAAATTGGACCTGGCTGGAGTTGGCAATCTTTGAAGATGAATCTTCGGACAAGCCTCGAGTGAAAGACAGCGTTGAGCTCGTCTGGTTGAGTCACAAGAACCGGTTCCTTACCGATGAGTACGGCTGGGTATGTCATTCCTTTCTTGGGAAGAAACAACCGTGGAATATATACTGACCAAGAGCGAAACCTTTAGTTGGCGGGTCAAATTTTCGATCGCAGCCATAACCTGCTAAGACTACTGGAGGTGAGACAACCTACCTAACTAGTCGTTCGGACTTCCACTAACAGAAGTAGCCTGGCAACGTCTTGGCTGTCCGAGCATGTGCTCGCTTCCAGGGGTGGGAGCTCTACGGCAGAGACGCATATCTCATATTCGATGTTGGCGATGAGAATGGTAAGTTACATAGCCGACTTAACTGTATAGCTGATTCTAGTTCCTGACATGGATTAGATCTTGACCCGCCGCCACCGTATTCCAATGTCCTTCAGCAATTGATGAGCGTGCAGCAAACACTCGATGAAGTCAATGATCTCAAACTCAAGATTAGCGATAAGAAGATCGACAGGCAGAATGATGCTTTCAAGCCCCAGATTCCTCTAGACCTGAATCGTGCAGATGCCTATGCTGGAAGAGATGAACGTCCACTACGGGTTTTATCACTTGGTAAGTTTAGTCTTCCAAATTCTTCGAGCATTCTCCTTTCTAGAGGCAATTTCTAACCAGAATTTTCACGCAAGATGGCGGCGGTGTTCGTGGCATTGCGAGCCTTCTGATACTTCAAGCCGTTCTTGACAAGGTAGCTCCCGGCAAGAAACCTTGCGAGATCTTTGATATGATCGGTGGTACCAGTACTGGAGGGTAAGCAGCACGATATTCAACTCTTTCTATGCTCTGTTTTTATTTCTCCCTGTGAGTCTCAACTTACCAACGCCTGCTATAGCTTGATCGCCATCATGCTCGGTCGTCTCCAAATGACAGTCGCCGAGTGCATTGCTCAGTATGATGATGTGATGAAAGAAGTCTTCCCTGAGACCGGCGACATAAAGAAGGCCTTCAACCTTGCAACTCATGGCGAATTCTACGACTCTTCCAACCTGGAGATTATCATCAAGAGACTCATCAAGGACAAGCTTGGCAATTCCGACGTTGACCTGCTTGACGAGAAAGGGCCTTGCAAAATGTATGTATCCCTCGAGCTTGCTTCTCACATTCTTCATGTGCTAAATCTTCGGAAACATGAATAGCTTCCTAATGGCTACCAACTCTCAAGCAGCGAACAACCGTGCCCCCGTTTTCTTGCGCTCGTACAAAAATCCAAATAACTTGGAGAACAGTGCTTTAGTCAATATGAAGCTGTGGCAAGCAGCTCGCGCCACCTCTGCGGCCCCGGCATATTTCAAGCCTCTGCAGGTTAATGGATATACCCTGGTCGATGGCGGATTGGGTGCAAATAATCCATTGGGATGGTATGTGATAAAATCTCCCAGACTCCATAAAACTTGAAAGAGCTAATCACTCGTACTCAAGGCTTTGGACCGAAGTGCTGGGCGTGTTTGGCCCTACCCGGGCAACCGACTGCTTCCTCAGCATCGGCACTGGGATGGCCGCCAACTCCCCAGTAATCCAGCCAGGAATCATCCCCAGTCACGCAGTGGAGGGAAGCTTTGCCTCTGCAGCAACCAACAGCGAGCTCATCAATATCATGTTCCGGACTTTGCTGGATGCATTCGCTCCTGTCGTACGCGAGCACAAATACTGGCGGATGAATGTGTACAAGGATGTCCTAGCCGAAAACAAGGTTGTCGAAGGGGGCTGGCTGAACTGGAAGAAGGACGTCGTTGCACTCAATAATTATGAAGACCCTGGGGCGCTTGACGATGTCAAGTCGGCCTTAGGCAAGTTGACTGACTGGACGAAGCAGTATATCGTTCAGGAGCAGACAATGATCACGGACTGTGCGGCTGCTATTGGAAGGAATCTTGGCAAGCAGGTGTGAAGAGTATTTACAGTGTACCGTACTAGCTGAGCAAAGCTATTTTCCAAGGCTATGAAATTCATAATTTTCCCTCCTGCCAACAATCCTTGTACAGCTATCCTCTTCCGGATCTCTATTCGGCTGCTCTGAACATATTTGTCGTTCACGTACACTCTCTCAATTTTCCAGCTATATGCCTCTTCTTTGACCTGCGTCTCCCTTGAATAGATATGATAGATCTTCGTGGAGAAAAAGATGGTTATTGTGTAGAATTACAACTTTAAAGAATATTCTCCAGAACAGAGTTGAGAAATGCTGACATTAACTCTGAAGCACCACAGGTCAAATATCACATAAGCGCATTCCGTACCTTTCCCAACGGGATCATCAATCCATACCTGCCCATGATGCATACAGAGTGTGTATTCATGTTCCTAAAGAACGAAGACATCCGTTTAAAATAAACATATAAGCTGTCAGTCCCCTCAGTAAATAAGCATAGTGGCATCTCGATTGAGGAGTGCCTCAGACAATTTTTGTCTAATAATGGTTGATAACGTCCTTGAACTCCTCCAACAATAGTCGATCGACATCGTCCCAGCCAGATGAACTGTTGGTCGGTGTTCGATGTGCGTGGACTTTTGACGTAAGATCAACAGCGGAAATTGGATCCAGGTGGGTGAGAGTATGTCTGATATTGAGTGCAGGGAGCAGGCGTTTTGGAGATGGCGATCTTGCGGCTCGTTCAAAAAATCGTGCTTCGGAAGTTCGGCAAAAACTGCTCGACTTGCGGGTTGGAGGGTTGATGATGATGCTACTTGAATCTGGGAGAGTTGCAGTCGCGACAGAGCTTCTGATTCCTTCGGGATGGGTTAAGATGTCTTGTGCCGTTTCAGGAGTGGATTCATCTGAGATTTCAATGATGTCTCGAGTGTTGGGGATTTGGAGAGGCTGGAGCTCGTCTGGTTGATCCTGTGCCAGCGTCTGCTCGACTTTAGCACTTGGACCATCAAGGACGCTGTCTTTTTCCTGATGAGTCTCGGGATCTGCTGGACCTATACATGATCCGGATCCTTGCATGATATAAGAGAGAGGCGGCAAGTCGTCGAAGCCATCGTCATCAAAATCACTGGAGACCACCACAGGCTGCTCAATTGATTTCTCTCCTTTGGTGGTCGAAGCAGATCGACTGATTATGCTCTTGCTTCCATTTTGGCCTTGACTGGAGGCTGGTTTTTTGAGAGGCAATTTCGGCAATCTTGACTGTGAGGAACGCTCCTCTTTTCTCGCAGCAGTCATATTGGTAAGCTCTTTCGCTGGCTGCTTTCCTTTCCTGACATCTGCCGACTTGTCCTGTTTGGTAAATGTAGGTGAGAGTGTTGTTTGATTGAGGTTTCCAGCTTTGTGGTTTGAAGTGGCTCGTTTTCTGGGTTTGCGTGGCTTGCGTGGCTTTTCCAAGCCCTCCCGACAACACAAATGCTTGCAACTAAACCCGTGAGCAACCATCCCAGACAATGTCAATAGGAGTTCCGTACCTTGTTTTGTCTCTGCATTTGTGAATACAAGCCCAGTTTCCATTCGCTAGGCGGACGGGCTCAGGCTCATCATCATCATCAGCATCATCATCTTGCTGTTCCATGTCCGCCGTCCAATCCCTGCGGTATTTCTGCGGCTGTTCTGGTGCACCCTGAGAGGAGGAACTGTCGTCAATCAAGAACCAGTTATTGTCATCAGTTTGACTTTTTGAAGACTCGCCCGGCTGCTTGAGCTTGCTTGAGCTAACCCCAGTGACGAGGAAATCCTCCGCTTGCAGGTCGTCACCATCGAATGCATCTGGGGCTGCATGGGGTCGAGGTGGACATTTGGGTATCTCCCAAATATTGTCACGCATTCCAGTCAAAGTGGGACAGCGCGTGGCTTCGGACTGGGCTCCTTGAGATGAGGACTTTGAAAATAGATGCGGTAGCAGGTCAGGCTTGATCTCAGCTCGCCTGGAAGTGCCAGCTAAGGAATGTTAGCGAAACTCGTCAGCACCGGACTTCCGAACTCACCAATATCATCACACATAACATTGCAGACAATGTATTGATCAATGTCTTTCATGTCTGCAACAAGTGTGACATTGAAGCCGTCTTGAAGCTTGCTAGCACTGATAAATGTCAGCATGTTGATCACCGACACACCGTAGGAACATCCTGTAGGGCACTCACCCGACCCGACGAAAATCAATCAACCGACCATCTGATGTTTCCGTCAAGCAGCAAACATAAACCGACTTCCGTTGGAAGAAGGCGGGGATCTTGTCATTCATGAAAGCAACGTCAATCTTAAATCGAACTTGGACATTGCCCTTTTTCGCCTCCTGGAAGTCGAAGTCAGTCAGAAGTACTCCGGACAAGCGATCAACAGGAGACTCTCACAGTAGGCACGACTTTCATGGTCACTCTCAACTTCGGAAACTCCTTCAATCTCGCCAACAGTTTCGTTCCAAAAGGCGGGTTCTTGCTCAAAATCATTTCAATCCGCGGTGCTTCGGTAGCTTCAAGTTCCTCGATATCCGTGATCCCAGCGGCAGCCAATTTCCTAACTGCCACGACACCGATTTGTTCAATCTGCTTCATTTGTAGCGGAGAATGGTCCCAGACTTTGGCACCGAAGCTACGTGCCAACTCAAGTGCACTTCGAGCGGCGACCGAGTCCTCACGGGCAATCAAGCAGTCAATCATGCAGCGAATGAGTCGGTTCACGTGGGCGAAAACGAGAAGTTTGTCTTGCTGGAACTGGAACTTATGCTTCTGCAGTTGGTCGCTGGCGGGGAAGTCGAGTGCACCAAGTTCCGATTGGAGAAGTAAAGATACCTTGTGGGATGGCAGGGCCAGATCAACTTTGATCGGATAGCGGATGCCCGGATCCTTGTTGATTTCCCGATAAAGTGGCTTTTCACCGGCTTTGAGACGGATTTCGTGGAACTCTTCGGCTTGGATTATGACATCAAGCTATTTCTGTTAGATCAGCCCGGAAAATTGGGATAAGGTAAGATGTACTAACAATCTGAGGTAGATCCGCCTGTGCCTTGAGAGAAAGCAACTTCTTCATGGTATTGAAGCGGATGTAACACCGAGCCATGGCATCGCCAAACGGAGTTGAACAAAGCTTTTCCTTTTCGACAAGACCACACTCCTGGAGAAGCTTGATGTCCTTTTCACAAATTTGACGAAGCAATTCATCTTCTTCCTCTTGGCTAGCCCCCTCCTTGAGCTTGTAGTAGGTGGGATTCCGACGGAGCCGCACAAAGAGAAACGTACCCGCGAGCCACTTGGTCGCTGATTGAACATCTGTCACGTTCCCCAAACCAATCTCCGCGTTCAGGTGCTCAATGAGATTCAAATGCAGGCAGCTCTCCAGACTCTCAGAGCCAGAGATCAGTCGCTCATAGTGGGCAACTCGCTCCTTTCGAGTAAGTATGACTGCTGTTGCGCTGTCGTCGAATTGAGGCCGTCCTGCTCGACCTAGCATTTGCATCATCTCCAGGTCAGAGTATTCCTTGCATCCACCATCTTGCCAGCCAACAGTGTTCTTGATAATCACGAGCTGGCAGGGTAGATTGACACCGACGGCGAGAGTCGATGTGCAACAAATGACATTGATTTGTCCTTCCAGGTAGCCTTTCTCAACCATGTGTCTATCGGCAGCACTGAGGCCGGCATGGTGGAATGCGACTCCGGCGGTGATCGTTGCTATAAATAGTCAGTATAACTACTCCAATCCCAATATGGGTACAAGCTGACTTCTCAGGTCATCATTGCTCGCTTCAATGCGTTTCCCTGGGGCCTTCCACAGTCGAGCTGGTGGATTGGTCAAAGTCCAGAGCTTTGCGAGCTCTTTAGCCGTTGCGACGGATGAGTTCCTGGTACAGCAGAAGATCATAATAGGCTTGTGACAGGAGTGCTTGGTGATGACTTCGGGCAGTCTGCAAAAGTCATTGTCAGCTTGACAAACAGTTCACGAAAAACCTGAGACTCGAAAAAACCTGAGACTCGACTTACTTGGTTCCGCAGGCTTTGTCAAAGGCAAAGTCATTCCCAGGCGAATGATACCCATACACAAACTTCTGCAACTTAACAGGCCGAAAATCCTCCCCGAAATGCTCACGATGCGCAGGAACATGCTGGTTAGTCGCATCTTTACCGAGCCAGGTAGCGATATCCTCTGAGTTCGGAACAGTCGCACTCAAAGCCACAAAGCGCACATTCGATCCGATATTCTTCATACGCGATACAACCGCTTCAAGCGTAGCTCCACGGGTTTCCTTGAGAATGTGGACCTCATCGATGAGAAACAACTTCACAAGTTGCATAAGCCTCATATGATCCTTCCACTTCCGCGTCATACTGTCCCATTTCTCAGGTGTCGTGATGATAATCTGGCTACTCTGGATACCACGCAGCTGAGTATGATCCGTATCACCCGTCAATTCGGCACATCTCAAATCCAGTGCTGCAAACTTGTTATTCCAGTCACGAAATCGCTCAGAACAGAGGGACTTGGTTGGGGCTTGGTAGATCACTTTGAAGCGCTCATCTTTCAGGACGTTTAGAAGTCTGCAGATTGCGAGCTCCATGACGACGGTCTTTCCACTTCCCGTCGGTGCTGCGAGGGCTATGTTGTCGTTTGTGTTGTAGACAGGGTGGAAGCATTTGGATTGGATTGCATTGAACAATGGGAACGGATACATGGAGCGATATTTCTCTGGTAGTTCGTTCACCGAGACCAAGACAATGCCTCGCACTGATATGGGGAGGTGGCCAAATGGTGGGCATCCTTGTTTCCGCTGGCCGCTTGCTGGTGTAGGAATATTTGGATGATGAGTAAACGGCTGCCGTGGTGAGTGTGGAACTGATCCATCCTGGTATGCGTCGGGTCCGGGTTCCAATTGCCCTTGACTCCACCATAAGGGTTCCTTCCTCTGATGCATCATCGCCATCAAGGGACTCGAGGGTGGAGCGGAAATTGGACCCGTCTGACTGGATCCTAGTTCATGAAGAGGTGTTGGGCGAGGAAAGGCTGGATGTAATTGTCAGATTCGCAGTGCTCGTATATTTAGGCAGGCTTACTATCGATTGGACACTTACAGTCAAAGAATCGGGACTTCTGTGGCAGCACATCCTGATGTTTCAGACCAGGTAGTATATCCTGTTCAGGTGAAGGATGGAAAAATGCAGAATTTGACGATTGAATTGCGCACATGTTCTTTTGCTGTGCGAGCAGCTCAAGATCTAAAGACGTGTTAGCCACTGACCAAACCGCGAATCGCAATTGATTACCAAAGGCATCCAAATGGACATCCTCCTCATGTCCTGACAAGGTACTTGTAGGAATTGATGATGGTCCTTGTTGGACCAAGTCGGGATATCCAGGCCATTGTGCGCCTTCGACCGATCTCTGGTTAATGAACCCCGGTCTACTGGCTTGGTGAGAGCTAGCGGACCCGGGGTCAATTCGTCGCCTTTTGGGCGAGGGCTGAAGGTGTTTGGAATGAAGGAAGGGATTATGCTTCATGATGAGATGATGGAATTCGACTCAAGTAATGAGCGTGAGGGGGATGTGTGTGATGAGATGAAAAGAAAAGAGATAGCTAGAGCCGGACGACGGACACGTGGATAGTCCCGTGCCAGCAGCATCAAACAATCACTAAAACTAGAGTCGAGGGCTATATGGTAAATTTTCATTGCTTCGTATATATGCATACATGACCGAAAGTCTCATCGACTTATCAACGTTATACAACACGCTCACACGCATATCAATCAGAACCCACAGCCCGCCAGGTCGAATGCTAAAAGAGCCACATCCAAATGTCATTGTAGATAACGGTCTTACCGTATCCGTCAGGTACCCAAAAGTCATATCTCCATAATCACATCAAATAGACAGTAAGCCGGGAAGTCAGGTCAAGCTTGTTCTGTTGAACTACTATTCCTTTTCGAAGTAGTGGGCTCCACTGGTATTCCGGCTGGAGCTCACCCGTGTGTGACCCGGGTTCGGCGATGTCGGGCGAGAAGATGACATGCCATCGGATAAGAAAGGGGTGGTCGGCAACTTGATGGAAATCTCGTCGGGAGGGCCTCCCCCGGGGGATCCAACATCGTTACCAGAGTCCTTCTCAAAGTTGTCGATGCGAATTGGAGGTGGCCGCATTCCACCCACCTTGGCTGCAGCAGGACTGAAAGCTGGATTGCCGTAGTAGTGAGTGGCCACCAGGACTGCAGCAGCGCCCAAGAAGAACTATGCATTACTTATCAGTATATGTCCGTTATTTCAATCGAATCGTGACGAGTAAACATACGCTGGCGGTCAACTCAAAGTCAAAGAGCCAAATGCTTCCGATGATGCTGAGAATGAGACTAGCGGTTGTAGCCAGGCACCGGGGATCCCGTTGCGTATGGCTGAGAGAAAAGGTGGAAATGATACCCCCCAAAGCCTGAATCACAATTGTGGCCCAGACTGTCCAGTTATAACCCTGGAAGAAGCCATCAGTGGCAATCCGCTCGCCATCCCGGAATACAACACCAATGAAGAGCGCCGGGAATACGGAGTAAATAGCCAACTGCACATTGCGCACCCACAAGGAGACGTGGTTCGAACTGTCCTTGAGCACCTTCTCAAAATAAACGCCTCCGATACCCGAGGCAATCGCAGCGCCAACGACTGCAAGCAAACCCACGGTGTGGTTCAGCCGTGGCTCGGCTGTGAGAATATCTTCCTCGATACCCTCATAGGTAGCAGATCGCTTCAGCATTTTAGCAGCCGCACCACTGCCCTTCACGGCCTTCCATTCTTCCAAAGATCGGGGAAAGTGAAGGCGCGAGGCCTCATTGTGGAACGACGTCTGCTCGGCAGTAGCATCGGGGAACTGAATCAAGGCCACGCCAAGCAACAGAAGCAATAGCAAACCCCACTTTCGAGGGGCAATACTCCGCCGAAGTGCCATCAGTCCGAAAATCGCTGTAGTCACAAACTGCAATTGGAATGTAACCTGGAAAGTCGCCGCGCGCATGTTGGACAGCGCAATGTATTGGAGAGAGTTTGAGACGACGCCGAGACCCGCAGGGATGGCCAGTTTCCAGCTATCGCCCGAGAGCACGGCGCTTGAGAGGGAGAAGAAGAGGGACGTGGCAGGCATAGAGGGGGGTGCGTTTTTCGAGACATCGTAAAGGGCCATTGTCAAGGCGATCGCTAGTTTAACGACTTCGCTCAGGAAAACGGCAGTGGAGGTAAGGTATCGTTTGCCACCCGCGGGCGGCATGATTCGAGAATAGTGAGATAGCTAGATGCGGAAGGACATTGAACCATTAGTCCTCGGTACTCAGCAGGAGCAGTACAATTCGCAAAGCGACTTACCAACACGAATCCAGTGGATTGTGCAGCGAGCTGCGACAAACAAAGCCAAGGTCAGCGAGTCAATCTCAATTAGCCAGCTCTATCGGAGCTCCCCTCATTGTTCATACCAATATCCAAGGGACATTTTGGGTCGATTCTCGTAGCCACGAAGGCTGACGTTGTGTGCGGTCCCCCATGGTGACGAGTGTGTTGGAATACGTGTTCGCGCCGGGGGTTGGATTTGGATGTATTCTCCGCGAAACGAACACAAGACGGGATCCGCCTAGCTAAACAAATAGACACGGAGCGACACAACGAATCGCGAGGGACGATAGTCGGTTTAAGGAGCGACAACAAAAGAGCCTGAGTAAAATGCAAATGGAAAAGTCCAATTCCCAGCCGAGCAGGGAATGATCGAGGATCACCCGGTCTAGGGCCCAGCGGCAGGGCTTCGGATGACGATCACGGCGGAGCTCCGTACGAGGGTGGCTGGGATAGTTGCAGAAAGGAGAGGAACGGTAGTTCGGCCTTTTTCGAATGCTGGTGGAACAGTCGCGGGACTCTCGGAGGTAGATAAAGCAAAGGAGTGGGCAGGACACAAATGTCAAAGGCGTGTGAGGAAATGGAGGGGGGAGGAAAAGCGGTCGCAAGGGGAGTGAGGGCTTCTTTTGAGGATGGGATCTGGGGTATTTCGGCGGGGGACAAAGAGAGTTCGGGAAACGCGACAAATCGGCGGTGTGGATCACGAGGTTAGGAGCAATTTGGCAGTCACGAGTCCAGAACTTCAACCTTTTCCTTTGGGCATCGAAGCTTAAAATGGGCGTCAACTACGGATGATCCAGTCGCGTCTTTGATTATGCTTTCTCTCAACGCCCCCATCATTGACTGTCCCAGTTCCAGCAGCGATTGGGAGGCATCGTTTTGGGCAGCTCGGCTTCCTGGAGAGCTATAACGCCTGACGTCAAGCCCACTAGCCCGCCGCCTCCTTGCCCCCCATTCCGATGTCATCATTCGCCCATCTATCTTTTTTCCCTTGGAAGAATGCAGCTGTACTCCATAGTGAGGCAAGATTATTCCACAGGCGTCTGTTGCCCGCAGATCAATTTGCATCTCTATCCAGTCGGCAACACCCCCGGCCAGCCACCGTCTTATTGGATCGTGGCCTATTATGCACGTCCGCCACACAAATCAGGGCTGGCCAGCCCAGGACTGCTTTTCTACTTTTCTAGAAGAAAGAGGTCTACGTAGGCGGTGGAAATGTTTATGCAGCATGCAAGGTCTTGCATTTTGAACTAACGGGTAGCTTGCTAGCTAATCAGGATGATAGAAACAATGGAGGGGGATCAAAGTCCTTATAGTATATCAGAAAACCACCAAATGCAATAAGGGGAAAGAAAACATAGGAGCGGGTATATTAGAAGCTCACAAATCGAGTGGGCAAGTAAGAAGAATAATTAGATCAGAGAGTGGGTGACAGAGTCAAAGCGTTCATAAGAAAAGATGAGGAAGATAGAACTCGGTAGTTCCCATTGACCAAAATGGTAAATATCAAGAACGCCCAGATGCAAAGATGATGCTGTAACAGAGAGGAAATGAAAATTGGGTGATGAAGAGATGGTCAAGGACGTCCACAAAGGACATAAAAGAGACGGTTATACAAGAGGTCGAAAGGTAGGTGAGAAAAGTAGATCGAAAATGAATGTGTCGCGCATAGAGCTGCATATGCACCTCTAATACACGGGGGCCACACTCGCCCGGTCTTGGTTCCAATCGAATTCGAATGACCAAAGCGGGAGGTCGTGTTTGCGCTGCGGCTCACCATGATCGTTGAGCATAATAGCTTCGCTGCTATCGGTACGACGGCGGGAGTGCCGCTTCTGGTCCTCCGGGATGGCGGGGGGAGGACCACGGGGTGGAGGCTTCGGCGAGGGCAGCGGTGAGAATCGGTGGATAGGGAGGGTTGGCGTAAGGGGTGAAGCACCGCTCGTGGCAGGCGATGGAAGACTTTCGGAATAGCCCGTACTGAACTGGGGCGAGGCAATCGGATTACCAATTTTCTGTTCAGTATCAGAACCCGAACTCTGCGAGGGAGGACCGTCTTTGTCCATGTGAATTGCACCTTGGTCTGTCCGCGAATGGAATGGCGGGAACGCAGCGCTGAGGCGCAGGAAGGATGTATCGGAGCCGCAGAACGAGTCTCGCGATGGGCCCGAGGCCATCGAATTACGATCGGTTTCTGGCGCCCCGTTGTTGTGCTGGAAGATACTCGGTGTAATCTTGCCTTTTCGCTGACGCATCGCTTCGAGGAGATCCTGCTCCTGGCGGGTCACCGCAATGACTCGGCTTCGTCGATTCATCTCCTTCAATTCTTGAGGAGTGCGGAGAGGCTGTTGGGGGAACTGATTGAGAATATCCGGTTCGGCGATGATGGGGATGTGGCTGGACCGTTTGGAATTCGTGGTGCGTCGAGTGGTTGTCGATGACTTGCCGGTAGAGGCGATGGAGGTATGTCTGCGATTTGACTGACTACGTGTGTTGGGATGAGATCCGCGGCTGCTGGTGGACGGCGCCCGCTCAACCTTTCGAACGATGGCGGCCTGCGCAGCGCGCGCAGTATAGATCTCCGGCTCGTATTCACCATACGTGGCCACGCTGCTTCGGCGAGAATCTTTGGTGGCCTTGCCTTGCTGATTCACAGGGGTCTCCCGATCCTCCTCGTCCTCATCTTCTGACGATGAAAGGCAGAGGACACTGGAATTCTGCAAATCCTTGTTCCGCAAGGTGCTCTTGCTACTCTTTTTGCTGACCGCACTCTTTCCGCCCCGTGAAGTATTAGACTCGGTTGTCAAGGCGCGATGGCGACCTGTCTCTTTCGACTGCGTGGTCGGCATCAAGTATAGATCCTTATTTTGGATGGCAGGCGGTGCTTGGCCTCTGCGAGCCGCGATTCCGGTTTCTGCAGGACGATGTGTATCGGGTTTCAATTGCTCCCGGCTAGCCGTATAGACACTGGAGCGACTGAACAACGACCGTCGTCCGGCATATCGGTCCAGGGCAATGTCAATCTCGCTGGTGCCCACCGTCCGCTCAAGCGGATGATCGTACCACTCGCCATCTTTTGATTCGGGAATCGAAAGCAGATCGGAGCGGTCACCATTTTGCTTAGGACCTTCATTTGGAATGACCGATTTCCGCTGCGGTAGAGGCTCTCCAAACTTCTTCGCAGAGGGCACACTTCCACCTCGGTCCATCCGCTGGGAGGGGTAGTCTGAAACGACAGTCGAGACCGGGGAGGGCGAGTTGGTCATACGCTGAGGTGATAGGAGTGGAGGGGCAGTATTTCGAGGTTTCGGGAAGAGGATCGACAGGTCAATGCGGGGAGGGCGCAGCTTGCGTTTGGAATCCTTTTCCTTCCCTTGCTCCTTCGCTGCACTGCGAGATTGCTTGTACGTCACTTGGGGGTCCAGCCCCAGCTCATGGCGAATATGGGGTTGAAGGCTTTGTTGCTTGGGAGTGGTCGGGTTGGATTTTGAGCTCGATTTGATCGATTCTTTAGAGCTGAAATAGGAGAAAAGGGTGGACGAAGATCCGGATTGGTGGACCTTCTTGGAAGGCTTGGGCATTGGCGGTACAGGTTCTTGAGATCGGTAGTTGTGACCGAGCAGCGGCGACGAGGCACGCACGCGGAGATTCGGAGGCGGGGCAATCGAGTCTCGAGATGAAGGAAAGGCTGCGAAGCCGGAATTCTGGTTCTGCTGTCTCGAATTGCCGTCGGGGGTCCGGAGGCTCTGTCGGCGGGATTTTTGCGATTTCTCCCATGCAGTCTGGGTATTAGGGAGAGGCAAGTCGGTCCCCAGGATGCGCTGTGCCTTGGAGGATTTCCGTTCGACAAAGCCACCGTCGTCGTGTTTCTCCATGGCTCCGGTTTTGAATTGAATTCGGCTGGAAGTTCGTAGAGGCACATGCACCGGAGAAGGGTCCCGATACGCCATTGGAATTATTGCAGACTCGAAAAGGGTTGGTCACTCGGCATTGAAGTCGAGAGAGATGATGCAATTCGTCGCTGCCTCGACGCTGAGACAGGGAGTCGTCGACTTCTCGAGCAATCCAAGAGGTTTCGAGTATTTAATAAATTTCCGTCTCCCAGTCTTGATTCGAGGGGTACTCCACTGTTGGGACAGGTCAGCCAATTTCTATTTAGGTACCAGTCCCCAGTCGGACCGGAGGGAAGCGTTCGGCGGTTCAAGCATGGGCCTCCACACCACGTACCGTGTCCAGGAATAGCGATCACAGGGCTAACAGCAATGGGGAGTCAAGTATAACGGGGGGCGGGGGGAGACACGGAGGAGACAAAGGTGAAATTTACGAGAGAGAGGAGGATGGAGAAGATCAGTGGGAAATCGAGGGCTCGGGGATCTTTTTTGTACAAGACGGAGATCGTCAGATCGATTGGTTCCTCCTCCGTTGCTCCTCCGCCTTTTTTTTTTCCTCATCGCCCGCTCACTAGCCACTCGGGCGCTCACACCGTCAACAGTCATCCCAGACTTTCCCAGCAGTCTATCGGCCACTATGATCCCCCCCAGCCCACTCTCATCGCCAATAGGGGCGACCCACCCCTGCGCCGTGGCCAGCTTGGCTCCGGACTGGAGTCATCAGGCCTCGCTCGGGTGTGTTTCATTTCGACTGGTGGAGCATGGCATCCATGGATGGGGCCTGCCATTGGAACGCCAACCCATCTGGTTCCTGACTTTGTTTCCCAGGATCAGAGGGGCTGTGATCATGGCCCGCGAAATCGTGATGCGATCGACAGCCGCTACCCTCTTCGCGTCGACCAAACAAGCAAGTATCGACAGACACCCGCTCTTGTCCCCTAATGATTTCATAACAGTTCGATGTTCATTTTGATTTGTGTTTAGCATCCTTGCAAGTCTGGTTCCTGGCGCACTGAGTCCCATGGAACCCGCGACGGGGACTTGATGCTAGGGAAAAAATGTGGGAATATTGACTTCTGGCGGATACCTTGGGCTCCGTACTCCGTGAAGCGGACGAGGTACGGAGTACAAAGTATATACGGTGTACGAGTCTACGAGAGCGGCATTCGTGCAGTACTGTACACTGTGCAAGCTCCTTTCAGCGACTCTAACGGACGCTCTCCTCGATTCTCCGCTCACGCTAATGCTCAGGAGATTATGTTGCCGCTCAGGCATCACGAATCCTTTCCCTCGTGTTTACCGACGGACCCCCTTACTGCGGGTGACTTCGGTAACCACGGGGCAACCTTAAAATACACGTGTTGCCATCCTCCAGGCCCGTACGTACTCATACTCACTAGAGACACTCCTACCCAAGACATGAAATGTGCAATCGAATAGTAAATCCATTATCTGGGCCATCTACTGACTGGAAGGCTCACTGGTCTTTCCTTGTGTCAATCGGAGCCTACTTGGAGAAAAGGGGCCAGCACTAATATCAAACCTTGCGCGCCCGTCCTTCTCGATGATTCCTGGGCTCGTCCGCGGCAACCCCCGTAATCTAGGCGCCTACCAAACCCTACTTCAGCTTCCCCTGCCTGGTCGGCAGTTCCATCATAGAGTCAGGTCCATCTCCTTCCTGTGCTCATTTGTTTTCCAGATGCTGCGACTTTGTGTACTGAATTTAGAATCAAGCGGGCTGTTGAAATCCGCACCAAATCGGCACGGTCGTGATGGGTCTGTAGGTGGATGCTCGCGCGGCCGAATAGAAAGGAGAAACTATGGAGCCAGCTCCCGCTGTCGTGTTTACTTTATTCGTCGCAGGGCCATTCACCCATCCGATCGCCAGCTCGATCCTGTTGACGGCCCATATTCGCCGGTAGCCCTTCGATCGGGACCGTCATCGCCCTCGTACCGCGGAGACTCCTCCACTTCGATGTGGCGCCTTGACAAATACTAGTCCATCCCCCGGGTCGTCGCGTCCTGACTGGTTTGCAAGGAAGAAGGGCAACGATCGTCAGTTCGGAAGACGAGGTACGTGTGCTACCCATATTGGTACAGTATTTGATGAATTGGTTTCCACGGCAGATGCCCACCCGAGTTTCGACAGAACTCAAGTCTTGCAAGTTGCTCGAAATTGCCCACCTACGGGCCCCCAGGCGAACGGCTGAAACAACGCCCACCCGGCAATCCATGAACCTTGCCCCTACAAGAGTTTCTGACAAGAATGACATCCCACCTTAGTCCACGGTACTTCTCTCGGCGGTGCCCCCCGGACCGCATTGGGTGGTTCCTTGTGAGAGCCAACCTCGGCTTCGAACACCCGTGAGACCCTAATATAGACCGGTTATTTGAAAATTCGTCACGAATCTAGGGCGACAGGGACTGTTTGCCTGTAGTGTTCTAGTTCGTGCAACCTCGAACCTGGTCCGAGCAAATCAAGTTCGATCTGGATGTAGATCATCTGGCCGGGCAGCTTTGTTCCATAAGCCTAGTGTGCCGTGTCTAAGGAACGTACAATCAGACCCACCAGTGACGGAACGAGCTATGTGTGACACTCCGGGGCATTTTTGTTCGCTCGTTGAGATCGGGGGCTGTGATTAAGCCAGCAGGTCCCTCATTGGCTCATATGCGATCAGACTAATCGCCCTGGCGTAAACTCAATGGCAATCAACTTATGCCCCTTTAGCCAGGCACCCGGGAATCTCGTTCTGCATAGAAAAGGGGCTGATAGATACGGTAGGTTGGTTGTGTTTATAGAAGGGAATCCAGCAGCCATCACGGGGGGGGGGGGGGGGGCAAATTCTACCATCCATTACCACAAGCATATCTGCCCATTTCCCAGAATTACTATCCATATCCTCAAAAACACATGCAGGCCCAAAATATTGGGTCTTTGAGGGTCTCAAAAAACCACTATTGAACCCAAACGGACGGTTTGACAGCTATGGGAGGCCACTTGAGTACCCGCTAATCTCAATGGTCGAGTAAACTAGCGGCTAATGGTCCCCCAATAGTCCACCTCAGTATACCGGACAATGCAAGCAATAGTTGAGACCATGGTCCCATGGTCCTGGAATGTTGTCTCCCACGTCCCGAATATTGCGTCCCCGTCCGTGTGTCGTCGATCATGGAAAAGCACTATTATCTTTAAAGGAAGGGGATTCACCTAACTCCTAGTCGTGTGTCTAGTAACTGGTCCCAACGCGGCGGGGTGGGATCCACTCGCTGCAAATCATCTCAAGGCTTGCAAGACTGTCTCCTAGGATTTGGAAAACTCGAGATTTTGCAACGGACTAGTGACCGACGGTTCTGGAACAGATTCCAATTCTCTGGTATGTGATCATGTGTCGCATCAGTCTGCAGGACAAGGGGGTCAAAACTCCGTTTTTCAATCTCCTACTGTTCGGGCAGATTCTGCTGCATCAGTCCGATTCATAGACCCTGTGTATCACTAGTGAATTGATATCGATCGATGAATGGAAAGGCTAGAACAAGTTCGGAACAAACCCCTTTCTCTAGTGAGAATTCGCCAGCCGATTCTCATCTAGATTTCCCTTTTTTTCATCGTGCCCAGGACTATGCATGCTGATCATGCGGTCTTTGACTTCTTCCGAGATACATCTTCGTCTGCTTCATCGACCGCGACTCTTTTGGCCGCACTTTTAGGAGTCGCAGTGCTCTCGGACACGGCAGCCTCGGCTGCAGCTCTCCTGTCAAGTTCGTCGTCGACCCATTCGGTGCCATATTTCCATTCCATATCGGCGTCTCGCACTCGACGACCTCGGAATTGAACAGCAGATGGAACTTGTATTGGAATATTTCTAGCCTTGTCGTTCGACTTGGGTGGGTCGAGGTAGGTGACTGAGAGTCTCGCCCTTTGGATCATTAGCTGGGACATGTCGACGTTGAAATATTAGCAGTGTTAGCTCACCCGTAGAATCCGGTGTCGATGAAGCTGGAGGTCACGTTCTCCCTTCTCCATCCCGGGATGGTTGGAGATGCAAGTACGTCGTCCCAGGAAAGGTTGTAGTCATCGCCGTTCTTGCTCTCCGGGGCCCAAGGTGTGTGAAAGGTGTGAAAGAACAGACAGCGTTTCTCTGTGTAAATTGTCAGCTAGGATGATCCTAATCGTCAAACTGGTGTGGCATACATACCGGGCAAGGTGGTGAGTCGGTTAGTCACGATGTAGATGCGACGAAACATGTCCAGGATCGCCTTCTTGACCTCCACGGAGGACTTGTAATCCTCCTTGGGATCGTGAAAATCCAACTTTTCCCCACGTCGGTCAGAGGGCCCACGCTTTCCTCTGTAGTCGATGGAGATGGTATATGTCTCGTAGACCTCCATTGGATGATCCGCGTCCCTGCCGATTAGGAACTGAATTCCCAGCAGCTCACGTTTCACCAGAGACTCAACGAAATTGTTCTCCTTCGCCCAAGTCAGCCGGGGTATGTGATGTGTGTCAAGTTCATCAAGATGAGACTTACGAGATTATCCAGAATCTTGTCCGTATTTTTGTCTCTGTTTCTCTCCATCATTGGGATTCGACCCTGGCCCACCTGCAGTGGGTAGGCCTCCTCCGGCTCGGCCCCGTTGTTCAGAAAGTGCTCTTCAAAGCAGAACTTCTCATCGCTAAAGCAGATGGGAAGATCCCGCACTCCAAAAGAACTTAGGGGTAGGATGTCTCTGTCGAATGTGGAGTCAGAGAGATGATTGCGGGGGATGTGATTTGAGATCTGGAAATCACGCACCGGCTGAAAAAGATAGTCGAAATCTGCAAGACCGCTTGTAAGCATCTGACCCATCTCTGACCGAGAAGAGGTGGATTCCATACCATTGCGTGCACCACCAATTTCAGTAACTCGATGCTAGTTCGCTGTCATTTCGTTGGTCATCTCGTTTCCTCCGATCAGGCATCAGATAGGACGTACAACCGCCGGGTAATAATACATGTTCGTCTCCACCTCAGTGAGGCATCGGTGAACAGGAAGATATGGCTCTCGATCCCCTTTGTAGAACGTTGAGACCGCCTGCGCTCTGAATGGATTGGAGCCCTGTTTCTTCGCCTTCTCCAACAATCCTATCTTCTCCCGCAGTCGTTTCTTCTCTTCCTCCAGCTCTGATATCTCTTTCTCCAGTTCTTTCTGTTCCTCCTCCAGCCTGTCCACAACGGCAAACTCGTCGATCTCTTTGACGTACATTGCAGCTTTTCCAGAAAGCTGGGGGCTAGATTTTGCTGTTGACGATGAACAAAGAATTCGCAAAAGTCTTGGAGGGAGAGAGGTCAGGGTTGGGGGTGGAGGAGGGCATTTTAAAACCAATTTAGGCGCCATTGCTGATGGTGATGGTGGTTGAAATTGTCTCTGCCTTGGAAGGCAGCCTTCAGTGATAGTTTTCCCAATCAGGCACGTGCCTGCCTACAACATCGTTCATTGACTCTCAAGGCAGCTTCGCGAGCTGTGGTGCCTGGCTTTCCAGGGCAATCTTGGGCAAGTTGATCGTGGAAAAGACACCTGCGCTGGATGGCTGAGAGCCCACCCTGCCTTCTCAGGGCTCCAAGCTGACCTTTCTGGCTATCCCACTAGCCATCTATCAAGTGGGAAGGCACGTCACCTAATGAACGGCGTACTTCAGCACCACTGTAGCCGAGTGTAATGGATACTGGCAAACGTAGCAACAGTAAGAATTCCAGGCCTAATACTCTGAGATGTTGTTGGGACGTGTATGACATCTCGTATAGCATTAACCGTACTTTGAAGCCCAGAGTTGTTAGGTTTCGCGTCCAGGCACACATAACCAGACAAGTCAGAAGACTAATACAAAAGAACACATGTTCTGCAATACCTAGGTCCGGAATAAGTAGCACACATAACACTAAATGGGCTCGAAGTTTGGCACTATTCCGACTTGTCGCCCCCAGAAGTGGCCTTGTTGGCAGCAGCACTGTACGCGGAAGCATTACTTGAGCGATTCATCATTGCATCAGTCAAAACAAGATATCAATTTGCGCAAGTGGAAGAGCCATGGTCAAACGGAGAGCATATTCCATCGTTCTAGACTTCACACCACTGGATCTGCTTTGGGGGAATTGTTGAAGCCGATATATATGACTTGAACCCCATGGATTGGATTAACATCCACCTAGTCATTCGGTAAGTATTGTCTCGGCAGACTCTTTTTTGAGTATTGTTACAGCCAATAGATATAAGGCCGAATTGATCGCAGCTATGACAGTCGACATTGGCATCGGGTTGGACCCGAACTCTTCTGACTGGCGGAATGAAGAGCTCCAAGATAGGATGCGTTGGGCTATTCGAGTTCGCCAGCAACTGCACCTGAAGATCCATTCAAATGTCATTTAAATTCTCTAATTGGGTGTGATACTAAATGCATCAAGGATTTTATGTGCGTTCCCATTCTCCCAGAGTAGCTAGAGTAGCTACGTAGATCATAACTATAATTGTTGAGTGCCGCTTGTGGAAAGATTGTTGAGCTTGAACGGTGAATCAACCGATATATATTGACTAGTCTATTTGACTGCACATCGGTACCCAATACTAGATCTCCGGGTCGAACTCATTAAGCTATCTCTCAGCTTTAAGTGGGCAGGGGTACGACGGAAGAATAGGGTACCTGCAGGTGACGTACATGGTACATGTAAACAGACGAATCTAGGGAGAGTGGGGACCAAGCTCATCGGGGAATCCCTTGGATCAGATAATGTGGAAATACATTTGATCACCCTGGAAGCATCTACCCCTTAGTCGCCTTGCTGGAGATCCATAGTATAATCAGACCCCGACGCGAGGAAAACCCATTCGGTCTCAGCGCGGACGGTGCCAAAGAAAAATCCCAAGATTGATCGAAACTTGATTGCTAGGTATCGAACCTAGAATATCCAGGGTCGAACCCGAGAAATTGCCATCTTGGTTGAGATATGCGTTCATAGAGTGGAATACCAAGGCATGCAAAGGGTTGGCCACCTTGGAACTGGGGCATATCACATTGCGCATGAACCTAGTGGTTGGACAATCCCAGCAAAGTGAACTAAGCAAGCCAACCGGCTTGGAAGAGGCCCCACCCCCACGTGACTGGCCGTGGCGAGTGTCTGGACCGTTGCTTTGGCTCGGTTGCTCCCCACATCGTTAAACCGGTTTGAATTTGTATCGCTCCCAAGACAGAGCTAGAGAGAGTATTGGCGCCTAAGAATATAGTCTCTTTCAAGCAAAGATCTCGCCATTTCATCATGAAAGAAATGTTTCACTGGTGGCAAGCGCTAAACAAAGGCACAGGCCCTATTAAACTACTTATCGGCTTTGATGAGTGATGCTGGTGACAGGGTTTCAAGGGTTTTTCACGCTGCAGGGAAAGGACCTGGTGAAATTCTCGGTCGCGATAGATGGTCAGATCTAATATGAACGCCTGTATATATGATCTGGGATGGTACGAACAAGATTAAATAAATAACCGGGTCTTGGGAAAGAACACCCAGAATATGCACGTATTTGTAGATTCAAGTCCCCAAGTCCAAGGAGCATGTTCCATGACGTCCAGTATACTTCGCGTACAGTCTTGTAACTGTACGGTGGGACTCGGATTAATTGTTGTTCTCCGCCTTGCCCCCCCAACTCAGGCTCTCGTCAGCCGCCACTCTTTCCTCCCCTTTGAAACCCTTCCTTGCTTCTTACCTCCCACATCCCCATCTCCTCCCACCATGTTCTAACATCCTCTTCTCTCGTAAATGTTTGTGTTGCGCTATCATCTTGACGGGGTGTTGTGTTAACACCCCTCGCTCTTACCCCGGAATCAAAATCTGGATTCTGGTGGTATCCGATCGTTCGAACTCTTAATCAATCAATCACCTCTCCAACCACTTTCCACCCCGACCCCGAGCTGGCTTGAGATACCATCACACTACCTTCTCCATCGCTCGGCATACCCGACTCTGAACTCGACCATCGTCTCGATCCCGAACGCGTCGATCTTTTCACCACACGCTCATGTTTATCGCCACCTGGATCTTCGCCTAGTTGTATACCCAAAAGACGCGACATGGATGAGCACGACCAGGACGATGGTGGGCAGGGTCCCTCCAGCAACGACTCCTTTGCCCAGTTCTCCTTTGCTCCCGCGACTCGGACCACCGTGGTGACAACGACCACCACTACAACCACGTCCTTTCCACCTCTCCTCATCAAACCCCCGCGCGCCACAAAGGACCTAGATACGAGACTATACCCCTTGGCCTCTACACCAACCCCAGCGAACTTGAGAAACCTTCGGTTTAGACTTGGGGATCAGTCGATCGTCTTCAACGAACCCAACGATACTACAGCGGCTTTCACCGAGGTAAGCTCTTTTAACCGCTTTCTTGGGGTCCGTCCCACAAGGCTCACATGTTTCTCTAGCTGAACGAGAAGAACGATGCTCTAAAATCTTCCAATGGGCTGATTCGCTCTGTGAACTCGTTTTCCACCGAGGATGATAGTGCCACCCGACGACTGACAGCCCCAAGAACTGTCGATCGGACCAATAATCCCAATCCTCCACACAGACCCGTCTCCCCCGTCTCTATTTCGGATCCTCGTCCCGCTATTCTTCCCCGGACTCGTGCATATCGAGTGCCATCCGAGCCTGTAGCACGACGCACCCGCCACTATGCCTCGACTTCGACCCATCTCTCTCCTGCCGGTCTCGCTACTCCGGAAACCGAGCATAACATCGGGAGTCTGGGCGACGGTCTGGCCCCAAAGCAAAGGGTTCAAAGTGCAAATTTCCCTCGCAGGGAGACCCTGTTACGCTCACCGCTGTCCGCCGAAGTTGGTTCATCCGACGCTGGTGCTCAGAAACTTTTGGAGAACCTGGCTCAAAACCGGGAGCTGCAACCTACCAAACCGGACGCAACCGCGGCGGTCACATCGGACCCAAGCTCCTTCACCCAGACAGTATCATTTGCTTCAACTGAAAGTTCGTCACAACGGATGCCTGACTTGACTGCTCAGCTCTCGGCTATTGACAATGCAATGGCGCAAGACATGTGCCTGCCCAGTCCCAGTCTGTCCCCAGTGGCCGCTATGAATGCGCTGCATGGCGAGTCCTCTTTCGACTTCGAGGGGCCGGATATTGATACGGATTCTAGCTTGGATCACAATGTTCCACGATACTCGAAAACTGTGCGCCTTCTTGATACGGATGTCTCTCGGCCCAAGAGTCTCGCGACTACTTACACGTCACGATCTCCGCCATCTTTGATGGATATGCCCAAGGTGCTAGAATTTTTTGACTCTGTGCCGGACGAACTGAAATCGTATCTCATGTACCAATTCTTGAGACGATGCCCTAAACCCACCCTACATTTTGTGGCCGATGTCGTGAACCCGACATTGAAGTGTGATTTCTTGACAATGCTCCCTCTTGAGCTGAGTCTAAATATCGTCAAATACTTCGATGTTCAAACTATGTGTCGCGCGTCACAGGTCTCGAAGAAATGGCGCCACATCGTCAGCTCTGATGAGAAGACATGGAAGGACCTGCTTGATCGCGATGGTTACGCTCTATCCGAAGGAGAACTCGAACGAGCCATTCGAGAAGGTTGGGGCTGGCAGTGCAGCACCACGGATGATTTTGAGAGAGACCTCAGCAAACAGTTTTCTTCTCGCGCTGACGGAGAGTCTTCACCCATTGCTTCCTCTTCCCACGCTCACGAGAGAGCACCTTTAACATCTTTGACTCCGAACAGACGGCCCAAGCGAAAGGCAAACACTCGCGCTTCGAGTCGCAAGCTAGCGAAGCGCAAGATCTCTTCCAGTGGCACCGACTATTCCGAGCCAGATTGGAAGAGGGACATTGCTGCATCGGAGGCTCCATATGCCGCTGCCAACGCTGCGGCTGCCGCCGTTCCTTATCCCAATGTCGGTATGCCCACCCTTCGCGGGCTTTATCTTTACAAGGCTCTCTATCGCCGGCATCATGCCATCCGCCGGGGCTGGATGAAACCTGAAGTCAAGCCTCAACACCTTGCCTTCCGTGCTCATGACCGCCACGTTGTCACTTGCCTGCAATTTGATACGGACAAGATTTTGACTGGAAGTGATGACACGAATATCAACGTTTACGACACCAAGACTGGTGCTCTGAAAGCTACTCTGGAGGGCCATGAAGGCGGTGTCTGGGCTCTCGAGTATTACGGAAACACGCTTGTGTCCGGTTCTACGGATCGATCCGTCCGTGTTTGGGACATTGAGCGTGCTAGGTGTACCCAGGTCTTCAATGGCCACACGTCTACTGTGCGCTGCTTGCAGATCGTCTTACCCACAGAGGTGGGTAAGGATGCTAATGGTCGTCCGGAGATCATGCCCAAGGTCCCCCTCATCATCACTGGATCTCGTGATTCGAACCTGCGCGTGTGGAAGCTTCCGAAACCGGGCGATCCCTCATATTATCCTAACGGACCTCTGGCGGATGATACTGACTGTCCCTACTTTGTGCGCGTATTGTCGGGGCATAGCCACTCTGTCCGTGCAATTGCAGCCCACGGCGACACTCTCGTTAGTGGAAGTTACGATTGCACGGTCAGGGTTTGGAAGATCTCCACTGGTCAGGTTCTTCACACCCTTCAAGGCCACTCCTTGAAAGTTTATAGTGTTGTGTTGGACCACAAGCGTAACCGTTGCATCAGCGGCGCAATGGACCACATGGTCAAGGTCTGGTCGCTGGAAGATGGATCCCTGCTACACAATCTCGAAGGTCACACTTCCCTGGTTGGTCTACTTTCTTTGCAGAGTGATTACCTCGTCTCTGCCGCGGCAGACTCCACTCTCCGCATCTGGGATCCCGAACACGGCCACTGCAAGAACATGTTGAGCGCACACACTGGTGCTATCACTTGCTTCCAGCACGATGGGCAAAAGGTGATCTCCGGCTCGGATCGAACCTTGAAGATGTGGGATGTTAGCACTGGTGCGTGCGTCCGAGATCTTCTCACCGATTTGAGTGGAGTCTGGCAGGTCAAGTTCAATGACCGACGTTGCGTTGCTGCTGTACAGCGCGACAGTCTGACGTATATCGAGGTGAGTCCCTCTTATCTGTTTCGGCTACTGAATGTCACTCGGTGCTAATTCAATTATCTAGGTCCTTGATTTTGGTGCCGCACGGGATGGTGTCCCCGAAAATAAACTCGGCAAACGTATTGTCGTCAATCGTCGCGGACGAGAGATTGCCACCAGCAACGTGGATTCCGACTCGGACTCGGACTGAGTCCACTATAATTTGTGGCAATCTTCCAGCCACGGCACTCAAATGCCAGTACTGGCCCTTTTGTCTCCTTATTCTGTCCATCTGTCCACGTATCTTTTGTGTCTCCTTTGATTCCCTATTCCCCCAACAAGCCCGCTTCTCTCCATTACACTCTATACACGATACCCTTTCCTTCCGGCTCTAGTCTCTTCCCTTGAAAACAACCCTTGCATAGCGCGGTCGGCATTATTTGGTCATCCAGCATTACGATGGGGGACTGGCGTTAAGACTTTTCCTGAGTTCAATTTTCATTATCATCATACTTGATTTGTGTTCTCGCTTTCTCGCAAGGGGGGGGGGGGGGGGGTTTCTGCTATCCTTTTACACGTTCATGATCCTATCTATCGTCCTCTCTGCATTTAACCTACAATTTTGTCTCTTATTGTTTGCAATCGTCAATGTCCCTGTGTCCTGCATGTTAAAATCATTCCTTGTGCTTCGTAAAAGATGGCAAATGGGTTCTATACTGTCCTAGGAGCCTGTTGCGACACTGGATTCTGATCATTACGTCTCTTATTTTCAATATTCATGATCTTGTTAGGTGGTAATAGATACAACCCAAATTGGCTATTAATATAATTTCTTGCATGCTCTGAGTCAAGTGGGTATAATAGTATCATCTGGGAGGCTTGCATTCCCAGCACAACCTTGCCCGTGGCGAATTTAGCGGTGGGCTTAAAGATTCAGACGCATCCTTTTGCCGGGGGCCGGGAGACTTCTCCTCGGTCAACATACTCAACCAAGAGGCGGCAGTAGACACTTAGGAGCCTCTTCCCAGAATGGTCGGATATTTGTTGTGCCCCCAGTCTTTGGGTGGACGAATGGTGCTAAGTTCGTCCTCACTGGGCACGTATGTAGAGTACCTAAATCTTCGCCAATCGTGGACTTGATATTCTCGTGATAGTCCCGTCCACTCAAGTTGGAACCTCCGGCGTAGGCTGCACACCCTCCAAACTTCCATCAATACCCGCCGCCGACAAGATAGCCCATCGCACCGCATCAACACCCAACACTCGACCAGGTCCCACATGCGTATCAGCACTACACGTCAAAATCTCCCCCAACGCACCGGGCCCGTTCGATATACTCTGATCCGGCTGCACCTGCGGCTGCAACTTGCGCAGAAAATCCTGTAGCCGCTGGATTCCAATTGCCGATGCGCCGGACTTCATTTGTTTTCTGTTCTTGGCAAGGACTTTGTCGACTTTGGAGAGGATGATTTGGTGGGGGATCGCGTTGCGGCGGAATAGGCTGAGGATCTCGGCGTCGTTCTGCTTTATGCCGTGTTCGCTGTCAATGAGGATGAAGGCCCGGCGGAGTCTGGTACACACAGTTAGGAACGCTGGTTCATGCAAGACTATGCTGGGGCATGTTTATAAAGGATGGAACAAGTTGGCACTCACTGTTTCCTGCCCTGGAGATACTTCATAATCTCCATTCCCCATTCCGCGCGACTCGCCTTGCCATAACCGGGCATGTCAAGCAACACCACCTTATGTTCGCCACCCTTTGTACCGCCAATCCCGAATGCATTCATTTCTCGTGTGCGACCCGGTTTGGAGGATGTCCAGCATATGTCTTGGCCCATGATAGCATTAAGCAGCGAGCTCTTGCCGACATTAGAGCGGCCGAGGAATGCGACTTCTGGCTCGATGGAGGAGATAGGTGTGGTGCGGAATTTGCTGGCAGACCATAGTTTGAGGGGTGAATGGCGGGACGGGATGAATATCTTGTCTGCGAAGGCGAGTTGGGACGGGGTTGGGGGTTTGGTATCCCAGTAGTAGCATAGATCGGTAGGCGTAAGTTCTTCGAGAGTGCGCTTGTTTGGGTTTGATGAGGGTGTTGGGTTGATCTTGGAGGGTGTGGCAGTCTGTGGTATTTGGTCTATTAAGGACCTTGTGACGGGCTTTCTGGGCACGGGGATCCGTGCTGCTCGTATCCTCATTCTCGTTGACGACTATGGTTGTAAGTTGTGTTCTTGTTGAAGCAGGCCCGTCGCGGTCTCCGAGAATTGTCTGCACGGACCAGGCCGAGGCCGAGGCCGCAGTTTATCGGAATCGCTGATAAGCGCATCGTCATGCAGTCATTCAAGACTTGACCGCGATCATCTCCACCTTTCACTACATTCCTCGGTCTAGACTTTGCTTTGATCAACAGCTGTCAGTCTACAAGATGATCAACGCAGTCCTTGTCTTCAATAATAATGGCCAGCCCCGGCTGACCAAGTTCTACACAACTCTGGTATGTCCTCTACGTTTCCCCCCCCCCCCCCCCCCCCCCCCCCCCCCCCCCCCCCCCCCCCCCCCCCCCCCCCCCCCGCATGCACTCACACCAGCCCGCTAACTCTTCTTCCCAGGATACCCAAACTCAACAATCACTGATCGCACAAATATATCACCTAGTCTCACAGCGTCCATCCAGTGCCTGCAACTTCCTTCCCCTTCCACCACTCCTCTCCCAAGGCGCCGCCAGCTCCACCGGACCCTCCGATGCGCCAACTCAAATAACATATCGCACCTACGCCACGCTCTCCTTCATCATGATCTCCACCTCGACTGAGTCCCCGCTCGCCCTGATTGATCTAATCCAAGTCTTTGTTGAGGCATTGGATCGCATGTTCGAGAACGTTTGCGAACTAGACCTGATTTTTGGGTATGAGACGATGCACGCTGTGCTGAGTGAGATGATTGTGGGTGGTGTGGTTGTCGAGACAAATATTGAAAAGATCGTTGCTGGTGTACGCAGTCAGGAGGGGACGAGTGGGAAAAAGAAGGCTGTTCAGGCTGCCAGCGCGAGTCTTGGACGTGGAGCACTGCCGGGATTGGGTGCTTGGCGATGATGGGTTGGGGCCACTTCGTTATTGAGACATTCTTTAGCTGTTGCAGTGCATCTGCAGAGGCTTTCTTTGCATGGGTCCTTATTATTGTCATCTTCTACGGCGTCTTAATGGATCTTTTTGTATATAGAGTCTTGCGTGTCACCCATGGGTATGCGGATAAGACAATGGACCACGATTTTCCGAATATCAACGTTGCAAGTCAATTGAGTATCATATCATATCATCTCCTCTATTGAAAAGAACTAGTAAAATAATTCAAATCAAAGCAGAACCATACCAGTGGAGTGGCATCCGGCATCTATTGAGCCTCTTCAGTACATTGCATATCACGTGACGGGGACCAAGCACATCCCAACTCTGGTTAGCCCTAGCCCTAGTCACATGTCCACGCTAGCGCGACCCACGAGAAATTCATAAGATCGTCTTCCGTCTGTCAAACTTTTCCCTCTCCTCATCCGTCAACCGTCACCCAGCGCACCGATCTTCAGTCGACAAAATGGTAAGCACTTGAACTTCTTTGTTCAGGCTTCGCCCACTGCAGCGATGCCGACAGACAATCCTGTCTAGCTTCCGATTTTTCGAAATCGAAGCACAATTCCGCCGATTTCCTACAGCCTCGAAAGAGATGTGGAATAATCATGGCGATGATTTTGGCTGGAGGTCAGCCATGCGATTGAACACCCGTAACACGGTGTTGAATCGCATAGCGCTCCTTAGAGTTCAAAGAAGATGCAGCCCGTGAGGGACTAGATCGCTGATCTTCTTTTTCTCAATGATAGCCTCCCAAGTCCGGAAAGAAGACCGCCGCCATGCCCTACCCCCAGGGCAAGGCTGGCTCCTCCAAGAAGGCCGCTAAGGTTAGTAACTTCTTCTTTCCCTGGGAGTGTGAGAAAAAACGAAGGATGGGCATAACTAATCACGTCCCACACAGAACCCTCTCATCGAGAAGCGCTCCCGCAACTTCGGTATCGGCCAGGACATCCAGCCCAAGCGCAACCTGTCCCGCTTCGTCAAGTGGCCCGAATATGTCCGCCTCCAGCGCCAGAAGAAGATTCTGAACATGCGTTTGAAGGTTCCTCCTTCGATCGCTCAGTTCCAGAGCACCCTGGACCGCAACACCGCTGCCCAGACCTTCAAGCTCCTCGCCAAGTACCGCCCTGAGACCAAGGCCGAGAAGAAGGAGCGTCTCGTCCAGGAGGCTACCGCCGTCTCCGAGGGCAAGAAGAAGGAGGACGTCTCCAAGAAGCCCTACCACGTCAAGTACGGTCTCAACCACGTCGTCGGCCTCGTTGAGAACAAGAAGGCTTCCCTCGTCCTGATTGCTCACGATGTTGACCCCATTGAGTTGGTTGTCTTCCTCCCCGCTCTCTGCCGCAAGATGGGTGTCCCCTACGCCATCGTCAAGGGCAAGGCTCGTCTCGGTACCGTTGTCCACAAGAAGGTATGATAACACCCTGATTATCCTTTATCCAATAAGACACGATCTAACTTTATATCTTTCAGACCTCCGCCGTTCTGGCTCTGACTGAGGTCCGCGCTGAGGACAAGGCTGAGTTCTCCAAGCTCCTCTCCGCCATCAAGGAGGGCTACACCGACAAGTACGATGAGTCCCGCCGCCACTGGGGTGGTGGTATCATGGGTGCCAAGGCCAACGCCCGCCAGGAGAAGAAGCGCAAGGCTGTTGAGAACGCCATCAAGGTCTAAGTTAATCCCCCTCTGGGATGATTTGATTTTGTCTTGACGTGATCGGCCCTTTCTCAAAGCGCTCTCCTAAACCAAAAGTTCAATGGGAAAAATAATCTAAAAGGTGTTCCAGGCTCCGGATGACTTGTTGACGGCCAAAAATTTTTCTTCTAGCTTTAGATGGGTGGGAAAGAGCCCTCGGCCCTTTGAGAGTCCCATTCTAACCAAAAAGAAAAGAATATTTTCTCTCACGAACTTCTCCTCGACGGCCTTATGTACCACTTTTTTTCCTTGCAGATACCCATGAATGCATTTCTCAAACTGTTCAATATGCCCTTGTCGCGTTTCGGCGATGCTCATGGCTAGTGTAGTAATGTTTAGAATGGCATTCATGCAGTCTGCTGGTACATCTTCCTTTGCAACTGTAGCACCAGTACGTAATCTTATGGACTGTCTGAGAAATTTTCCTTGCTGGGATACTCAGCAGATTCGACGTCGACGATCCCAGTCCTCACGTGATCATGGTCCTGCATCGAGAGACGGAATCTTTGGATGTCCCCAGATCTTGTGAGATCGTGAACGATGATTTGAGATTAGGATAGTCTGGATGCAAGTAGTCTTCTACTTTCTAGATCGAATCTGATATCTTCTCTGTCACGCCATATGGGCTATTCTACCTTGAGTGAGTAGAAGTGTGTGGAGATAGTATCTGAGCTAAGTGGGAAGTATGGAAGTATATATTTTCTAATACATATAGACCGGCTTTTGTCCGCCAACTCTTGGCGCTCTCCTTATGTTCTAGGCTTTTGCTCACTGAGCATAATTGACTGCCTCAGTGATTATTATGGAATCAGGGTGACCTGCTACACGGAATATGGCACAATGCCGTTTGTCAAAGCATATTAAAAAGCTTGCTCTCTAACACGTGCTCTTAGGTGAAGATACGAGACTAGTTATCCTCCTTGTTCTCCGCCGACCAAGTCCACCTCTCCTCAACAGGGAAACCATTTGCTAAATCCAAGTCCCGAATGTACGCCGCAGCAGTCTCATTGTTCTCGTAAGTTCCCTCTCCGCTGGCAAGCCTTTCGAACGAGACTTTACCTGGGAGCTGAAAGCTGGGCTTCATCTTATACTCAGGCAACGGCACTCCGTCCATGACGTATTCGAAGCTTCCATCCTTAACTTTCTGCCTCTTAACTTTCTTCTGGCCCTTCTTTTCACCGGACGTGTATTCACCCAGTGGATGATACTGATCGGCTTTCGCCAGCTTCTCCGTCTGTAGCATGCGATAGCCGACTGTTGGATGTACTTGCTCGTTCGTGATGCCTTTGACTGGTATCGCTTTGTCCTTGTCGTATTGCCCCGGAGTACGTGGCTTGGAGCCATTGGCGAGATACATAGTCGTATAGCTCTCGATGAAGGCACCGGTGGCCCATCCACGATCTCGGCGGTTCTCATCGGGCTCCTTGACACTAGTGAAGGGGCGCATAGCTGCACTTGTCAAGGAACTAGCCTTCTGCGATGCCCAGCTCTTCCAGGATTTCTTCGCTTCTTTCTCCCGCTGCTTGCGGAGTTCCTTGTACTGTCTGACCGCCTCGTTGAGTTCGGCGATGTGGTTTGATCGCTCCGTGGACTCTTGGAAGATGGTTGTGTGTGTGATGCCGACGTACTTGCCGATCTGGTCCAACATCCAAGCAAAGGTGACATTAGACAGTTCTGCATCATCTTAGCCTGCATACTTGCTTTAAGAGAATAACTCAGCTCACCTTCCAGATCTCCCTCGTCCTTCAAGGTATCACTAGATCCGCCGCCGACACTGATGTGTACACCGGGAAACCAGACTTGGAGAAGCTCAGAGGGTTCTTTAAGGTCCTCTTCCATCCTAATCAATTTTCTTCGGCTCTCGTTAAAGGCCAGCTTCGCTTTGTCCTTTTCTTTCTGGGTTGCCCCTTTATTGCCGTCGAGCTGATAAAACTCTGCCTGTGCTTTGTCAATAGCGGCTTGTTGCTTCTCAATATCTGTTTCTGTTGGTTTTGGCAACGGCTTGCCATCCTCCCCTACGGGTATCCACCAAAGCGTGGGCGTAAAAGCTTCTCGGTGTTCGTCAAGGGCAAGAGCGTGGAATGCATGCTTGATATCTGATGAGCGCTTGTCAGTGACCTTGTCGTTTAAGAGGCCGTCAGCTTCACAGAGTCCATACGTACTTCGGTTCAGCTGCACATTGTGAAAGCCAGTCTTGTCGGGTCCAAACGGCCAGATGTCGTAACCACGTATACTTGGAAGGCCAAGTGCACCCACCGTGTCGTATACGGCGCAAACCTCAATCTCCCTCGACTTTGGATCGCTTGCCCAATCTCCATGAGGGTGAATGTCCCACTTCAGAAACCTCCCCGGTTTGTAAGTGTCTGGGTCAAAGACCTCGTCCGGTTGTTTTTCAGCCTTCTTCCCATCAACCCAGTCCCAGTACTTGTCGCTGCCGTAGAATCTTTCACCGGCTTTGCCATTCTTGTATAGCTCCCAGATCTCCGGGAAATGATGCATGTTTCTAGGCTCGCAGATACCGATGTCGGATACGAGTCCTGCGATAGCACGAGCCGTATACGCGCCGCGGGAAAACCCGAAACACAGAATTTGGTCTCCGGAATTGTAATTCAACACGAGGAAGTTGTAGGCCTCGATGACATTGCCCTCCAGTCCGGCGCCGACGGCCCCTTCGGTTATTTTACCGAGTTTGCTCGAAGTAGTGCCGACGCCAGAGTCATACCAGACAATCTGCTGCCAGACTTTCGTGTTGTCATCCTCGTCTACAGCAGCGCGCTCGAGACAACGAGCCAGACGCGTGACGTTGGAGGGACTGTTCTTCTGGCCAGACACGGCTGATTGCCATGTGCCATCACAGCAAATGATGATGCGCTTTGGGGCCGGGACTGGGGACTCCCGCGGAGGATCAGGCATCATGGAATAATATTGACAGAGATTTGGCAGTATGAGGGTCGGCCTGATATCCTACAGGAGTTACTTGGGGGGGGTATCTAGAAAAAGCGGGCGAACTCCTGGTTTATAAATCACACTCCCGCGTTGTCGGTCACTCTCTCGATCTGTCCCTAGACCGATGGGCCTTCGTGACCGAGACAATTGCCACCCACTCTTCAGAGGCGTCTTCATGCTCGAGAATAGTATTGGTAGTCAGCTCCGTCTTGCAGGGTTGCTCGTCACATCAGCCGCACCGTGCTTGGTCTAGCTGAGCTTGTCAGCCAGTTCCAGGCCCAAACTATTTGCGCCCTGCATAAACTCATCAGCTGTTGAGTAGTAGATACCACCTCTACGGAGTATTTAAGCGAGAAGCCTCATTGATACAGTATGGCATTGTATGCAAGAATGGGGTTAATCTACCGAGGGAAAACCAATCCAAAGGACGGCACCGATTGAATTGAATTAGTTGAAGAGAAAAGAGCCGATAGTGCGGGGATCTGACGGACCGGGTCACGCGGCCCGACCGGGTTACCCAACCAAAATCGCGTCTCTATTTCTACACCCTCTTCTTCCACCACCTGTACTTTGCCACCAAATCCCTCTGAATCCTGGTAAAACAAGATCTTATTAAGCCCTCCAGGGTCTTCAGAATAGCCCAATCAAATCAATTCGTGCAGCAGCTAATATATACAATATACCATACATTGCAAGCGCGCGATACTGGAAGGCACTCACGTGTTGATATACGCGCCGGTAGTTATAGATTAACCCAATTAGAAGAGGATTCGCTAGTTGACTGGATACTCTCTATGGATTCGCGTAGAGCAGCGCCTAGGCCCTTGTACTGTACGAGAGATGGCGAATATTCTTCATGCTGCGCGTGGGTCAACTACCTTCTTAACCTTTAGTGTAAATTGGGCATCAACCTTCGTAAGACGTCGCGATGAGCTTCGTACATACATGCTTCCTGAGACGTTACAACTATCAGCGTATCTTTCCCTTTTTTTTTTCTTTATTCATGTTCTATAGTTAGCGTAATTCCTAGCCGTCCCGCGCACCCGGTCACTGAGCAATCACACGACTGCACTGACCAGATCACTGACCATGAGCCTGATCACCCATATTAAAGCGGCGGCAGCCCAGAAAGGAAAGCCCTACCTGGCGGACAAATTCCGGTCTATAGGTGTTTATAGCCTACCTCCAGCAATTAACCCAATGGGTGGAGGTTTCCATGTATCCGAGTTTGCTATTGCTACTGCTATTGCTATTGCCTGCCTCGATTCCTGTATATAATGGCAATTCAATTAACCCCATGGACTGACTACTTAATGGGATGTTTATATCAAGCCCGAGGATCAGGCCATTGGAAGTGGAAGCTAGGCCACATGGATTCATGGATACGAGGATGGACGCCGTTTAGTGGCTTGAGATCCCTCTTCACGGATGAGTCAAAAGTAACCGCCAAGCATCTCATCGTCCAAGCACGGTCTCTCTATCTCTTCCAATCTAAAACATAAATAGCTACCTCTATACTTCCCAGTACTAGTATACTTCTTCGTCTCACAAACTCTTTTCCCACACAGCTTGCATCCCTCAACATGAGCGGTAAGCCTCCATTACCACACAGTGCACCTACTATCAAAATACCAATACTAACTAGGTAAATACAGACAACCCCTCATCCAAAGCTCCCCTCCGCATCGGAGTCGTCCTCTTCCCCGGCTTCCAAGCCCTCGACGCCTTCGGCCCCCTAGATTGCATCAACGTCCTCTCCAGAACCGAATCCATCACCCTCGCCCTCCTCTCCATAACCCTAGACCCCGTCTCCACCCAAGCCCCCGATATCCCAACGACAACCGGCCAATCCATCCTCCCAACCCACACCTTCGCAACCGCCCCACCCCTAGACGTCCTCCTGGTCCCAGGCGGCCGAGGCTCCCGCGGCTCCAGCCCACCGGTCACCGAAGCGATCGCGTTCATCCAAAAGACCTATCCAAGCCTGAAATATCTGATTACCGTTTGTACGGGGTCGGGGCTCGTCGCGCGAGCGGGGCTGTTGGATGGGAAACGCGCGACGAGTAATAAAATGGTGTGGAGGGAGATGAGTGCGCTCCGGCCGGAGGTTGAGTGGGTTGCGAGGGCACGGTGGGTGGTTGATGGGAATATTTGGACTTCTTCCGGTGTGAGTGCTGGGATTGATGTGACGTTGGCGTGGATTGGGGAGGTTTTTGGGAAGGCGAAGGCGAAGGGGATTGCGGATTGGATTGAGTATAGTCGGCATGAGGATCCGGATGTGGATCCTTTTGCTGAGCTTTATGGGCTTTGAACATGTGGTTCTACGTTGTAGCTATCATGGGAGAGAAGGAAGCTGCCCTCATCTGTTGACACGTCAAGGACCATGCTAGATAGACATTGGTAGTTGTACTGAGAGTTCCACGGTAAATTTCTTATAGCATAAGGTTCATGGTGTCCAAGAACCAGTCCATTCGCCTACTAACAGGATAGCCTCATACCCGTGTCCTCTATGATACAAATGGAGAGCCCTAAAAAAAAATATGCATATAGAGAAAGAGAAAACAACAAAGACAGAGTTGGTATGGGGAAAAGCACGAAAGAAAACCAAGAGATCCGGCGCAAAAAGTACAGACCCAGCAAACCCAGCCTAATGCGCCCAGAAGACCAGACAGGTCCCACCGCAAGGCCAGAAATCATGAATGCATCACAAACAAAAGCCTAGTCTAACACACGCGTAGAACAGAGAAAGAAGTTAGGGAGATAGGGAGGTAGAGGCATTATCATCGATCGCAGTCATCCGGATTTGGTCATTAACGTTGCGCGGGTGGTCGTGACAGCCCTTGACGAGCCTGTTCTTGATGTAAGCAGGAAATCCAGGCGCCGCTATGATTGGGACGGTCATTACTTACCTTCATTTGTTCGATTCTCGCTTTCAGCTGACTTGTCACCTCCGCCGCACGCTTCCAGTTCTCGGCAGGCTCTGTAGACCGAGGCGCACCTTCGTCTTCAGTTCCATAGGCCGAGCCTCGAGATGAACGTGTTGGGCTTCCTATTCCAGACAGGCCGTAGGTAGGGCTGAGCTTGCGTCGACCTCCTAGGCCCAGGCCAGCATCTCGGCTACCAAGTCCTCCTGGTGACTCAAGACCATTATTCTCCTTCTCCTCACTTGGGCTGGCCGATACATAGCTCCGTGGCCGTGTGCTCTCAAATCGGGATCCAAGATGCATACCCGAGCGAGCAACATGTCCGTTGCTGGCAGGTTCCTGGTAGATAGAGGTAGAGTCGGGAATGCCGAGGCTGCCCGCTTCAGACCCGGCGTTGGGCGGGCTCATCGCCGACGCGCGAAGTGCCCTTGCTAATTCGCGCTTTAACCTCTCGATCTCCCGTTGCTGCTTTTGAACATTTTGCTCCGCAGCTTCGGCGTCACTCCGTGCGCGCACCAGCTGCGTCTCCTTGGCCTTGATGCTCAACACATCCCTAGTATGATCCTCGATCAGTTGTGCGTTCTGGTTCTGCAGCTCTGTAATCTGCGAGTTGAACTTGGAGCGCTCAGTCTTCAGATCCTCAATTGTTCGAATGAAACTTTCCTTCTCGGCTCGGAGTTCCTCCAATTCTGCACGGTCTGCTGCCGACATGGCGCTCACTGCTGGGGCAGCCGGAGCCGGCGCTGGCTCAGCAGGTGCTGCGGGCTTAGCAATGGGACGACCCGCAAGGCCGCGCCCAAGACCAAATTTGGGCGCAGCGGGTGGAGGTGCTGCATCTTCTGTCGGCGGGGAGACGACTCGTCGCTGCGGCGATGCAATGCCTCCTGGTCCACCGAGCTTACGCTGGAGCTTGAGGCCCGCGCCAGGAGGAGCAAGACCTGGTTTTCCAAGCTTCGACGGGATCGCCCTGGCGGCAGGCTTAGCTGGCGCCTCTTCCACTTGGGGTGGAGCGGCGGCCGCGGGTGCTGGTTTCTTCATTCCCAGAGCAGGCTTCTTCCCTGGAGCTACCTTTCGACCGGCTGGTGCGGCGGGCTTGGGAGGAGCAACGATCGGCTTTGGCCGGTCCTTAGCCTTCACCTCTGCAGTTTCAAAGTACTCCTTAATCTTGGTCTTTCGGATCTCATCCAAACCATCGAGATAAGGGTTCATGGCCCTCTCGCCCAAGATCTTCATCAGTGTACCCAAAATTTCTGCACCGCCAGATCGGAGGGCCTCGGTGGACTCTGTCATTGCTTTCGTGCCTGCATCAGCGATTGCCTTGATATCTGGCTTGGCTGGTACAGTGCGGGTTGTGCGAAGGCAGCGGATCAGGAACTTGAGAGTCTCCTGCTTCACTTGTGGGTTTTTGTGCTTGAGGAACTCCAGAATTTCCTCCAGACAATCTGAGAGGTCCGTTGATGAGAAGACAGCATCCAGTGCCTGTCCCAGAGCGTCTGCCACGGACTGCTTCTTTTCCTTCAAACGTTCCAGCATAGGTGCCAAAATTGTAGATCGATATTTCATGAAGCCATTGCGTAATCCCTTTGCCAGTAGATCAACACAGTTGGCAGCGACTGTAACGACGGCAATATTGGCGTCTTTCATGCACTTGGCTAAAGCTCTCACGATTTCATCGTAAGGGCCATCCTTAATGCGGGGCACATTAATGGCGGTATAAAGCGCATCTAAAGCTTCCTTGCGGTCTTTCCATTTCGACGAACCGAGCTGGTCATGGAGATCCTTGGGAATCTTGGGCATGACGTCGACGGGCTCAGCCAAATCAAATACATCCACCTCTTCCACTTCCTCCTCGGCGTATTCCTCACCACCTTGCTCGTCCGCTCCATCGCCGGCTCCAGGGTTTGCGCTGGCTGTGGCCATAGCATCCTGCTGCGCCCGGGTGAAGCGCTCTTGCTTGGGCGGGGCGTCTTGCTTCACATTCTCGAAAAGCTTTTCCAAGTCTTGTTGCTGTACCGGCTTCAGATCGGCCCAGAAGAGGGGCTTGATAGCCTCCCGCAGCCATCGATATAATTCCACCGCCAAATTCTGTGCTTCGGCTCGAACATTCTTGTCAGCGTGGCCGAATACTTTCGGAAGCGCTTTCAGTGTCGGTTTGGGGTCCACAATCTTGCATCCAAAGTTATGGTAGAGGGATGTCAATGCAGCGAGGGCACCAGCGATCGTTTTGGGCACTTTGTGGGAAAGAACGGGGAGAAGGTCTTCGAGGACGGGATCAGCTGTGTCTAGTTCGACGCATAGTAGAAGGGCTTCCTGGGCACTCGCTTTGCCCGCTGGTCTGGCGCAGGGGAGACCCTTTTCCGCAATCGGCCCGATCGTGTGAGGTCGAGTCCTAGCACGTTGTCAATACCAAAACAGAGCAGGGATATATATCAAAAATCAAACGTACCTCGTACAAGCTTGTACTCCACCGAATTTCAAGAACGCGCAGTAAGACCCTAGACCTTCCACTTGCGCAGCCACATTGGAGTCTGCTACAGCCCCTTTCCACAACCCAGGGTCTTGTAGGAATGGTGTGAAGACAGGGTCTGACTCATCCGGGGACTTTTCAAACTGTGCCTTAGCATCCTCATATCCTTCCTTGCGCACTTTCCAGTTCTATAAAGCGAAGTGGTCAGTTGCGTGGTGTCATTGACGGCCTCGCCGTAGAGTATTCAATAGCGCAAGGAAGATCCAACCTTGTGAGCGAAGCGATCGGGTAGGGGCAGAGAGGAGAAGTCCTCCTCGCCTTCAGCCATGACGACGGGCTAGGTGATGAAAGGAAGTGTCTGAGACCGAGCAATGTCTGGATAGTTAGCACACCATGTAAGTCGTGGAACAGCGCATGTAGCCCCCTGACAAAGGAGATCACACACAAAGTTCTTTTGAGCTAAACGAAATAAGATTTCCATACCGGGATGTGTTTGATGCCCAAAGGAACGGACGGGGGGCTATGAGTGCCGAACGGGCTTCACTCTGCGATCAGGGATGTAGATCGCCAGAAATTGGTAGCGCCGAGCCAGGTCAAGATACAAGAATGACCCCAAGCGCAAAAGGCCCGATAAGAAGTTAAAAATGGGTGGGCCTGGTGAAGATCTGGCCGTAGTTAAGAGGGGAAGGGAAATAAACAGCGGCGGGCTCTGGCGATTGGAAAGTAAACAAGCGGGCTTGGCGGTGTCGAGGGTTGTTTTTGTTGTGACCCCGCGGTGGATCATCGCTGGCCTTCTGCGATCCCGACTTTCCCACTTTCTTACGCAATTCCGATTAATCTTGTGGCCTGCTTCAATTCGACTTGATTTCAGGATTTCTGGCGCATCTTCATCACCTAGCCCTGTCCGACTGGGACCCTGAATCGTGACAACCTCCGGTGCATGCGGAGGTACAGTGAAGGACTGCTTGGGAAACACACAAATCCGCCGGCACCATGAGCCAGCTCCTCACGGCGCGACAGGCGGAGGAGCTGTATGTCTTCTGGTCGAAAGTTCTTTTGGCTTTTGGGAACTAACAGGGAGTGTCTCTTGGCTACAGGCACAAGGCGATGATTGCCTACATGACTGCGGCGAACTTGCCCCAGAGTTGCGCAGCGCTACGAGAAGAACTGGGCGAGTCAATCTCCGTCGAGGATTCCACACTGAAGAAATATGAGGGGCTGCTGGAGAAGAAATGGACCAGCGTAGTCCGACTACAGAAGAAGGTGGGGATAGACACCTGCGGCATAACGCATAACGCAAGGGCCTGGGAGAAAAAAGGAGACTGACGTGCTGTCAATATAGATTATGGATCTGGAGACGCGCATAGCCGGTCTTCAGACCGAACTGGATACTGCTACCCCTACATCACTTTCTCGAAAAAACCAAGATCCGGTATCCTGGCTACCCCGAGCCCCTGCTCGCCACGACCTGGAGTCGCACCGGCAACCCGTTACCTGTGTTGCCTTCCACCCTATATTCTCCTCTCTCGCCTCCGGATCGGAAGACACGACGATCAAAATTTGGGACTGGGAATTGGGTGAATTGGAACGGACAATCAAAGGCCATACGAGGGCGGTTCTTGATGTGGATTATGGCGGACCGCGAGGGGGTACTCTCCTAGCCTCCTGTTCGTCCGATCTGACTATCAAATTGTGGGACCCTGCCGATGAGTATAAGAATATTCGCACCTTGCCAGGACATGATCACAGTGTCTCCGCAGTTCGCTTCATTCCATCAGGGGCAGCGGGGTCCCCAATGTCCGGCAATCTGTTGGTGTCGGCATCCCGTGATATGACACTACGAATTTGGGACGTGACGACTGGATATTGCGTGAAGACATTACAAGGACATTCTGCTTGGGTGCGAGATGTAGCGCCATCACCAGACGGGCGGTTCCTGTTCTCTGCGGGAGATGATCAAGTCCCACGTCTCTGGGATATCTCGTCAGGGGAGCCCAAAGCCACTTTCCTCGGACATGAACATGTGATCGAATGTGTTGCCTTCGCCCCTACCACGAGTTACCCTTATTTGGCTCCTTTAGCGGGGCTAAAGAAGCCACCCCCTGCGTCATCCTCTGCCGAATTTGTTGCTACGGGTGCTCGTGACAAGACAATTCGTCTGTGGGATGCCCGGGGCAATCTGATCAAAACATTGGTGGGCCACGATAACTGGGTGCGAGCTCTTGTCTTCCATCCCGGCGGGAAGTATCTACTCTCGGTAGCAGATGATAAGACAATACGATGCTGGGATCTGACTCAAGAGTGCAAGTGTGTGCGCACTATCAATGCCCATGACCACTTCGTCAGCTCGATTCGGTGGGCACCTCCATTGATCAAGGACAGCAACGGGGCTGCTGGAGCCAATGGCTCTGCAGATTCTGCGACAGCAAACGGGGCGAAAGACGATCCCAATGCAGCAAGCAAAATGTCTATCCGCTGTGTGCTCGCCACAGGAAGTGTCGACCTCAAGGTGCGGGTCTTTGCCTCGTGAGAGCCGTTCAATGCTGTCAGGAACAACGCTCATAGCAGGATCTTGACGAGACCTGATCCAGCATAATACGTTGAGCCGCAAAAGATTCGACGGGCCATTTCGTCTACGAAGTTACGGTACCTCGGGGGTTTGTTCCTCGACAGTCGGGAGGATCTGGGATTTAGAAGGATCGCCATTCGTCTTTTCTGGGTAAAGGAGTTGGTTTCTCTTGCTTGATACCAGTGACTTACTTTCCATGCGCAAGTTCTTAGGGATTGAGAATGGTCGGCGATGACCAAGTGAGAGGTGCAATTCAGCTTTGCAGTGTATACGCTCTGGTTTCTTTCTTGGGATGGATGGGGGCTCTCTTCTCGTACATACTTCTCTAATGCCGCCACGTGCAATCAATTGTTGTCTACGCCTTTACGAAGAGTCCATATTTGGTATAATATTGATGCTGCGTCCACTCCGTGAGAAGCGATTGATAAAATCAGAAGACCGTCGAGGTCATGAGCAAAATGGTAAATCAATCAATGATGCTGTAATATAGTATAGTACAAATGATCCGATATGTAGTCCCAGCACGGATATCCAAAAAGAAAAGGGTAATAGACCTTTTAAAAACACGTAGGCCAATGTTCAAAGTCCTTGAAATCCCATGATAACAGATTTTCAAGCCTGGACTTCAGAAGTCCGCTCCTGGACCAGCTTCTTCACCTTGCCGATGCGCTCCTGTCCGAGGAAAATACGGTGGATCAACCCGGCCGTAGAAAGCGTTTCTCCCTCCTGGACAAGACCTTCCTCTCGTGCAATAGCTTCCAAATCAAGTTCCTCGCCCAACCGCCGAGACTCCCTGCGAACATACTTTGCAGCCCAGCGCTTTTCGCGCTCCTGCTCGCGCTCCTCCCGCGTCAACAGAGCCGGTCGGTCCTCAATGGGCACGGCGAAAGGAGTGATAATGCGCTCAACGACGTGGTGCACGCGACGGCTCTTGGGAGCACCGGAAGAGAACTCGATCACGTCGCCCTTGCGCAGAGAGTTTTGCGGATCAGATACAAGGACCTTCTCTTCCTTCCGATAGTATTTCCGGATGTGCTTGTCCCACTCGTTAGAGCGGTAGACGACGGTCACAGTGCGGTCCATGCGGCCAACGGAGGCGACGGTGCCGGTCTTGGTTGAGGAAGCATAGTCGCGGAGGAGCGTAGGCGGGTTGAGAGTTTGGGATTTGGGGATGGTCGGCGTCGGGGTGGCGGAGGAAATTGGTGGAGGGGCGATGGGTTCTTGTGTGGATTCGGTGGGTGTGTAAGAATTGTAGCGAATGCTTGGGCGGAGGCAGAGATTAGAGGGGATAATGCTTGATCGTGTCAGGCTCATCGGCGATGCAATTGAGCGGATGGGCATCGTAGCCCGGAGGAGGTGGCTCGGTGCCATTGTGGGTTCGGATCCCTGTCACAGCTGAATCCTAGTCAAAGAATGGCAGACTTTTAGGACAGGCTGTGGGAAGTGTTGAACAGGGATAGACTTGGACGAGCGCCAAACACTGAGCTGCGGAGACGGAGTCGCGGAGTTCAATTCTGAGAATTTCTCGGGGAGAGTTTGCAATGTTTGCATCGGCGTCGCGGCGTACAACGCTTGCAACATAACACAATATCTAGCTCTCTGGAGAATTCGATAAGGTTTTTTTTTTTTTGGAATGTAATGTCATTTTTCTAGAAAGTAGAATAAAATCTAGTAGCTAAAGATAGGCACTGGTATAACCAGGGGGAGTCATATGCAGCAAAGCAATGCGATGCAGACAATTAAAGATGTTCGGAAGCTGGAAGTTTCTCGGGTCTCCGATTGAATATCTGGTACTGCATGAGGCTATGCGGCGCTACATTCGTGAATGCCTGAGAGTCACCTCAAAGATCCATAACGCGTTTATGATGCTAAGTATACAAGATGTTGGAAGCCTGACAAATGGCCTCCAGGCTATAGATCGATGACAAGATACTCTGGAATATACGACTCATATGGAGGAACGGCTTCGTACTCCTCCAGCCTATATATCTGTGTCTATTTGGCTAATATGAGGCTATCTATGCAGTCTGAATTATAACCATCAATCAACAAACAAGCCTGAAGATTGACGGTAAAGGGAACCTACAGAGTGTAAATTTGGCATGTACTTGGAGCCGATGCGTAACCTTCTCAGCCGACTTGGTGCATGATTCATGGTAAAACATCAAGGTCTTATTTAGAAGTTGATCCAACGAGTTGAAGCTGTCTCAAATTTACTATCTTCTTCTCATGGCTAATGGTTGATCGCCGCATGGATAGGCGGTGATACTTGGCCAGCCGATTCAGACGGCGAACAATCTAGTGAGTTCGTCAGTTTCTCGACAAGGAGAAATCCTGTCACGGGTGGAATTTGGACGTACGTTTCGATCATACAGCATCTCCACCATGCGATAGACCGTAGCTCTGCCATCCAAGAGAGATCGATATGCCGACCAAGATTATCCGCCATGCCTATTGCAATACCTAGGGAGAGAAGGGAAGCCGTTAATAGGTGAGGTTTAGGAAGCTCCCGTTTGAGGAATTTTGGTGGTATTTCTCAGCCTGTTCAATTGATCCCAATGTCACAATGACTGGCTGAACTTTCGGATGGAAAAAGGTCTATATATGCTTCTGCCGGATAGGAGTTTCCAGAGTGAGCTGCGTTCGTTACTCAGACCCTTGTATCCCCGAGCAGACCTTGGCACAGACCACAATGAAGCGTTAACCTCCCAGCTTGCCCAAGTACAGCAATCTATACACTCGCCATGGATAATGCATACAAAAACTTAATATAGAACAGCGCGTTTACGGGTGATATGACATATTAGGGCTGCGAAAGGGAAGACTACCAAAACGCGGGCCATGGGAGGTCTATTCCCGATGCCTTGAGCCTCGGTACACCCGGCAAATAATCCAAACCAAACCAGAGTGATCCATACCTTGATTTAACAAGATTCGCTGCAAGCCAAAGATCCAATGTCTGCCAGCGTCGAGCCTTGATTCCATCTTATGTAAATTGCCAGTCCGTAATCGCCGATGTCACGATAACCGCGAGATATGTAAAGAAGTCATAAGTCAACAAACAATCCGTGGCTGAATACTTGAGTGGATTGAGGCAGCTGATTCGCGGCTTAATGTCTCGGCAAACCAATCTCCTCAGCCCTGGGATACACTAGCGACTCATTGTCTCTTGCTCATCGCGAAGTGTACGAAATTTATCCAACAGAGCTCCTTCTAGACAGACACTCGGGCAATGATCCGGCGGGCAATGGCTGCAGATTATCATCGCGAAGCTGCCCCGACAGCAACAATGTCGCCTTACTATCTTCAGATATGCCGCCACTTATGGATGACGATCATTAAACCCGGAATCTAGGCATTGGTAGGCCGGGCAATTCCAAGCTACACTCGGATGCAGGATTTCAATAGTAAATCACCGTTTAATATCGATGATAAGAAGCTCTAGGGCTCGCGCCAAGGTAACTTAGACGATATGCCACTCGTAACATTCACGAAAACGTCTTTCTAAGCCTATATGGATCGTTCCTTGCCTATCAGGCTGAAAATATGTGCACTCCGTTAATGGATGTCGTGACTAAGGGTAATTTAAACTAGTTTTGCGCCTTTTAGAGGAGCTAGTAGAAGCCTTCCAGGATATTCCAGATTGGAATAATCTCCGAGATAGTCCGCGACAGCAGCCGACTACAAACTACGCGAAGAGATTGCCGGGGTTTGTCTTGCACCAGTATACACTCTCGTTGTACATCCAGTTTGTCCAAGGTGCTCTCATTCAATCCTACAATTTGTCGGCGAGCGAGGTTGGAAACATCCTTGAAGGTTCTTGACCAAAATTACCTCCAAGCACTATGTTGGACCATACGGATGGATTCATAGTACAGGGTCCAATTTTCCGTTGAGGGATTGTATAGGTCTTTCCGAATATAGTCAAGGTCGGCTTCCTCCCTTTAGAAAGGGGTTTCTTGATTGACCAGACGCAATTTCCAGAACGATCTTCCAACGAATCACCTATGAGCTAAAAATGGAGTCCTTTCTCAATGTCGACTTTTGTAACGCCACTGTGCAATGACTTACACATTGCCACGAAGCTGGGGTCGGCTTGCCCCTTCCGTACAAGCTTCTGGCTATACCCCCGCCGATGATGGGCAAGGTTTAGATCGCTATCCCTCATTTTTAACAACATCATCTCGATCAAGATAAGCGGTCAGGGAATCAGAATTACCAATGCAGGCTTCTCCAAGTAGGGAACCCAATATCACAAGAGACCTCGGTGTCTGCCGATCAGCAAGATTACGCGGATCCGCTCTCCACCCAGATCGGACACTCCTCAAAAATGGTCCCTGCGCTGCTAATCATCAACATTTTCAGCACCGTCCCAGGCCGTCGGTTTCCCGGCCGGCAGCCCCGTAGTGGCGTCTCCCATCCGGCGTGGGTCTTGCAAAAATGCAGATCTGCCGCATGAACTGGAGGTTGAATCTCACTTGCAGTCTCACTTGCAGAGACTTAATGCAGTTCCACTTCGTAGGCTGTTTGCCTCCCCGGGGTTTCTCCGTTGAGGCTGGTAGATTCAACAAGAGGGGTATGGGACCTTTGAACTCGAGTGATATTCAGTTACAATAGTCCTGCCAATGAAAATCAGTCGATCAATCAATCTCTTCTTACTGAGGCGTATATAGTTGACGGTCTAGATGACGCAGCAATGGGCCCCAGCCACGAGTCAGTGAACTTGGCAATGCACGTGGTGAGAGGCACACGTGGGAAGTTTAATTGTATAATTGAATCTCGAACATTATCATGCGACTATGTAATGCTAGTCTAGACGCTACGAAACCAGTGCATATATGCAATCGTTAGAAAAAAGAAAAACGAAAAAAGAAAACAAGGGGGGATCTTGACAGAAAAGATTAGAGAGATAATAGAAGGAATGAAGAAGTGAGAAGAGATACAGTAATCAATGTCTCCGAGGCTGCTCATCACTAATCACCGAGATCTCGACCTGCTTGGTGATACCGGGATACTCCCGCTCGGGCGAGTCGGCTCGTCCACCGATGGTGGTGCTAGTATGCGTACTCTGATCCAGGATTCGCTCGACGCTGCCATTCTCCAAATTGTGCGACTTGTTGAATCGTCGGGCCATTTTGGAGTGGTTGGTCTCGTTTCCCTGAGTGCGGTGGCCGCTAAAAGGTCCTGAGAGTTCGTAGGAGCGGGTGACGCTGGAGAATTTGCGGACGGAAGAGATGATCAAAGGACGGATGCAAGGAATGGACGAGGTGATGATGATGATGGTGCACTCGACGTAACCCCAGCGGATCAGCTCGACTCCACCAGTGGCGCCAAGGTCGGTAATGCCGGGCAGCGAACTCAGTTTCGTGGTTTTGATAATGGAGGCAATCATGGCGCTATGGTTCATATACATGTTAGGATAGGTCGAACAAGCAAGTCGGGAGGGATTTGGAAACGTACATGAAGCCCATGCTCAGGAGAACGATGAGACCGATCTTGATGCGCAATTTGAGATTGAGATTCCAGAAAACGACCGTGGGGAAGACCGCGAGGAAAAGATCGGTGGCCGAGTTGAAAGCTGCAAAAGAATTAGTCTCTGCTAATCACCCGTTGCGGACATGTCAGGGAAACGTACTGTTCGAGTAATAGGCGAACTTGATGACCGCTGCAGTGTCACCACAAGTGGTATTTAATGCCGCCTGGAGATCCCACAAAGCCCTCACATCGCGACAGATGCTCAAGGGGAGCACTGCCGAAGTGATATTGCCCGCTGCCTGAATCGCCAGAACCACCCAAAGTGCAATCTTGTACGACCTGTTCGTGCCGAGAACGGCGATGAGGTAGATAATGAAACCGGAACGGGCAATGGTGGTGCTAAACGTGACGAGAGGAATCTGGATCGCGATATACTTCAAGACTAGCTCGGAGTCCGCCTTGGCCAACTTGGTGAGATCACCGCCGAAGCCATGATTCACACAAAGGCTGAGAAAGACGGTCGATGCGATGATCAGAAACTATAAAGAGTCAGCGCGGGGCGTTATGCAACGGGCCTCGAGAAGAATGGATCGTACCTGTGCAATGATCATCAAGACATCGTCGACGTAAAACCGTTTGATTTTGATCTTCGCAAAGACCCTCAGGACAACGATCAGCGCCGCAATGATCACCGCGGCCCAAATACCCCTTTCTAGGGAGTGGCCGTTACTGTTTGACATGGCGAGGATCCCGTCGGCCGAAGAAGAACGGTGGAGACGAACAGAGCCCGCTAGAACTGAAGCATGCCGTTGCGAAGTGGTGCGCAGCAAGAGACGGACGCGTCCCTTGATAAGAAATCCGTTGCAGCAGAAACCCAGTCCTCGGGAAGGATATTCGGGGGTAATGGGAATTATACTTTTCAGATAATCCAATTTCAGAGATCCAGAGAGAACGCTACGTGGTTGACTTTGAACTGCAACGTGCGCCACTCGCGGTTCGGCGGGGAACGGGAACCCAGAAAAGAGTTACGTGATATTCCATGGTCGGCGAGGGTGATTATTTGCGTTGGAACCCCGGATACACGGTGTGTGGCTCCTAGTTAAGCTAGCTCGTCGCCAATGAGGCCAGGCAGCGGTCTCCGTCCCTGAAAAGCATCCATGGTCCGGGCTGGCGTCGGCATGTTGCAATTGTACAGTACTGTAGATATCGCGAGGAGGTTGGCCCAAGCAAACTCTGATCGGAATGGATACATGGATATCGGACGTACATCCACTCGGAGCTCCACTTGGAAGTCGTGGGGTTACCGTATTTGGTAAGGCGGGGGTCACGATGCTTTCCAAATTTCGGGCTGGATTCCACTTGCCCTAGACATCCGAGACGTTGATTGGCGGTCAATTGCCCTTACCTGAGACAGCCAATCGATCGAAATCCTGGATTTAGCGACTGGAAATTGCGCAAAGAGATTTGCCAGGCACCCGTGGGTTCCGCCGAAGACTTCGGACTCGCTGAGTGCGGTTGATATCTTCCAGATGGCTTCGAGTGGCTTGCTTAGTTTTCGATAGTTCAAGCTTTGCGTCGACCGGTGAAGTGCTTGACGAATCTTGTTCTGGTTCTGGAAGGTTGGAAGGTTGCCTATGGCGTTCGAATTCGTACTCTGATTGTGAAAGAGAGTGCGGAAGAATCTTTTCCAGATGCAGGGGGATTAGAATTGTGGCAAAAGCTAAATTGCAGTATACGAAAGAAGTACTTTCTCTAAGCCTTGTCTACGCTGCCACTCGGCTGTCTTTTCCAATTAATCCGTCACCCGTTCTCCGTGGGATGTACAGTCAAATAGGTGAATATCCTGGAATATTCACCTGGAACCAATTTCCTCCCAACCTTGTGCTGTAGACCTTGTCGAGGCTCGTTTGCCTCGAGCTCGAGCCAGACCCAAGACCCAGAGTTCGTCCGTCGGCTGGATTCCGACAAATCCTTTCGCCCACATAATGTGTGTTCCTACAAGAACAATGCCGAAATCCACTTTTGTCCACCACGTTCCCATTTCTCCTGCTAGATCCGGCATCCCGTACTATTTGTCCAAGCTAGACGCTCTGGGGAACATCTCCGATCGGTGGTGAGACCTTTCGAGTCCCGACCGAGGTGCCTGGTGGCCATCAGACATTCCATAAAACCTCGAGCATCGCGACTGGTTTCCCCCCTGGCGACGATTTAAACTCGCGATCGGCACACCTACCTCCCACTTCTGGTCTGCAAGCCTTCTCCATCTTTTGACTTTCCACCACATTATCACTCCACTATGAAGGCCTGGTTGGTAACCGTTGCGGCGTTGGCCTCAACGGCCGTTGCCTCTCCTTCGTTCCAACCTCGCTCCTCGAGTCAATGCCGCTGCTTGCCCGGTGATCACTGCTGGCCAGCGGCGCCAGCTTGGGCTTCGTTGAACCGCACCGTTGGTGGTCGTCTGATCGCTACCGTCCCCATTGGTAGCCCTTGCCACGACCCCAACTACGATGCGGCGGCTTGCGCGGCCCTGCAGGACTCCTGGACGGAGCCTCAGCCTCAGTATGTTCATGACGCCCCTTGGTGTTCTCACACTCCTCTCTGTCCTGAATGGACACTCACAATGTTTCTAGCCTGGCGTCCTCCTCCTCGGTGATGCAGATGTTCTTTGCCAACCAGACTTGCGACCCCTTCACTGCGGAGAGCAAGCCCTGCACGTTGGGCAACTTCCCTGACTACTCCGTCAATGTTTCGTCTAGCGCCGATATTGTGGCTGCCGTTAACTTTTCCCGGGAAAACAACATCCGCTTTGTGATTAAGAACACCGGTCACGAGTAAGTTTCTCGCAAAAAAAAAAAAACCTTGATCAATTCCCGACTGACGTGACCAAAATAGCTATCTGGGTCGCTCAACCGGTGCCGGTGCCCTCTCTGTCTGGACCCACCATCTGACCGACATTGAATACACCGAATGGTCGGACTCTTACTACCAGGGTCCCGCCTTCAAGATCGGTGCCGGTGTCTTGGGCTACCAGATCCTCGAAGCTGCGACTGCCAAGGGTCTCGTCGTCGTCACTGGTGAATGCCCTACTGTCGGTCTCGCTGGTGGCTACACCCAGGGTGGTGGCCACTCCGCCCTGAGCACCCAGTTCGGTCTCGGTGCCGATCAGACTCTGGAGTTTGAGGTTGTCACCGCCGCCGGTAAGGTGGTGACTGCCTCGCGCTCCAAAAACTCCGATCTGTTCTGGGCTCTCAGCGGTGGTGGTGCCGGTAACTACGGTGTCGTTGTTTCCATGACCGTCCGGGCTCACCAGGATGCCACCATCTCTGGTGCTGCGCTCGAGTTCACTGTCTCCGGCATCACTACCGATACCTTCTACGAGGCCGTCGCGCAGTTCCACCAGCTGCTGCCCGCTATGATCGATCAGGGTGTGACCGTCATCTACGAGATGACCAACACCGTCTTCATCATCAACCCTGTCACTGCCTACAACAAGACCTCTGCCGAGGTCAAGGCTATCCTGACCCCCTTCACCGATGCCCTCACCAACCTTGGTATCACCTACGCGTTGGGTCTGACCCAGTACACTTCGTACTATGATCACTACAACAAGTACATGGGTCCCCTCCCCTGGGGTAACTTGGCCGTTTCCACCTACCAGTACGGTGGCCGTCTGATTCCCCGCGACACCCTGGAGAACAACTACGAGGGCATGGCATCTGCTCTGCGTAACATTACCGAGTCCGGCGTCATCGCCGTCGGTGTCGGCATGAACGTGTCCAACCCCGCCTCCGCCAGCAGCGGCGTCTTCCCCGCTCTCCGCAACGCCGCCGTGACCATGCAGATCGGTACCGCCTGGAACGAGACTGCTCCCTGGTCCGAGATGGTCGCTGACCAGTGGAAGATCACCAACGAGTACGTTCCCCAGCTGGAGGCCGTCACCCCCAACAGCGGCTGCTACCAGAACGAGGCCAACTTCCGCCAGCTCAACTGGAAGGACACCTTCTTCGGAAGCAACTACAGCCCTCTGCTCACCGTCAAGAACAAGTGGGATCCCAAATCGTTCTTCTACGCCCTCAAGGCCGTTGGCAGTGATGCTTGGACTGTGGCCGACTCTGGCCGCATGTGCCGTGCTTAAATAAAATGAGGGGGTAGACGGTGGATTTGTATACTATCGTCCTGAAACGACTATATAATGTTTGCGTTGAAAAGCGCTTGGTGTAATATAGATTGAATTCCTTGTGTGATAACGAATAGAATTGATCTGCTGATTGAAACATTCACAACTTCTTTTCTACTTGAAATAGTATCCGTCTTTCTTGAACCCATTTTTCTACATTCTGGCTTGTACTGATCAGTTCGCTGAGCCGTGGGGCTGAGCATGTTCAGCCATAGCGGACACCCTAAGCGGCAAGGTATAGGACTTGGCAGCGGGCCAACAGCAGATCATCATGAACTCACCCCATCATGTCTCGTATTCGCTGGTTCTGTAAGCCTTTCGAGTATGCCTTGGCTACCCATTGTTCCAGTGACTCACAATAACCGACAACTCTATAAAATAGCTACCAAAGCTCCTCACTATTCAATCCAAACAACCAATCCACCACTTCTCGTCCTAGAATAGGCCCCATCACCATATCGCCCAGTCCCAAACATGTCGAAGCCTCCAAACAAAATCGAGCGTCAAGCACTCGCCGCAGAGACTCAGTCGCTCACTCCGGCTATCCTCAACACGACCAGTGCCACCAACGAAGCAATCTTATACTCTCAACTCCTGCCCGCTCTCTCGGCTACATCCACCGCAACCAAACCAAAACTCTCAGTCGTAAACATGGACAGCTTCACAGCAGCCAAAACAATCCTCGATGCCAATCCATCCGCCAAAATTGGAGTCTTGAATATGGCCAGTGAAAAAAATCCTGGCGGAGGCTGGCTTCGCGGAGCCCTAGCGCAAGAAGAAGCCTTGTGTATGCGAAGCACATTGGCTGCGACGCTGTACAAACGATTCTATCCGATTCCCGTCCTGGGGGCGATTTGGTCACCCAACGTAGCGGTTTTCAGGGACGAGATTGGGTCGTGGGGTCGTGTTTATCAGCCTGATGAGATCTTTTCGGTGAGCGTCATTAGTTTACCGGCTTTGAGGCGTCCGGCTCTGACGATGGATAAGAAACGGTTTGGTGAGTGACATTGATACTCCCCCACTAATGTTTTTCATGGCTGATGCTAATAGAAAATAGCTCGTCCGCAGGATGTTGAAATCCTGAAGAACAAAATGCGACAGATTTTCCGAATTCTTGCGCAGAACAAGATCACGCATTGCGTGTTGGGCGCGATGGGCTGCGGTGCATTCCAGAATCCCCCAGCCGAGGTTGCCAGGATCTACAAGGAGGTTCTGGAGGAAAGCGAGTGGAATGGTGTATTTGAAGAGATTATGTTTGCCGTCCTGGATACCAGGGGCGAGTCTAATTATGCCCTCTTTTCGAACGCCCTCGTTCCCACGATATAATAGCATTGATATCTAGCTAGTGCTTAGATTAAAATAGCTTCCATATTTCAATGGGTCACCTCCTTCTCCGACATCCCATCATCCAGTGCTTCTTCATGTCCTTCTGGCCCATCAGGGCCAAACACCTCGGACATCGAGCTCGAGCCGCTGAGTTCCCGTCGAGGGACACACGAGCTGTACCGAACATCATAAAATTTGCACTCCATTTCTCGGCAATATGCAACATGATTTGCACCGGAACACCATCATCAAATCCAGGTCTTCTTATGTCTTGAACTGGGCCGGTTGATTCTCCAACGGGTATTTTCCATGGAGTAGTCTGTAGCATAATGAGTTGCCACTCATTAAGAAATGTCAGACGTGCCCTGTTAAAACGATTGTATGCACTTGAAATCCAACTATTCTCCTGCTCAAACTGAGCAATCTCGAGTGCTTCGAGGATTCTTTCGAGTAATTGTGGGAAGTTCCCGGCGTAGTTGATTATAGTAGAAAGTTCGAACCATCGGAGACAGCTCTTCGTACACAAGAAAGCAGTCAGTGTCTCGAGTGTGTTCTGTGCCTCATCGAGCAAGGGCTCTGAGAGACGCTGCAGATGGCAGCCTCGTATCTTCAGAGCATCCCATAAGCAGTATGCCATTGGGAAGTAGCATTCAGACCACTGCTCGAGACTGAGCTCCGACTTGCTGCTCTGAAGGGCGCGCAAATGCAGTTCCGAGTCTAGACATTTCGTAAAGTACCACACGGCCACGGCACCTCTGTAGAGTCCTCGCACCTGCCGAGTCTGGATCAGCTCTGGGGGTTCCCCCTTTTTAGCTAATCCGGTTGAGTCTGCGAGATACTGATAGATGGATAGATGGACGAATCTCAACTCATATGTGTGCTCTGTGGGGCGCAAGACTTCGATCAATGGCGCGCCGAGTCTCTCTGCCAATTTCGGAACATCAAACGGCATGGTTCCTCCATTGGCGAAACGAAAGACTAGATCCAGCATACCCTGTTGAAGACTATCCGTGGTTTGAGCAAGAAAGTCGGGCATATAGTTGCTAATATCCGCGCACAGAAACAGATATCGGGCAAAGACTTTCTCAGCATCGGTCATCTTGGCCTCATTTGTGCACAGGATATGGTTGTATAGTTCTTCCAGGCCTGATGGAAGAGAATCAAGACTCGACTCGACAACCTCACGGCTTGGAGCACGCGCTATCTCGTCCAGTAAAAGTCGCGCGTATAACCAAAGACCGTCAGCCTGTTCGGCGGTCCTGCTCACGACCTGGAGACCAAGATCAGTATCTGCGATGTGAACCATCTTCTGAACCCGGGCTTCGGCGTATGCTCGTATGTCCCCATTCTGGTTTGACTCCATGGTAACGATCAGGGGATCCATCGACGGTACATTCGAGGATAACGAAGCCGATGGGACTCGTGAAAACAGTACTCTCTTGAACGATCCATTCTTGGGGAGACTTCCAAGAAAATGACCATTCGACGCCTGCCAATCTTCACATTCATCGATACCATCAAGGACAATGTAATGGAATTGAGCGTCGGGTCGAGAGGAAAGCTGACCCAGTACTTGTTTCAGCATTTTCGTCACTTCTGTCAGAGAGTCTGCGACCACGCGACCGCTCTGCTTGTACACGGGCATAAGCATGTCTGTAAACTCGGGATAGAAATTGAGAAGCTGAGCGAGAATAGTCCTTGCAGCATGGATCATCATGTTCCGTTCAGAGTCTTGCTTATCGAAGAAGAAATATCCCACTCGTTCAGCCTGGGATAGATGGTTCACCAAGTAAGCGGCTAGTATACTCTTTCCACTTCCAGGTCTCCCGATGACCTGAAGCATAGACTCCGATGCTATACTGGGAGGCGAGCAGTTGGTCCCCGTAGATACATGACTGATTGGTGAGCTGTACCACTTTTTGAACCCCTCTGCTTGCAAAATCCAGTCCCCAGAGCCCTGGAGATACTCTAAACCCCGTCTTTGAAGATCATCTTCAACACAAGCCGGGCCCAACCAACACCGTAACCGGCGCGCATCCTGTTCTACACAAACCAGTAGGTCAGCAATTTCCAAATCACCACAAAACCTTGTGTATGCACACCTTGTGTCTCAGCCAACAAGATCTCCCTCGCCACTTTCGATTCCTCAAAATGCGCAGCTTGCGCCGCACGCTCAACATCCAGAGCACGCTGATCAATCGCCGTCGAAACAGCGTCAAATTCTTTCCCAAATGGATTCAAGATATACCGAATGCGACTCGTTTCGTACTTCGATATGCACGCGCAAAGACGTAGTAATTCACAATAGAGCCGTCCAACAGCATCGCGCACGCCATCATGCTCAGCGAAAAGCGTTTTCAAATTCTCATAGCGCTGCACAGAGTGAGCGATCTTGTCCACAATGATAACCAGCGTTTCCAGGGTTGCCAGATGCTGGGCGGCGATCTAGTAATATGTTAGTAACACTTCATATGCGAGAATACCGCCTGTCCGAGATATACCTACCGTGAGTGCAACTCGAAGCGGCCCCCAAATGGGCGACGCGATGCCAGCGTTAACTTGTACGACAACGTCAATCGCACTCTCAAACCGTTTCAACGGATCAATCAGCGGTCTCAAGAATTCGAGAATACGGGTAAACGATCGCCGCTTTTGTCCATTCAGGACTATAGCTTCCAGACACTCATCAACCGTTGTCGGGGCTTGAAATTTGTGTTGTTTCAACGGGTCCAGGTCCTTCATGTATAGCGCAAGAGCATGTTCCCACGGGTCCGTGGATGGTGGTTGTGCAGGAAGCCTCGATGAATTCTGGCTACGCCTGTTAAAGAGTAGAGATGATTTTGAACTCATGGTATATTGTCGAGTCAGGTGGCTTGGATCAAGTGCACTCGGCTCCGGATGAAGTCCATTTATGATGCTCACGGTCTGTCTTGGTCGCAAGGCAGTGCAGCAAAGCCATTCTGCCTTGCGACTAAAACAAATACGGCAACTGTGGCGTTTCCTGTGCAGATATGCACGCTAAGGCCGATGAGATGGGGATAATCTGAACAATTATCCAATTATTTAGGCATACTGATATTGAGATTGAACACCAGATAGAAAGCCTCTTCCAATATGCGTAGACCTATCTAACCCACACCCATCTACCAAAACAATATCAAGAACGAGCCTCAATTTCGACCTTCATCATCTAAAGAGAGAAAATAATTACCCCAGCCTAAACTTCTTATCTCCAAAAAATCACTCAACGCAAGTGGTTAAAAAAAGAGCAATTCCCATGCAACCCTAAAGCACTCGAAATCAAGAAATCAAAATAAATTTCGCCACATCCATGTCGTGAGAGCATCTAAGTAAGATAATTCGTAGAAAAAGGCATTTGCAGATCAAAAAGCCCAAGCGTGGAATTTCTACGCGACCTGTTCCGGAGTGACGCTGCCGTCAGCGGAATTGGACGCACCCACGGCGAGCTTCTTGGCTTGGAACTTGTCGGCGGATTGGTTGGAAATCCGGGTGAGTTCGGTGACGAAGGATTGGCCCCAGAATGCGCTGTATAATTGTTAGTATCAATGCTTATTTGCTCATTATTGGGCCACAGGGCGCATACCTAGTGTATTTCGAAACGTATTTGTCAAGCTTAGCAAAGTTCAGCGCACGCTGTTCGTCGCTCATGGTGACGGCCTCTTGGTAGGCACCAGCCAGCTCTTCGGTATTCCATGGGTTCACGATGATACTACCGTTCAGACTTTGAGCGGCACCGGCAAACTCGGAGAGAACGAGAACACCGTGTCGCTTCTGCTGGGTCGCAATATACTCGTATGCGACAAGGTTCATGCCGTCACGCGTCGACGAGACGATGCAGGCATCGGACACGGCGTAGAGTGCGATGAGTTCGTCAAAGTTGACGGACTTGTGGAGGAAGTGAATCGGCATGAACTCGACAGTGCCGAATTTCCCGTTGATGCGACCGACCAGTTCGTTCACCACAGCGCGCAAGTTCTGATACTCCTCAACATCCTGTCGACTCGGCACGGCCACTTGCACGAGGACGACCTTTCCCACCCACTCTGGGTGGTCGCTCAGGAAAACTTCCAGCGCATGCAGCTTCTGAGGCACACCCTTAATGTAATCGAGACGGTCGACACCAACCATCAGCTTGACGCCCTGAAACTTCTGCTCGAGCATGGCAATACGCTTTTGCACTTTTTCCTTTTTGAGGCCCTCCGTGAACTTTTCCGGGTCAATACCAATCGGGAAAGCACCACATGTAATAATCTTGCCCTGAAACTCGATTCCATTGGGCGTCGTTGCAAGTCCCCTGCTCTTGTTAGTTCAAACTGCTCCGCAGGGTCACTTGTATGGTTCCTACTCACAATAGTCGCGAGCAACTGCTCAGGAAATGCCGGGTATAGTCATAGGTGTGGAAGCCGATCAGGTCACAATGCAAAACACCCAAGAGAAGCTCATTGCGAACGGGGAGAATGCGATAGATCTCGCTACTCGGGAACGGAGTGTGCAGGAAGAAACCGATCTTGACGTTTTGCTTGCTGTCACCGATCTCCTCACGCAGCATCTCCGGGAGCAGCATGAGATGGTAATCGTGGACCCAAATCAGATCTCCATCCTTGACTTCCTTGGCGATGGCTTTGGCGAACAGTCGGTTGGCTTCCTTGTAAGCCTCCCAAGCCGACTCATCGAAGGTAATTTCACCGGGGTGGTAGTGGAACAGCGGCCAGAGAATGGAATCTAACAATTCGCAAAGAAGGTTGGGGTTAGTATGAGGGGTCTCCACTAAGCTTCCGGGTGATATCATAGCATCAGCAAGAACCAGCGCGAGGGTTCACTCACTAGAAAATCCATTATAATGGCGATCGGCAAGCTCATCGTCGATAAACACCGGAACTGCACCGTATTCCTCCTTCAAACGCTGCTTGACCACTGGGATCTCGGCCTCGGGCACCTCTAGTCCGGGCCAGCCGTACCACTGAAACGTGGTCGACTTGGACAACCCGCTCAATCCACTGACCAGTCCACCCGAGGACATGGAAAAGTCATATTTGCCATCTTCAGAGCGCTTGATAGTGATTGGGAGACGGTTGGAGACGAGCAGCAACCGCGCCTCGTTCTGCTTGGGTTCTTCGAGCGACGGCATGGCGGGCGGAGAAGCGGAGCGAAGAGCCGATGGACAGGAGGATAGAGAGAGAGAGAGAGAGAGAGAGAGGGAAATGGGAATCAATGCGCAGACGAGATAGGCGTCGAGATGGAAGTAAGACGAGCGCAGCAAATAGCAACGGACGGAACTCCCTAGACTGTAGACCGCAAGACTGTCAATTAGCACACCGGAGCTAAAGTTTTTGTTGCCCCGCCACAGGAGCATGATCATAAAGAGAAGAGCCCCGACTCACTGAATTGAAAGCGACCGATGAAGCCGGAGACACTGCACCAAGCTAGCAATTCTCTTTTATCTTCTCACTCGTGATAATTGAGCCAAAAGGGGGGCGGTGGTAACAGAAAAGACGTTGAGACGTCAGGATGTCAAGACTGGATCAGCCAGCAAGGGCGGGGGTGGGAAAGAGAAGGGACAGAGAGTGAGGTCAGCGTTTCCCCCCAAATTTCTTGGAAACAAGCTTCAGTGGAGCTCCTCAATAGCGCTCACATCAGGGCTGGAGAAGGAAACAGAAGAAGAAACCCCGAGACTAAGCAAGGAACCCCCTAGGTTGTTTATACCTGGACAGAATGATGATACCGGGATCACTGCCGGTCTCTCACGTTCTTCCAACGAAGGGTCGAGAGTCGGTCGCAATCCTCCTCTCCTGCAGGCCGATCCCGTCGGGGGTTTAGCGTTCTTCGCGCTTGTTTCCCCTCTTTGACCGTGTCACAACCTGGCCTAGTACACTTCACTCTTCGTTTCTACGATCCAGTACAACTCATCTGGAGGGTTCTAGACTTGACTATCTTCTATCTAGTTCTGAATCACTTCGATTCTTTCCATTCTCGGGATTCGCTGGCCTGCCAACCCGCCTCGACTACGACCGACACCAGCCCACCCGAAATCATGATTGGGTCCTGGTCAACCCAGCCAGTCGGTGTCCGGCGACAAGATTGAAGGTTCTTGGCGCTGGAAACGACAACAGAATGACCGCGAACTGACGTCCATGGGGGTGGGCACCTGCAATCTTACGTAACCATCTGGGCATGGAACGATGCAACTATCACCACTATTTTGTTTAGTAGCCCAAAGCCTAGATCAATCTAAAGATAGCACAATAGAAATCAGTCGATATATATACATATATATGTATATCCAATTCGATTCAATTCGATCCTACACCAACCAAATACGGTAATCACCACCTATAGTCACAACGCACTCCTCCCCCCAACCAACCGCCACCTCCCATCATCCTCCTCCACCGTCTTCCCTTCCCCCTCCAATTTAGCCAACACCAGCGACACCCCATGCGAAGCCGGCAAGTGCAAATTCTCCGGGACTCCGACATAAATCTGCTTCACCAGCTGCAGCGGTGTCCACGCCTGTCTTTGCTCGGGCTCGGATTCACCATCCGCCACGTCCAACTTGCCATATCGCAGCACCCGAAGCACTTCGTCCTCGCGCTGTTGCCGGTGCTGGATGTACTCGGCAATGCGGGCGGTCGCGCTCTCTAGGACGGCGCCGTGGCCCGGGTATCCGCGGCCCTGGACGCGGTCGCGCATGCGGTGCAGACTGGATAGGTAGGTTTTGAGGTCTTCGAAGACGGCGGTGCCGTGGCCGAGGACGTCTGCATGATGGGTTAGTACTCGAAACACTCTCATATATATCCCAATGCTATGACAGCTGTAGAGGGTCGTAGATCGAAACGGGCGTTCAATGGAGTAGGGGCTATACGCACTATCGCCCGTAAATATCGCATCCTCCTCCTCCAACACGAACGCCATATGATCCTCCGTATGACCGGGCGTAAACAACGCCTTCAGCGTCGCCCCCTCTACGCGAAAGATCTGTCCATCATTGATATCGGCATACTTATCGTCCGACTCAAGGTGATGTTTAAAAATCTGAGCCTCGGGACAGAGCCGCTTCAGGTCGGGCAGGCCGCCGACATGGTCGCCGTGCCAGTGGGTGAGTAGGGCCTGGTGCACGGTGGCCTTTTCGTCGGAGAGGACGGACTGGAGTTGTTTGGCCCAGGCTGGTTCGCCCTGGCCGGTGTCGATGAGGATGCGTTGGTAGCCGCGGCCGACGAGGTATGTGTTTGTTCCTGGGGAGGGGGTAAGTCTATATACTGCGAGAGATAGGGTGCCAGCGAAAGGGAAGACATACCTTGTAGGGTGAACTATACCAATGCACCAAGTAGTAGTACCTATCGTCAGCCACTATACTTCCTGACCATACTCTGTTCATCGAGTTGCGCTGCTCACCTTCCCCGGGTTCCCGCCCAGAATCCTGATCACCGACGCACTGAGGCGCTCAACCTCCGGAAGAGCCACGAGCTGCGTCGCCATCTTCACGGGCTATACTAGCGATTGCAGACCTGGTGAACCCGCAGATCACTGATTGAGTAAGGTTCAGAAGTAAGATTATACAAGGCCGCCAAAGTCAAGCAATATAACCGGGCCTGATGGCGGGGAAGAAGACGAAGGAGGGGCGATTCGGGGTATTTCTCAGCACAGTCGTGATTGATAAAGTAGTCTATTGGAGTCAAAGAGTTCTCCGCATTCTGGATAAACTCCCTCATACACTACTTATGAAAATCACGGAATCTGCGAATCCGATTGCGCCGCAGCATCGCTGAAGTCGAGTCCACATCTCTCTCTCTCTCTCTTCCGGCGGGGCGAGACGGGCCTCGGCAGATTAGCTCAGCCTGCATCCTCGGGAAGGTCCATCTTGATTGCATTCGGATGAGAGCATAGATGATCTACACAATGCAAGTCGATGCAAAGTCTACGGCGAGAAAGAAGATCATAGATAGAACACAAGGAAATAGTGTATGCATGCTATCCTGAAAGACATACGGAAACAATGTAGTGAGAAAATCAGATAGTTATATCCATTGAGCCCATCCAAAAAGTAATCGGGAATCCAACGCGAGGCCTGAGGCCGGAAAAGACAAAAAGATCATAAAATTTTCCCAGAGCACAACTCCTCATACCCGGCTCGAAAAAAAGGGACAGACATGCACACACACATGTCGAGGAATTTGTAGTGGTGTGTGTCATTCTCCTCAGTACCACCCAAGTGGAATCCTGAGAAAAGTAACAAAAGCCACTCTGCTCTCTTTCTCGGGTCGCTAAACACATCAAGAGAACGTAGTTTACACGGGACAGGCTACGATATGATTCATAGCCAAACCCCCGAAGAACGTCAAACCAAGGCAACTAAAAGAACGCACATCAACTAGAGGTGGAAATTTCTTTTTTCAAGAAAAAAAAAACTCTCCATTTAGTTGTTGCCGGACTTGCGAGCCATGGTGTTCAGAGCAGAGCCGTCGTGGAACCACTCGATCTGGGACTCGTTGAAGGTGTGGCTGAGGGAGATGTCGAAAGGCTTGCTACCATCGGCGGGGTGGACACGGAGGGTCATGGGCTTGCCGACGGCGAGCTCAGTGCACATCAGGTCGACCTTGTCCTCGGGGCGGATCTTGTCGTAGTCGGCAGGGTCGGTGAAGGTCAGGGGCAGCATACCCTGCTTCTTCAGGTTGGTCTCGTGGATACGAGCGAAGGAGCGGGTGATGACGGCCAGGCCACCAAGGTGACGGGGCTCCAGAGCGGCGTGCTCACGGGAAGAACCCTCACCGTAGTTCCAGTCACCAATGACAACCCACTTGATGCCGCGAGCCTTGTAGTCACGGGCAGTGGCGGGGACGGCGTCGTACTTGCCGGTGAAGGCGTTCTTGACCTTGTTGGCCTCGCCGTTCTCCTCGTTGATGGCACCGATCAGCATGTTGTTGGAGATGTTGTCCAAGTGACCACGGTACTTCAACCAGGGACCGGCCATGGAGATGTGGTCAGTGGTGGTCTTGCCCTTGCACTTGATCAGGATTGGGATGTTCTCGGCGTTCTTGCCGTCCCACTTGGGGAAACCGGCAAGGACCTGGAGACGGTCACTGGTGGGGGAGACAGCAACGTTGACGGTGCTGCGGTCGGCAGGAGGAGCCTGGTAGGTGTCCTGGCCGGGGTCGTAGCCACGCTCGGGCAGACCGTCACCGGAGGGAGCCTTGAGCATGAACTCGTTGCCGTTGGCATCCTTCAGCTTGTCGGTGAGGGGGTTGAAGTTGAGGGTACCGGCAACGGTCATGGCGACGACGATGTCGGGGGAGGCAACGAAGGCGTGGGTGGCAGGGTTGGCGTCGTTACGGCCAGTGAAGTTACGGTTGTAGGAAGAGATGATGGAGTTGGCCTCGCCCTTCTTGACGTCCTTACGGTCCCACTGACCAATGCAGGGGCCGCAGGCGTTGGCAAGGATGACACCGCCGTACTCCTCCATGGTGGCCATCTGGCCGTCACGCTCGATGGTAGCGCGAATCTGCTCGGAACCGGGGGTAATGGTGAACAGAGACTTGGACTTGAGACCGTGGTCGAGAGCATCGCGGGCGATGGAAGCGGCACGGGACATATCCTCGTAGGAGGAGTTGGTGCAAGAGCCAATCAGACCGACCTTGAGCTCCTCGGGCCACTTGTTGGTCTTGACAGCCTCCTTGAACTGAGAGATGGGGGTGGCAAGATCGGGGGTGAAGGGACCGTTGATGTAGGGCTCGAGCTCAGACAGGTTGATCTCAACCAGCTGGTCGTACTCGGCGCCCTCGTCGGTACGGAGCTGAGCAGCGTACTCACGAGAGAAGTCACCAATGTGCTGACGCTTGGTGGCCTTCAGGTAGTCGTACATGCGATCGTTGAAGGGGAAAATGGAGGTGGTGGCACCAATCTCGGCACCCATGTTACAGATGGTACCCATACCAGTGCAGGACAGGGAGTCGACACCAGGACCGTGGTACTCAATGATAGCACCAGTACCACCCTTGACGGTCAGGAGACCGGCAACCTTGAGGATGATATCCTTGGGGGTGGTCCAGCCAGACATCTGGCCGGTGAGGCGGACACCAATGACCTTGGGGGCCTTCAGCTCCCAGGGGAGACCGGCCATAACGTCGACGGCGTCAGCACCACCGACACCGATGGCGGCCATACCGAGACCACCGGCGTTGGGGGTGTGAGAGTCAGTACCGATCATCAGACCACCGGGGAAAGCGTAGTTCTCCATGACGATCTGGTGAATGATACCGGAACCGGGCTTCCAGAAACCAATGTTGTACTTGGCGGTAGCGGAAGCAAGGAAGTCGTAGACCTCCTTGTTGATGTCGTTGGCACGGGCAAGATCCTTCTCACCACCAACCTGGGCCTCAATCAAGTGGTCACAGTGAACAGTGGTGGGGGTCTGGACGGAGGGCATGCCAGCAGACATGAACTGAAGGATGGCCATCTGGGCAGTGGCGTCCTGGCAAGCAACACGGTCGGGGCGGAGCTTGAGGTAGGAGGTACCACGCTCGATGTCCTGACCGTGGGGGTCGTCAAGGTGAGAGTACAGGACCTTCTCGGCGTATGTGAGAGGGCGCTGCAGACGAGCACGGACAATCTCGAGGTTCTCGGACATCTTCTTGTAGTTGATGTAGTTGCCCTTCTCGTGGTTGGTCATCTCGACCTTCTTGTCGAGGGGGTCATTGTTGATGGTAGCGAAGGCCCGAGATCCGCTGAGCTAGAAAAAACGGTGTTATGTTAGTTGATGTCATAAGCGTCTTGGTCGTCATGCTACGGTTGCATCTGCAGTGAGCAGTAGAGCTGCCCAGCGGACCATTCTCGCGATGCGAAAAGTTTCATGGATCACTGCTTACAAGACGGAACTTAGGGGCCTGCGAAGAAAACAATCATGTTAGTGTCAATGCGATTCTACGAGGTTTCGGACTCGAGAGGGCGTTGCAAATGAGCAATGCACAGTATAGAGCATCGCCCACTGCGAGCCGAGGATGCAGGGCTGAGAGCTTACCAGCGCACCGGCACGCGCAAGCCGAGTGGAGATCATGATGGATAGCTTTCTCTAAAACGAGACAGCACAATGCATCCAAAGTAAGCAACCACCTTCACCTGTGGAAGCAATAAAGAGTGGAGAGTGGGAAGGGAAGAGAAGGAGAAGAAAAAAGGGAAGCTTGGTGGTTTTGAGTGGGCGAGAGAATTCGACTGGGACCGAAGAGCCGTAACCGCTGTTACCATGGCGATACGCTCATACTGTATCGTTACATACTGCCCGACCTCCGCATGCAACACAACTGGGAAGAGGCTGGTGGAGCGAGATCTCGTGTTTTGATCACGCTCAGTGCGGCTTATGATTGAAATAGTGCTTCAATTCAGAGGTATAACTACTACTGGCGGCTCTCATCTCGGAGCCTTGCCATTGTATTGAAGCACCTAGTATGCTATAGTATGCTATATTGGCCTCTTAACTTCCCATGTGAAGAGCAGCAGGGCACCCCGGAGTGGCCGTAATGACAATACACGGCATGTGACGGAGTCAAAGGTGGCCACCAATCACGGCGTTTGTAATTACAGGCTGGGGGGACAAGTGGCCAGGAAAAGCAACATTCGGGCCAAAGGCAACAGAGAAAAGCACGGTCAATGCGGGCTTGATCATACCCCCATTTATCCTTTATCCGCAAGTCCTCTGGATACCCTCGCACGGGGGCTTTTGATGGAGCATAGTCCCATCTCCTCCCCGAATGGCCATTGGATTTCGTTGCTACTGATTTCAACATAAACAAACTGTTAAATAGAAGATGGTGTCACCTTTTGGCTTCTTTTTGCCTCCTTGTAATCAACTCGCTTTGCACAGGCCATGGAGGTGCCCGCAACGAGCCCCGGAGCAACATGCCGCGATGCAAACGTCATAAATTACAGAGATTACCAGCCATACGGTGCCCCGTAAGCCGGTGACGAAACCGAATGAGCCGAGGCGTGCCGACACTTTCTTCCGCCCGCTGCGGCCAGGTGGTCGGTCGCCAATCAGACCCGAGGCGTTTCGAACACTCACACGGCCCACAAATCGGCGCGGAAATTTCAGTCCATTGTGCTGTCCCAAACTCGTAGCCCTTCTCCACTCTATCCGAACATTACTCCGGAATCGGCGATAACGGCTTTTTTTCTTTCGTCTTCATTCTTTTGATACTAGCTGCGCGGAACGAAAGCCGAGCCTAACACAAAGATGGGTGCTCTTCGAAGAGTCAAGAACAAGCGTCGCACTAGGTATGATTGCTTGACTGCATTGTGAGCCCCATGAAGGGCATGAGGGGGGGTGCTAACCATCTGCGTAGAGACTACGACCAGATCCTTGCCGACATCGATTCTCCTCGCCATCTCTCGCAGTACAAGGAGACCAAGGATGCAGAGGATCTGCCCGGTCTGGGACAGCACTATTGCATGGAATGCTCGAAGTGGTTCGAAAGCGAGTACAACATGAAGGCGCACACTAAGGGCAAGAATCACAAGCGCAGGTTAGCCATCAACCCAGCCCGCCCGTCCAATTTTTTTTCAGAACGACCTGGCTGACCACCCGAATCTAAACCTGCAGAGTTCGCATCCTGCGCGAAGAACCTCACAGCCAAAAGATCGCCGAAGCTGCCGTTGGATTGGGCGTCGCAGACAATGTCAAGCGATCGGAGGACGACAATGTGGAAATGAAAGACTGAGCTGGACTCCGACTTGCCACAACAGATACTCCTCAGGAAGAACCGCCACTTCCCTGGCTATCTTCAGGCTTGGATCTGGATTCAAGCATTTCACAAAAGTCCTTTCAAAAAAAAAAGTACGCACGTCGATAATGTTACGATTCTCATGTCTACAACGCGCGACTCTGCTTTTCCTGCATGTTCGGTGGATACTCACGTGAGGCAATTTTTGATATCGCCGGTTTTCGGCGGCATTCCGCTCAGCCGGTCTGCGGGCCCATGGATTGAAATCGCCGGTCCTCGCTAGTTCCCCCACGGACTGCGGCATCAGGGTGAAATTTATCCCCTTACGAGCAATTCCTCCGCAGTAATTCCAATAGAAATCCCTCAATACCAAATAAAGTCTAACCGCAATTGGTTTCTCGGTCTATGTTCATTGCTTGGCTCCCACCACGCTCTAGTAGTTTGGTTACTCCCTACACAACTATATGCGTTCCGTGACTGGCACTGGTACACTCGCATTGTTGAAACTCTTCATCAGCCATTCGTAGCAAGCCCACTATACTCCTATTAGCTTTCAATGGTGTCAAGATTGCTGCAGAAAACTCCGGGAAAGAGCCTACCTGAACAGCATTTACAATAAATGCTCGAATGCTGCAAATCCCGAGGCCCCGATAAAAGGCGCCCACGCCCTCGGCCCGGTAGACCTCTCGGGCCATCTGGAAGGAATTCAGCGTCGTTCGAGACTGCCGTAGTAAACTTTGGTTCTCGCTGGCTCTGTGTGTAAAAGAATGGTCATGCATCGTCTGTGCCTGTAGTCGCGTCTTGACCATATCCAGAGGAAAGATGGAGCCCCAGGTGACAATGCCCGCAATGCCCCCACAGAGGAGAATCTTCATAGCAGCCTGATGAGGTGCCTCATGGTCAATTGTCATAAAGCGTTTGCAAAGTTCATAAGACCAGAAACTAAAATTGACGACGGGTCAGCTATTATATATTTCCAAGTTGATTGCGGGTGAAGAGGGCTTGTCTTCATACTAGAAACCGTATCCGATTGAATCTCGTGCACTCGTAATTGCTCCTCCATAGTACAAGCCCCTCCAGCCTCGACTGCGATATATATCTTTTGCAACCGTCCAGGACGAGACCTCTGGACGTGAGTCCAGCTGCGCCCTGCACTTGATAAACTCCGTTGGAGAGGAAATACTCCAGCTGGCAAGTCCGCCCGCAGCGCCAGCAATCCAGATCTTGTATAATGGCACACCGTCCGGGTTAGTGGGGTCTGTAATGTTGCTGTCCATGGCCATCAAGGACCGATTGTAGGCCACAAAGAGGAGCGCATTGAGAGCTCCATAGCCTAGAATTGGAGCAGCCGCACCTATTACCCTGTCAACAGAACTATTCGATAACTTGTGATGATGGGTGAGAAGAGGAATATGAGAGTCACACAAACCTCGTACGAGTGAACTCGCTTTCTCGAAGCGGCTTAGTTGTGATTGGGCAGATGCATCTCTTGAATGGCCTGCCTGTAATCGGACCTTTATCACATCCAAGGGATTCCCAATTATAATCCCAAGGGCACCGCTGAGGTAGCCAGCCCAGAAATCAGATGACATTGAGCCTTGATATGTGACCAATGTGTAGTCCCACTTGCGAATCTCCCCCGGTTTCTATGGCGGGGTGACCCGGAGGTCACGTGGGGCCGCGGCGCTTTGGTGTTGCAGGCAGACGCGAGGCAGGAACGCGTCGGTGACAACCACCTCAACAACGACCATTTTCTTGTGTACAGGGGGACTTTGTACAGTTGCATCTGATCAAGGATCGGTATCTGATTTGGAATTGCTCAAATGTATCAAACCTCTCCTTGCTAGCTCCCCTTGAGCTTCTACTTACATCTATGCAGGTATCGCCATCGGCCAGCCGCGGCAGACGGCGATGTCAAGACACCCTTACAACCAAGATCCGTGAACGCTCTCGATCGCCTTTCCAAACCATTCAAATGTCCGGGCTCTGCGACACTAACACGAGTATCAGTAAAGCCAGCAAGAAAGAGGCGAAAGGTCAACTATGCAGATGCAGATGGCAGCGTCGAAGACGGCGCGGAGAAGGCATACACAAATGACGACCGACTCGCATTGGCGACCCGAGAAGTGAACAAATATCCTGTATTCAAGCCCAAGGACACAGATACGACTTTTAGGCAAAGGTTCCGGATCCCGTTGGTCAACAAGGACACGGGCGAATACAACGCTGGACGAGCTGCTCCTACTTTGGGCATGCGACAAGGCGCGACCTTCGTCGCCAAGCCTCTGCATGACCCGAGTGGAGAATTTGCTATCGTGCTATATGATCCGACCGTCGACGATATCCCCGAGGAGCCAAAGCCTCAGGATCTGGAAGTACCCAAGGAGCAGGGTGAGGCTAAATTGGATGAGCCTCTGGTACATAAGAGCTTAGCGGATATTCTTGGAATTAAGAAGAAAGTGGAAGGGAGACCAAAGGTGCCTGTTGTTATTGACCCAAGGCTGTCGAAGATTCTTCGACCACATCAAGTGGAGGGAGTCAAGGTATGGGTCATGATCTCTGGTGCTGCTGCAACCGGAAACTGACATTGCACAGTTTATGTATCGATGTACGACTGGGCTGATTGATAAGAACGCAAATGGTTGCATCATGGCAGATGGTATGGGATTGGGAAAGACGGTATGCGCCAGAGACAGAACTCTATCTCTACAAGGAAACCATTGACTAACTTTTCCAGCTGCAATGCATTTCATTGATGTGGACTCTACTCAAACAAGATCCGGAGGCAGGAAGAACAACCATTCAGAAATGTGTGATCGCATGCCCGTCGAGTTTGGTGGGTAACTGGGCGAACGAACTGACCAAGTGGCTGGGCAAGGATGCAACTACACCCTTTGCCATTGATGGAAAGGCCTCCAAGGCCGAACTTACTTCTCAGATCAAGCAGTGGGCCATTGCATCTGGTCGAAGTGTCGTTAGACCCGTGCTTATTGTATCCTACGAGACACTTCGCATGTACGTGGATGCTCTCAAGGACACGCCGATCGGACTGCTTTTGTGTGATGAGGGTCATCGACTCAAAAATAAGGAAAGTTTGACATGGATTGCTTTGAACAGTCTTAACGTCAGCCGACGTGTCATTCTTTCCGGTACGCCTATCCAGAACGATCTGTCGGAATACTTTGCCTTGCTACACTTTGCCAATCCCAACCTGCTAGGCTCGCAGAATGAGTTCCGCAAGAGGTTCGAACTCCCAATTCTCCGAGGCCGAGATGCAGCCGGCACGGAGGAAGACCGAAAACTGGGTGATGAACGCCTGCGAGAGCTTTCCGGAATTGTCAACAAATTTATCATTCGCCGAACGAACGACATACTATCAAAGTACTTGCCTGTCAAGTACGAGCACGTGGTTTTCTGTAACATGTCTCAATTCCAACTGGATCTCTATAATCACTTCATTCAAAGCCCCGAGATTCGAAGTCTGCTGCGAGGAAAGGGAAGTCAGCCTCTGAAGGCTATCGGTATATTGAAGAAGCTGTGCAATCACCCAGATCTTCTGAACTTGGCAGTAGACCTCCCAGGATGTGAACACACGTTTCCTGAAGACTTTACACCACCAGAGGCTCGCGGTCGTGACAGAGACGTCAAGAGCTGGTACTCTGGAAAGATGATGGTGCTGGATCGCATGCTTGCACGAATCCGCCAAGACACCAATGATAAGATCGTCCTGATCAGCAACTACACCCAGACTTTGGATTTGTTTGAGAGGCTTTGCAGATCGCGTGCCTATGGCTGTCTGCGGCTGGATGGAACGATGAACATCAAGAAGCGAACGAAGCTGGTGGACAAGTTCAACGACCCGAATGGTGAGGAGTTTGTCTTCCTCCTCAGTAGCAAGGCCGGTGGATGTGGTCTCAATCTAATTGGTGCCAACCGGCTTGTCCTGTTCGACCCAGATTGGAACCCGGCTGCCGATCAACAGGCCTTGGCCCGTGTCTGGCGGGACGGCCAGAAGAAAGACTGCTTTGTCTACCGGTTCATCGCCACGGGGTCGATCGAGGAGAAGATCTTCCAGCGTCAATCACATAAACAGTCACTCTCATCCTGCGTCGTTGATTCGGCAGAAGACGTTGAGCGCCATTTCTCTCTCGAGTCTCTCCGAGAGCTGTTTCAATTCAAGCCCGAGACCCGCAGCGATACGCACGACACATTCAAGTGCAAGCGTTGTCGAGAGGACGGTACCCAGTTCGTCAAGGCTCCTGCTATGCTCTACGGCGATACAAGTTCTTGGAACCATTTCGTTAATAATGGGGAGAATGGTCCCCTGGCAAAGATTCAAGATTTGCTTATTCGACAGGAAACCGGCGAAAAGGATGTCTCCTCGGTATTCCAGTACATCAGTCATTGATAGATTTTGACGGCGCTGATTTTGACGAGGCAAAAGGCGTCTTTATTGGATATTTTCACCTGAAGCGATTATTAAATAGAAGTTCTCATTTCATGAAATACTCTTTCTCACCTGCCCAACCATTCACCAAGCAAGCACTGAGTCCATTACTGATCTAGCTCGGGTAATATGGCATAGTTATGGAGCTTGAGAGCGATACCGATGGAAGAGATTAGTTGTATAGAGTAGAGTTTGATTGAGATATGAGTCATTGCAAAAGAAGGTAACTATTCTATGTTAGTGCTATACTAGCTACGCGCTCGACAAGGGCGTATTCCCGTTCTCAAGGCCCAGTCTTTAAAAAACTTTAGAAACCACAGCATAAGGTATCACCAAGTTCAATTCCTTAATTAATCTCCTACTAGAGATTCAGATGTCAGAAGTATTTTACAAGCATGCAAGATCCCCGTTTTCCCTCGTTGGTCAGTAAGGAGCAAAGAGAGGGCGCGGCTGGCTGCATGCGTGCCTGACACCGATCGCGCGATTTTGGACCGCAATCTGAGTCAATCAGTGATAGAGTCTCCGAAGAACTGCTACATAAGCTCAAATTAAACGCCAGCAAAAAAGTATAAATCCAGTGGTTCCAACTCTTTTCTTCATTAATGTTCCTTTGTTCGCTAGTTCATGCAAGTATTTCGAACAGACAGCTGCTGGTGGAACTCGTTCTCGGGCCGAGTCCAGGCCCGTTGCTGACATACGTCACACCGCGCTTGGACACCTCCATCTCCGCGTTGACAACGCATCTTTCTCCCCCCACCCTTGAGCCTGTGAGTGCAAACAACGAGGCTTTACCTGGAAAAAGCCGACTCCGGACCAGAGGACTTTGCCGACCCGATATCCTTTGAAGTGGTCCCCGCCCGCAAGCTCGTTAAACCAACCCCGATCGACGTGACCCTCCGCCATGACCATTGCCTAGCCGCAGCTTGAGACAGCTATTTTCTCGGTCCGTTGGAGCTTGGAGCGATGGATCATTCAATACAGCGGCTGCTCAACGACAAGCTCTACGATAAGAGGAAGCAGGGAGCTCTGGAGTACGTTTCAATGGTATTGCGGGAGTCATGTGATGCCATCCTGCTAACACGCGACATTGCTTCAGGCTAGAGAAAATCGTTCGAGATGCCGTTTTCAAAGGAGACCAAGAAAAGATTGCAAAGATCGTGGAGCAGCTTTGCCACGACTATGCCTATGCTGTGCACCAACCCCATGCTCGAAACGGAGGTCTGATCGGATTGGCGGCTGCCTCGATCGCCCTGGGATCGGTGAGAACATTGGATACAAACGAAATGCGTCAGAGAGTGCGGGCTGACATACTGGGTCCACAGGAAGGAGTTGCGCCGTATTTGAAAGAGATTGTTCCGCCGGTTCTAGCTTGCTTTACCGACCAAGATGCGCGGGTCCGCTATTATGCTTGCGAAAGCATGTACAACATCGCCAAGGTGGCCAAGGGAGAGGTTCTGCTCTTCTTTAACGAGATATTCGATGCGTTGGCCAAGGTGAGAACAACTTGGGGTTGGCTTTGAAGGATGAGGCTATGCTGACGTGCGCCTATAGCTTGCTTCTGATTCGGAGCTTTCTGTGAAGAACGGCGCGGAGCTTCTCGATCGACTGGTAAAGGACATTGTAGCCGAGTCCGCAGCCTCGTACGTCTCCGTGCTACAGCTGTCGGAAAAGGAGACAGCCGATCCGGACGACGCGCATGATTCGGAACTCCCTACCGCATTCTCCCTCGCCAGGTTCATACCTCTGCTCAAGGACCGAATCCATGTGATTGGGCCATACACTCGCAATTTCCTAGTGTCCTGGTTGACACTACTTGATACTATCCCTGACCTGGAACTCGTCACCTTTTTACCCGAGTTTCTGGAAGGATTGATCAAGTTTCTCGGTGGACCTCACAAAGATGTCAACGTTGCCACGCAGGGTCTTTTAGACAGATTTCTGTCGGAGATCAAGAGAATAACCCGTTTGAAGAAAGGAATTGAAGAAAGTCGAAAAGGACTAGGAAGTCGCAGACGCTCCACTGCTAGTGACACTGTGAGCGCCAAAACCGAACAGACACTTGAGACCGCCGGTGCCGACGATGGCGAGAAGGATGACATTGCTGTCGAGGACTCAGCATCGGATTCACTATTTGACGACGAAGCGATTCAGGCGGATGGTGACTGGATTCCTGGGCAAGACGTTCATATTGACTACCCAAAGATCCTAGACATTCTGGTCAGCTTTGTGGACACCTCATTCGGTAAAAATTTACTCATTTCCGGGTCTGCCAGCCACACAACTAACAAGGATCTAGAGGAGGAGATGCAATTGACTGCACTTCGCTGGATGGATGCATTCTTTGAAATAAGTCCCGAGGATATTCTCCCGTTCGTCCCGAGACTGTTGACTCAGGTGCTCCCGGCAATGTCTAGCGGTTCGGATTCGGTAAGGCAAGCAGCGAACCGAGTCAACAAATCGCTGCTTGAGTACATATACTCCCTGTCAGATGACGCCCCTGAGGAATACGCACAAGCTCCATTCAAGGTCCCCTCGACTGCACCTAGCAAAGAGAGCATCGAGAGAAAACCTTCAGAACTCTCCAACTCTGATTCGAAGAGACCAGCTCAAGAGTCCTCCAGGGCTCCGACGCCACGGAGTAGTATCATCTCAGTTCCCACGCAGCCAGCCGATCTCGACTATGCTGCTGCGGTGAACTCGCTTACACTGCAATTCTTAAATGAAAATGAAGCCACTCGGGTAGCTGCACTTTCGTGGCTGATCATGTTACATCGGAAAGCCCCGCGGAAAGTGGTTGCATTTAACGACGGGACATTCCCAGCTCTATTGAAAACACTCTCGGACCCTGCAGAAGCGGTTGTGACTAAAGATCTGCAACTGTTGTCTCAGATTTCGAGAAATAGCGAGGATAACTACTTCACCTCGTTTATGGTGAATCTGCTTCAGCTGTTCTCTACCGATCGACAGCTGCTGGAAGTTCGGGGCAATTTGATCATCCGGCAATTGTGTCTGAATTTGAGCCCCGAACGTATCTATCGGACTTTGGCGGATTGCCTGGAGAAAGAAGAGGTATGTGATACTCGTCGAATTTGTCAGGCATTTGGCTAATAATTCTGGACCAGGATCTCGAATTTGCCAGCATCATGGTGCAGAATTTGAACAACAACCTCATCACTGCACCTGAACTATCAGATATGAGGAAGCGCTTGAGGAATCTTGACACGAGGGTAGGCTACTACTAGCGCGATATTTCTACTTGCATAAGCTGACAAGCTCTTTAGGAGGGACAAATGTTCTTCGTTGCCCTCTTCCGGTCTTGGTGCCACAATGCCGTGTCCACCTTTTCGTTGTGTCTTCTCGCTCAGGCTTACGAGCAGGCTTACAATCTTCTGCAAATATTGTAAGCAGGTCGCCATTGAAAGTGTTGATTGCCAACTCTAACATCTCTAGTGCTGAGCTTGAAATGACGGTCAATATGCTAATCCAGATCGACAAACTGGTGCAGCTGCTAGAGTCCCCCGTGTTCACCTGTACTGTCTTCCTACCCAGTGTATTAGGGATCCTCAGCTAATACATCTCTTAGACCTTCGCCTCCAACTCCTCGAACCCGAAAAATACCCTTACCTGTACAAATGCCTCTACGGTGTCCTCATGCTCCTCCCCCAGAGCTCCGCCTTTGCCGCCCTTAAGAACCGGCTGAACAGCGTCAGCAATATCGGTTTCCTCCATGGTGGTCCCCGCAGGTATGCAAATGGAATCTTCGATGTCAATGCCAAGACAGGAAGCAGCCCTCCCCAGAACAGAACGCACATACTCATGAGTCCCAATAGCACGTCCCAAACTGCACCGTCCTTCGACCGTTCCTCCGGTACTCGCGGCAAGAGTCGTGACGACATTCGATGGACCGAGCTCCTGGATAAATTCAAGGCCGTGCAGGAACGAGGGCGCCGCGCGCAGGCTGCGCAGCGCCACTCGCTGGATCCAACGGACACATTACAGAATCCTTCGTTGGCAGCTGCACTATCTGCGGCAACCGTTGACCGAACGCGAGATCGATCGGGTCTACCTGATGCTCCTCGTGCGGGCATGGTCGCTCCCATTGGCATTGGCATTGGTCAGGTCCCTGGATCCGCTAGCATTGGTGGAAGTGGTAACCGTGGAGTGCTTGACTCTAGAGCCACCAGCTCAACGTCTCTTCTCGGCTCTGCACATAAACACAAGTCGAGTTTGCCGAATCTAGGGCGCCTGGGAATTGGAGGACGCAAGTCAAAGAAATGAGGTGCGGTGAATAATCCTCTTGTCCATGTACTTAGTCACCCTTTAGCACAGTTGGCGGGGGTTTAGCAAAGATACCCATCGTCTTTTCTCCCTGCAGGTCTACTGCAATAAATTGGCTTCAAATCTTTTTATTTGCTCTGAGTAATGATGTGCTTAGTCGTCATTCCTTTCCTGTACAAACTTATAAAGGAACTGGTCCCCTCTGCCATTCACACTTCCTCACCGTCCATCATGCCCTTTGTTGTCGACTATCTTAGCAGAGGCATCGCACTTTAGTAATCACTGAAGCATACAGTCCTTATGCAAGATTTTCCAAATGATTCTGGACCGCCAACATGATCTGGTTCTCGCTCTGCCTACTTGCTCTCGCCTTCGTAGTCTTCATTCTGCTCGGCATCTTGTCACATCCTCCTCACTGGATCTTCCCTTACATCAATAGGGCCTCTTGCCTTACCCATGTCCCCATCTACTTCTCTCCCTACTCTTCAAAAAGCCCCTTCAAACCACCTATTCTACGCCGAATCCATCAAACCCCACCCACAGTCATGACCGCAACACAACTCGTACTCTCCACGCCAGAACTAGTCTCTGAGATCCTTCAATGGGACGCAGGCGGCTACAAAGAATACGACGGGCCATTCAACCAAACATCCGCAAAGACTAGATTCGTCAACTACGCACTGGTCAATACACTCTGGTTCCACGAAGCAATGCGATACCTATGGTGGACTCCATTGCCATTCTCCAAACTCCGTACCCTTGGAAGAAGGCTTCCTCGAGAGCGCAAACAGGTTTACGCGAACTTTGTAGTGGATCTTGTCCTTGAGAATGACCCTCATGGTTCCTATAAGGAGAACCGGGTTCTTGAAAGATTGAGCTTTCCACGTCTGCGCTTTGTGAAAATTTATATCCGTCCTGGACAGCGGTTACTCTCTTTGCCTGAGATTGGAGGGTTTGCGCTTCACGATCTCACTATTGACGTCCGGGCTGGTCACAGTGGCATGCATGGTGCTTTTGATGATAACCAGATGCAGAATCGGTTGGCGAAGCGGCTGATGGTTGGTTTCTTGAATACGGGGCTTTGACTGGATTGTGCTGACAGCGTCTATCTCTTTAGAAAATTTTTCCTTATTTAAAGAAGATCACTCTCACTCTCACCGCACCGTCATACGCACGAGTCAGCCCGGAAGACCTGGCAAGATTTCAGGCGAATTTCACAGGCATACAATTCGTGACTTGAGAGTTACAAATGGCTATGGATGGGGGACCAGTGGCGCTCCTGGAATAGTCCAGTTAGAGCTTAATCTCAAGTGGACAGACAGAAGATCCGTGTACTTAAAACGCAGAAAGTAGTCCATCTTGACAGAGAAAAAGGAAATTGATTTGACTGGCCGCAGCTGTGTTTTCATGACGCCCAAAATGTTATACAAGATGCAAAGTAAACCATACCAAAAGAAAATAGCCTCTAGTGCGGGGAGAGATAGAGCGAATGGCACGCCCTTACGCATCCTTGGGAGTCGTACGGCCGACCTCCTTGATCACGACGCTGCCGTCCTTTCGGATCTCTGCCACGCTCTGACGGATTCCCCGGATCTCCTGGTCCAAGTTCTCGACCGAACGAGAGATTTCTGCCTCTGAGGGAGTGGGCTTGCTGGACTCTTGCGGTGCGAGGCTGGTGATTCCCCGGGGGGCATCGGCGAGTTCAGTGATTTGACGCTCGGAGAGAATGTCGTTGACGCGAGGTCCACGAGTTTGCATGAGAATGGTTGCAGGTCCATCGAATTGCAGGAAGAGCTAGAAAAAGTTAGCCAGCTGCGCCTAAAAACTCGTCACATAGCCAGTGTCATACTCTATCTCCCCAGATGGTCTTCCGAGACCATGTCCGAATCTTGTGAAGGAAGCTCATGGTGTTCTTCCATGCCTTGGAGTCGGAAACGTCCTGGATGAACTTGTTGCCTTGCAACAGACGTGGGAGTGTCTTTAGGCCGGGAACCTGGAAGCTCAGGGTTGTGGATTTGAAACGGTAGGGGCGAGGAGGGTTGGAAGCCATGGTATAGGCGATAATGTTGCTGTATCACTTTGTTTAGAACAATCAAACGTGGCTCGGCGCTGACTCGGCGCAACGTACCTGGGGTGAACGACGTATTGCTCGCCAGCCTTCAACTCTACAGAGTAGACCTGACCTTGGCCTACCAACGCGATCAATCCCCTACCAGTGACCTCGGAGCTACCCCAGTGAGCCAAGCTCTGTGCGAGAATCAAAATCAGCCATTTATCCCATATTCACGATCGAGGGGTGCCACAAACTAGGTTGGTGTTGATGGTCGGCTTGATGGACAAGGACCGGCCTGTCCATGCCAGCAGAGCACGACGCTGGGCAACCATCCAATCCACGGAGCCATTGAGGTTCACAACCGCGAAAGAGGTCGTCGGAGACCGAACGGAAACGAGGGCTGTGACGGGGCTCGCTGAGGAAATCTAGATTCATGAGCAAATCTGTTGCGTATTCATCCCGAGCTTGAAACAAGACGTAGCATACCTTTTGATAAAGGAAAGGCACGCCCAGAGGTGCCCTGCGGAAGGGTTCGAGGACGCTCAACGTCGAAACCACCTGTCGCAATGAATGTTTTAGCCCAATATACAATCGTGTAGTACCCATAACAAGTGAAAATACATTATCCGCCTTGCCACTCAATCCAACCAATGTTCCCCGGCGCGTGTACAGGTTCTGCGATGCCGAAAGCGATACCGAGAGGAGTGAATATGGAGCGCCGACGACATCGAAGCGCGCGTCTATCAACATAAACTGTCAGTCGATCGCATAATCAAGCGATATTATATCCCGCTCCACCAATTCCACTTACCTCGCGATGCGGCGGAGCTAGGTGTGCCGGCGAGGGGCAGATGGTCGCCGTTGACGGTAGGCTCTTCCGAAGGCGCCGCGCGAATCTGAATGCATCTGGCCTGTCGATGGGCGCGAGGGACAACTCGTGTCCAAGACAGAGTCCGGACGCCTCGCTGGAGGGCGGGACTCATTGTGCCTGAAGAAAGACCGAAGACCGCGTGGTGCTGAAGGACTTTACGTCAGATTTGGAGCTCGCAAGGGAAATCAAGCCGGGAAATCGTGGCGCCGAAGCTCGCGGCCGGTGCGACGGAGGTACACCACGCCCGCATTCGATGGCGACATTACCTTATAGACCGCCGCACATAAAGGAAGGATTCAATCTGATCAGTGCAAGTCTCACTCTTTTCTCTTATATACAGCTCTTCCAAGGATCATTCCGCTTCCCCGACCCCCTCCTACCCATTCGCGCAACCCGACTCTTTCCTCCGAAGCCGGCGGCTCCCAAGGTTGCCTTCCCCCCCACGAGCTGTCGCAAGCACACGAGCGCACGCCATTCTCCCCGCGTGCGCTCCATTATGCCCCTGTGAAGACAATTATTGCACCAAAACACCTCTTGAGGTCAAATTTTCTTTCAACAAGCGGCCATGCTGCTCAGAGCAGCCCGATTTCCGTGCTGGCGCACGGCGCGGTACATACATCCGAGCTTCGCCGGCCGCGCACGGTGGACAAGCCCGAATGGTATTCAACAGCATAAGCTCCAGCTGCGAGTTTTCACCTCTGGCAGTCCATGGCAAAACCAATCCACCGATGGCAAAGACCCTACCTCTGCGAGAGATAATACCACGCCGACCGGCGCTGCTGCCGAATTGGCCAATGCCGCTATTGTCCAGAAAGCGGGCGCCAGCGAGGCGAAGAACACCCCGAAGAAAGATATGTTAAGCGAGTCGGCTATCGCAAGCAAGGAACAGCGCAAGGCAGATTGGGCTATCATGCGAGAGATGGCCAAATATTTGTGGCCCAAGGTAATACTACACAAAGGGAAGTACATGGTATCGGGTGTGCTAACAGAGTATCAAAGGATGACTGGGGTACCAAGCTTCGGGTTGGAACTGCACTTTCATTACTTATTGGTGCGAAGGTGTGTATTCGTCTGATCTCTCATTGCCTCTGTAAATGAGAGCTAACAGCTCCATCTTCTAGATCCTCAATGTGGAGGTTCCTTTCTACTTTAAGAACATTGTCGACTCCATGAACGTCGATTTTGCGACACTTGGTGGAACGGCATACACTGTGGCAGGCTCCATGATCATAGCTTGTAAGTAACAATCTAGCCTTGTCTTAGAAAGGCCGCTAATCATGCTTGATAGATGGCGCAACCCGCGTCGGAGCCACTCTCTTCCAAGAACTGCGCAATGCAGTCTTCGCCAGTGTCGCGCAAAAGGCCATTCGCAAAGTAGCTCGGAATGTGTTTGATCACTTGCTCCGACTGGATCTCAATTTCCATCTCTCGCGCCAGACAGGTGGCCTCACTCGGGCCATCGATCGTGGAACGAAAGGTATCAGCTTCTTGCTAACCTCAATGGTCTTCCATGTGGTGCCCACTGCACTCGAGATCTCGCTCGTGTGTGGTATTCTTGTAGGTTCCTTGGTTTGATTGGGATGTGAGCTTTGGCTGAATTCTTCCTAGACCTACCAATATGGCTTCCAGTTCGCCGCCATCACGGCTACTACTATGGTAGCATACACGGCATTCACCATTACCACCACGGCCTGGCGCACCAAATTCCGCCGACAGGCTAATGCCGCTGACAACCGCGGTGCTACCGTCGCTGTAGACTCGTTGATCAACTACGAGGCTGTCAAGTACTTCAACAACGAGAAGTTTGAAGTTGCCCGCTACGACAAGGCTTTGAAGAACTACGAAGACGCGTCAATCAAGGTTACCACCTCCTTGGCCCTGCTGAACTCCGGCCAGAACATGATCTTCTCCACTGCGCTGGCCGCAATGATGTATCTGGCGGCCGACGGCGTAGCCACCGGTACACTGACAGTCGGCGATCTAGTTATGGTGAACCAACTCGTCTTCCAGCTCTCCGTGCCACTCAACTTCCTGGGTTCGGTCTACCGTGAACTGCGCCAGTCTCTGCTGGACATGGAGACCCTGTTCAATCTGCAAAAGGTGAATGTCACCATCCAGGAGAAGCCCAATGCGAAGCCACTCGAGTTGAAGCGCGGCGGCGAGATTCGATTCGAGAACGTCACTTTTGGCTACCACCCGGACCGTCCGATTCTGAAGAATGCGACGTTCACGATCCCGGCTGGCTCCAAGTTTGCCATCGTGGGCCCCAGTGGTTGCGGCAAGTCCACGATCCTGCGTCTGCTCTTCCGCTTCTATGACACCCAGTCCGGTCGCATCTTGATCGATGGGCAGGACGTGCGCGATGTGAGCCTGGACAGCCTGCGGCGAGCTATCGGTGTGGTGCCTCAGGACACGCCACTGTTCAACGACACGATCGCACACAACATCCGCTACGGCCGGATCGACGCCTCGGATGAGGAGGTCCGCCAGGCCGCCGAGCGCGCCCGCATCAGCCAGCTGATCGAGCGACTACCCGAAGGCTATGAGACGGCGGTCGGCGAGCGCGGCATGATGATCTCTGGCGGCGAGAAGCAGCGATTGGCGATTTCTCGCCTGTTGCTGAAGGACCCGCAGCTCCTATTCTTTGATGAAGCGGTAAGTTCAAGATCGTTTTCTAATGCGTGAAAGTGAGGGGGTGTTAGAAAGGCATGCGTAATGTGGCTGACTCCGACCGGGACAATGATGTAGACCTCGGCGCTGGACACCTACACGGAGCAGGCCCTCCTGCAAAACATCAACAGCATTCTCAAAGAGAAGAGCCGCACCAGTGTATTCGTTGCGCACCGACTCCGGACGATCTATGATAGTGACCAGATCCTGGTGCTCAAGGATGGAGAGGTGGTGGAGATGGGGTCACACCGGGAGTTACTCGATCTGGAGGGAGTTTATGCGGAGCTCTGGAACGGTACGTTTACTCCTCTTCCACGAATAGAAAACGAACCTGGGGTTCGGTTCTCTGATCCTCATTTCTGACGTGCCCCCTCCGATTTAGCCCAGGAACGGTCGCTCGCCGAGGAAGGCGAGACGCCCTCGGAAGAGAAGAAGCTCGAATAAGGCAGCGATACCCAACCAATTTGCTGGGGTTCTAGCCCGATGTAATTAGATGCAGCATGCAGCATGTAGCCATGTGGATTGTGGATAGAAAAAAAAAAGCAGAATTCGCCATACATAAGTAATGTGGTACACATGGTAATGCATACTGGACAGTGCGGAGCCGTCCGTCCTTGCGTTGACGCTGTCAAGGCCACGCGATAAAAAAGGAGAAACTTAACATGAAACACGGGCGCACGGCCTCATTGTCCACAGTAATTCCTCAACGCGACCCGTCAGTCTCGTTCAAAGGAAGCGACGAGAGTCTAGAAGGCGGGCCCGGCTTTCGCTAGCGACTGACTAGCGCGGTGGAATGGAGTCCCAATGGTCCAGTCCTCGAGTCTCGTCCCCTGGCGAACCAAACGAACCAAGTGAACGGACTGAAGTAAACACTAAGAGCGTGTTAGGTTTGGACGCTTGGACTCGCACCTTTTCGGTACCTTTTCTGGCGCGGAGTCTAGTTTGTTAGCCTTGCCTTCTATCATCCTTTCCATTCCTTCTTATCAGCCACTCACTTTTCTCCTTCGAGGGCCACATTCCACCCCCCGTCCACTCTTTCGACTATCTCGTCGCTTTCGTCGCTCTCTACCCCCCCCCCCTGCTCGCTTTCGCTCGAAGACAGATTCACATTCCTTGCGTCCGTCAAAACCCAATCCACGTCCAGTGCCAGTGCCAGTCCAATCCCACCTCGACCTGCAACCCCCTTCGTCGGACCTTGTGGCTTCCTTGTGGCACCAGTTCCACTCTCCTCGTGCACCCCAACCCGTGCGTGCCCTCTCCCCCTCCTCCGCGATTGCAAATACACCCCCTCCCTCCGCAATCTGACCCCCTTTTCAGCATTCCAGCTGGGTCCTCACTGCTGCGTATACATCGTATACTGGTGAGAAACCATCTCAATTGCACGGTTGATATGCTGGTCAAATGTGCGATAGGGCTGACCAGCTTCAAATAGTAACCGTCGAAGTCTTTCCGTCCGCTGCCGGCGATACACACTAGTTCACGGCACCCACGTTACGGTTCACTCGCTGCATGAGGGAACGATTGTCGCTACGCCTCCGTATATAGAACCTCAGCATACTCGCCAATCTCGCATCGGCTACTTGACATCTACATTCACACCGTCACAATGGGTCTCATCGATAAGCTCCAAGCTAGTACGTTGCACATCGCACATGGCACCTTTGCATGAACCATACCCCCCAAAAATCCCGGCCTTTAACACCCATCTTCCATAGAACTCGAGCTGTACCGCCTCGAACAGCGCTACGCCCGTCGCAAGCACCGCAGCACTTTCTCCACGGGCGCTCAATACGTCGATGGCGAATACGTCTTCAACGGAGGCACAAACTCGCCTACCAGCACTGTCTCCAAGCACTCCACCGGCAGCTGGCGCCCATCCGGCCTGCGCGGGTCGCAGGAGTCGCGCTGGAGGTGATACGTGAAATCGAATATTGATGATTGCGCAAATTATCCGTCTCAATTTCCCTTTTTTTCTTTCCCGGTTCGACCGATCTTAGCGCCTTTCATTGTTTTATCCTTCGACACACACACACACACACACACACACACACACACCCTCCCAACCTCTTGGGTTGAATCCCCAGCTCTTCGCGTGATGTACCTGCGAAGATCGATCTGGACTCTGACCCTGACCCACTCACTTGACGACCTCGTGCTTAGTCGCCATGTCCGTTCCGTTGGAATGTTTCTCTGATTTTTCATCCGCTCATCTACTCATCCTATCTACCTTTGGCTCTTGACTCTGCAACGGCAGGACCCCATGAATTTGGATTTTGTTTCGGCGAACCACCGCCAAAAGTTGGGCCCTTTCTCTCTCTCTCTCTTTCCCTCTTTCGTGGGACTTGATACCTCTGCTTCTTGAGATATGTCTACCTCATGTCTTTGAATTCCTTTCTTTTCCCTTTTTTTTTCTTTTCTCTTTCTCATTGCATTGTGCTGTTTAGCATATAGCATTCCTCCTTGTTCAATTCTCTTGTCTATGTTATTCGGCTTGCATTTGATTTGATGTTTGTTTCTTCTTTATATACATTACATAGCATCTAAGAATACCTCTGTGGGTTTGATTGACATATCTGAATTGTTCCGAAAGGGAGAGGAAGTGTACATACTTTGTAGCTGATATATGGGCATGGAGATAGATGACCTCCTGGGCTTTTCGTGACAAGTGTACAAGGTCTCGCGAGCCAAGTTTGTACGAGTCTTCAAGTGAGACTACTAGATTTTCTAGGTAGAGGAATCGTAGCATAGACTGTCTCTTCATCCACTACGTAGCTCGTCAAGAGAGAATGTCTCCCATGCTGCAATTTTCTCAGTAATGAAGTTCACGGTCTATCTACTAACCAGCAGTATTGAGAGAAAAAGCTTTCACATCGTTCTCGTTTGCTTCCTAGGATGAGATAGTCCAATGTCCCGCTTCTTTGTTTTGTCTCCCTTCTGCTATTTCCCTTTACCACCGTTGTTCAGCATATGTCAATCGTACACTCCAATTTCCTAGGGACCCTTTCAGCCTGGTTCCCCGAATTCTCAACAAATCTCATCCTCAAGTCCAACTTTCCTCCCTCAACACATACGGCGAAACTGAACTCCTCGGTGCATGATACCTTCTAATGCCACGATCGGAAGGACCACTGCCAAGCGTGTACTAGCAAAACCTGGGTTACTTGGTGAGCTCGATCGTCGAGTGAATTGCCCGCTCAAGGACCGCTCTCGACTACAGACATGCCACTGCGGGTCTGCATTGCATATGCCCCAAGAACATAGTTTTTCGTCATTGCTCTCTTGTCAATCCACTCTGCTTCCAAGAAGCTATGCCCTTTATCTGGGAGACTCCGGGAAAATCAAATGCTAACCCATTCAGTCAAAGTGTCCGTGATAGCAGACAGATCTATGCAAATCATGTGGGAACTTTGTGCCTCGGTCTGCGAGTAAGACATCGTAGGTGGTTGAGCAAGCCGAGGAAAGTTCTCGTATATGTAGCATCTCATCATCGCTCGGGTCCTTCATCGTGTTGACAAGCTCGAAACCCCACCTTTCAGGACTCCTGCGCGTAGGTTCCTCTATCCTCTTGTGGAAGCTTTTTGGTTTGTGTCTTATCAAAACTCGAATATATTATGCAAGCTTAGGCCGCTCATTAAAGAACATCTTCAAAGTCTTTCTAGTCATTAGTGCCCACACTGAACTTTATATCCCAAACACTGTTTCCAGCCTTAGAGAGAGTGATCATCACGGGTGAATCAAGATTCGGGGATGAATGGGCCCAGACCATGGCTGTGCAACTTCCGGGCGTCGACGTCTCAATTGGCGAGTCCTTGTATTTCGAATTGGACTCTTGAAATTCGAGTTACACGATCCGACTCTATCAAGTGAAGTGAAGATATTCTGGAGTCACCGGAATTCTTAGAATATTCATTGACGCTTCTCAACGCCACTTTTGGCGAAATCGTCCAAAATATACATGAGCATTGAGACTAGTCTCTCAGCACTTGATCACCTAGTCATCTTCAATTAATCAACTCTACAGTATCTTTCCAGCTTTGTGTCTGAAAGTTCATACGAAGTCGTGGAGTTCAGCTGGACAGTCTACCTTATCCTACTTTTACGCTTTCCGGGGCATTGTTTACGGGCTTTTGAACGTCTGGTGCCTTGTGGCCTGACAGCGCACGAGGTTCATACCAAAAAGCAAAAAGACGTTCTTTCGGAATGAGATCGCCCAGCGCCGTGGCTCAGCTGAAGGTCTATTCCATAACAGTGGGCCACGTTTCCTGGCTACACAACCTGGTGTCCCCGTTTTGAATTCCATCTTTGCTTTTAAGGTATGATCTGTGTCTAAATGCTAGTTCGTCAGTAGTCAATTCAAATTGATCAAGAATCACTCAACCCATTTGACTTGGTGACTGTGGCCTTTTACTATGTAAAATGATTTCTAAATAACAATACTCTCGGAGGACTACGACGGCACAGGTGATCGAGCAGATTTCCTGGCATCCGCGAGGGCATTATTCTGTATACCGGAGAAGGGGAATATTATTAGCAGTTCCTAGGAGCCGATGTCCAACTAGCACATGGTATAAGTCCTTTCTCTTTAATGGGAATACAAGATGGAACAGATGCTTACAGATACGGCACGACGTAACTAACTAATGCCCAACTTGAGTTCTGTGGCGCTACTAAAGTCTGACCCCCCCCCCCCCGCTTGACCTCCTATCATAGCTTACCCAACTACCTAGACGCATAGTTAGGTATTGCATTGTGTTTGAAATTTTGATCATTAATTATTTTGTAAATTTTGTATAAGAGATTTCTCAGTGTCTAGTCCTTCATTCCAGCAATCGTATATGAACATTGGAGGGTTTGGTGCCTCTAAAGTCGTGGTAGAATTGGGTGGTCAACGCAGGGGGTATAGACTTCAGTGGCGCCACTGTACACCTTCAAATTGATAGGCTGGGAATCCAATGACGGCTTAAGATTCAGCATTGTGGACTGTTACTTGTTCAACCAAGTGGGCGCACTTACGCTCCATCTACAGTCTAGTCTCGAAATGAGGCCGATCGACGTCTCCCGAGCTGCTCAGCTCCCGGGTCCTGGCCTACCGAAGATCTTTACCCATCGGAAAGGGTTCGGATCCACTTTTTGGATACCCACTCTACTGTATCGGGCTCTAGCTGTATGGTAATGTCCCGGTTTTGTTTACAACTCCCATGAGCAACGTCGAGTGTTTTCAAGCGTTTGGATCTGTCTTCGATCCTATCTAGTATTCAAAATCACTAGTGCGAGAAATGGCGTTCATGATATGTAGATCGATCGAAGAGGGAGTTAAATACGGGGAGTCTCGCCCATGTGCAAAGAAAACCCTGAATTACCCACTCTCAAGCAGAGAGCTGAACATATGTTGTCTCAAATCTTGAAGTCGTTCGTGGTCGCGCTGGTGGTCAGCGCGACCACCGCGTCGGCACAGAATTCTGGCAATTCGCTCGTGAGCCGCAGGCTCACCGAGTATCTGATGCCGGTCGCTACGGAGACACATGAGTTTGCACGCGTGCCGAACTCGAATTTCGTGCTGTTGACGCAGATGTCTGACAGCGAGTTGATCAAAATCGAGCTAGATGCCACCACCGAAGAGCCCATTGCTTTCCAATCGTTCCCTTTGGGAAAGAACAGCAGTTCTCAACTACACGGCGTCTGGCCTTCGACGGTGCACCCCGGCATGATGTGGTTGTCGCTGCAGGCCGACAACAAGTTGCTCCTCGTGGATCCTGGCCAGAACCTCACCACTGCGCCGTCCATCATACAGACGATCGACATCCCGGCTCCAGGAAACGGCCCGCATTGCGTCTTTGAGATTGGCAACCGCGTCTGGGCCGGCCTCAAGGTGGCATCCGAGCAAACGGGCCAGTATTACGTCTTCTCCGCCGATGTCTCGAACTCCACGGATCAGAAGTTATACCAATGCCTCAAAAGCCCCGTATTCATCAAGGAAGAGCCTACCACCGGCTTCATCTACGTCACCCAAGATTCGGACTCGTCCATTATGCGCATCAATGTCACCAGCGGCGAGACGACCCAGCTGCCCATCCCGCCCAGCGTCGGCAACAACGCCGTCGGAATGATCACGGCCTACGGTCCCATGAGTGGCGTGTGGTTTACTCTCGCCGGCAATGCCACCGGCGGCACCGGCACCTTTGGCCATATCGGATCCACTGGCGAGATGAAGTTCTTCCAGCTCGAGCACCCAATGCTCGGCGCCAATGCCGGCTTGTTGCACCTCGCCGACGCGTCGAGCGTAGCCGGCGGCCCAGCCTTGTGGCTCTTGTCGACCTCGCTGCTCAGCACTAATTCGCCCGATGCCCTGATCCGCGTGACTTTTGATGCCGGCGTCACCTCCGTTTCCGGCGAGGAGTACATCTCCATGCTCACCCAAAACGCCATGGTTCACCGCGTCTTGCCCTTGGATGCCACGGTTTTGGTTTCTGAGCTGCACACTTTCACCCTCGCTCAGCTCTCGTACAACAACACCATTGCCGGGCAGTGGCTGCCAGCTGAGTCTGTTAGCAACGCGACATATACCCAGCCCGGTTAGAGAGGAGTCTCCCGATGGAAAGCCTCTACATAGATTACATAGCCACTTTGTGGCCGATAGATTACTTAAAATCTAATTCAATCACATTATAAACTTTGATCTTTTGTGCTTGAAGTTTGGAACTTCAAATTTGGCAATAAATTTCCAGGGAACATGCCAACTCTCCTTGATCACCGAAGATGTGAGCTAATAAGCTCGTCGCGTTGATTTCGTCTAGTTTATCAATGAATTAGCCTAATTCACTCATATCACGACTACTTTTGACATGGTGCTCCCCCCTTTGAACAGGGGCATCTGCGTGTATGACTTGATGAGCGGTCTTGTAAGTCAAGCGACCAATGGAGTCTTTGTTGGTCTTCCCCTATGCCGGAACCCTAAACTGCTCGACGCGGTTATGGCATTTTCATTAGATATCCCCATCGGCACATCATTGCTTCATTTCATCTAAGTGCGTCTCCGACCAGTCCTGGTACCATTCATCACTCTCCCAAATCGTATTCACACCAACCCAGCCCACAGAGATTCTTCGCCCCGAGATCCGTCGACGATTGAGGAACTCGACCGTTAAGGATACCTTGGAACCGCTGGTATCTTCGTGTCTGAGCTGTAACTTAAGAATACTTAGTAACTGAAATATTTCTCTCTCTAAGATCCTAAGATCCTAAGCCACTATGATTAGCTATTAGGAAGGTAACTCATATTACTACATAGCTTGGCGGTTATCAATAGGAAAGCAAAGTGGTGATTGGATGATTGTCAAAAGTTAACTCCCATAATATCAGTAAGGGGGTGTTGAAAACTTTTCGTGGGTCACAGTAGCTGGAGCTCAGTAGGGTGTACTTTTTCATGTACTCCACTCTTTTTTGGCACAGAGTTCTTTGGGTGTCGAGCATCTGTTGTGCTCGATCACGTTACCGGTGCCCTTCGTGTTGATGAGCAGATCGAGGGTATTGTGACGGAAGATATTCCCAACGACCTTATTGCCCGAGGCAATCGCTAGAGTCCCAGTCGACTGGTCGTCGACGATTGCAAGGCCTGCAGTGGCGCCGCCACTGGTTTTATTGGTTTGTCCCTGGATGATGTTGTGTCTGGCAACGGTGTTTACCGCCCCGGATATGATGATTCCGAATACACTCTCTGGCGGGCAAGTTGGATTCGATGCGTCGATGTGATTGTCATGAACCTTGGCGTCCTTGATGAAAGGATCAATGAAGACCCCAATGCAGCAGTTACTGATACCATTGTTTCCCACGTCGGCGCCTGATGTGTCGATACAGAGAGCGATGATATACCCGGAGATGTAGTTTTTCGAGACCTGGGCACCAGCGAAATTGTCCACACAGATGCCGATGAACTTCAGGCCCGTTTCTGATATCACCGTATTGTCAGCTACTATGGTGTTTGTTGAGCCGTCCGAGAGCAAGCCGTACTGTCCACCGTTAATGAGCTTATTCTGAGTCACGCTAACATCCTGGCCTCCGACTACCGCCACGTTCTCGCCCGAGAAGTTCTTTATCTGAAAGCCGCTGATTGATACGCCCTTGACCGGCTTGCCTACCGAGATGACCTTTCTGTGTTCGGACACAAAGGGCGCCAGGACGACCTTAGATCCGAGCACGCAGATACCCGCCTCGGTTTTGTCACCGGCAAGACCAGAACATAAATTTGAAGCAGCAGAGAAAGGAGGGACGAGGATGGCGTCGTGTCCAACCAGGGAAATCCCGTCCTTGTCGATCGTCAACTGCTCGGCATAGGTTCCAGGCTTTACAACGATAGTATCATGGGGAGAAGCTTTGTTGATCGCGGCCTGAATGGAGTGGCCGGGCCAGACCCGTATTTTGGCACCCGTTGCGGAGCTGACAAGCCCAAACGTAAGCAGAATGAGCGCAAGACATACTGTGCCGGAGGGTCGAGGAGCACGTCGCGTCATTTAGGCCTTGCTGCGGTCGTGTCCTTTGTGAGTTGTGTATCGTTGTTGAATTATGTGGAGATAGAACACGTTTCTTCTGGCTGAATGATCAGTGAGTTGCAGGAAGAAAGAACCACGAATAAATACGAAGAGCTTATATAGAAGCAAGATCGTTCTGCTCTGGATATAATATCCAGGGTGATGCTATCATGACTTTTTTCTGAATACGAAGAACCCTAGGATATAAACGTCATGATACCGGAGATGAGTATCATTCAATGATAATTAACTTTCATATGCAGTATCAATCATCGCTGAACCTATCAATTTCCGCGCTAATTATTGCCAACTTGTCTCTAGATATGATCTTAGATCTAACCAAGTTTTCCAGACCGAACAATGATCCAATCATATATCTTTCCCTTTCCAGGCCATAGATACATTACCTGTATTGGTTGGTATCTTGTCCTACTGACACTATCGCACTTTGAAATATTTTGTGAGATAGGTCTGGTATGTACTTCTCGTAGTAGTGCCTATACAGGCCCTAATATTTATGATACAGGACCCGACCAGAAAAGCACGCAAGCACTGCTAGAGTGAATGACTGGTTTGCATTAAAATCATGGAAGAATAATGGAGGGGAAATTAAAGGCCAGTAAAAAGGATGTCTAAACTCGGAGATTTGTTTTCAAGAATATCGGAGAACCATACACTCCCAAACTCTGGTTTAGAACACTAGATATCAGGTGTGGTAGTCAGCAACAATAGCGCAGAATGTCCCATCTAGCAGACTTGCTTAATATTCCCACGCCTATCAGGGCACCACTCAACGAGCCACATACGTTGTTGACTCCCTCGGCCATTACCCCGCGAATCTCGGCCTCTCCACGGCTCCTGATTCAAAGCAAAACTTTCCATTTAGCAGATTCTCTTGACTGTACCATGAAGCTTAGGCTGCTAGCGTCCAGCGAAGCCCGAACCCTTCACTTTCTGGAGTTGCTAAATCAAGTACTAGGATTGGTGGGTAACAGTTCCGTGTTCAGATGCCAAGATGCCTAAGAATTGAAAAGCGAACCGCACTCAACAAACTCTTTAGAATAGGTTTGTATTTCTATCTGTTAGCCAGTCCCAATCATGTGTATCTTGGGTGAAATCGTTTGTTTGCCTTGCTGCGTTGCGCACAAGCCTGATGGACCCATTGCTACTCATCTCTCCACTTTGCAGTGCCATTGATATACACGAACGTTTGACTCAAGACAGTTGAGGACCCGTTGTCATTCATCAACTTTTAAATGGCTCTAAGCTACTGATTATGTGAAATAAGAGTTCTATAGGAGATTCTGTCCAGTTTCAAGGGAGTCGTGAATGTAAATATCTTTCAGGCATCCAGTAGCCTACTTCCACCAAAGGTCAGAGAATGAACACTGCGATGCTTATGTGACTAGGGAAGGCGTGAGTGACGTAGATGTCTTACAATTTTGGTTTATTAGTTCTTGACTGTAGTCAAAAAGAGGCTACTCGACTTGCGCAAGGTTAAGTGGATGCGTCACGGAAAGTCTTTGGTCAGGGAGCTTACATAATACTCACTGGGTTGTGCTCAGTCCCACTTAGTGGGCAAAAGCGGCGAGGTTCTGAGTAACTAGTAAAATAGAAAGGGAAAGACGAGTCGTGACAGAGGAAATGCTGTACGCAGGTTTTATTTGTACATTTTGGCAGGTTAGCTGATACTTAGGATACGGGCAGACATCAATGACTATATGGCTGCAGTAGTATTTCTTTCTACTTAAACATGAATGTGCCGTAGCAAGCGGTGTCTCCCGTTTTAAGGCCACTTGCCCATTGATCTTCGATTGAGAATAAAGCATACCCTCATACTCAATAACAATGGAGAGGAATAATCAGCAATACCAGCTTACCCTCTATTCATGAAATGAGTATTTAGCGTCTCGAGATAAGCAATGTAGTCTCACCGCAAAGTTGATCTAAGGCAAGCAAGCAATATGTTTGGTTTGAAATCTCGAATTTCTTGGACTGGATGCAAAGTGCTGCAGGCAATAGGTCACATAATATCGAGGGACAGGTCTTCCAAACGCCGTTGGACGAACCGCCAATTCTACCCGATATCCCAGGTTACTCCTAGCCGAATAGATCGACTACACAGTGCTCTATTCTATCACTCCAGAACTGAATCTCCGGCCGTCCGCTAGTTACTGTCCATATCCGATCCGTGTTTGCATTCACAAGTACAGTCAATTATCTCCTAGTGCCTCCGAACAATGTCGGACGAGAGATTGATATATGAGCACGCCCTTTTCGGGCCCTCATCCCGATAATCCAACAGAATGGCCCCACGGACTGACCGCGGACTGTCCAGACCCCACCCCCGGAGCTAAGCCCGGAGTCCAGAAGAAGACTTTGAGTGGTGCAATGGATGATAAAGCAGGTAGAAAGTGGAGACGAGTTGGCCTCAAGCGGGTGAAACTAAACCAGGCTAGAGCTCTGTTTGTCGATTCCCTACTCTTCGTGGTTTAGCGGCGATGATACAACCGCAATATGCCCAGGGATCACACTCGGAGTTTAGCCCTGGCACAATGGCCGAAGGCGCGACCGAGCCCGACCGCGGGTTTTTCATTTTGGGATCTCTTTTCTAATTTTTGCGGTCGCGGGCGATTTTAAGCCTTTTCTTGTTCTTGTATATAATTCACTTGCCCCGGCCATACATCTACGACGTCGACATCTTCGCCAGAACAACACTGCTGGTCCCTCGAATAAAGCGGCCTGTTGAACCAGCATCTCAGAGCGATATATTCACGATCACAAATCAGGTTTTCTGCCGAGGCTCCGGTTCCAAAGCTGGCGGTTTAGAGTTTACTGTCTTTCGTGAAGGACTCACAACTGCCGAAGTAAGTAGCATAGCATCACATTGCATCGTGGATTCGGCAGGGACATTACGGTTAAATGAAAGCGCAAATACTGTTACTTTCATCGTGCCTTCTGGTCGAATACCCCCCTGGCAGTCAATATGCTTTTGCACTATCTTCAGTCTATGCGATAGGTCGTGTATCCAAGCTTCTAACACATGCGTTGTCGTACAGATTGCTCTTGAACCCAGTCGCATGACTTGGTGGCCGACAAAGACTCGAAAACCTCAAGTGAATAACGAGTGTGACTACTCGAGTGTCTGTCAGAGACAGCAAATTCTGGGAAATGGCTGTCAGTAATGAGCATGCGACTCCCTCCATCGACAGTGCTACCACAAAAACCGCGCCGTCAGTGGATTCAACGCCGGCCATGAGCGACCATGTAAACGAGGACCTTGAGAAGGGGACTCGTACGACCGATCCCGTCGAGGCAGAGAAGCACGATCTCAATGTAAACCCGCTATCAGAGGAAATTGAGGGCACCACTCCAGCTCCCGCTGGTCCTCCGGGGCCTGGCCCTCCACCGGATGGAGGAGCTGAAGCATGGTTGGTCGTGCTAGGAGCCTTTTGCGGACTGTTCGTCAGTTTTGGCTGGATCAACTGTATGTGTGTCGGGCTCCTGATCCATGTCAACACGCACTGACTTTGTCTAGGTATCGGTGTCTTCCAGACGTACTACGAAACCCACCAGCTCAGTAATTTGTCCACCAGTACGGTGACATGGATCACATCATTGGAGACTTTCGTCATGTTCTTCGCTGTAAGTCCGCTCTCATCAAGACCAGTCGAGTATCAAGTATATCTAATACTAACCTCGTTCTCAACAGGGTCCCGTTTTTGGTACTCTCTTTGATAGCTATGGCCCCCGATACATCCTCCTGGGTGGCACATTCCTCCACGTCTTCGGCCTCATGATGACCTCCCTCTCAACGGAGTACTACCAATTCATCCTCGCGCAAGGAATCTGCAGTCCACTCGGTGCAAGTGCCATATTCAACGCCAGCATTAACTCTGTCAGTACCTGGTTTGCCAAACGCCGCGCCTTCGCACTGGGCGTCACAGCCTCCGGATCGAGTCTGGGAGGAGTGATCTTCCCCATCATGGTGACAAATTTGATTCCAGAGGTTGGGTTCACTTGGGCAATGCGCATTTGCGCGTTCTTGATCCTAGCTATGCTTGGCGTTTCCAATCTCACCCTCAAGTCGAGGCTGAAGCATACAAGGAAGCCGTTTAACATTATGAATTTCGTTCGGCCGCTGAAGGATGTCAAATTCGTCGTCACGGTTGCTGCGGCCTTTTGTTTCTTCTGGGGTATGTTCTTGCCTTTTACGTTTGTTATCACTCAGGCGCAGCGATATGGCATGTCGGAGCATTTGTCGCAGTATCTCATTCCGATCTTGAATGCGGCTAGGTAAGATCCATTCCTCTTTTAATTCGCCCTACTACCCGATGTCAGTGTCTTGTATACTAATCCTTCACTATAGTGTCTTTGGCCGTACACTCCCAGGTTACCTGGCAGACCGCGTTGGTCGATACAACGTGATGATCTTCTTCTCTTATCTCTCCGGCATCCTTGTCCTAGCCCTCTGGCTTCCATCACGCAGCAACGCCCCCGCCATCGTCTTCAGCGCATTGTACGGCTTTGGCTCCGGTGCCTTCGTGTCTCTCGCCCCAGCCCTTATCGCCCAAATCTCTGATGTTCGTGAGGTTGGTGTCCGCAACGGTACCTGCTTCTCGATCATTGCTTTCGCCGCTCTTACCGGTACCCCTATTGGCGGTGCCTTGGTTCCTGATGTTCTGACTGGCTCGTACACGAGGCTGCAGGTCTTCAGTGGCGTGGTCATGCTTGCAGGTGCGACACTGTTTGTTGTCGCTCGGCTTGTTGTCGGTGGCGTGAAGTTTGGCAAGGTATAATATAATGCCTTTGGAAAGCTGGTGATGATCGATAAGGCCAGAGTCCCTGGGCTCTGGTGTTTCAATGGGGTGCATTTCAAACGGTTTAATTGAGCATGATAGACGGATGCATTGGCATTATCACGTAGTGATTCGTTGGGCTGCCACTGACAGCTGATATGTATAATTCAGAGGATATTTAGCATCATAGCTTTTTTCTGGTTTAACAAGAGTACAAAGGTTGCAATTAGCTCAGATCTGAAATTTATATGTAGGCGGCGCAAGGGAGGTTCACTGATGTCAAAACTTTGAACCTTGTCACCGTTGGAATTCGGGGTCTGTGGATGCTCAGCATGCCTATCCACACTCTCGGGTATGGAGATATACTCTCAGTTAAAAACTTCATTCGTCTAATTCAGAACAACCCCAAATCTGCAAAAACTAAACCAAAAACGCCCCAGCACCGTCGCTGAAGGAAGATGCATGAAAACAATCCAACAAATGGCCAAGCCAATGCCTAAGACATGAAAACTGGAAATGCAAAATCACACCAGAACCCCACTCCGCATGTTCTCAACCGTGCGAACACCGACTCCCTTCAACGTACTTAGTTCGGCCAGACTGCCCACTTGGAACTGTGGCTGATCGGAGACTATCTCGTCGGTGGTGCCTGCCGCTTGGTCCATCTCGCAGAGACAGTCGACGATAGCCTCGGCCTTCTTGGCACCAACTCCCTTGAGTAATTTGATCTGACTCACATCCCGCGAGTTGATGATAGAGAGAAGATGGACGGTTCGTGGCGAGACGGAGGGGTCCTCACATTCATCCAGTGTGCTCAGATCACCACCGTTCTGACGGAGAACCTTGGATGTGGCGCGCTTCTTTGGCTTTGGGAGGATATCGTCCTCATCGCTGGAGAATCCATCGCCAGCTTCGCCCATGTAAGTATTATCGAAATCCTCCGCCTGACGTTTGCCTAGTGTAAGAGTCGGCTCCTTCTTGAGAGACAGCATGCTGCCAAATCTACCCTTGGGTGGCGATACATGGGCCACAGATTGACGAGCCTGGGTTTTGCCATGAAGGCGCTCCTTCAAAGCTGCAATCTTAGATGCAAGTTTCTGGTTGTGCGGGAAATGCGGAAGAGCCAGCTGGTACATCCTCAGTGCGGAGCTGTTTTCGCCACGCGCCTGGTGCTGTTTGGCCATGAGCAGGTAGGAGAGACCCTCGGCACGAGCGTCCTCAGTGCCTTCAATGCGCTGTTCGAGCTGTTCCAACCGACGCTGAAGCTGCTCGTTCAGCTCGCGAACCTCAGTCTGCCTTGACTTTTCGCTCACAGCCCGCACAGCCAGAATCTCTTCAACTTTTTTCTCGACCATTTCCTCGATTTTGGCCGCACAAATATCCCCATAGTTCATCTGTGGTGGGACGATGCTGGGACGGGGTGGTTTCAACGTTCGAATAGGATGCGTCTCTGAGAGAGACGTTTTCTTGGGGATCTCGGTGTTTCGGATCTGAGTCACAGCCTTGGCCTGGGTTCGATCGGAGTAGACGCTGAAAGCCTTGAGGGGCTTGTCTTCGTCCTTCTTAGCCGGGTCTTTGACGACAGAAGCAGGCATGTTGACATGTACTGAAGCAGTGAGGGGCTGCAAGGGCTTCCGAGTTGCAGCCAGGGACGGCCGAATGGCCGGTCTGGCTGGGCCTTTGAAGATTGGGTCGTTCTCGACTTCTCGTACCTCAATCTTCCTGGTGCGGTTGGCAACATTCAGAGAGCTGATCGTGTCTAGGTGGTATGATCGGACGGGTGCAAGGTTGAGAATCATAACGGTGAGGCCGTTGTTTTGTCCCAATGACAGAATCCGTGTCATCTTAGACTCGCGATAGGGGATACGGTGTTGCTTTTTGGTGATTGCCTCGACACATTGTGCCAGAACAAACAGACTCTTGTTGATACTGGCCGATTCCACCATCCGCTCCTTGTCATTTTCCGTTCGTCGATTATCTTCCGAACCTGCGAGATCGATTGCGGAAGCAGTGCTGACGCGAGTCTTCTCCGGTGTTGTGACGGTCACTTTTACTCCTAAGATTGCGTGGGAGCGAGATGAATGGGCATTCAACTAGCGACAGCATGGTTAGCGAGGTGCGCGCATGGTATTGAGGTTCTTGGACAAACCTTCGTCGCAGATGTTGATCGATTGGTGTTCGCCTGGTCGTAAAGGCCCTCAAACTCCTTCAAACTTGTACAAGCCTTCTCAGTCAGCCCACAGACCACCGTCTTGCCTCCGTTGTCCCGAAGAGGGAGCCCTGCCAGCGTGCGCTTCTCGGGAGGCTCAAACAAGTCATACACCTTGTCATTGTAGATTTCGTAGTAGCTAAGAGAGACCTGCACGGTAGTCTCTCCGTTGCTATCCTTTTCCATCTTTCGACTCCGCCTGTATATGCCGCTCAGGAGTCGGGGAATCACACCTCGTTCCGCGAGACTTTTACCGCCACGCATCGTGTGTGTTTTTCCGGTTCCAGTAACACCATACGCGAAGAGAGTGATATCGAATCCATTGAAAAGGTGCTTGATCGTGGGCGCGACTAATCAAACGACTGTGGATGAGCGTTGACCATTGACATCCCACACGGGGCCCTTCACCAAGCCCCCGACTCGACAAGTCACTCACCTTCTGCATCAAACAACTCTTGCTGTGTCACATCCGCGTCGTAGACCGCATTGAATTGAAATGTGTATTCCTCCCCCTCATTTTTAGGGTTTGGAATGCGAACGACATTATCCCGATCTCTCAACGCCGCCAACTTTCGATCGCCGTTCAGGGATTCGCGCGACTTGGTCTCGGCAGCGCCAGCGGAGGCGCCCGTACGAAGAATGACATCGAGATCTCTTTCAGACTTGAGAAGTGGTCGTACCCGTGCGACGACCCGAACACTCATTGTGACAATGCCCGCATTCAACTCTGTTGACCAATTGCTCTGTTGTCTCTGAGATTTGTGGCTAGAGTTGGTGTTCCAATTCCCTCGTTGAATGGACCGCAGGCATGCAAGTGAAAGAAAAAGAAGGAAAAGTATCGATAAAATCCCCCAAAAAGAAAGAAGAGAAAAAACTACCTACTGTGGTGGACGGCGATGCAAGATTGGAGATTGAAGATGTGGAGGTGTTCGTCTGCAGCGGAAGACAGTGTGGTGGGTTGTGTTGACCGGGCAACCATTCTTGCCTTACCCGACCACATTCCTTTTGATTGCTCTGAGTGCTCCCGTCGGTAGTAGAAGACGGAGAGGGCTATGAGAACAGCAGGATATTGACAGTAAGTCATACGGTAGCATAGCTCTATTTCGAAGTATAGTCTCGTGACGCCGAGCAAGATCGACTGGCCTATGCCCATGCACGGACTAATGCTAGTGGGATCGAGCATCGGGATACTCATACCAGCTACCAGGCGGGTTAACAATGGCGGATATACAAGCAATAACAGAGATCAATGGTCACGGCATCTGATGCCTATGCCTGTCAGGAAATGTCATAAGTTGTTGTACCGTAAGCCCACTCCGTTTCTAAGCATATCTTTCACCATTTGGATATCACCGCCCTGTATACTTCCAACTCGTCCTTGGCCGAGCTCTCATGTGCCTGCGACCCCGTGATTGGCTGGCCCGCCACAACCTAAAGGCCACCTTCGCCATCACCGCCTCCTTTGCTTCCCACTCCCCCTCCGTCCCTGTATCTCTGGTACGATCTAACCCCCTCTCTGTGCTTGTCTGCTTTGCTTGGACGGACGACCTGCCTTCGACGGTCCCATATTGACCCCAATCCGGTCGACGAGAAAGCTGATTGTGGGGATCTAGCGAAGCTGTCACCCGTGACCCCATATCAAACACAACCTCCCTCCCTCCGAAATTCGTCGCCCATCCCGACTCTCCAATCCCGCGGAGGAATTCACTTTCGCATAATTCGATCGCTAGCAGATCTTCATGGCAGCTCCACAAGGGGGTTACCCTCCCCAGGAAGGGTACGCTCAGCCCGGATATGTCTCTCCGGATCCCACACAACAGCAACAGCCCGCCGCCCCCCCGCAGGGAGCGCCGCCCACTGGCGCCGCAGCCAAGAAGAAGAGAGCATACGCCGGCGAGGCCTTTGAGTTTGGTTCTGGTGCCAATGCCGCGCTGGGAGGTCAGCCCACCGCTGGAGGCGCCTACGGTGCTTATCCCCAGCAGCCGCAAGCTGTGGGATATCAACAGCCGACCTACGGCGCCGACCCAGCTCAGATGCAGCCCGCCGCCGCAGGCTATGCTGCTCCATCGGACGGTGTTACCCAAATGACCCAGCAATTCGGTGGAATGGGGATGAGTGAACCACACCACATGCCCCCGCCACAGCCACAGCCCGCGGTGCAGCCCCAACGCAATGTCCAACTCAACCAGCTCTACCCGACAGACCTCATCTCTCAACCCTTTAATGTCGCAGAGTTGGACTACCCCCCTCCTCCCATCGTTCTGCCTCCCCAGGTACGTTCAGAAGCTCCTGTGCTTTATGCAACCTTCCGCCATGCAAGGGTCGCCCAAGATGACTGACAGCCCCGCAGACCAGCGTTTTCGAGTCTGCCACTGCGAATTGCCCTCCCAAATATATGCGGTCCACCTTGAATGCAGTCCCTACGAATAATTCACTCCTCAAGAAGTCCAAGTTGCCTTTTGCTCTCGTCATTCAGCCCTATGCCGCTCTCCACGACGCCGAGGACCCCATTCCTGTCATTACGGATCAAGTCATTTCACGGTGTAGACGTTGCCGCTCCTATATCAATCCTTTCGTTACTTTCCTCGATCATGGCCACCGCTGGCGTTGCAACATGTGTAACCTCACCAACGACGTTCCTCAGGCTTTCGATTGGGATGCCACACACCAGAGGCCTGCTGACCGCGCGCTCCGTGCTGATCTGAACCACAGCATGGTCGAGTTCATTGCTCCTCAAGAATATATGGTCCGACCTCCGCAACCGCTGGTCTACCTCTTCTTGATCGATGTGAGCTATGCTTCGGTTACTAGCGGTCTTTTGGCCGTTATCGCTCGCTGCATCAAGGAGAGCCTCGACCGGATCCCCAACGCGGACCGACGGACCCGTCTTGGCTTTGTCGCGGTGGACTCTAGCCTGCACTACTTCAGCATTCCCCGCGATGGCTCAGTTAGCTCGGAACCTCGTATGCTGGTTATCAGCGACCTCGATGAGCCTTTCCTTCCCATCCCCGGCGACCTCCTGGTGACTTTGAGCGAATGCCGGGAGAATATCGAAACCTTCCTGGACAAGCTGCAGACGATGTTCCAAAACACCCAGAACAACAGCTGCGCCATGGGTTCAGCTCTGCGTGCCGGTTATAAGCTGATTTCACCCGTTGGAGGTAAGATGACTGTGCTGAGCGCATCCTTGCCCAACATCGGACACGGCGCTCTCACGATGCGTGAGGATAAGAAGGTGCTGGGTACGAGCAAGGAGTCTGCGCTTTTGCAGACCGCCAACTCCTTCTATAAGAGTTTTGCAGTGGAATGCTCCAAGGCTCAGGTGTCCGTTGATATGTTCCTCTTCTCGTCCCAATACCAGGACGTGGCCTCTCTTAGCTGCTTGCCCCGGTACACTGGTGGTCAGACCTACTTCTACCCTGGCTGGAACGCCGCCCGGTCTGAAGATGCCATGAAGTTTGCCCGCGAGTTCTCCGAGTATCTCTCCTCTGAGATCGGCCTGGAGGCTGTGCTCCGAGTGCGTGCCACCACTGGCCTGCGCATGAGCACCTTCTACGGTAACTTCTTTAACCGTAGCTCCGATCTCTGCGCGTTCCCCGCGTTCCCCCGCGACCAGGCCTACGTTGTCGAGGTTGCTATCGACGAGACCGTGGCCAAGCCGGTTGTGTGCTTGCAGGCCGCCGTTCTTCACACCACCTGTAACGGTGAGCGCCGGATTCGGGTCATCACCGTTGCTCTGCCTACTACCACGAACCTGGCCGACGTCTACGCTTCGGCTGACCAGCAGGCAGTGGCCACCTTCTTCAGCCACAAGGCTGTTGAGCGTGCTCTGAGCAGCGGGCTGGAGCCCGCTCGTGAGGCTCTTCAGACGAAGATTATTGAGTTGCTGTCGACCTACCGCAAGGAACTTGCCGGTGGCAGCGTCAGCGGCAGTGGTCTCCAGTTCCCGGCCAACCTGCGCGGTCTGCCCGTCCTCTTCCTTGCTTTGATCAAGAACGTAAGTCATGCTATCCCATCCGTGATCAGAGTTGCGTTCTTTCGTGGAGACTAATTTGATTCCGATATAGCTTGGTCTTCGCAAGTCTGCTCAGATCCCGACGGATATGCGGTCCGCTGCCCTTTGCCTTCTGTCGACTCTGCCCCTGCCCCTTCTCATCCAATACATCTACCCGAAGATGTACTCTCTCCACGACATGCCCGACAATGCCGGTGTGCCTGACGAGCAGACGGGTGAGATTCTTCTTCCGCCTACCGTCAACCTGTCGTCAGGCCGTATCGCCTCATACGGTCTGTACCTGATCGACGATGGCCAGACACAGTTCCTGTGGGTCGGCCGCGACGCCGTTCCCCAGTTGATTGAGGATGTGTTCGGTGTAGCAGACCGAAACCAGCTGCGGGTGGGTAAGACGACTCTGCCCGAGGTGGATAACGAGTTCAACCAGCGGGTGCGGGCGGTGATTGAGAAGAGTCGGGACCACCACTCGAAGGGTGTGGGCAGTATGATCGTGCCTCACCTATATGTGGTGCGCGAGGATGGCGAGCCTGGTCTACGCCTTTGGGCCCAGACGATGTTGGTGGAGGATCGCGCGGACCAGAGCGTCAGCCTGGATCAATGGATGACGACGCTGCGGGAGAAGGTATGCTGATGACCTTTGACAGTTTTCTCTTCCGATCTCTTCAAAAGTCATTTCTCTCCGACTGACTCCTCTGCTCTACCAGGTTGTGCAGTAACATGCTCTTCCTTTTTGTTTGTTGTAATTGCTCCTCTCTCTCTCCCCTGTCCTTATCTCCTCCTTTACCCATCATCTCCTCAAATACGCAAATTTCATGAATTCCCCCACGTCTTCCGTCCTCTCGTCCTCTCGTTCGATCTCCCGCCTGTACCATTACGGATGAAGGGCTCGGATTTCTCTATGCGGGCATCCTCCCCCCTTCCCTATTTTGGAAAGTAGACCAGGGTATCTTTTGTTCGCGTTTTGCTTCTCTTTTGTACGTTCTCCTTTCGAAGTGTTCTCCTTCTAGGGCGCCTAGAAGCCCGCAGACCATCTACGCCGGCCACGAAGTAATTCTCCCCCCGAAAATCGATGTGTTCATGTTATTTTTGTCTCCCACGTTGCGCCTCAGCCTCAATAGTTTCATTAGTGGCATTAGCGGCTTTTTGGTCGCCCTTCGTTAGTTTCACTAGTCCCGGGAGGTAGTACCAGTTGAGTCTGCGGTGCAGTACTACAGACCGTTGTACCTCGTCCATATTCTTAGTACGTATTCCTCCCTCCGTACATCCTGTATTTGGCTGATTTCCGTCAATCACTCTTCCTACCCGTGTCTCTCGTATTTTATTTCAACTCCTCTCCGGGTTGATCATCACTCCAATCAAAAAGCATCAGACACCGGCTTGCTGGTGGTGAAACCCGGAGGAGAAGCGGTGCTCCAATCACAACGCCCGAGGAGCGGTCCGCGGGTGGAGACGGCGAGTCACTGTGATTGTGACCAGTTCCGACAGTAGCGCGGGTTCAGTCTGGCTCGAGAGAGGAGGGTGAGCCCATTTGGCGCTGGTGGCGGGAACTCTGTTTTGGAAAATGGGAGAAGGGAAGGAGATGAGATGCTGGGAGAGGGTAACTGGATGGTAACTAGGGAGTACAGTGAACTATAGTAATGGGTGTGGTGCACTCCGTACGGCAATAGTGTCTGGAGTGGAGAAATGGCCCCGTCCAGAGCCAAGGTTCAGTCGAAGAGAAAACATGAAACCGACAGATGATTTTCCCAGGGGGATCAGATGCTTAAAATGAATCATGTCAACCTATCTACGCAGCGTACGATGGGAATCACCAGGTTGTCAAGGCCTAGAAGCCTCGGACTGGATAGGTCCAAGACGATCAGTCCTCATACATCATCGGGGGGCCATAGGGCCATAAGAATGCATGGCCAAGGATTGGTAGAATATATCACAGTCACATAAGATCAATGGCCTCTTTACCAATCGCAATCGCAATTAAGAATAGTACCCAGCCTTCTTGGAGCATAACGGACGTCTGCCCCAAATAGACTCGTCTCCATTTCCTCTATATTCCTCTTCGTATCCTCCCAATCCTGATATTCCACAACTATAACCAGCTCTTGCATCTTGCTCCTTTTGTCCTGCAAATTTCTGATTCCAGCAATCATTTTCATATAGTCTTGTTTTTTTGCCCTTCTAAATCCCCCAACTAATTCCCCCCTGCTGGACTTTTGCCCCACCACGCCCGACACGGCGGCCCGTGGCTGAGTCCCGCTGATTCCTCTCCTCTCCCCACCTAACACTAACACCTCCCATCTTCCAAACTTGCAGACGAGAGCAGCGGCGAGACACAAACAGAGGAGAGAGAGAGAAAAATCAAAAGCAACAAGTCAGGTATGTTACTGTAGCCCTGATTCATTGATTCATGGTGCGATAGTCCTGGTCGGACCCCCATTTCCTATTTGCTGCTCTTGTTTGCTGGCGATCACCCGCCAAACCCAAACCCCGCCTCGGCACGGCTTCGTCTTCCCTCATTCACTTTGCATCTTCACCATCGTTCAACAGCTCACTAAACCAAGACACCACACCCTCTCAGCCTCCCGAGACCTGCTCACCCCCTGGCGGTACCCTTCTCAACCGATACACACCATCGGAGCGCCATCGCTCGTCCTACTTGCCGCAGATTTACTCCTCTCCTCCCCCTGATCGCACCGTCGCCAGAGCTCGTCAACCGCTCTTTCCCTCCCATACTCGCGACACCCCCCGATTGTGCAAACGGTCATAGAGAACGAGGACAGAGATCCATACCGAGAAGGCCTCGCATTCATACCCAGAGCGCACACGAATGTAAGCTCGTCTTTACCCTAGTCTCGCTTTTTTTTTTCTCGTGGATGCGCCGTTTGTCCCCCCAAACTTGGATACTCGTGGTCATTTTGCTTTTGAATCCTGGGTTCTCGATCTCGTCACAGCTCCCTGCCATCGAGGTGCATCGATCTGTCCCCTGTTGAGTGTGACAAGGCTCTCTGGAATCCCAGCTTTGCTATCTTACTCCCCCGCATCATGGAATGCTTCCCGTTCTCTCGTGCCCTATCCTGGGCTTTTTGCTCGACCAATGGAGCTAACCGTAGACCTCAGCCCCACAGAACCGTCAGGATGGTCCAACAGACCCCCGCACAGGCAGGATCGCGCAAGATCTCCTTCAACGTGTCCGATCAATATGAGATTCAGGATGTAATCGGCGAGGGCGCATACGGTGTCGTATGGTAAGCATCTTCCTTACTAGAGGCTTGGAGTCTCGTGCTTGACATTTGATGCTTATGATAATGCAGCTCCGCCATTCACAAGCCTTCCGGCCAGAAGGTTGCCATCAAAAAGATTACCCCCTTCGACCACTCTATGTTCTGCCTTCGGACACTACGCGAGATGAAGCTGCTGCGCTACTTTAACCACGAGAACATCATCTCCATTTTGGATATCCAACGACCCCGTAACTACGAGGGCTTCAACGAGGTGTACTTGATTCAGGTATGTGGTAGAGAAAATTGGATGGTCCCACTTGCTTCGACCATACTGACTCGTCGCTTGCAGGAGCTGATGGAAACCGACATGCACCGTGTCATTCGTACGCAAGATCTGTCAGACGATCACTGTCAATACTTTATCTACCAGACGCTGCGCGCGCTGAAGGCTATGCATTCCGCCAACGTCCTGCACCGCGATCTGAAGCCTTCTAATCTCCTGCTCAACGCCAACTGTGATTTGAAAGTGTGCGATTTCGGTTTGGCCCGCTCGGCCGCCTCGACCGACGACAACTCCGGCTTCATGACGGAATATGTGGCTACTCGCTGGTACCGTGCCCCGGAGATTATGTTGACATTCAAGGAATACACCAAGGCCATTGACGTGTGGAGTGTGGGCTGCATATTGGCCGAGATGCTGAGCGGCAAGCCGCTCTTCCCTGGAAAGGATTGTATGTGACAGACCCAGATTGGCTTTCCTAAGCCTTTTCCGTCCTACATGCCACCCTGGTCAATCCACTAACGCTTGACATCTAGACCACCACCAGCTCACCCTCATCCTGGACGTCCTCGGCACGCCGACCATGGAAGACTACTATGGTATCAAGTCCCGACGAGCACGCGAGTACATCCGCTCTCTCCCCTTTAAGAAGAAGATTCCCTTCCGCGCTCTTTTCCCCAAGAGCAACGATCTGGCCTTGGACCTGCTCGAGAAGCTACTGGCATTCAACCCAGCCAAGCGCATCTCCGTTGAGGACGCCCTGCGCCACCCGTACCTGGAACCATACCACGACCCAGAAGATGAGCCCACGGCGCCGCCTATTCCGGAGGGCTTCTTTGATTTCGACAAGAACAAGGACACGCTGAGCAAGGAGCAATTGAAGCGTGAGTTGAATTTTGGTCTTATGGCACTTTCTCTCTCTGTGAGAGAGATGTGGTCGGAGAACGAACACGTGCTAACTGATACGTTTTCCTCTAGTGTTGATATACGAGGAGATTATGCGGTAGGACGCACCGCGCGAGGGATCATAGCAATACTTTTTTTTTCTTCTTCTCTGTCTTTCTGGAGCATGCATTCATTCGATCAACTGTCAGCCTGGACGCGATTTTGCCGTGGTTAGATAACAAGGACAAACTCTGCAGATAGCCATCTACGAGGTGATCTGTCAATTCCAAAAATCCAATCAACGTTGAAAACGAACGAGACATTGTAGTAGGTAGAGCTACGGTCGAAGACCTTGTCAGCTTATACTAGGCCTGTAGCGCGTCAATCCGATTCTAGAAGATTATATATACAAGAAATTCTAGGCAGCCATCTCTATAGTCTACAAAAGATCATGTCTCACCTCCGTGCAGCCAAAAACCTCCGAATCCCCTCCTCAATCCCCTCCGCACTAGGCCTCTCCGCACAAACATCCGCCTCAAACCCAAACCTCTCCCTCAAATAGTCCCTCGTCGTCGGCCCAATAGTCGCAACAAAAACGTCCCCGCGCCTTCCTTCCCCATCCCCATCTTGACCAGCAAACGGCCCCATCCCAAGAACCCTCAGCATCCCCTCACACCCCGTCGGCGAGAACACCACCACCCAAATACTTCCCCCGTCCCCACTATTTTTGTGCCTGGCTATCTCCTTGCTAACCGCATCCCGGAAATCAACCTCGAACGAATCCATTTCCCCCGTTTCGTAGACGACGATTTCGTCGACGGGGACGCGCTGCTCCTCGGGTCTGGACGGGTCCATGAGTGTTTTGGGGATGATATCCCGGCGCTGTTCCCCGACGAGGAAGAGGAGGGACGGCTTTACGGAAGCGACAGAAGATGGTAGGTCTCGGTAGAGCGCGTTGTAGTGCTCCAGTATCAAGTGCGCCAGATTCTGTCCGTTCCCGGTGTCTGCGCCGTGGATTGTAGCTGTGGGAAGGTATTTGTCGCGGAGGGTTGTCAGGGCGCGGGCTGTGGCGGGGCCGACGGTGTAGAGGGGGAGGGGACGTGTTGGTGAGGGTGTGAATGGAACTATGTTTCTTATTAGCTACGAGGTTATCACAAGTTTGATTGAAGGTAGGGCATTGAGGTTTCGTGGTTGGATGGGGGGTGGGTGGATATAATTCCACGTACGGCCGTTTTCTTCGATCATCTCTGCAAAGGCCTCCACCGCACGTTGACTTGTGAATATCATACCGCCATACTTCTTTTCATTTCCGTTGGACTGTTGAGTTTCATGGGTAGCTAGAGGAGGGGCAGGGTCTGTATTGAAAGCGCCGGATGCGAAGAGCTTGCGCACGGAAGCTAGGTTCTCGGCGTGGAAGCGGTGTTCGAGGACGGGGATGAAGGACGGGGTGTAGCCGTTTGTGGAGAAGAAATCATCGTAGCCGTCGTGGGGGGTGGATTTTGTTTTGAGGAGGAGGATAGGCGGTTGAGAGGGCATTTTGGTGTGCACGTTCGTGGTGTATGTAGAGCAGTTGGAGATGGAGGGGGGGAGATTGGAGAGGAGATAATGTTATCCGATTGCGGGGCGGAGCTTATTACGTCCACTTGGGAGCTTATGCAGGGGATATTACAGAGTCCAGTGCGGAGTACTGATTATGTGTGGATAAGTACTCTCATGGACAGTGGATGATCGTACGGAGACCATTGTATAAGAAATAGCATTGACAAATGAGATTGATTTTGATCGAATCCAGACAGCACAAGGAAATAAGATTCGCGTCTAGGAGGCAGCTTATGTACACATTAAAAACACAACTACTGGTCGTCCAGCACATGCAGGTACTTCTTCTCCTCACGGCGCTCACGCTCGGTCGCCGGGGGAAGGTCGTAGTAGGAGGCACTACGGTATCCCTGCAAGTAGTGGAAGGTCAGGTCCGCGAGGTCGGCAACCTCGTTCATGCCCAGATCCTTGAAGGTCTTGGCCTCGGGGTCAATCTCCTGATCGATGAACTCGCGCTCGACCTCGTCGGCGGACATGGTGTGCCACCAGAGGTACTTGTTGAGGTAGTGGGCGAAGGGCTTGAGGAGAGCCTTGGGCACGTTAATATGGGTGCGCTTCTTGACGATTTCACGGTCCACCAGTTCGGCAATCTCGGCGGTGGAGTAGTTCTTGGGACCGTAGAGCTCGAAGGTCTGGCCAACGGTGCTGTCGTCGTGCAGCATCTTCTCGAGGGCAGCACCGACATCAATGGCCTAGAAAGAATGGATTAGTTGATGATTGAGGAGACAAGTTGGGTCACGCGACTTACGTGGACTGGCCAGTAGCGCTCCTGCATGTGGTTGGCAGTGAACAGGTTGGACACGCCAGCGAGCTTGTGAAGGAGGTTGTCCTCGAAACCGAACATCGGCGCAGGGCGGACGATAGTGGTCTCGGGGTATATGGAGCGAACGACCTCCTCACCCCAGGCCTATAGCTGCGTTAGTATCTCCATGTACGTTACGTAGGTAACCACAATAGCAACCAACCTTGGTGGCAAAGAACTCAGAGGGAGAGTCCCGGCGGGCATTGTAGGAGGAAACGTGGATGAAGCGGTCCACGTCGTACTTGGCGACAGCCTCGGCGATGCGCTCAGCGCCGTCAACGTGCACGTCGGCGTAGGAGAAGTTCCTGAATTACCGTCAATTGACCATTCCAGCTTCAAAAATGCTTGACGGGGCACTCACTTGGTAGGGTATTGGCGACCAGTCAGGTTGTAAACGACATCGGAGTGGCGGACGCTCTCCTCGATGGACTGGGTGTTGCGGAGGTCGTATTCCTATGGGCGAGTCAGACAACCTGCGTCTCCGGTTCGAGTTCTCGCTCCAGTGGGCTCCATACAATGAAAGTAACACGGCCCAGATCACCAGTGACCTTCAAATGACGCTTGGTCATTTCCTCACGGTAGGGGACCACGACATTGCATCCCTGGGTAGCTACGGGATGTCAGTCTCCAATTTCTCTCAACCCATACTCTCAGGCGCAACCCCTCAACTTACCAAGCTTGTTGACAATGTAACGACCCAGGAAACCGGTGGCACCGAAGACGGTCGCAGTGTGTCCTAGACATTAATGGTGAGCATATATCGAAGAGTTGAATCGGATCGAGTCGTCAAGGGCTGAGAGGTACCTCCGAGGGAAGAGCTATGAGGCGTGAGAACGTCAGCAAACAGAAACCCCCAATACCAACGCAATTGAATGCTTACCGGCCACCCTGGACCTTCAGAAGGGGCCTTCCGGTGCGAGTGATAGCGACATCCTGGAGATTGCGGCGCTGGGACTGAACCTGGACCCGCGGGGCAGGGGCAAAGGCCCGTGACCCCAGGGCAGGATTGATGGACCGGCACTTGTGCATGGCCTCTGCGTACGAATCGCGAGACCGTTTGGAGGGGAGTAGTTGCCGATTGGCGTGGGTGAGGAGCAGGTGGATGGTCTTTCGCAGCGTCCGCCTGCAATTCGGGAACACGGGACTCTGGCGCTAGTCCCGTTTCGGAAGCCCTTGATAGTTCTCGACTCCCATGGTGATGACAGCCTCTTTGCTATTAATTTCTGGTCGGAATGGGAAACAAGAAGCTCGAATTTGGATTTGATTTGTTTTTGTCAAGTTGCAATGGCTATTGTGTGGCTGCAACAGTTACTCGTCGCTGAGCACCTACAAAAGATCTGACAAAGTAACGAATGTGATTGGACAGGCACCTGCCCCATCTGCCAGAACGTCTTGATCTATGGCTATACGGCTGGAGTTGGTCTCCAATCTCGTGGTATTGGTATCTTAATAGGTTTGTACTTGGTGTTCGTGCTGGCTCGGATTCCATGGCATGCCCCAAATAAGTAGTGACAATGCTTTTCGTGCATTATGTAAAATGCTCAATCGTGCGGAGCGGATATATAACGAGCGCCCAAGCACGTCCTCCTTTCTTGGCAATATTAGATCAAAGAACATTACTCAATAAAAGATGAACAGGCATCAAGAGATAGCTAGAAAACCCTCCGACTTTGCATTCCCATTCCAGTCGACCAGAATAAGCATAAAAAACCATGTGATCGATCGCTCACTTCCCGATACGTCATGGCGCTCATGCGGGGGAACCGGTCAGTGCCTGAGCACTTAACCTTCCAGATTGCAGTCGGCTTCACACCGCGACTTCTTGTCTGTTACAATTGGAAGCTTCGCAGTGAAATAGCATCAAATGTCATTTAAGGTGGCAATTATTGGCGCAGGGTAGGCTATTCCTCCTTTGATCCTCAATGTCGACTCTAATGTTCCGCATAGCCCTGGTGGCCTAGTCGCCCTCAAGACCTTGCTCGAGTCCTCAACACCAGAACGGCGGATCGAAGCTTGCCTATTTGAAGCGTATGTATCTATCGATCTACCCGGAAGATAAGAGGCTCAGTATTGATAATTGTAATGTCAAGCGAGGCTGATATTGGAGGCACGTTCAATTATCGGTCTTATCAAAACGCAGAACTGGTCAGCAGCAAGCAATTGACCACCTTTTCGGACCACCGCTTGCCGCTTGATAGTCCAGATCATTTATCGCTTCCTGAATATGTGGACTACCTCCGATCTTATATTGCCAAGTTCAATCTGGACGCCCATATCAAGCTCAACAGCCCCGTCGTCCATGTGGAGAGACTACCAGATGGCTCAGAGTGGAAACATCGGGTTAGATATCTGGATGGGACAGACGCAGAGGAGAAGAAGGAGAGATCTTACGACTGTTCTCACATCGCAGTATGCACGGGACTACATGTCGAGCCTAATATTCCAACTATACCGGGAATTGAACATATCACGGGGGATGTATTTCATTCATCGCTCTATAAGGATCGATCCCAGGTGGCAGGCCGCAATGTCCTAGTCTTGGGATGTGGTGAAACAGCTATGGGTAAGTTGTTTGAACTGTTCAGCGGTCCTATATACTGATACTAGAACCTGAAGACATTGCCTATGAATCTATCAAAGCCAACGCTCAATCAGTCACCATGTGCTTCCGAACTGGATTCCTCTCCTTCCCCAAGTCACTCAGTCGCTTTCAGGTCTTTGGCAAGACCTTCAGTGGAGGTCTTCCTATCGACGGTCTCATCACCAATCTATTCGAGACCACATACGTACATCGCGCAGTTGCCCACAGCAGATTACGCTGGTTCGTTTCCGACTTGGTCGCCAAGCGAGTACTGTGGTTCCTAACAGGAACACAGGCTGGCATGAACCAGCACGTCGGTGGTCTACCACAGGAACGACTGGGTCGAGCATTCGTGTTCCTCAACAAGAGTAACAAGGCTATGCCGTACCTGAACCGGCCCTATCAAACACGCAATTCATTTTTGGCTTGTATTGGGAATCGTTACATTGACCCACCGGAAGATGCAAACTCCGACCGAATCGTCGATACATGTACTTGGCCCGAGTATATCGATGAATCAGGCCAAGTCCATTTCCAGGCTGATCCCAACCGGAAGGACTGGCAGCGCTTAAAAAATAGGGTTATAAAGCCTGACTGTGTGGTTTACTGTAGCGGGTCAGTCACCTGCCATGCCTCTATTGAAATCCCCTTGCTGAAGCTAACGCTATCATAGGTACAAGCAAACATTCCCATACCTGGACAGCACATATCCCACTGCATCAGACGCCCATATTCGAAATATAATCCATCCATCCCACCAGGATATCGCGTTCATCGGGTTCGTCCGCCCCGGCGTCGGAGCTATCCCCCCAATCGCCGAGCAACAAGCCATGTGGTGGACAGCTCTGATTACCGGGAAAATGGCATTGCCAACAGACCCTCCACACTATCACCTCCTAGCCGCCAAGACATCGCGCATCCAATATGGTGTCGACCACGGCGCATACATGAGCACTTTGGCGCGAGACTTTGGCGGCGCACCGGGACTGATGGAGTTGTATCGTGAACATGGACTGCGTATTTTGTTGATCTATTGCTTCGGCGCATCTTTTGTCACATTCTATCGGTTAGTCGGTCCCTTCAAGTCACCCGTTGCACCGGAGATTGCGCGAACGGAGCTGGCGGAGACGATCCTTCGACGAGGTATCATTGGGAATATCTCTTTTGGAGTTATTCCCATGCTCTTTTATGGGGTTGTTAATGCCCTGGCCTTGGTACTAGATAGATTTGGGTTGATTCCTGCCGAAGGGAGGATGATGGATAGCTGAGCACAGATACAGAAGTCAGTTAGAATGAATGCACTTAGTCAGATATTGATTATACTCATATTGATGGAATTCTCTTCCCTTGAAGGGATTTGGTGGACACTGGTCGGAACAGGGGCAAAATGGCTGCGCTTGTGCACACCGCGGCTGGCCACGCTATGTACACGCACCGTAAACCATCATTTACCCTTAAATCCCGCCAAAACGAGGTGGAAAGACTTTAAAAAATGGTAGAACATCGGATTAAGTCTATCTAGAATTGATTTCCAAGAAAAAACACAAAAAAGATACGACGGCTATGTCGTAGCAGGATTATTCCAAAGATTGAGTAGAGGAGTATAGTGGGCAAACCACGGCCATCTCTGGTAAAAGGCAAGAAATGGGTTCTGTACTAGCCTGTCCCACTCCTCGGGGGAACGACCGTTATTTCAATTATAACCCCTATCCGCAAAGCCAGGCGTTCCAAGTTCGAAACCCACCACCGTCAGTATTATTCTTTTTCCTTTGACTTCCCCACCGGTTCGAGGGAGCTGACCCCGCATATCGATGACTTCGAATTAATACGTTCGACCTTGACTTTCCTGCGTCTACCATCTACACTGCTTCAATCAATCACACCAGAATCTTATTTTACCGAAAAAAACTGACAGACAACATGTCTTCTGCCGCGTGCATTTTCTGCAAGATTATCAAGGGTGGGTAGCTTCCACGACGCGTACATGACTTGAAGAAGCTCTTGCGCCCCGGTTTCACGAGTATGCAATGGTTTGCTAACAACCGTCCCCATGGTCTAGGTGACATCCCTTCCTTCAAGATCTTCGAGAGCGACAAGGTCTTTGCCTTCCTCGACATCCAGCCTCTCAGCCGCGGCCATGCAGTATGCTGTTCCTCGCCCTTGTTTTGTTCTTCCCCGCACCGATCGCAGAGCGTCTCGATCTGCGTCCTGGAAGCGTTCTCGCCGTTAGATATACCGCAGAACGAATCTGGCCTGCGATCGGCCTTCTCGTGTGTTTCGAAGAGGACAATTCTAACTCGCCGTTGAACAGCTCGTCATCCCCAAGTTCCACGGCGCCAAGCTGACCGACATCCCTGACGAGGACCTCCTTGAGATCTTGGTAAGTCGTTACCACCGGGAGTATGGTAGACAATCAAGAAAGAGGGGATACGAGAGGATGAGAAAGAGAGTCAATCGCACGGACTGGATGTTGGCTAGGAGCTCGGGGGCCACCAGTCCCCAAGGTCCCTATCCAGGAGCACCAATCAACAGAGGGCCAGCATCAATGGGGTGATAGCGATGGTGATAACTTCGCAGGTCTCTTGACTAACAAGAATTCGTCTCATATAGCCCGTCGCCAAAAAGATCGCCCTCGCCAGCGGCGCTACCGATTTTAACATTCTCCAGAACAACGGCAGCATTGCGCATCAGGTCGTTGAACACGTGAGTGCACGCACGTCAACTTCACTTTCAAGCAATATAGCAGTACGCTAACTATCCTATCATAGGTTCACTTCCACATGGTAAATTTTCATCAACGTCCCTTTGCAACGATCTCTCGAATGCCACTTTTGCCGCATACAAGAGTCTACATACTGACCATTGTTTTACAGATTCCCAAGCCTAACGAGCAGGAGGGTTTGGGCATTAGCTGGCCTGCCAAGGAGTCGGACATGGATAAGCTGAAGGCTCTGCTTGAGGAAATCAAGTCTAAGATTTAAAGGATGGGGAAGTAGTCTTGTCACGGACAGCAAGGTTCTATGAAAACTGAGCAAACTAGGCGACCGATGGGCAACCCGTCAACTTTTCTCCTTTATCCCTTAGTTGCTTCATTACAGGCTGCAGCCCTAGATGTCTGTCTTCAGCTGAATATAAGAGACCAGGCTATCTGGTAGTATACCTGTATGGATGTTTGATGACTTCCTTAAATTTGACCCCCAGCCCGTTGATTATAAACCACCGCTACTCAAGACTGGGGGTGGATTCGTATCTTGGTCTAGCAGTAATGAGCTGCTAAACTCGAATGATATGCCTCCACACGCAGGGGTTCGATTCTCACAGTTTGCCTCCTTAACCAACCAGCGCTGGCCAATGACTCGAACCAGACATGTTTTTATGGTTTACGTGGACCACTTTGGGCCGCGTCCAGATAAAGTCTGGAGCGTCGTGTGTCTTCATGATTATAGCCCAACACCTTCTCTCGCCCCTGAAGAGCTCGTCGCAACATGGTCTTGGCCTCTTCAAACCGATGCTGGTCATGGAGACAGACACCAAGCCACTGTACAGAATCGAGTGTGTCCATGTGATCCTTGCCCAACACTTTCCCTCGCACCAGGAGAGCTTGTTGAAATAAAGTCTCGGCCTCTTCATACCGACGCTGGCTATAGGCAATTTGACTAAGCCATTGTGAAGGATTGAGTGTGTTTTTCTGATCATAGCCGAACAACTTCTCTCGCCCCCGGTCAGCTTGTCGAAACATATGTTCGGCCTCTTTATACCGATTCTGGCTATGGAGACAGACACCCAGCCAATGTACAGAATCGAGTGCGTTTTCATGATGGTAGCCCCACACCTTCTCTTGCCCTTGGACAGCTTGTCGAAACATAGTCTCGGCCTCTTTGTACCGGTTCAGGTTACAGAGGCAGACACCAAGCTATTGTGCAGAATCGAGTGTGTCTTTATCATCCTTGCCCAGCACTTTTACTCGCCCCTGGAGAGCTTGTCGAAACACAGTCTCGGCCTCTTTATACCGGTTCAGGCTACAGAGGCAGACACCAAGCCAATGTACAGAATCGAGTGTGTCTCTATGATGCTTGCCTAGCACCTTCTCCCTCCCTTCGAAAGTTTGTCGGAACATAGTTTCTGACTCTGTTTTTTGACCCCAAATAATGAGTGAGATGCCTTTCCAATGCCATTTTTCGAGCTCGATAGGGCTGGGCTCAAGAGGGCTGGGCCCAAGAGGGCTGGGCCCAAGGGCCCCAACTTGGTAAAGTATAGACTGTGGGTTTGTGGTCCCCGAGGAAGTGGCTGGCTTCTCTCCCTGTGCTGTAGTGGCCTTTCCTTGGGAACCGTTTACCGCTTCTGGTGTGGTAGTTGAACCAGGCATGTCATGAATGACAGCCTTCGGGGTTTCCAAAGAAAGTTTTGTAGTCCATGAGGCAAAGTCTTCCAGCAATGTTGTCTTTGGATAAGGAATCTCCGATTCGCCTTGAACAGCTGTCGTAGGATTTTGGGGTATCAGTGGTTGTATCCACACGTTTGATAGAGCAGACGAAGCCGTTATTCGATCATTAGGGTGAAGACACATGAGTGAGAGCAGAAAGTCAATTCCCTGCTGACTGATACCAGCGTCTCTCAGCTTGGTGACCGGGAACTGCTGCTGGGTTTTATAGCCTGCAAGCAATCCATGATTTGCAAATGCAGGTTTTTTGGTGAGCATCTCGAATAAAATCTCCCCAAGAGCCCAAATATCAGGGGCATAGGCACTGCCTGACTCAATGAAGCCCCACAACTCTGGGGCGCAATATCCTAGGGTACCCTTCCTCGTTGATTGATGGCTTAGAGCCCTCCTTTATGCGTTTGGTTATACCAAAGTCTGCCAGCTTAATCCACCATTTAGCAGGCGGGCATGATTTGATAAGTACATTCTATCGTTATTTCACTGTTAGTAATGACCTCTTGTAGAATTATCTCTATCTTTTATTATGAATAGACTTACATTTGGTTTTAAGTCTCGGTGCACAAACCCATTTTCATGCATCATATTCAGACCATCGAGAATCTGATATGTGTTATCTTTGGCCTCAGCCTCTGGCAGTGATGGTTTTTGACACAGATACGTGAAAAGGTCACCCATTTCGAGGTATTCCATTGCTATAAAGAGCTGGCCAGGCCCTTCATACCAGCCGAACGACTTGACAAAACAATGTTCATACTACTTCAATCAGGATGCCTTTCACTTATGAACAAAAATTCTTTAGAGACTAACGCGAGAATGTGAGAACTTAGCTATTGCCTCCAACTCATGATTACAGTCAATCAACCCAAGTCGCGTGTCCAAATCAATCTGCTTGACAGCTCGAACTGCGCTATCTTGCGCTGCTGTGGCTCCTGACCGTCCACCTTTGATAAGTCTTTCTAGCCAGACACTACCAAATCCACCACTTCCTATCCTTCGTTGCCGCTGCCAATGCTCCGATCTGATCACAAGGCGCTGTCCAGAAGCTGGGTCTGACTCCCGGAATGTGTGGACTGTTTTCCACTCCGCAGTGCGGAAGAAAACGGGTCTCTAGTTTAGAATCTCGAATGAGATCTGAGATTTGCGCCATTTGGACATTTCTGTGAGCAATTCACTCGCTGGCAGTGGTGTAGCCGTTAATCCTTCGCTGCATCTCAAAGCCGCCCCAACGAGCAACCCCGCATGTCACCTGATATCATACAGTATTTCCCTGTGAGGATTCACTCTTACCATAACTCATCCCCATAATTAAGATGTTTCAATTGCTAGAGACGGATAGGTAATACATTAGTTTGACATATTCATTCAAAGCAGGAATTCCCTTTGAGATTATCTTGAACATATAGACCCTCTCTATATTGTCAAACTGGCGATGCAGGACAGACGCCAGTGCCGACGGTATATATATACTATAATATACAACCATGTAGCACGCACGATTCTAGCTGCCAATATCAAAATATAAAGTCCAACATCAAATGAAAAGAACACAGGGGCCCTAGTACTCCAAACTCACGCAGACGGAACAGCCTTTGTTGATTCCGCAGGTGCATCGCTAGCAGCCTTCTTTTCGTCTTGGACATCCTTCTTCTCAGCTTCAGGGTAGAATTCAATCTTGCCACCACCCTTGATAATGTCCAGTCGGTCGTACAGCGAGCGGGCACGAATGTACGGGTCCAGGACCCAGTACTGCTCCCGCAGCTTTTCGATCAAACTGTGACGCTTATCCTTGGCAGCGTTCACAGCATCAGTATCCTTCTTTTGACTGGCGCAAATCCACTCGATCGTGACGTCTTGGATCTCCTTCGCCAGAGTCTGGCGCTCAGCGATCAGCTTGTCGCGGGTCTCCGTGTCTTCCATCTTGGCGTTTTCGCCTTCCTTCACCTCGGAGTATGCGTATTCCCAGTTCTCATCACCCTCGAGCTCTTTCATGATTTGGCCTGGGGCGATGAAGGCCTCGAGGTCTTCGCGGTTCTTGGTGAAGTGAATCTTGGCGGCGACGACAGGGTCGAGCCAGCCCTTGATGACGCTCCAGATACCTAGCCCAGTTAGAAAGAATTAACAATGATTGGGAATTGGGAGACAGACTCGAGAAGATCCAGGGTGCCTTGTGAATGAGGACGGATCCGAGAGATTCGGGGTAGTTGGCTTCAAAGCACTTGATCATGAATTTGACAGGTGTGTAGTCCTGAGGGTATATTTAGTATGTGGCGTGGTAGAGAAAGCGAGTGAATATGGAACCTACCATGTTTGACAATGTAAAGTTGGTCATGTCGAAAATGATAGTCTAATACCGTCAGCAAGAGGGCCAAGTCATGATTGCGATAGTGGTGACTTACGGCAGTCTCAACCGGGGGCGCCAAGAGCAGCCGGGCAGTCTCAATAGTGTAGACTGTAAACCGCTCCAATGCATCGACCTCTTGGTCCGATGCCCGGTGCAGCCGCACTCGGACAACGCAGATAGGTCGACCGAACTTGTCCACGCCATGCAAGAAACTCTTGCCCATGCGCATCTGTTTCAAGAATTCTTCACCCTTCTGCTTCCTAGCGGGATCGGCACTCGATGCGTATTGGTGGGCCTGGGCCTCGCCATTGGCCATGATATCGTCGTCAACGTGCACCTCCTGCAGACGCCAGCGCATCGTCGAAATCAACATGATAAGCGCCTTCTTCACGTCCCACTTGCGTGCGCGCAGGAAGCGCAGCAGTAGCGCATCCGGGTTATCGTGCTTCACCATGTTCCAAAACGCGGTGCGGATCTCCTCCGGCTGCAGCTCGACGAGTGCCTGCTGGAACTCCTTGGACTGGCCGTGCTTGTCGTCCCCATCGGTGATGTTGATCGAGGTCAGGCTCGAAGTAATGCCGGTGGCGGAGGAAACGCTCTTGTTGTCATCCTCCTCCTCGTTACCCTTACCCCAGAGCCCCCAACCTCGGCGCTTGCCGGACGACTTCTTCTTATCCTGAGTAGGGCTGGCATCGGCATTACCTTTGCCATTGGCATGTTCTGCCTCGAGGGTATCGAGGGGGACGCCAAACACCCTGAGTGTCAGCACCCAAAATTCCTGCAATTTAACTTCTTGTTCCGGGGTCAGGGTCCCGACGGTACCCGGGGCGGGTTCGATAGGCATTGTGGTGAGGGTATCGATAACTTGGAGGAAGGAATGTGTTTGCGGCGGAGTGGTCGGAGAAGGACGCGGTGGCGGCGGATTTTCCGTAGAGGTGAAGTACTTATCGTGGAGCCAGGCGCCTCCGCCAACGGCCAGAAGGGTGAATGTGATAGTCCAAAGAGAGGATGCTTCCCTCGGTTGATGCTGAGACTGCGGCCGTGTGGAGTAAGGTCGCACGAGTGGGAATGGTCGGGGTTGACGAGCGTATTGGGAAGCGAACTGAGCGCCTCTTTCCAGGGAAATAGGAGTGAACTGGATACGACAAGGAACAGGAAGGGAATTGGCCGAGGGAGAGATGCGGCGCAGAATTGAGCAGGCCCGCATGTGGCGGGGGGAAAGGAACAGTGGGTCTGAAGGTACTCTGTCAGAGCGCGAGATGATGGCCCCTATATAGATACTGTTGGGATCAGGGACTGGGATGAGGAGGAGAAAAATCCAGGGACTCGAGGCAGAAGTTGAGACGAGATCACGAGTGGATTCTCAAAAATCAAGGCCGATGACGATCGGCCTGGCAATGCGGGGAAAAGGCTCAAGTATTGTGGATTTGAATGTAGTGCTATGTATCTATATAGTTTAGGATTATTTGCTGTAGAAATGAAATCCACATAAACCGAGGTGATATGTTCGTGTTTATTTGGACACCTAAACGTTCGTACGGAGTAATTGAGGGCCAATTTGCATGGTCGCATGCCCGGTGAAGTCATGCAAAGTCACGGGCATGGACAACGACGGGGGATCAACGCTCAACTTTGGTCCTCGACCTTTCAATTATCATCAGCTTCGCCCAAAATCATGCGCAACTCCCCCTAGTCCTACCCACTTACGGACTCTTCCTACTCATCGGCGCCCTCGACCACATTTGCAATTGCCGCACGCCAAATAAGGCGCTCGCGATAGCCCACTCGAGAGCCTTCCGCCAGTGCCCCTCACTCCCAAAACAAACAACACTATCACACCGTCAAAAGTCATGGACGCCCCTGCACCACGATCCTCCTCGCGACCGCGGCCCTCCTCTCGCCCTACGACTCCTTTGCGACCGAGCTCGCGCTCCTCGCTCCGCGAAGCTCATGGCTACGGTCACAGCATCAGCCATACCGGATACAACCAGCCCGCCATCAATGCCCTGGAGCCGCAGTTTGCGGAACTCGCCGACTCCATGGCTGACCTGGAGGCCAATTTTATGCACCTACAGCTGATGCACGAGAGTTTGACGCGGTTTAGCGAGAGCTTCGCGAGTTTCCTGTACGGCATGAATATGAACGCGTTTTGCGTGGATTTCCCAGAGGTATGCCATTTGCCCAACGAAGACGCGTCGGACGACCGGTACAGGGAGATAAATACTCACTACTGTCAGGCCCCGATTACCGATTCTTTCAAGAGAGCCAAGCAGGCTGAGGCCCAGAAAGGTAGCGCACCCGCACCCGCACTGCACGTCGATGGAGGCCAACTCACTGACAATCCTTACACAGAGGCGGAGAATGAACCACCCCGACCGGATGATGGCGAGATGACTTTCCTGTGAGTAATGGGCGACCCAACAGACCCTGCGAACGCTTTTGCGCGATAGCTACGCTCCAATCCGACGTTCTCCAATTGACGATTTGCTAGGACTACGGACACTTCCTTTGTCGAGCACCCGCCCAGCACTGTCTCCTCCAAACCAACATCGAGATATGCCGCTCCCGGCCGGGGTGCTACCCGAGGGACCACTCGAGGTGGTACGACGAGAGGTACTGCAAGAGGTTCTGCAACGGGCACCACGCGAGGCTCGGCGACCAGCCGGTATGCCACGAGAGGCGCTGACCGGGCGCGCCCAAGCGCGCTGCCCCGGGGTCGTGGTTTGCGGTGAACGGTCGTCTGGGATTGTAATCTGCATGTTACATGTGCCTATGCTAGTGAATGGTAGGGACTCGGCCATTGGGATATGGATACTCCGAGAAGCACCCTGACAGACCGTGCCCCGGCAGTTCCTGTGGATGTGTGAAAATCCTTCAACAGAGAGGGATGGTGCTCATGATGCTCTGCGGACTCTGTTTCTTCATAGTCCGACCGAATGAAGATGAAGTAGATGAACATGGCCTGTAATTATTACGACTTGAATGAAGATTCACGAACCATACGACCGTATGAAGGAATAAAGTGATAGGTAGAATCAAGTACAGTCTTCATTCGTTTGCAATAAACCCATCGATCCTACAATCCTCAAGTGTTAGATTATAAGTGTATGATCGTCGAGTAGTCCCGTGGCGGCGGAACTGATGATGGCGGCACCTCCGATCGCTGATCCGGCGGTAAATCGGCGCTGGCGAAAAATAGGTCCCGATGGCAAACTACCAACCACTCTGCCGCCCCCCCGAACAAGGCAACTCGATTTCCTACCTTTTCTTGACCCAAATCAAGTGCGTCTTACTTCGTCGAGTCTTTGCGACCGTGATCATTCAACGGTTCTCCATTGAACTCTGGCGGGGCAGGGTTGCGGCTTTGCTGGCAACGTGAGCTGCCGCGGCAACCCTTGGGTAACAAGAAGAGCCGTATAGCTCCTCTCGTTCTATCTCCTTTCCCCACCCGACACCGTTGACTCTCTTAGTCTGGAATATGTAATTCTGTCTTGGTCTTTTGTATATACTGTTGCACCGGATACTGATCATTCCTTCTGCAGTGCAATGCTTGTTCTACTCAGGGGAAGTCCTTGAGGCTCAACTGGATATCTTTGCGTACCCCCAGGGCCTGGAAGCTGCCTGGTATTGACTCCGGGGATCTCTGGTGCCTCTTGCATCTTTCATCTCGCCCTTTTCTCCATCGTTGCCTGGAGGGCTAGGCCCCTCGACTTACGAGTTTCCTCTCTCCTTCCTTGCACTCTACCTCCCACTTCCCATCTCCTCAACTCTCATTCCTTTCTCATTCTCGTTACCTTCCCCTACATCATCTCGCTTCTCATCCAAAATGGCGAGTCTTGAATCCGTTCAGATCCTTTCGGAAGCGGCGTTCGGTTGTGGTATGTCTTTACTTGATTGGGAAACCCCCACCTTGATCATGTCACCTCTAACGCCTCACCAGAACATCTGGCAACAATCCTGCAAGATCAGTCGAGTGCTGGCCAGTTCAAGAATGGGTACCGCAAGCAATTTCAGTCTCTGGCCCCGTACACAAAGCCAGAGACTGCCGCAGTGCCCACAAGTGGCCTGCGGACTGTGGCTACCCTGAAACCAAAGTACCACTGTCTGACTTGCTCGGAAGTGTGTTTGAACTCGGAGCGCAAGGCACACACGAAGAAGACCGGCCATGCTTTCTGTAAGAGGTTCGCGCTCACATATTTTGCCTGAGACTAATCTGGATCCCTTAGATATGGAGTCACGCAACCGGTTCGTGTTCTGTGAGACCTGTGGAGACTTTGTCTACGACCATGGCCTGGAACGGCTCTGCGGCCCCTCTGGCAAGTTTGAGTATGAAGGTGCGCCTCAACTGATCCCTTCGCTTCTTCCAATTTTCATTGCCAGATCAGCTGACTCTGATAGATCATAAAGCCCGATGGACTGAGGACTCCGCTTCTGAGGTCTATGTCAGGAATAATGCCTACAAAAATCCTTGTTCTCGTCGCGGTGCTCGTGGTGTCTGGAACATGGGACAGACCTGTTATCAAGCTGTGATTCTCCAAGCTCTCCTGCATGACCCCACTCTCAATGCCTATTTCCTAGCAGGAGGCCATGACATCCACACTTGCAAAAGAGCCTTCTGCATGGCATGTGCAGCCACTGAAGTATTCATGGAATTCAACAGCGGCGAGAAGACTGATGCAGTGTCGGCTGCTACCCTCCTCTATCATGGTTGGGATGCGTCAAGAGTAAGACAAAAGCCCATGAACTGATACTCCCCTCCCCTAAGGATATCCCGCTAACTACCAGCCATAGGAAATGGCAGGCTACCGCCAGCAAGACGCTCACGAATACTTCCAATTCCTCGTCAATGCCCTCCACGCAGCTACTCCTGGTCACTCGGAGAGCTACGACACCAAATGCGAATGCTTCTTCCACCGTACATTCTACGGCGAACTTCGCAGCAGCGTGATGTGCCACAAGTGCGGCAAAACCACTCACACCTACGACCCAATGGCGGACCTGAGTCTCGACGTGCAGCTACAAAATAAGAAGCGCAAGCTGGGCCGATCGACTGCGACTGGCACCGCAAATCTGATTAGCTGTCTGGAGAGTTTCACCGCAGTCGAGGACCTGCAGCATCACACCGAGGCGGCATATCATTGCGAGAAATGCGGCAACACGCCTCAGCGAGCGTCAAAGCGCCTGCAGATTAACAAGCTTCCGAGTATCCTGTGCATGCAGTTGAAGGTACGTATTTTGAGGTTCTAGTAAAAGCTGGACAAGTCTGATTCGCTATGATCTTCTAGCGCTATGAGCACAACCAGGCCTCCTCTGAGAAAATGGATGGCCACATTGACTTCCCCATTACCCTGAACATGCTCCCCTACACTGTGAAGAAGGACAAGGAGCGTGTCGACACGTCTAAGTACATCTACGATCTCTCCACCGTCGTGGTCCATCAGGGATCCATGGACTCGGGCCATTACTACTCCTACACCCGCCTGGGAGGCGACAAGGTATGTAACTGCTGCACATGATAACTCTGATATTCGCAAATTGTCCTATGCTGACCATTCTTTAATCTAGTGGGTGTTGATGGACGACAACAAAGTGACTGTCGCCAGCATCGCCGATGTTCTCAAGCAAAATGCTTACCTGTTGTTCTACGGCATCCGCTCGATCGATCCCGAGAAGTGATTGTTTTCAACAACGAACGATATGAGTGAGCAGAATATGGATTAGGTTTGGCTGTTAGGTCTCAGGGCGTTATCTGGTTCTTTTTGTTTGATTCACATAAGCGAGAAAGGGTATGAGACCAATGGATTCCTCGCTGGACTATTTTGATATGTTCCGATATTGTAGCGTAGGACCGTAACTTGAGAGACGTCCGTTTTAAGGGCGGTATTGGCTCCGACTACAAGCATACGATAGACGAACATTCAGACCAGGTGGTCCTCCACTGTATCTGCATAGATCAGAATCTACGGCCAGTCTACCCATGAACCTCCAATTCATACGCGGAGTCAACCTGTGACTCAAGGCTCAAGGAGCAAGGCGGATGTTGAATCGAAAGCTGTCGAATTTTGGCAGACATTGAACACCGCTGCACACGCCCTCCACAGTACTCCAATACTCAGAACCCAAGATCGAATGAAAATCCCAGTAAAGAAAATCCGTCATTGATATTGGATAAGGAAAAAAGGATGAGGGTAAACATGACATCCTCGTTTTGCGATCTCTTCACACAACAACCCCAGTCCCCACCGATCCATCCGAGACACCAAGCAACCGAAGATGCAAAAAACTGTCTCCCTCCATCAAGAAAAAAAAAGAAAACAACAACCAGTTTTGGAGGCCGTCATGCGAAAAGAAAACGGAGTGCGGGCGCAATTTCTTGAGTTTTTGAGTTTTCCCGGACACTTCGAAACCATTTCCCCATCCCGGGACACCATCAAGATCGAGAAGCGCCAGGGTACGTACACGAGTGAACGGATCGTAGACGAGGATGAATCGGGAAGGGCGTTAAAAGGTGGACATGGTTTTTGGTTTGTTTAACGGTACTGTAGGTGAGAGTGGGCGAGTTAGTTTTGTCATGTGGGTTGCGAGGGAACCGGACAGGGACCCAGTGGACCGGGTATCGAGGATAATTCGTGTTCAGAAATGTCGTCCTCTAGTCGGCAGAGGTAGAAGGTGAAGGTACGAACCTTGTTGAAACCGATGTCGGTGGACTTCTCACGGAAGCACTGACGGCAGATGTTCATCTGTAAAACAACTCGTATTAGCCCAGAGTTCGCTCTCACGATACGCCGACGTGCGCTCGCTGAATATGATCAGGGAGAGATTCCACATACGCCGTACTTGCGGATCAGACCGGCGCGGTGAGAGCAGACACGGCTGTAGTCGCGAAACCACGAATTAGCACCCCAATCTCCCGTATTTCAAGATCCGTTCTCAAATTCATTTCCAGGACTCGGTTTCCATATCGTCGTTCATGTCGGGTGAATTCCATTTCAGAGGAGGGGTTTAACACACCATTCGCGGGAGCCCTTGCCGTACCTGAGCAGAATCCAAGTCAGTTTCGCCATTCACCAGAATTTTGGCAGCGATCGGGCTCAAAAGTCGACTTACTTGCGGGGCCGGGAGTACCAAACGGACTCGTGAGTCATCTTGAATGTCGAAAGGGGGGGTTGACGGGGGGTTGTTGACGGGGACGAGGGTCGTTGGCGCTGTTGAAGAAGGACGAAGGTCGAATCGCACTTTAGGGTTGGAAATTCGTTGTGTGCTGCCCCAATCGGGAACAGCGCACGGGCCAGCTCGCTTGACCCGGAGCTAGTCCGTTTTGAGTGGTTGTGTGTGGATGATTATGTCAGCCAGGGGGTTTCCCGTGACTTTCCGGGATCTATACTTTGAGCCTCACGTTCACTAATGATGACACTTGATTTTATCGTCATTTATTTATATAACTTTAAGGCTTAATCATTAAGTAATAGTTCTTGAACATGTTTTATTGCAATATATCTGAGCTAGGCTCGGGAACAGATCTGAGATCCTCATGCCTAGTCGTCAGAGCACCGGTTTGAATGTCGACATCTTTCTTTGCATAATCTGATAGGACCCCAATCGAAACAGTAGCGGATGTCTTTCCTATATCTCACCAGACTCCAGTACCAGCACATGTTTTCCCTATATCGCGCAGACGCATTGGCTTTAGATGCTGCTGCCAAGCTACACCCGCTCTGGTGTATGATCTTTCCCCAGGTCACGTAGGCTATTCAAAGATTCTTGATTGTGTGAGCACCCTTCATGATCAAGATGACGCTCCACTACGGTCCATGCAACAACCGGCCTCTACAACAAATCTTTGAAAATCGGGTTAAATGTTTTACCCGATAGAGCTTCATTGGGTTCATTGTCCAAAGTCAACGGACTTTAGGCAGCGTAACCACAGTTGCGGTTCAGGTCCGGGATTGTCGGGCACGAAGTCATTTCTTATTCAAGAGCGAGAGAAGACGACTAGACCCCGAAAAGTATATTATAAGAAAGAGTATCATCAACTCAAGGCCATCTCTTTTTTATCTCCTCCACGTTCTTCGCAATTATATCCTTCTATCCAATGAGCCCCCTGAGGTATTCCTGCCTTCTTGATATTGAGATCTTCAACGAAGTTTCAATTGAATTGCCTCGGAAAAATCATTAACTTGGTTTGTCGGCCGAAACAAGAGCATCTTGAATGGTAGGAAGAGTTTAGTGCGGTGTCTTAATCGAGGTATCATATCCCGTAGTCACATAGAGATTGTAACCTGTTCAAATATATTGTTGTTTCTTAGTCACTCCAGACTGGACTCGACGTTGTTTCCATACGTGCCACATGAGTTGTTAGAGAGAAACCGCCTATTTAATTCAGATATAACACTCTGTTTGACATCTACAGAAGTCGCGCTGTTCTATGTGAAATGTAGTCTCGGTGACGGTAAAAATGGAGCCGGGGAAGGTGATAGACTCCCAGAGCAGAAAATGTTAATCACCCCGCCTGCTCGCTCACCCCAACACTCAGGCCCGGTTAAAAACATTTTGTTATTATGTGTATAGTGTCCAGTGTCCAGTAGCCTCTACTGGTTTTGTGCCGATCATAACTTCATCGGGTTAGCAAGCCCATTTTTAGACGCCGGAACATAAATTCCTATTCGGGATGGTTTTAGTCCTGGACAGACCTGACCTCGGGATCAGATGTTCTTGTTCAGTAATCTTTTTAAGACCTCAGCCTATGACAGGATTCCCCAGACCTTTCTTGAAAGGTATTCTGTTGTTTTCATGTGAACGCACGGCGCAGATCTGAGAAAGCGATAGCTAGACAGAGAACGCCTCGAACTATAATCACGGATTGCCATACGATCCCATGAACTAGTGACGTCAAACATTGGCCCAATACTGATGTTTTCAATCAGTAGCTATGATCAATATGAAAAATAGGCTAACGGGCCAGGTGGCGTGGTGGAAATGGGAATGGCAATGGATCTGCGAACCCAAACCAGTGGGTATCCACACCTCGGCTTCAGGTGGTGAGGGTCAGTACGAAGGTCGTGAGATATATGAGATCAGCCTAGTTTCCCCAGAATTTCATTTTCCTCCTCATCCTCCTCCACAAAAATGGTAGTCCCTATGCGAAATCCAAAAGACTCCATGACGTCCACCTGGCGGACGTGGGAGAAGTCGCAGTGGAAGTTCGGCCACTGGCTGTTGGAGGTCTTGGATGTGCATCATCTGAACCTGGGTCAGGATGTTCCCGTTCATGAAAAGTCCGAGAAAGTGCCCTATGCACCCGAAATGCAATTCCACCGCTGGGTCCTCATTCATGCTTTCATGCCACTCGTTCTGCATCAAGTCTATATCAACTACTTCGGTCAACCCCCCACGTGGGCGGTTTTTATCTTCTACAGTCTGTGCCTCGAGTTCAATGCTGTACACGAAGTACGGGTTCTCCGCCGTGTCGGGCACCAAATTGGATTCTTCGACGGTGACCAGCATCCTCGCGATGGCGTGCCTGATGTCGGAGTGGGCAAGACGGTACAAACCGTGCTATCTGTCATCATTTTCCGGCCAATGGTGACTGTTTTCCTCGCATACCGTGGTGATGAGACTCCTGCTTCGATCCGTTGGGGATGGCTCATCTTCGAGACCGGAATGTACGCCCTCGTCCTCGACTTCTGGTATTATCTCTTCCATCGCTCCGCTCACGAGTCGGAGCATCTATGGAAGTTCCACCGCACCCACCACTTGACTAAACACCCTAATCCTCTCCTGACTGCTTATGCAGACAAGGTGCAAGAGTTCATCGATGTCATCGGGACCCCCGTCATCACCTACGGCACGATGAAACTGATGGGGTTCCCCATGGGGTTCTATGAATGGTGGGTGTGTCAACAATATGTGGTTTTCACGGAGATTCTGGGCCATAGTGGTTTACGAATGATCGCCACCGCGGTGAACCCATGGACTTCACTACTGAGAGTGTTTGATATGGAACTTCTGCTGGAGGACCATGATCTTCATCACCGCAAAGGCTGGAAGAACAGCCATAACTACGGCAAGCAAACCCGGGTGTGGGATCGTCTGTTCAACACCTCAATTCCTCGCATCGAGGGCCACGCAGATAATATTGACTACGTCAACACGGCTGAAATCCCTCTGTGGTAATCAGGATTCAGTTGAGGGCATGCGCATCATATATCGAAAGCCTCAGACTTGGTCAATGGAGGCAAATCTAGGAAGGCATGTCCTTCGTATACACAATATAGAATAGCTAGACCCCATGCAATGCAATGAGTTTCATGATCAAAATGTTCTTCGAGAGTAGTACCGAGCTTAGCAGCCTTGTACTAAGATGTGCAGCCCTCCGTGAAGACAATTATATTGAAGAATTCATCTCGTTTGCACTTAGGTTCCACCCATACAATGTTATCGTAAACCATTCTCGTGAGAAGTTGACCCACATAGTGGTAAGTCTTCTCAACACTAATAAGAGAGCTCCCATCCCTGGCATAGAGTTCAGACCCAGCGCATTTTTGAATGTAGGAAAACCACCAGGGCAGATAGCCATATATGTTACGTCTGTCTCAGCCTGATCTTGAAACCACTTCTCTCAATTTCCCACCTTGCCACACATTGGTGATAGGCAACTTACTGGGGTATTTGGAAAGCTGGTAGCGTAAATGTAACGTCGATAAGATAATTCACGCCGTCAGTGGTGCGGTTTCCATTTTGGTCAAAATGCGAGATCCCAATGACTGTGTGGACTTCGGGTGATATAAGGGCCTCTCAATAACCAGGTCCAGGGGGCAAGCGCTTGCAATAGGGCGAGAAATCAGGTCGTAGACGATCCACAACCTTGGAGCTACCTTGGGTTTCTGTTGTATGGGCGCTTTGATGTGTTTGCTGCCTTCTGCTTGCTCCTTACAACTGCTGAAGAAGGCACCATTCCCTGTTCATGTTATCATCGATTGCTCGATGGTACTCCACAGCATCTTCTGATACTCGGTATATGCAAAGTTCTCACTTTCCCTTCGATTCGCTTTCGAAATCATCTCGTTCTAAATGCACCTCCGAGCAATTTCATTTCGTGTACATAGTGGTCCATCGATATGACGTCGGGCAAGATTGCGGGCACAGCATGGATACCGCTGCTAACAGACCCAATCACGGTTACCGATTTATCCTTTATAGCCACTTTGGTTAGTCCGTTACTATTTGAAGAAAGACTTACTAAGTGGTAGAAGGGACCTGAAAGACAGCTGACCTTCAGAGAGGGCATCGCTTAGGGTTGAATTCACAGTACTATTTGCTATCTTAGCCAGTGGGGTTTTGTTTGGCACGGCGCCGTTCGCCTTGGCACTATTGAGGTAAGAACCGTTGGGTTCGTTGCCATTGGATGAAGGGACACACATTTAATACAAGGAGGGGAGGGGGATAAGAGGAATCTTATGGTATGACAGTTGGTGTGAAGTGAAAGCAAAGGCATATCCATATACACGGAGATAGAAGTTTCCCTATGGAGAGCTGTCGCTCAATTTAAAGTCACAATTGCAGCTGCATAGGAAGCCTCAAGATGATATTTACATAAGCATTTGCTCTTTGAGATGGGGTTATAATGGGACCAACAAGCAGAATACGCGAGTGGCCAATGGGCTTATGATGGAGATATTCCCGTCTGCCCGTTTCCTTAGATTTTTTCCAAAGCCAGCGCCCTTCCATCTTCCCTGTCTTGCTTGCACCCCCGCAGGGCCAGCGCAAGAAAGAGGTAGACAATCTGAATACATGATAAAAATATATTCTTTCGTTTGATATATTTGGCTTTGAATTAATCAGGATTGAAGAGAGAAACTGGACACAAAGGTGTCTAGAACGGTTTCGTGGAAATTTCTTCGCAAAGAATAGGAAGTAGGTATGAGAGAACAATCAATCTTGTTAATATACCAGCCAAGGGTCTGCGGGTCACTGGGAAATAGGAGAGCCGGAGGTGGCTATATAACCATCGAATATCTGAACAAACCTTTCTGGCCAAAGAAAAGAAGGCGACTTCGTGAACAACAAACAGACCAAACCGACAGAAGGCCACATCTCTGCAAGAAGGATCAGGAAAAACACCGAGACAGACAGTCAAGAAAAATTA